GGAACGATATCTGCTCGACGATCAGGCGCCGCGCATTGCTGGGCTACGGGACCAATGCCGAGAACAACATGACAATCCTCGAGAGCATGAGCTGGCTGGAAACGACTCTGCAGCTGCGAAACGCGTGGAAATGGATCTCCATCTCTCATGACCTGGTCGCGTCGGGCAAGATGATCTCTGGCAGCTTTGACTTTGGGTATCTGGGCGTTCTGGGCATTTGGCACATGGAGGAAGGCTTTGCCGAGCAGAATCGGTACAATGGTGATGGCAGTTTCACGTCGAGAGAGCTATTTTCCGCCGCCCGACACATAGTCGAGAAACGGACGCTCGAAACTAAAGTCCTTGCTGCTCCGCTGATCGGTTTCGACGGAGAAAGCCACAAGGAAATCCAGCGTCGGCTAGCAATGCATGTGATTGGCTGGGACTTTGGTGTCAGGGAGCTTGAAGATAAGTACGAGAGTCTAATCGCTAAGGAGCACTACGAGAGAGCAGCCGGCTGGGCCGTTTTCCATGGAGATATTTCGCGCGCCATTGACATCCTAGCCAGCTCCAAAAACGAGACGTACCGCATTATGTCGACGGCGATTGCAGGCTATTTCGCCTTCCGTGACTCGCAGATCAACACCACCTGGAAAGACCAGTGTCGGAAGCTGTCTTCCGACCTCGAAAATCCGTATTTGCGCGTGATCTTCGGCTACATAGCGGACGGCAACTGGTGGGATGTGCTTGACGACTCGTTCCTACCTCTGCGCGAAAAGTTGGGCGTTGCGCTGCGATTCCTCCCAGATAGCGAGTTAGATGTTTATCTAACCAGACTTGCAGAAAACGTCATTAAGAGAGGTGAAATCGAGGGTATAATTCTCACTGGAGTGACCGCTCGGGGCATGGATCTTCTGCAGTCGTTTGTCGACCGCACAAGCGATATCCAGAGCGCTTGCCTGATTGCGTCCTTTGGCTGTCCGAAATATTTCAGAGACGATCGTGTCGAGGACTGGGTGGAAAGCTACCGCTATTTGTTGAACAGCTGGAGTCTGTTCCATGTGAGGGCCAAATTCGACGTGGCAAGAACTAGACTGTCGCGTCAGAACAACGGCGAGACACAAACAAGACCCGTTCCGCGCCAGGTCTACTTGCAATGCACCAACTGTCACAAGAATATCTCAAAGAAAAAAAATACCGGTCCGCAGCTCAAAAATGGCATGTTGCTACAAAGGGAGTTGCCGCTGCATACATGTCCACATTGCGGCCACCCTCTACCGCGCTGTGCCATCTGTCTGATCACCCAAGGCATTGCTCTGCCAAAGGAGATGTCACGGGTGGATCACGATGCAGTGGATGATAACCTTACGCTGGAGACGCGATTCAAAGAGTGGTTCAGCTTTTGTCTGTCCTGTAACCACGGAATGCACGCTGGACACGCCGAGGAGTGGTTTTCGAAACACTACATCTGCCCCGTGCCCGACTGTGACTGCCGTTGCAACAACAAGTAGCTGGAAAGGTGTCTGGTGGTGTATAGATGTGTAATCTATTTTTATAAAAAAGTCAAAATTTCAGCCTGCCAGTGTTTATTATTGGGAAGGGGTTGAAAGCGTTTTTTTTATTTATCGTATTTTGAACAAAATCAGGGAGTTTTCTCGCCTAAATTTAATACGAAATAGAGGCACTAATAGTTCGACTCAGGCACTATCAGCAGGGTTAACTAGCTTTCTTGCATAGGATTAGACGCAAACCAATATCAATTGTTTTAATAGTGCTGTTTATCTCCAGTGATCTGGATCAAGAATAGCTGGCGTTTCCAGATGTCTGAAGGAAAAGATCCAGTGATTACTGATATTTTGCGCAAGATCGAGCGCGAGCGCAACATTGCGCTGGGGGCTAGCAATTTGCGTAAAGAAACATCCAATGCGCTCGTTATACAAAAATGTAACACGTCCATTAGAGAGGCCCAAAAAAACATTGAGTATCTTGAACAAACATTGAAGAAATTGCGCTTACAGAAAGTGAACTCAAACGGTCGCTCCTCGTCTGCTGAGTCGTCGCACTCGCAATCGGTAGAGAGCGTCTCCTCTACCAATGGAGACACGCATCACAACAGAAAACCGATACATAAACCCACGTTCACGGTTCTCGACCTGCTGAAGTACGAGTGTCCGTCGCTAGGGCACAGAATACAATATATGTTACAACAGCTGGAGTTCAAAATCCAGGTTGAGCAGCAGTATAAAGAGGCAAACGAGAAGATATACAAGCTGTATCAACTGGAAGGTGACCGGCGGAGTATTGCTGCAGCTGCCGATGGCTGTGTTGAAGGCGAGAGAAAGATTCAGCTGATGCGCAAAGCACTTAAACAGTACCAATCGATGTACATTGACATCGATGAAGTCGCTCGAGAGAATGCTGTGATCAACACGTTCAGAAAAAATCCTTTGACAGGAGTACTGTCTATTACAATTTCGACTGTTCGCAATGTAGATCACATTGCTTCTCCAGTGTTCACTAGAAATCCCGATTCCATCGTTACTATCAAAATTGACGACGTTGAACGTGGCCGGACCAAAGGATCGAGGAACGATAGGTGGAACGAGACTTTTGAGATCGACGTCGAAAAAGGAAACGAGGTTGCACTTACCGTGTACGACAAGTCTGGTGATCAATTGGTGCCCGTTGGCCTTGCCTGGTTACCCTTGTCAGATATCGCAGAGGAGATCCGCAGAAAGAAGGTGACTCAGGAACGCGGGGGCGACTGGATGATCGGTTCTGCTTTGCAGCAAGGTCCGAGAGGCCAACTCAGTTCTTCTGCGTCCAATACAACCATGGAGAGCAAAAGCGACTTGCCAGGTCTTCCCTCTGCTTCTGCAAATGGATCCTCGACAACATCAACAAGCGACACGAACGCCGTGACCTCCACCTGCTGGTTTGAGTTGGAACCCACGGGCCAAATCTTGATTACCATTGGATTTACCAAGGCAAATGAGCACCGCAAGGGAGAACGGTACGCTTTTGGAGGCGGATTGGGACGTCACGGTGCCATACGTCAAAGAAAAGAGGAAATATACGAGCACCATGGCCACAAGTTCGTCCAAAAGCAATTCTACAACATCATGTGCTGTGCAGTTTGCGGTGATTTTCTCAGATACAGCGGGTTTCAATGTGAAGACTGCAGGTTTTTGTGCCACAAGAAGTGCTACAAGAACGTTATTAATAAATGTATTTCCAGAACCAGCACAGACTCTGCGCCGGAAGAAACAAAGCTCAATCACAGAATTCCTCACAGGTTTGAGCAGGTCACAAACAGAGGCACAAAATGGTGTTGTCACTGTGGCTATATCCTTCCATGGGGTAGAAAGAATATCAGGAAGTGTTCTGAGTGTGGAATATTTTGCCATGCTACTTGTTCGCATCTAGTTCCCGACTTCTGTGGAATGTCCATTGAAAAGGCTAGCCAGATTCTGTCTGCTATCAAGTCAACGCAGGAAAGCAAATCCACGAAGCCCAAACCACCAATCCCTACCCAATCAACTGCTACTTTAACCACAATAGGAAGCAAAACCGCTCCTTCGGTTGGGTCAGATCAAACTAAGGTGGACCACGTCCCATCAGCACAACATGAGTATCCAGAAACCGCTGTCACAAAACAAGCATATCAAAAGCATCACTTGCAAACTGGTCCGGGGCAATACGAAGGTCGCCAGCTTCCAGAAATTCCTTTGCAGAACAAGCCTGTACCTCCAACTCCTCAGCAGGCTGGCTCACGGCCTGTTCCACAACCACACTCCAGGTCTGCCACTGAACCAGTCGCAAAGCATCCTTCACAACAAGCCGTCCCATCCGTTTCTCAAGAAGTTGCGAAACCTGTTGAGAAAAGGTCTCCTACTAAACAAAACGGCCCGGCTTCTCACCGCTCTAAACAGCGCCGTCATCGCCACAGATACGGATTGGACGACTTCAATTTTGTGGCTGTTCTTGGAAAAGGTAACTTTGGTAAGGTGATGCTGGCAGAAAGCGTACACACACACAAACTTTGTGCAATCAAGGTGTTGAAAAAGGACTTCATCATCCAGAACGACGAGGTGGAAAGCACCAAATCGGAGAAAAGGGTGTTTATGATTGCCAACAAAGGGCAACATCCATTCCTGTTGAATTTACACCAGTGCTTCCAGACTGAAAATCGTATCTACTTCGTCATGGAGTACATCACAGGTGGGGATCTCATGTGGCATGTTCAGCAGAAACGCTTCTCTCTGAGAAGAGCGCAATTTTACGCGGCAGAAGTTCTTCTAGCCTTGAAGTTCTTGCACGAGAACGGCGTTATTTATAGAGACCTGAAGCTGGACAACATCATGTTGAGCGAGTCGGGTCACATAAAGCTGGGAGACTATGGTTTGTGCAAGGAGAATATGTGGTATGGAAATAAAACGTCCACATTCTGCGGAACACCAGAATTAATGGCACCTGAGATCTTGAAAGAACAAGGTTACGACAAAGCCGTTGACTGGTGGGCTTTTGGTGTTTTACTATACCAGATGCTGCTCACCAAGTCTCCATTCAAGGGTGAAGACGAGGATGAGGTGTTCAATGCTATTTTGACCGACGAACCTTTGTACCCTATCAACATGGCCAAAGAAGCTGTTGACATTTTGCAGCGTCTGCTGACGCGAGACCCTGCACAACGTCTTGGTTCTGGCGAGGCAGATGCGCTCGAAATCATGGCGCACCCATATTTCGCAAACATCAATTTTGACGATGTTCTAAATTTGAGAGTGACTCCGCCTTATATCCCAGAAATTCGCGACCCGCGCAAACCGGAATGCTTCGATGAGGAATTCACCTCGCAGGCAGCAAAGCTTACGCCTGTCAACAGTGTTTTGTCGCCTTCTATGCAAGAGATGTTCAGAGGCTTTACTTACGTCAACGAGGAGAATGCCATTTAAATTCGCGAATTTCACGAAAAAAAATTTAAGGCTGCTGAGATTTAACGTGGCACGCAATACAGTTGACCGATGGTAACAGTCAACACAATTCAAGAGCTTCGCAGTTTGGAGCTTGGCAGCTTGGTTAAGACCACTTTTCAGAAAGCTTTGCAGAATGGACAATTGGTTTTTTCGCCAAGCAAACACGAACATTACACTGACCCTCAGACAGGGATGGAGTGCGAGTTGATAGTGGTTGAGGGGCTTCGCAAACGCCCTATTAACAGACCCACGCAGCCCGGGTCAGATGAGATGATCTCCAGCGACAAAATTGAGCAAGTGAAAGCCAAAAATCCGTTTATGAAACCAGAGCCAGAACTGACGCTGATCGATACGTTGTTGCACGACTACAGGCTCATCTTGAACAAGTTCCCCAACACGGAGGAGCATTTTTTGATGGTCACGAAAGAGTTCATTCAGCAGGACACGCTATTGCAGCCGTTGGAATTGGAGCTGATGCTCACCATTTTGAGGAAGCTGAACGACTCAGATAACAAGTTCTTTGCATTCTTTAACTCGGGACCTGAGTCAGGATACTCACAGTTCCACAAACACATTCAATTCATGAAACTGCCATCCGGTTTCCATGTCTATCAAAACTCGCTGGTTGAGAATAGCGACTTCTACATCCCCACAGAGACGTCAGAATCTAAGAAGCCGCTTGTGAACAAAAATCTGACGTTCAAGCACTTTGTACTCAAATTGCCAAAGACGTTTGCATCGGAGGAGGAGCAGCAGTCCACACTTGCTCTAATGTACATGTATTTATTCAAGCGCGTTTTGAACGTTTTTAAAGAGTACGGGGTGGATTCAAGCAAGTTGAGCTATAACTTCCTAATGATGGAAAACTGGATGATGATTATACCTAGACGCAATGCCTTTTTTGACGGCATCTGGCAAAACAGTCTTGGATTTATGGGTCTTTTTACCACCAAGGACGAAACGGTTAAATCTAAAATTCTTCAGCACGGAGCTGGGACCATTCTGCGCGAATGCGGTTTCGAACTGGATCCGACTGACGACAACCATAAATACGATGAGTATGGTTACTAGAAAATTTCTAACTAATGCTATCAACATGTAACATATATTTCTGGTCTATACAATCAAGCCTTGGCGATGTTGTTGAGCTCCTCCTTCTCGAACTCCTCAGCTTCAGCTTCCAAAATGTATGGGAGCATGTATGGGATGTCTTCCTCTGGCTTCAAAACCTTGGATGGGGGAAGAACCTTGGCGGACAAAACAAGCTGGTGAGCGGTGATGATTCTGTAATTTCTGGCGTAAGACTCGTCGGCTGGCAATCTGGAAATGACTTTTTGCATGAGTGGGGTCTCTTCAATCATCAAATCGTCGAGTCTGAATGTTAGCAAAGAACGGGGTCTTGAAACTTACCTTAGTCCAATTTCCCTGTAGCCGGATAAGTATGTGAAGGTCTTGGCAACTGGCAGCATGAACTGTCTCAACATTGGAGTCTTGAGAACATAGTCAGCAGCCTTTTTGATGCTGGTAACGGAAGCCATGGTTGGTTGTTGAGAAAGAAAATTATAAATTTTATTCTCGCGAATGGTGATTGGCGAAAAAAAGAGGTTTTACGTAAGCATTCAAGGTTTACGTGATACTGCTATAACGGTCGCGGCGATGCGCTGAGCACACCATTAGCAGGCACATTGCTGCTCATTGGTGGAAGGCCGCTGGTTCAGGTCTACTGTGCGTCTTCTGCGTTGGCCCTGCTGGCTCAATTTTTCCTCTAATGGCAGTTTCAGGGCAATGTCTCTGAAGCAATCCTTGACCCTCTCCCCCGTTTTGGCACTGACCTCCGCATACATGAGTCCCAGTTCGTTAGCAAAGGCCTGGGCTTCATCTTTGCTGATTTTTCGCTCCTCCTCCAGATCCAGTTTATTTCCTACCAGGGCGATCACAATGCCCGAGCTTGCTTGTTTCTGAAGCTCTTTGATCCAGTACTTGGCCTTGTCGAGCGACGATTCCTGTGTAATATCATAAACAACCAGCGCTGCTTGTGCATTTCTGTAATACATGGAGGCGAGTGACCTGTATCTTTCCTGGCCCGCGGTGTCCCATATCTCAAACTTGACGGTGGTATTAGCGTCAATCTGAATGGTCTGGGTAAGAAAAGCTGCGCCGATGGTAGACTCCCGCGAGTCCGTAAAAGAGTCCTTCACAAATCTGTGGACAATGGAAGATTTTCCCACCGCAGATTCGCCTAGTACGTTAGCAAAATTGGTGTATTTTCACATACCTAGCAAGACAAGCTTGAACTGCGCAAACCGCATAGCGGACTGGCCGTGTTCTGTGGATGTGTTGGAGGACATGTTAACAATCTCGCGAAGATAAGGGAGATAAATATAGGAAAATTAAGAAGTCGAAGCAAACACAGCCTTGATTTTATGGAGACACGGCTTAGCCACACAGACTGCTCGAAATGGTGAAAGTATTTACAGTTGTATACATGAGATGGTAGTTTTGTCTATGTACATTCTAAACCACCTACTCGTCGATCTTCGCAAGAATCTCCTTGTCGCTGAACAATAAATACTCCTCTCCGTCAATTTTGACTGGGGATCCACCGAAGCTTGGCAATAACACCTTATCACCTTTCTTCACGATGGTTGGCACCAACTCGCCCTTGTCATTTTTGGTGCCCGGTCCGTTTGCGACCACTGTACCGAATGCCAACTTGTCCTGGTTCTTCTCAGGGATGTAGATACCGGATGCCGTCTTCGAGGCAGCCTTTGCTCTCTGGACGAGCACACGATCGAACAATGGCTTGATTGAGTTGAGCTTGAGAAGACTAGACATGACAATAATTTCAGGCAACGCCAGTGCTGGCCAAATTATTCTTATATTTCTGGCTCGGAAATTTCGAGAAGCAGTCAGTGTCCGAATTGTCTCCGGCTTTCATGCCATACCAACTTTTTTCAGCATTTTTTCTCTTTTGCGTCTGTTATTGCCCTTTTTCGGCTTCACAATCACAGACGCGCGCGTCTCCACGCTGTTCCACAGCTCGTCGTGGATCGTGGGTGGCAGTTTGCGCCCGTACAAACACTGGTCGACGAGCCACGTTCCCAGGATGAACTCTTCCTTCGTCAGCGTACCGTCGTCGAACTCCAGATCGTCGTGCTGCTCGTCCTGGTCTTGCTGGCGTGCAAAGTACTCTTTTTTGCGATGTTCAATCAGAAGGTCCCAGATCCGTTCCAAAGTCTCGTCGCTCAGTCTCGACCTACGCCAGAGCTCTCTAACGACCAGCCCGTGGATCCGTTTGCCGGCGTCCGCCACAATGCTTTCCTCCTTGTCGTCCACATAGGAGCCCTTGTTGGCTGCCCACACTCCTTCGTATCGTTTTTTCTCTTCCTCGGTCACGTAATTAGCATCGTTGTGATGCTTCCATGGTTTCGCCTCGTTAAAGCTTTTCTTCGTATGTTTCTCCTTCCGAAGAGTCGTTTTGAACTTTAGATGCTGTTCCTGCTCAGCAGGCACGGGATGTGTCGACTGGCTCGAGTCGTGTCGTTGTAAACCCAGCATCCGCTGGAACTTCTTGCCATGCGCCCCTCTCACCAGTCCATGGTGATGGTGAGGCAATCTGTACTCAGCGACTGGGGAAACAGGATACTGGGGCAGCGCCTCGTCTCCACTGGCGGGTACTTCGTCAACGTCGGGCTCTGCAGAAGACGGCTCTTTCAGAATCGAGGTGCTTTCATTCACTTCCACCGCTGGAGGTGGCTTTCTGGACAGCGGGCGTTTCGTGTCGAGTTTCTCGTTGTCCGAAGGGTTCTGGTCGTAATAGTCAGCTATTGTAGCCGGCTCGGCCAGCTGGTGAAATGTGTGTTTCGGGAAGTCGTAGCTGAGGTCCCAGTTGCTGCAGCTGAATGACGGCTCTTCAGGAGCGTCTTTATAGAGGTAATCTTCGTCCTCTGAGATCATTGGCAGCGAGAGGGACGAGTACGAGTTGGACGTGCTGATAGATCCGTCATGAGACACTTTGGGTGGCGGAGATAGCAGCTTGATGTCATCTTTGAGAGAGGAACTCAGGCTGTGCACTGACGACTTGGCAGAACGGTTAGGAGAAGAGTTGTTGTACGGACTTTTGGAAAGCGGGTCAGAGTAGAATTCTGGATGCGGCGGGATGGGGTCGTTGGGGCTCAATGGCTTGGCTGTGCCGAAATTAGGCGACTTTAGGTTCGGAATGGAATGCGACGATAGGCTCATGGGGACAGGTCTAATAGATGGGGAGGACAAATTTTCAGGCGTCGTGGAGAGTTTCGGCTGGCTCGTTGATACCATGAGCGATGGCCTCGACTTGGCGACGAGCGAAGCGGCAGCTAGCGCTGCAGACGAGCTGTTGCTGTTGACCGAGTCCCAAGTCGTACGCAGGGCATGTTTACCAGGGGTGGACGGTCTTTTCGCCCAGTCTGCAGAGGTCGGCACCGAATTCTGTTTTGTTCGCACGGATGACACGCTGCTGGCCGAGCCATCGCTCTTGCGAGGGTGCTGGTTTCGAAGGATTGGCTGCGGGTTGGCTTTTTTGATGCGGGCTAGAGACGAGGTGTGCGGGACAATCTCGTTGGCCGAGGCTGTCTGGCTAGACTGTTTCCTGACGGCAGCTTTGGCTGCCAGGGAAGGGTCCATGTTCATGGTGCAAAAGCGCTGGAGAAAGAGAAAGTACTCAACAAGGCTCAGAACAGATATAAAAAAAGGTTGATTATGTAATGATTTATGGCAGATTACAGGGTGCCATACGCCGTATCCGCAACCCGGGCGCTCATTTAGAGAGGGTATTCTGTGGCAGCACAATCGGAGATGAGAAATTGCTTCACGCACAAATCTGGCGCAGGACTACAGTATAAGCCCAATTCCAAACAATACGTCAACGGTGTCTTCTTATCCACACAGCCAAGCAAAATTTTTTTTTCGAAAAAAGTAATACTCTTGATTCATGACGATTGGTAACTTTGCCACTGACAAAAAGGCGCTTCCGTTCTCCGAGCAGCACTACTTTTCCTCATACGACCACTTTGGTATCCACGAGGAAATGTTGAAGGACACTGTGCGCACGCTGTCGTACAGAAACGCGATTATGAAAAACAGACACCTGTTTAAGGATAAGATTGTTTTGGATGTGGGATGCGGAACGGGAATTCTGTCGATGTTTGCCGCCAGAGCCGGGGCCAAGCACGTGATAGCCGTGGACATGTCGAACATCATTGAGATGGCTCAGCAGATCGTCGACATCAACGGTTTCTCAGACAAAATCACGCTCCTCAAAGGAAAGCTGGAAGATGTCGAGATGCCTTACGATAAGGTGGATATCATCATATCTGAGTGGATGGGATACTTTCTGCTTTACGAATCCATGTTGGATACAGTGTTGGTGGCCAGGGACAGGTACCTGAAACCAGGCGGGTTAATCTTCCCTGATAAGGCCAATATCCAGGTTGCCCTCATTGAGGATGGCAGCTACAAAGACGAAAAAATCTTTTACTGGGAGGACGTTTATGGATTCGACTACTCGCCGTTCATTCCTCTTGTGATGACGCAGCCGCTTATCGAGACCGTCGAGAACAAGACGGTGGTGACCAATCATTATAAGCTGATCGAGTTCGACCTCAACACCGTCACGATTGACGAGCTGGCTTTCCACAAACAATTTAAGCTGACGGCCACCAGAGACGATCTAGCACACGCATTGGTTGCGTGGTTTGATATCGAGTTCCCTTACGACCAACCACAGAACAAGGTTGTATTCTCTACCGGTCCGCACGTGAATTACACGCACTGGCAGCAGACAATTTTTTATCTGGACCAGGTGCTGGACCTGAAAAGAGGCGAGACTATCGAGGGCTCGCTGGCCTCGAGACCCAACGAGCACAACAACAGAGAGCTCGACATTGAGCTGGAGTGGGACTTCAGAGCCTCGGGCGACCACGATTCGCGCCAGCAAAGAGGCAAGTTCAACTACTTCTTGCGGTAACTTAATTAGATGCGTCCCCTGGGCTGGGATTACGTCAGCCATATGGGGGTTACAGGATAGAATTTAAAAGTATAGACAGCCTTTAAAGGCATTGCCATTGCGAATTGGTACCACGTGGTCTAGATTCAGTTTTGTACGTTGGCTCAATTAATATAAAAGACAGCGAGCGAGCTCAAGATTGCGTTCTCTTTGTTTACTTGTCGGATGTTCATTTTTGTTCTTCTTCTTGGCAGTATAGTGAGCTGCGCGCCCATTGCGCAAGTGCCGTTGGTTCGTCCAGCCTTGACGACCGAACTGACCAGGGACGTATTTGTCAAACAGATCCACTCGCACAACGACTACTGGAGAGAATATCCGTGTCTCACTGCTTTGAGCCTCGGAGTCCAGTCGATCGAGGCTGACGTTTGGGTGTTCCCCGAGCTCAATGACTCCACTATGTACGTTGGCCACAATCGCGCATCGTTGACGCCGGACAGAACGCTCGAAAATCTGTATCTGAACCCTATTTTGTCGCTCATCGACGCTTTCAATCCGGTCAAAGATGCAACCAAGGAAGCCGGCACTTTTAACGGCGTTTTCGACACAGACTCCGGGGCAACGCTGTATCTGTTTGTGGACATGAAGACGGATGGACTCGCCACATGGTCGTACGTTTACAACGCTCTGGAGCCGCTAAGAAAGAAAAATTACCTCACCACCTACAACAGCACCGACGGCACCTGGAAACAGGGTCCGCTTACCGTAATCGGTACCGGCAACACGCCATTCGACGAAGTACAGAAGCTGGCTGCCAGAGACGTGTTTTTCGATGGCGTTCTGGGCGGCCTCCACGATTCGTTCACAGCCAGCATATCGCCAATAGCGTCAAGCTCGCTCGAAGCGCTGGTGGGCAGGGTGGACAGCATTGATGGCCTTAACTCCAGCCAGACGCTGCGGCTCAGCCAGGCCATCAGCGACGCCCACGCCAAGGGCATCTATACGCGGATATGGGACACTCCGTGGTGGCCTGTCGAGAAGCAGACAAACGTCTGGCGCCAGATCCTGCAGGCCGGCTCAGACTTTCTAAACGCGGACGACCTTGAGTACGCAATCCACTTTCAGTAGACGTTCGTCAATACAGCTATCAATGATCTAGTTGGTAACCAGCATTTTTATGTTCATTACGTAAGCCTATATTCAAACGTATTCGCTGTGCCATCAAGATAGTAGACTAGGACATCTTTTTGTTTTTGCTCAACTTCGCCAGACTTTGTCGATAGTCCACACAGCTACAGCATTTTCAACTGTCTGACTTGTACACACACTCTGATACTACGGTGCAGTCTATTGGGAACTCCGGAACGTGCGGATCAGAATCATGTTACAAGCTTTGGGGTTAAGAGGTTCTGCCAAGATACCCGAAGACCAGAAGGTCTCGCGGATTATAACGCAGGCTCTTCAATATGAGAATGCGCTGAAGGCCATGGACTACTTCCTGGACGACAGATCGAGCGAGGGACTCAAGTTGCTGGAGGATCACGACCAGTCCGCCATCACCCAGCTGGCGTACGCCGTGATTCAGTTTATCGAGGCCACGCTGGGATTCGAAGCCGCCACGATGAAAAAAGCGAACGACGCGCTTGTGCTGGCAGAAAACATGTCCTGGAAAGAGAAAACGTTTGCAGAGAAGCACAAGATCCAGACTTCTGCTATCTATCCACCCGGCACCGAATGGGCCGTCACTTACGCGGAGGCAAACCTGTTGAGCGCGCTGCTCATGCTGTTGAGCGAGAGCATGGTCGATAGTGCGAAGGCGCTTTTGAAGCTGAGGCGCGCGTACCACACGTTGGACGAGATCAGCAAGAATATGGAGCGGAACTCTGTCGCGAACGAGTTGAGCAACTTGTCGGTGAACAGCGGCTCGTCGAGCACGAGTACCGCCTCGTCACAGCGATTTGCGGACGTTCCGGGACTTTCGAGCGAGCAGAGCGTGAAGGACGAGGACGTGATCAAGCGACTTGAGAAATTGTATAAGGTCAGGAAAGCAAGAATCGACGGCGAGCACATCGGCAACCCGCCAGCCTCCGAGTCACTCAGACACAATTTGGGTTTCAAGGAGAGACAAAAGGGTGAATTGAGCGACACGATGGGTTTCACGGTAGAGTACGGCAACTCGGACGTGCCGACAATCGATGAGTTCATCCATTCGGGAGTCAACCTTTGTTTTGGGATCTTGCAAGTGGTGTTGTCTTTGATTCCGCCGGCCATTGGAAGAGTTTTGTCTGTAGTTGGCTTCAAGGGATCTAGGGAGCACGGGTTGAAAATGGTCTGGAACGCGGCCAAGGAAAGAAACATTCACGGTGGACTCGGGCTTCTTGCGCTGCTCGTGTTTTATGACGGGCCTTTCCAGTTCACAGATGTCGACTTCGATCTTCCGTCCACTGTAGAGCTCAAAAAGATGAGCTCGCAGTCAAGCCATACTCTCATCGCTACTGAGACCGTTGGACGGAAAGCCAAGGTGGAGCGCAAGATGGAGCTCGAAAAGATGGCGAGTGTCGGGGACGGTGAGCCTACCTTGCTCCATCCGGGGCCGAAGTTGGTTTCTGTGCTGTTGCACGCCCGAGCTCTGTTTCCGAACGGCAATTTATGGTTGCTCCAGGAGTCTCGAATGCTAGCCAGCCGTGGTCGGTTGGAGGAGGCTGTGGAGCTGATGGATTCTGCGCACAAGTCAGAGATGAAGCAGGTGGATGCACTTTTGGGCTACGACCGTGCCATGATACTGGCTTTCATGCACAAGTTCGATCGTGCCGGTAGAGAATTTTTGGAGCTGGTCAACATCAATTCTTACTCACACTGTCTCTACACCTACTTTGCTGGAGCTTGTTACCTGGAATGCTACCGTATGTGTATTACAGGGCTGAACATTGAGTCCGACGTCCCAGATAAGGTGGATTTCACAAAAAAAGACTATTATAAAGAACAGGCTGACAAGCTTCTTAAGGCGGCTCCGTCGCTGATCGGCAAGAAGAAGTTTCAGTCCAAGATCCCTCCGTTCGAAAAGTTCATTGCGAGAAAATTGAAGCAGATCGAGAAGACACAGCAGGCCACCGGGCTGCCGTTCCTGGACTGCGTCGGAACGTCGCTAATACATGAGTTGGTGTATTTCTGGAACGGCTACAACCGAATGACAGAGGAGCAGCTCAGACTCGCGATAAAGCTCCTCGGCTACTCGGCCGACTCAATCAAAGACAAGGACCTCGACCTCGAAAACCCAGCCACACACGAACCGTATAGCAAGATCAGCGAGGCGTGCGAAGAGGCCATGATCAGACACACTTTGCAGGCGATTTCGCTGAGAAGACTGGGGAAAATCGAGGAAGGCGGCAAACTGCTAGATTCTGCAGTTATTAGTAACATGACAGACACCGGGAAGACTGACGTGAACCAGAAATTGCTCAAGTTGACTGAGAATCCATGGCTTTATCCGACTGCATTATACGAAAAGGCACTGTTCTGCTGGAAGCAGCAAGGATTTGATGGTCTCGAAGAGTCCAAGAATTGGCTCAAGAAGTCTCAATCATACGGGGGAGACGACTACGAGCTGAGCACCCGGGTGTCGATGAAGACGAAAGCCGCTCTTGATAGATTAGAAGACATTCGTATTTAAGGCTAGAGGTAAATAGGTAGTGCATTTTGACAAAAATCCACAGTTGAAATTAATAATGTACGGGGGCTGTTCATTTCTTCCTATATTTTATTATGTCTCAAATCAAGGTCTCTGACAAATTGCCAATAGATACTAAGCTTTACTATGTTCCATACTCTCCGGAGTATGAAAACATCTGCTCAATTGCTCTGCCAAAGGAGCTGGACCTAGCCGAATTGACTCCAGGCAAGACTCTGGTGATTGTGGCTGCTCCGGGCGCATTCACTCCAACCTGCACCGAGAGACACATTCCGGCCTTTGTCCAGCACGCCGAGGAACTGAAGAAGAAGGGCGCCGACGAGATCATTGTCCTCACCACCAATGACCCATTCGTCCAGTCGGCTTGGGGTAAGGCTTTGGGTAACACCAAGGGCGTTGTCAAATTTGCTACCGATCCATCTGGTGAGTTCAGCAAGAAGCTGGGCCTTGCTGTTGACGGTGCCCCATTCGTCACCTACCGTACTGGTAGATACGCTTTGATTGTCAAGGACGGCGTGGTCACCTACGTTGGCGTTGAAACCGGCAAGGACGTGACTGTCAGCAGCTACGAAGCCGTTTTGGAGCACCTGTAGATGTCGGTCTTAGTATTGATGTGGTGTAAGGATGTGTATTTTTCCGTACCAAGCCAAAAAATAACTAAACTCAAAACAAGTAGTCGGCAAATCTGATGGACGCGAGTTTGGATGAGCTGGAGAGTTGTTTACGGCACATTGAACAGGAATGGCCTGAACTCATGCGCGAGAGCTGCAATCCGCTGGAGGTGGTGATGCCGCTTCTTGACAGCTCGTCTGTGGGGATGGCCCACAAACAGCCTCAGTTCCTGGAACTCAAGAATACCTTCAACCAGATCCTCAAACACGCTGTCAACGAGCACTTTGAAGCCTTCAACGATAGCATTGGGTCTTACGGTATCACAGTAGAAACTATTCTTGAATCACAATCGAATTTGGATCGGGTGCGTTCTGAGCTAGCTACCGCGTCTTCGCTAATGAGCTCTCCGTCCGAGGTTCTCAAGGAGCTAAATCATCGTCAAAAACAAAGCGGCGACATTATTGATGTGCTTGAAAAGATCTCTGAGGTGAAAGAGAATCTGGATCAGATCGATAGTTACAATGCAGAGAAGAATTTCAAAAGCGCTCAAGAACTCGTAAATGCTACGTCGAAGCTGGCAGAGCAATACGGACTTTGGCAAATAGAGGCACTTTCTGGACTGGAACAGACTCTTTATTCACAATCACAGACACTATTCGACGCCCTTCTGGAGGAGATCAACGGGCTGATCTACTTCAAGATCGACGGCTCTCGCCGGACGGTATATGACGAGCACGTAAAAAGCCGTCTTATAAAAATGAGCACATCCGACATTGACGATGTTTCACGAGCGATCAACGACCCGTTGTACGAATTCATTCACAGTTTGACGGAGAACACGGACGAAGGAGCTGCGCCTGGCAAGGATGTGCACACGTTTCAGCTAATCAAGGATTATCTAATGATCACACACGACCTTGGAAGGCTGGACGAGGCACTTACGATTTTAGCCGAGAGGGCATTGGACGAGGTGAGACTCATGATCAATAGATCCTCGGAAGAAGTGCGAATCAAATACCCGGAGCAAATGGAGCTATCAAAAACCACAGATTTTGATATTTTTGATTTTTCGCTGTTCAACAATATGAGCGGGACCATTCTACAAGAGCTGTTCTCGCTCCTGTTCAAGAGATGTCTCTCGCTGTTGCAAAGCCATCGGGCGATTTTGGAAATCTCTAAAATAAGTGGGCATTCTTACGACTTCCAGCAAGTCTGGAACGCGTTGGAAAAACAACTAAGTTCCGTTCTTGTGTCGTATTTAGTGGACGAGAGCCTGCTGGACAATGTGGAGAACGCAGTAAAACTGGACGACTCTCTCCCCTATGCTAGGCTGCCTAGGGACTACATTGCAAACCGCTCGCAGCCAATAATTCAGTTTGCTAAGCTTTCTCTTGACGACAAGCTCTTTTCAACGGGAAATGCTCAAGGCGTCTTAAGAAATCTATTTTCGGGACAGCTGGACGCAGTGAAAGAAGAGAAGGGGTCGTTCTTTATCGAGAATGAACACACTACGAAAAGAGATGTCTTGGTTGCGCCTAACATATTCAACATGAGCGTCATTATAGAGGACCTTCTATTTTTTGTTGGCGGCGCCAGCCACGCATTTCCTCAAGAAGATGGCAAGAATCTGCTCCAGTTCTTCCACAAGTTTATGGATGTCATTTTCATGACGCAACTTGAAAACACACTGACCTACCAGTTTGAGCACACTGTGGAAACCGGCCTCTCGTTCCAGCGCTTTTTCACTCATCTCTTTCAGATTTTCAGCACCTCAATGTACTATAGAAAGCCCTATGTCCATGTTATTCTACGAATCATGTCGAAGATGGTGGCCAAATATCAGTCGCTTTTTGACGAATGCGTGCCTCATGACCTGAATGGAGCGCGCTCGTCCTTGGTGTCGTATTGGCTGAATGACCCTCATCTGAACAAAATCTCGGCAGCTATTTTGGCAGGCGAGCTGCAACTCATTCCGGAGGAGATTTCTTCGCAACTGAAAGAAGGCGGTAAACTGTTCAAGTTGGCTATTCCGCAGCAAGTTCCTCGTTACGAGGTTTTGGCAAGACTACTGGAAAGTTTGGAAACCACGCTAAATTGGTTGCCTAGAGTGAAGCACGAAGTTGAGCCTGTAAGCGATTCAGGCTCCAGCATGACAGCATTGAAGTCGAACTGGCAATTCATGGACAGGGGCTCCATCTCGACCATCGAAAATACATCTCAAACGTTATTCCTTGCTCTTAGCGGAGACGACATTACCCAGTTTGACGGGATTGTTGCCAGCCTTCGCGCAATCACTTCCAGGATTAAGCTATATGTTAGATACACAGTGCAAAGCACAGCAGTTTGGCATGTGACTTCCATGCTGGACAAAACTAACTGGATGCCTGACTCGGAAACGGACGAGATCAGCGTCGAACTGAATACCTTGAACAAGAAAATGGCGTCCGTAAGCAACACCTTAGACTCCGTCGTGGGCTCTGACCAGAAACAACGGATCTTGTGCGGCATACCTTCGTTCATTGACCATTTGATAGTCTCTGAGTCCAATAGAATCATCAAGATGAACCAGTACGGCGTTCGTCAGCTGTTTTTGAACGTGAGGGTTGCACAGCAAATGCTGAGAAACGTGATGGAAGACCCCGAGCTAGTGGATTTCAAGAAAACAAAGGCATATTTCGAAATGTTTAACAGCTCAGAACAAGGGATACTGGACCGAATCCACCAGGACTCCACCAACATGTTCAATATCGAGGACTACAAGAATCTGATCCGTTTGGTGTTTAGTGAAAGTCTTGACAAAAGTATGTCGAGCAGGTCTACCGGCTCCTACAGTGCCAGCAAGCGCTATGCTGATTGTATACACAAGCTTGAAGCGGAGTATAAACAGTCATAATTAGATGCTATATGTGGTCATGCTCAGATTATGTTTTTCTTAGCAGCGTGGGTATCTAGCCTTCGTCTTTTCTGACAGTCTTCCCCTACCATGGACTCATCAGACTCGCTGTGTTCGGCGTCTTCTGAGTCCTCGTCGTTGGAATCATTCACAGCTTTTTTAAAGTTTTCTTTGAGTTTATTCAGCCTATTTGTCAGCTGCTGTGATGAGCTGTGGTGGCTTATATGTTTGACATTACAGTGCTGGATGGAAAGGGGTAATTTAGATGGAGGAAAATGAGGAGAAGGTGTATCTGAGGAGAAACGGAATTTGTAGTCGGCAGGGATCTCTACCGTAGGGGGAACCTCATCCTTGACAGGCCCCTGTTGTTGTTGCGGGTTGTGCGGTTTGTCTTTCTTTCCTGTGAGTTCTGTCTTTTTGGTCATTAAGGCTGATTTCAGTTGATCTAGTGTCGTGATCGACTGGTCGTTATCGATCAAATTGAGTATGTCGTCTAAACAGCTAAGATATCCCTTAGCCTTCAACAAGGAGTTTTTGGCGTTGGACAGCCGATAAAGCGCTGCAATGGACCGCGCTCCGAGCTTGAACTCGTTCGAGAGCTCTTTATTGATCTGCTCAACCGAATCGTCATCTATCGGCTGGGACAGGGGTAAATTAGAAGACAAATTGGAAAGATCCATCTGTACAAGATAACGCTTTAGTAGAGGAGAAAAATTGTGCCGTAATTTGTGTGGTGGCTGGCATGTGGTGTACGGATTTTTCAAAGAAAAACTAGAAGGACTAGAGGCAGAGGATGAAAAAAAAATCAACCTTGGAAATTTTTTGCACAAAACTGTGTGGCACACGATTAGCACCTTGGGTATAAATTGAAGAAGAGTCTCGTGTGAAGGGAACTTGATCAGACGCAACGCGCGAAGGATTTTTTAATCTAGCAAGAATTAAAAGTCTAGGCCACGTACGATTCAGCCATTGCAAGAAAATCACGAGTCTGCACGCGTTATGATGTACCCATCAATGTTGTCTCATTATGCACTAAACTACGCCGACCATTCGCAGAAGTCCAGTCCTCAGGCAAGCTTTCGATCGTACAGCTCCTCTTCGACTCCAACGCGTCCAAAAAGAAGAAATTCAGACTATGAGGACAATTTCAAGAAGGTCAAGCAGAGCCCAGCTACTCCTTCGAGCAAAATCCCAACTGAAAAATTGACTCTGGAAAACATCAACCTCAACGAGTATCCTAAATTTCACCATCCCGATGGGGGCTTTATCCAGTTCACACCAATAGGAAACGTGAGAACCTGGATGGGTGACAACAACATTGTGCGCAAAACTATAGAGAAAAATTCATCTTTTGATTTGAACAAGCTTAATCAGGGAATAGATGGATATACACTGTACCTTGGAGACAACAGAGATCCAGGGATACACATAGACAGCTCTCCGTCAAACGAGGTGGAGAACTATATGCGAAATGGCTATAGTGGAACCGATCCTTCCAGCGGCAGTGCGACTGGAAACACCTCATACTATGATGATGGAGGGTCTTCTGCCAGCCGGCTGCAATATTTCTTTGACGACGACGACGAGTTTGACAGCGACGAGAACATGGAATAAAGTTTCACTTCTGCGACCCGAGCACATTAGATAATCGATTACGTCCCCAACAACCAAATTCTCAGAATCCAAGTCAGGCGGCCCGCGCGCATACATCGATGCCTTGTTTTCGGCGATTGTACATTAGACTGCAGAGTTTGTATATTTTAACAGCGTTTCATAGTAGTAAACCCATCAGGTTCGTAAAGGTGCAACGCAACTGACTTGTTGAGGAGCAGCCGTATCTCTATAGTCCGGGCAAGCGGCATATCAAGAGGTGATGATCTGTATCTTTAACGGGCACTGGTGATCTCTGTTTGAGCCGCATATTAAATATAGCCTGAATAGCACGGCCTCATAAAGATGGCCCTGCTGTATTTATTTTCTCTGAATAACACTTCCGGAAGAACCATGCAAATTTCAGCCATCAGGCCGCGCCGACGTTATATAGTGCTTCTTCTGTCTGTGTTTCTATGTGTACTGTTGTACTCCGCAGCTACTCGCACGCCCAGAGTGGACGAGAATGCTAGAATACGGGAGATTCTCAATGACGCCAACCCAGCATCAGAATTGGATCCTGACACGATTTTACAGCGGCTTCAGAACGGACCGCCTTCGGTAAGCGCGTCTCCCTCTTCAGCGACCTCGGCTCCCTCCACAGAAGAACAGGTCAAGAACAAGCCCAAAAATAAAAAGCCCAAAGTTACCCTTGAAGAATTTGAAGAAAGCCGGGCGCAGGTCATAAAAGCCATTTTCAAACTCATCGCCTCTGTGCGGCCGTCAATCTCCTACACGGACAGGCGGTCCAACAGGGGCGACGACTCTCCACTATCCCACAGTGTGCTCACCGAAGATCTGTTATCCCAGTTTTTGCAATTTTCTCCAGAATTTGTTGACGCGTTCAAATCTAGCCATGCAGATGCAGTCGAGAAGATATACGGCATCAAATTCCCACAAGGACTGTACAAGGGAAACGGTGTGGTGATGATCGGCGGCGAAGACTATTCCTGGCTCACGTTGGTGTCCATCAAAGTCATGAGAGACTCTGGTGGAGATCTGCCCGTCGAGGTGATCATGCCTCGTCGTCTCGAGTCGGACTCTCTGTTTTGCAATAAATACCTGCCCGATCTGAATGCCAAGTGCGTGTATTTGACTGACTTGCTTGGCGAAAACTATGAGTCCGAAATTAATATCAACAAGTACCAGTACAAGGGAGTTGCATTACTGGCGTCCTCGTTCGAAAACCTTTTGCTTCTGGACAGCGACAACTTGCCAGTTGCCCCGGTCACCGATCAGCTGTTCAACAGCACACCTTTCTCTGAGTACGGGATAGTATTTTGGCCCGATTTCTGGAAAAGGACCACCAGTCCCATTTTCTACGAGATAGCAGCGACGGAGGTTTTGCCGGTCCGTGTCAGAGACTGCCAAGTGGAATATCCTGAGTCACAATATTCGATTTTGCGTCCCAAGGACGCCCGCACTCAAATTCCCTACCACGACAGGTTGGGTGCCATTCCTGACAAGAGTACCGAATCGGGCCAGCTGCTTATATCGAAACGAGAACATGCCGACGTGGTGCTGCTCTCACTGTACTATAACGCATGTGGACCAGATGGGTACTACGCGCTTCTTTCGCAGGGAGTGGCAGGTGAAGGAGACAAAGACACGTTTCCGGCAGCTGCTACCGTTCTGGAGAAAAATTTCTACCAACTCAAGAAAAGCGTCGGTGTCAACGGATTCATGCGCAATGGAGAGTACCGTGGTGTTGGGATGCTTCAATATGACCCTATAAAAGACTACGAGAACTTCCAGGAGTTTGTGAGACTCCACGAAAGCTCGGACGAGATGTTTGAAGCCCAGAACATGGACAATTTCCTGGGCCCTGATGAGAAAAACAGAGTGATGTTTGCACATTGCAACTTCCCAAAACTGTATCCTGATGAACTGTTGCAAGACTTCGTCATCAGAGATCACGAACATATCAAGATGTTGGAATCGGGGCAAATTCCTGGCAACTACGAGTACCACTTCTGGCAGATCATGTACGATCTGATATGTGTGGATCGGGTAGACCTGGCATATACTCGCACCAAGGAGCAGATGAGCACTCCAGAAGAGCGCACCAAGTTCTGTGACGGTGCTTTCAAAGAGCACGTTGAGTGGCTCAAAACGCGATGATCGGCTCACTATAACGGGCGCGACGCGTCGATCGTCCGCGGAGGCAAACATAATGTAATTTTTTCCTAATAAAAAGACAATATTCAAATGATTCGACTTATGCTGGGTCGTTCACTATTGAGACCCACGCATCGCCAGATCGGCACTGCACGGTGCCTTGGATGCTTTTCTCATGTATCCCGCTTGAACAAGAGAACAGTGTCTGTGCTCACGCCACAACATATTAGATATTTTTCCGTCTTCGGTTTGGGCAAGGCTGCCACCAAGATCATGCGTGTTCCTGTCTACCTTGGCGGGGGACTAGCGGCCGCAGGGTCTTATGTGGCCTACAAAGTTGATCAGGCTACCAGCTACACCCAATCGCATCTGGACTCTGCCAAAGAATTTGCTGGGAACGTTGCAAGCGAGGTTGGGGGGTTTTTCAATGACATATTCTCCGGTTCTGGTGGCTCTTCCGGAGGCAAGGATGGCGGGGATACAGGGATGGTTGCCGGGTCGGGAGCAGCTGCCGCCATAGGTTTGGCTCAAGATAATGAGGACGATGAAGCGTTGGATACCCTAGACAACGAGGAAGAGGAGGAAGAGGACGCTCCGGACAACACTGACGATGCAATGCTGAATCTCACGCGCCAAATGATTGAGATTAGAAGCATTCTGCTCAGTATAGGGGGATCGAATGCTTTGCGACTTCCTTCGATCGTGGTGATAGGCTCGCAGAGCAGTGGTAAATCTTCCGTTCTTGAATCGATTGTGGGGCAAGAGTTTCTCCCTAAGGGATCGAATATGGTCACTAGACGTCCTATAGAGCTCACACTGGTCAATGACAGCACACTCGCGGCCGAAACCGCAGAATTTCCTGCGTTGAAGATGTACAATATGACAGACTTCCAACAGGTGCAAAAGGTGTTGTATGAGCTCAACATGAGCATTCCTGAGACTGAAGCTGTTTCCAGCGACCCTATCCAGCTTGTCATAAAGTCCCCAAAGGTCCCTGATTTGTCATTAGTGGACTTACCAGGCTATATACAGGTTGAAGCTGCAGACCAGCCAGTCACCCTGAAATCCAAAATTCGCGAGCTTTGCGATCGCTATTTAGAGGAGCCAAATATCATATTGGCCATTAGTGCAGCAGATGTGGATTTGGCCAATTCTTCTGCGCTAAGAGCTGCCAAGAAGGCCGATCCAAAAGGAGAGAGAACGATTGGAGTGATTACAAAGCTTGATTTAGTTGACTCCGAGACTGCTCGCAAGATGCTCACTAACAAAAAATACCCTTTGAAAATGGGGTATGTGGGTGTTATTACGCGACCTCCCCCATCAACCTCCCTGTTTCGCCGTCAGAGTGGTGCACAGGCGTTTGTTGCGCAGCAAAATTTTGAGAGAGCCTATTTCAAAGAGCACAAAGATTCATTCGTAGGTACGACAGTTTCTACAAAGGCGTTGAAGAAAAAGCTGATGAAGGTTCTTGAACGTTCAATGGCCAATTGTCTCAAGCCAATGCATGTTGTGGTCTCGAACGAGCTTGAGGAGGCCAGCTACAAATACAAGGTTGAGTTCAATGATAGAGACCTAACGAGTGAGAAGTACATGGCACAGACGATAGACAATTTGAAGCTCGCCATTAAAGAGTTTAGCGAACGTTTCGGAAGGCCTGAACTTCGTGCGCTACTGAGAAGCGAGCTGGATCAGAAAGTTCTCGATCTCATTGCACTCAGGTACTGGAACAAGCCTCCAATGACAAACAAAAACAAGGAGAGTGAAAACGAGCCATCACTCGATGACCTTGCGACTGCACCTCCCAATGACACCTTCTGGCATCGCAAGCTCGATATAGCAACAGCAAGTTTAACGAAGCTGGGAGTCGGACGTCTTGCAACAACTTTAATCTCTGACGCCATTTTAACTGAGATTGACGTTCTGCTGGACAACACAGATTTGCGCTCTCATCCAATGATCAAAAACGCTATTAAAGACGCCGCTGTGTCTGTACTAACCACGAGATACAATTCGACTGCTGAACAGGTGGAGAACTGTATCAAGCCTTACAAATACGAAATTGAAGTGGATGACAGAGAATGGGCTCTTAGTAGGCAGCATGCGACGGTGCTCCTGAAAGAAGAGCTCAAACAATGTACTTCAGCTTACAACGAGTTGAAAAAGACGCTGGGAGGTAACAAGTTGAAACAGATCACAACGTATTTGGAGAACGAAAACAATCTTGTTGGCCAAACGATTGCCAAGGACAACCTTGGATTCAGTCCCGGCCTTCTTTTACGTGGACGAGAGGCGCTGTTTTTGAAGGAACGTTCTAGATTACTGGCCATGAGACTTAAGTTTTTGCAGTCAAGCTGCAAGTCGAAAGATAACAAGTACAAATGCCCAGAAGTGTTTATGGACTTGGTGGCTGAAAAGCTGACGCAAACGGCCGTTCTCTTTTTGAATGTTGAATTGTTGAGCGACTTTTATTATACTTTCCCTAGGGAGCTCGAAAAGAAGCTTGGAAAGAGCTTGACACCGGAACAAATTGAGCAGTTTGCAAAGGAAGATCCTAAGGTTAAGAAACATATCGAACTGCAAGAACGCAAAGAGCTTTTGGATTTGGCTTTGTCCAAGATTGAGGACGTCATGGCTCTTCAGAAACGAATTGTATAAAGTATATTTAACGGAGTAATGATCAGAATGTATCCTAGTTACCATGGGTATGAGCAACGAATGATTGTGGGATTGTTTTACTGGAATGTAATCAGTCAGTTAATTATTGTAGATATTTAATTGTGGCTAACGAATGATATATAATGTGGAAGACTGTAAGGTGAGTCCTGCTTTTCATGAATTTTTATGTGTTACATAACAGTGTTTTTGACAGATCGACGGGCATCACATACATACAATCGTCATGTAGTTATCACCACTTCTTGTCTATTCTTGTACTAACAGTATGTATCAATTGGACACTACTTTCTATCGGTTCTAGGTTCCTTGGCCCAGTTGGTTAAGGCATCGTGCTAATAACGCGGGGATCAGCAGTTCGATCCTGCTAGGAACCAACCTTAATTTTTTTTTGGTGGCTGATAAAAGCACTATACATCGAATGTCATATTAAAATCGTCAATAGAGTCCAAAAACTGGCCCCACCCGTGATCGCCAAGGATATCCAAGATAGCCGTATGCAGTTCAGGAACCTGTCCTGACGCCTGCGGGAATGTATTTTCGCTCTGATCCGTGATGATCGAAGCGGCGGCTGTGTGCGGCATTGCAGCGCCTTCCATCTTATCGAATGTGGGTTGAAGGGCGGCCGAGCTTTCCTTTTCAGTCCTTGCACTGCGGCTAGCAGGATTCGAGTCTGAGGAAAAATTGATAAATTTGAGCTGTTTTCTTGACTTGCTTTGAGCTTTGGAACGCATTTTCTCTTGAATCTGGGCCACATTCGGATCCATTGTATTGCTAGCTTGTCGCATCTTTGTAATTGACTCTATCGACTGGAGGCCCCCCCTTCGACCACCTGCAACCATCAAATTGATTAGTTTCTGAAGCACGTAGAGGCCTCGCACAGCGGGACGAACTATGAGCTTATGGGAGCCCAGAACAGGCATGATTTTCTTGACAAGCGAGATGACCGATTTCTGACGGCTGGCGGTCTGCTTGTTTAACATTGCGTCGACTAGCAAAAAGACTGCAGCAGAGACCGCTAATTCGCACACAAACCATGGTTTTTTGAACAAGTGTGGGACCTCTGGATCGGCGTACCGTTTGAGAATGGTCTCTGCGCAATTGCAGCACAGTTCATAGCAGTCCGCGGTCCAGTGGTCATACGTCATAAATCTGGACATTTTGCTGTTGATATCAAGTCTCTCCTGAAGAATAATATAATCGGTCAAAAACTTGATAAATTCCACTGTGGTGGAAAAGTGAACATCGGTGTTGAGACGTGCGTGGTCCATGAAGTTCTCAAAATCCTTTTTGACGGTGATTTCAAGCACACGAAGTTCAAGATCTGCCTTTTCGAGCGATTGGAGAGTCAGCTCGCTTTTTAGCACCGTGTCGTCAAAATAGTAATTTCTCTTGATGGTTGCAATTTCGGCAACAAACCTCTGATAATAGTTATCCCAGTCTAACACTTTATCAGGAATTTTCCACCTCCTTGGCTTGGGCGTTCTGAAAGTCCCGGGTGCAATCAGAGAATAGCGGAACTGGTCTTCGTACCAGTCAACATTCACGAGCGACCACCAGCATCTGAGCTTCATGTCGGTTTCAGGGTCGTCTGAGTCGCCAGCCACGCTATCCAATTTCAGCTTCCGCGCGCTGTAGCACATGATCCCCACAAGGCAATTTTGCAGGTGAACTCCTCCCAGAGGATGTGCACATAGCTTGAGCAGCGAGAAGAACTGGATGGCGTTAATGCTAGGGAAGGTCATGTATCTGCCCCGGAACAGGCATTCGAGGCCACATGCGAAAAAAGAGCGAGCGTGAAGATCCAATGCCTCGTCAGAAAAAGCTAGCTTCTGTTGCAGAGTGTCGTCTGAATAGTATACTCCAATGCATAGTAGCATGTAATATTGAGCCAGAAAAAGATACTCCTTGCTAGACTTCGAATAATACGGGGTAACGTGCTTCTCAGTGATGGATGGATCGTTCCAATACGATTCGTATTCTTGTAGAAATCGGTCGTTATCCAGAACATTGTGAAGAAAAGATAGCCGCAGTGCACTCTCCAGAATGAGGTCGGAATGGGCCTTGTCGAGGTTAGCTATAAGCCTCAGTTGGTAGTTCCAGACATCCGATTTCTCATCCCCGCTTCGAATCGACCTCATGAGTTCCTTGTTGGGAATTCTGGACCACTCTTCGGTGTTCGCGTCGAAATTCTGGTCATCGTCGTCCTGTAGGCCCTCGGCTAGGCCTTTGTTGAGCAGGCTGATAACCACGCTGTAGCTGTCCCATTTGGCGGACAGTTCCAAGGACACCCCACCATGGGGTCCACAAGGCGCGAGGGAAGATGCCTTTTGTCCTGGAGCTCGCGGCACATGAGCCGAAGTGGAATTGTGGGGAAACGAAAACTCCGATCGGAGTTTGAAAACCGTTCTTTCCAAGTCCTTAATTTTTCGTTTCAGTACCTCATTTTCCTGGGCAAATTTCATCTCCACAAGCTTTTCGTCCCCTGCATTAATCACCACCCCGTCCACGATGACAGGCTCGCGACTGCAAAGATGGCCTTTGTTGCGGGCGATGCATTTGTCGCACGGCACCTCGAAGTTGCACTTGACTTTGCGCTTCTTGCAGCTGAGACATGTCTTGGAAATACGAGTAGTACGCCGTAGCTTGGTGACGTCGAGCCTGGTAAACTCCGCAGGAGAGTTCCTCTTCTCCGAAGGAAGTCTCTCCGCAGAAGCCATGAATTTTCGAAATCAAAAATGTGTGCGAGATTAACACCCCTGCACGGGGCTGCACCCCGAATTTTTTTCGGGCGATCGTATGATACTACTATGAGCCCGCAGATAACATCTGACTTTACATACAGGCAAAAGTTTGGTGTAGGGTGTCCGCAGGCCGATCACTACTGTCACGCACGCACCTTATTCGTCCGTCGTGGTGTGCTGCTTCATGGCCAATATTTTTAGCTCAATTGACATCTGACGGAGTTGCCATAACGCACACGTCCAATTCGTCGTAGAAGCTCGGAGTAGATCATTCCCCCCTGTAGTGTGAATAAACTGTTGAGGCGTCCGGTGGATCCAATTGGACAACACCCCGTCATGGGGTGCGAATTACCCCGCCACGGCCATCCGGCAGCCCCACTCACCACTTTGGGCTGAGTATGGTCCAATTGTTACGTGCAATTTTTCGGACATTGAAATCCACCCACTCGGAGTAAAGCAACTCGTAGTGACTGAAAAATAAGACGTCATCATTAATTAGGCTGCAACAAGATTATAAATACGAGACACTTTTCCCTCTATTTACTCATCCATCTATCAATCAATCAATCAATTAAAAAATGACTTCCATTCCAAAGACTCAAAAGGCCGTTGTTTTCGAGACCAACGGTGGTCCTCTTCTCTACAAGGACATTCCTGTTCCACAACCAAAGCCAAATGAAATCCTGGTTAACGTTAAGTACTCCGGTGTTTGCCACACCGATCTCCACGCTTGGAAAGGTGACTGGCCATTGGACACCAAGCTTCCACTGGTCGGTGGTCACGAGGGTGCTGGTGTTGTTGTTGCCAAGGGTAGCAACGTTACCAACTTTGAGATCGGCGACTACGCTGGTATTAAGTGGTTGAACGGTTCTTGTTTGGGCTGTGAGTTCTGTCAACAAGGTGCAGAGCCAAACTGTCCTGATGCCGACCTTTCCGGTTACACTCACGACGGTTCTTTCCAACAATACGCCACTGCTGACGCTGTCCAGGCTGCCAAGATTCCTAAGGGAACCGACCTGGCTGAAGTTGCTCCAATTCTCTGTGCCGGTGTCACTGTGTACAAGGCATTGAAGACCGCCGAGTTGAGCCCAGGCCAATGGGTTGCTATCTCTGGTGCCGGTGGAGGACTGGGATCTCTTGCCGTTCAATACGCTGTCGCCATGGGCCTGAGAGTCCTTGGTATCGATGGTGGTGACGAAAAGGCTAAGCTCTTCAAGAGCTTGGGCGGAGAGGTCTTCATCGACTTCACCAAGGAAAAGGACATTGTTGCCGCCGTCCAGAAGGCCACCAACGGCGGTCCTCACGGTGTGATCAACGTTTCCGTGTCTCCAGCTGCCATCTCTCAATCTTGTCAGTACGTGAGAACTCTCGGTAAGGTTGTTCTTGTTGGATTGCCAGCCGGTGCTGTTTGCGAGTCTCCTGTGTTCGAGCACGTTGTCAAGTCCATCCAGATCAGAGGTTCCTACGTTGGTAACAGACAGGACACTGCCGAGTCGATTGACTTCTTCGTCAGAGGCAAGGTTAAGGCTCCAATCAAGATTGTTGGCCTTTCTGAGCTGCCAAAGGTGTTCGAGCTGATGGAGCAAGGAAAGATTGCTGGAAGATACGTTCTTGACACCTCCAAATAGTTTATGACGAGTAAAATGATGTTTTTATTGTGTGAATAGGTGAATGAATATGATGAAGATATATTTATATTTTAAGCTTTACTTTGCCGTGCTAACGATGTCTAGTAAACGGTTCACTTTTGCCTGCAAAAGCTTCTCGTCCTGTTGCCACTCGGCCGGCTCCGGCACCTGTCCCAGTATCCATGCCTCTTTGAGCTGTCGTGTAATGGCGAGCAACTCCTCCGTGAGCCGCACTATAGTCGCCGCGTTCGACTCGATTTGTAGGGCCTCGATGGCGTGCGTTTCTTGCGATTTTTCCTGAACAGACGAGAGCTCTATTATGTCATGGAACTTTTGCAGTATCAATTCGACGTTGTTATCCACGCGCGATAAGATAGAGGTGAATTTTCGGGACATTGGAGGAGAATTGATTATTTTTTTGGCAAAATATTATTTGGCTGTGAAGTAGAACCTAAAATTCAAGGCCGCAGCAAGAGCACAAGGGGGAATCGTACATGGCCACTTCATTCCACCGTCGTATCTGTGCAGCAGCATCAGTACATGATTCTGATATTCTTTCGTATAAAAATGTACTTTTTAAATTACTCATATTCACAAGCTACCATTCTCAATGACAGGTCCTCACAACATCCCGTGTTGGGACTACGGCACATGTGCTAACGGCAGCCGTGCACCTTCAAGCTCATCATCCGGGCTTATGCTTAGGGGTAAGTGAGTCTCTAACACGTCTAACAATGCAGAACACGGAATTGTAGCCGTTGCCCAGCCTGAGGTGGTGCAAAACTACCTTTTCCCGATTAGCGATATGCTCGCAAACAAGATCTTGACATACAGAGAGTCGGTAAATAAACTAATGGATGCAGACACAACGGCAGAAAAACACAAGCTGCTGATAATCGCCGGCCCATCAACCATAACGAGCCCGATTCAGTCCAAGTTCTGCGCCCAGTGGATCTCAAAACTCTGCGGAAAACGGTTATACAACGCTTTGGTTCCGTCAGGCAATAAGATCCCAACTGAACTCGCAGATACATTGCAAGACATATACTCAGAGGAGCTGGACTGCTCCGGGTCTGTGATGCTGGCCATGAGGGCCAACTTCACCGACTATGACCAGGGACCCGGTCCTGTCAGACAATCTAAGGAAGTGATGTACGGATTGCCGCTCTACCGAACTTTGATGCACGAACTGGCCAAGTTTTGTCCGTTGACTGTGAGTCTCTCGAATACAATTTCCCCACAGTATTTTTCGGACTTGTGCTGTCTCGGACTTGTGGATTCGTCCCTTCTCGAAAGCCAGCTTCACAGGGAGCTGGTTTCTGGGGTGTCGTATCCCTGCGGATTCCAGATCACGGAGTGCGACAACTACAAGATCGGCAAGGGCGTGGAGGCAATGTATGCGTCCAGCTTCCCGCACAGTTTTCTCACAATCACCAAGAACGGGTCTGTGGCACAGGTGGAGACGACCGGCAACCAGGATACATTTCTTGTGCTGCAGATGGCGGACGATATTGCAGACTCCGATTTTTTCAAGCTGCTTGATGCCGCAGACGAGGATGGTGCAAACGGTAGCAGGCTCCGGGTTGTTGTTGACGTGGGCAAGCTGCATCTAGAAAATTATAAGAAGAAAACTGCCTTGGTGCTACAATTGATCCAGACACAGAGGTATTATTCAAGATTGCTCGGGTTTATTGTGGACTCCGGCAATGTGTACTTACCAGAGGAGGCGCAACTTGAGGAGATAAATCCGATGGTGTACGACCGGCAAGAGTCTGTGCAATACAGCAACCTAGGACAGAAACTGATCAACAAGAGCGACAAGCCAGCAGCCGAGATTCAGAGCGAGGACTACGTGCACTTCATCCTTGCACATAGTCTCATACGCACGATTGTCGGAGTAAACAGCTGATCACGAGATTCGCGGCATGATGAATATTACGCAACACAGCATTTGCTCCGGGGAGGCGGTAAAATAGTCTACAAAGTAGTGTGAGCCGGCACGCAAATTCCCAGCAGGTTCGCGAACATGTGGACCGGTTTTTTTTTTTATGGCAAGTGTAACTTCCCCTGCGCTTGGCAGCGACCCGGAGTTTTTTGCTCTGGTCAGGCATTTTCCCAAAAAAACCCCAGCTCATGAAAACTATATATAAAGACAGCTATTGCAACTTATTTATTACTTGTAACTAAAATAAATTAATAAAACAATGGGATTGGACTTCTTGAAGAGAAAAACCGGTGTGATCGTTGGTGACGACGTCAGAAACTTGTTTCTGTACGCTCAGGAAAAGGGCTTCGCCATTCCAGCCATCAATGTGACTTCCTCCTCCACCGCGGTTGCTGCTCTGGAGGCTGCCAGAGATAACAACTCCCCAATCATCCTGCAAACTTCCAACGGTGGTGCCGCTTACTTCGCTGGTAAGGGTGTCAAGAACGACGGCCAGAAGGCTTCGATTGCCGGTGCCATTGCTGCTGCTCACTACATCAGATCCATTGCTCCAACATACGGCATCCCAGTTGTCTTGCACACCGACCACTGTGCCAAGAAGCTCTTGCCATGGTTCGATGGTATGCTCGATGCCGACGAGGAGTACTACAAGATCCACGGTGAGCCACTGTTCTCTTCCCACATGCTCGACCTGTCGGAGGAGACCGACGACGAGAACATTGCTACCTGTGTGAAGTACTTCACCAGAATGTCTAAGATGGGTCAATGGCTCGAGATGGAGATCGGTATCACCGGTGGTGAGGAAGACGGTGTCAACAACGAGAACGCCGACAAGGAGTTGCTCTACACAAAGCCAGAGACCGTCTTTGCCGTGCACAAGGCATTGGCTCCAATCTCTCCAAACTTCTCGATCGCTGCCGCCTTCGGTAACGTGCACGGTGTCTACAAGCCAGGAAACGTTGTCCTGAGACCAGAGATTTTGGGAGAGCACCAGGCTTACGCTGCCAAGCAGCTTGGCTCCAAGACCAACAAGCCACTCTTCCTTGTCTTCCACGGTGGATCCGGATCTTCGCAGCATGAGTTCGACACCGCCATCTCCAATGGTGTCGTCAAGGTGAACCTTGACACCGACTGTCAATATGCTTACTTGACTGGTATCAGAGACTACGTCCTGAAGAAGAAGGATTACATCATGAGCCCTGTTGGAAACCCAGAAGGTGCCGACAAGCCAAACAAGAAATACTTTGACCCAAGAGTTTGGGTTAGAGAGGGAGAGAAGACCATGTCCGCCCGTATCACCGAGGCATTGGAGATCTTCCACACCAAAAACCAGCTTTAAAGGTGGTATTTAAATAGGTAACTAAATCAAAGCCAAATATTATGTGATACAACAGATGTAGAGATGTTTCTCTATTATTTCTCGCAACGGTATGGAAAAGACGACGGGGGGACTGACTCGGTTTTTCCAATTCGACGGTTGGTCGTGCGCCACACATCCCAGGTTTTCGTCGAATTTTTCAAAAAAGAAGATGGCAACTACCATTTATTTGAAGTGACTTTGTGATTGAAATTATTGGGAACAAGAAAGGGGCTTTCTATTAACCGTATAAAGGTTGTTTCATACTACAAATTTCATCATTCGGTCCAGTCATCACGAGTCAACTTGTAAACATATATAGTCATGTCGGAACAGCAGGACACCACATCGGAACACACATCGAAACGGGGCAACAACCCCAAGTACAGAGGCGGCTCCAAAAAGAATAGCAATACAGCCAATGGCGGCGGGCTCTCGCTTGAACTTAAACAGAAATTCCAAACTTTGACAGAGTTCTTCCCAGATTGGACGTTCCAAGATTTCGTGACAATTCAGGAAGAGATTGCAAATGTCGACATAACTGAAATATCCGAAGGCATACTGACAGGGAAAATCCAAAAATGGGACCAGGTTGTCAAAAGGGACGAGAAAAAGAAGTCTCAGCATACTGAAGAGCACCACGACGAGCCATCGGCTCCTGCTCCTGTGCAGATAGGTAAAAAGGCTCATCAGCAAAACAGATTTGTTAGTTCGAAGCCAAGACCAGTGCATAAACAGAAAGACTCGACACCAGCCGCATCTAAAGTGTCAAAACAGCCTGCTCCGTCTGCAACTGCCACCGCTCCAGCTCACCAGCCCGCCTCTTCTCTACCTTCCCAAGGCTCTTCGTGGGCCAGTGCGCTAGCCCAGAAGCCTGCGAAGGCTGCCAAGGTGCCTGTGAAGGAGGAAGCGCCATCTGAGCCCAAGCCCGCCGAAAAGCCTGTGGTGAAGAAAGAGACCACCAAAGAGCCAGTCAAGAAGAAAGAGCACGTGACAGCTCCATCTTCCGAGTCCAAGCCTTTGAGCTGGGCTGCTGCCGTGGCGCCAAAGCCAAAAATTGCAAAGAGACCGGTTGCAGAGGCCAAGAAGGAGGAGCCTGCTGCCCCAGCACCAGAGCCTGTGGTTGAAGAAAAACAAGCTTCCCCCGAAATCTCTAAGGAAACTCCTCCATTCAAAAACACCAAAAAACCCATTCGAGGAGCTCCGGTGGTTCTTCCATCCTCGGCTACGCAAGTGGGTTCGGTAGACGGCATTTCTTTCGGATCGATGACTTTGAACGACAGAGAGGAGGAGGTCAAGGAGCAACCAGCCCAGCCAGCCCAGCCAGCCCAGCCAGCCCAGCAGGTTCAACCAGCTCAGCCAGCTCAAGCCCCTCAACCTTCCCAGAGCGCTCAAAACGCACAGTCCGAATACAACAAGAACTACAGAAACAACAGTCCCTACAATAACTACCAGCAACCACAACAGCAACCACAACAGCAGCCACAGAAGCAACCACAGCAACAGCAGCAAAAGGCCTACGATCAATCCAACTACTACGGCGGACTTTCGGACCTCAACAGCTACTTGCGTTCTCCAGGAGCCAACGGCCAGTCGTACGATCAACAGCAATACCAGCAACTATTCAACCAGCAACAACAGCTCCTGCAACAGCAGCAGGCTCTTGCTGGTGCCAATCCTGCTGAGATCAACGCACAGTCTTCGATGGCTAACTCCATGAATCCGCACTCGTCCCAGGTCCAGGCCCAGCCCCAAGCTCCAGCACAAGCTGCTGCCGCTGCTTCCCCAGTGGCTCCAGGAATAAGCAACCCTATGATGGGAATGCCAGCCTCTTACTACCCTTACTTCAACTACTATCTTCCATTTTACTCTCAACCTAATCCTGCTGCCAACCAGTTCTACATGAACTACCAAGGCCAACAATCTCCATCCCAGGCTGTTCCTCCACAGCAAAATAGTTTTGGAAATACTTTCCAGAACAAGGTGTACGGCCACCAGCAGGCTGCTGCCAACGGGGGCGAGGATGAGAGTTCTAAGACAACTGCAGGAGCACAAGGTGCTCAACAGCAGATTAATCCAGCCATGCTGATGCAACAGCAGTATGCCCAGTACCAGCCACCAACCCCAGGATCGCAAGCAGGTGCTCCGGGCTTGGCTGGTTCTCAGATTGGTGGTGTGGCAGGTGCTGCTGCCGGAGCCGGCGTGTCCAGCACTCAGGCTTACCCATATTACCAAAACCAGTACCAGTATCCGGGAGCTGGTGATTACGGAAACAACACCAAGGGCTGGTTTTAATGATGAAACACCTCATATTGGTCACTGACTGAGTGTATATAAATGGTAACAGAGTTGGTGTAGAGATGCAAAGTTTATCTTGCAGAGCGATCTGCAAAGATAGGGTAACCATTTCCTTTTTCTGCCAAGAGCCACGGCTCACAGTTTTTGCAAGCAATTTTCACTATATACACTTTCTCCTACTATAGAGTGTCTCTATATTTTTCCTCCTAACAAATTTATTAGTGCGTCTACTCTATACTAAGGGAATTGACACTACATTATAGTAAGTAATATTATTATGGCACGCCATTTCTGCAAACACATGTCTGTGCACGCGCACCACGACCAATTGACCGTTCCGCTTTACTGGATTGCTGTTTTCAAGTCCGCCACAGGACATTTGGCCTTGTCTTGGGGGAAGTAGTGCTGATGGGGGCAGGGAGCAAGGATGTTGAAGGACCCTTGACTCGAAAAATAACACTGTCCCGCGAGCAAAGGCGAGTTTCCCCCACCACGTGAGTGTGTTGTATTGCCTCCAATACGCTGTTTCGTGGCCTTGAGGGGACGGCTGAGCTTCTGCAATTTCATGGCTGTGCTACGCTTTTACGGGTTATTGACCCTGTAGAAGCTGCCCCGGGAAAAAAACTCTATTTGCTGGACGGCACGTATTTACAAGTGGCAGATACGCGGTGGAGCAGAGTTCGTGGGGCTGCAGGAATTTGTGTTTATTTATATGCGGAACTAAGTGCCGTGTTACTAGTCAGGAAAACTAACAATTAGATAATGGCTGCTGCTACTACCAAAAAGACCGCTAGAAAGAAGAAGGACCCAAATGCCCCAAAGAGGTCCCTCTCGGCTTACATGTTCTTCGCTAACGAGCAGAGAGATATCGTGAGAGCAGAGAACCCAGGTATCGCGTTCGGACAGATTGGAAAGCTGCTTGGTGAAAAGTGGAAGGCTTTGGATGAAGCTGGAAAGGCTCCATACGAGGCTAAGGCAGAGGCAGACAAGAAGAGATACGAGCTCGAGAAGAGCGAGTACACTAAGTCCCAGGCTTAGGAAAAACTGTATCTCTTCTGTATGCTATTGAATCAGCGTGTCTGGTTCTCAGCTGTATATTAGTTCCGTTGTTGTGATAGCTTTGGGAGTTTATCGGATGAGTATCTACACTGTTCTCAATCTACTTTTCAAATTTTGTTATCATCGCTCTTAATACTGTATTAATACGTAGCACGGCTCAAAACTGCGACGCCTTCGACGTGATGCGTCTGCGGAAAGAAGTCGAATCCAATGATGCTCTCCACTTTATAATCTTTGCCTTTTTCTGTTTCCGTGAGGAAATATTCCACATCTCTGGCTTGCGAGTGAACATTGCAAGAAACGTAAACAATCCTTTTCGGATAGAATTCTGCGAGCTGCTTCATGAAAACCTCATCACACCCTTTTCGCGGAGGATCTAAAATCACAGACGTCTTGTCCTTAGGGAAGTCGATCTTTTCAAAAAGCTTTTCCGCTTTTCCTTCAATGAACTCGCAATTGTGTATATCATTCAGCTCCACATTTCTCTTGGCGAATTTGATAGAGTGAGCAGAGATTTCCACGCCCAACGATTTGCGAACAGATGATGCACACGAGATACTGAACAGACCGGACCCACAGTACGCGTCCACAAGGTAATTATCGCCCGACTCGTCCAAGGCCAGGTTCGACTTGACATAATCCAAGACTTTTGGCAAGATGGAGTTGTTGTTCTGGAAGAACTCGTTGGCCACGAAGTCAAACCGCAAACCATTCACATACTCACTCACGATGGCGTTGTTGTCGGTGACACAGGTCTTGAACATGCCATTTTGTTCTACAATGGAAAGCGTTCCATCCTCTGCTGTAGACCCCTTCAGCTCCTCACGGTTGCGTCTAGTGTCTTCTCTGAGCAAGACTGTTGCTCCCTTGTGTTTCACCTGTCCGGATTCTACTAATTTTTCAAGCTGCGCGCGCTCATTTCTCAAACCCTGTCTGACAATGTCTGTTCCTATTATGCAATCCTCGATGTCCATCACTTCACCGGGGTAATCTCTTTTTGGCACATCTCTCCAAGATGGACGGCCCTTAGAGCCAAATCCAAAGTTGGGACGTACTGAGGGGTCCTGGTGGCGGCTGAATTGGTAGTGAGGAGTCAGCTTTGTGCGGTAGCCATACTTGAGCGGACTGGCAACCGTTGCCCCAACCTCTGGCAACCTTCCCATAGACGTCAGCCGTGGCGCAAAGTATCTATAGGCATTGATTATGGTTTGGCGTTTAAAGTTGAGCTGGTCGTCATATTCAATCGGCTGGTACTGACACCCTGAGCAGGCTCCAAAATACTGGCATCTGATAAGGTCCTGTTTTCTCAGAGGGGAAGGGTTTTCAATTTTTAGCAGATCGGCATCCACATGGGTGTCTTTGGTCATGAAAACACGAACTGTGACAATATCTTCTGGCATCGCAAACGGAACCACTGCGATCTGCTTGCCATCTGGGATTTCTGGATGTGGTAGCAAGGCCAGTCCTTCGCCGTTGGATGAATATTTCAGAATTCTGACAGACTCAACCACTCTGTTGTACTTCGCGCGCAAGTCTGTATTATTTAAGACTTTGTTCAGAGGGTTGGATACCTGCTCAAGGGTCAAATTATGCTCTTTGCATATTTCTGGGATTTCATGATTCAGTAGCACTCCCAACGGCGTGGTAGGCTCTGGGTTCTGTTTCTTGGCCCTGTGTCTTTTGATCTTACGGGGTCCGTTCGAGACAGCTGGCATGGCAATTTTGGAAGGCATAGGGATCCGTTTCAGTACTGATCGACTGAATGCAAAGGACATAAAAGTTTAGGATATAAAAATTTTCGTAACAGGCCAAGGCGGTGCATGAATAATTGTAGCCAACTACAGGCCGCGGGACTGTAATTACGAGCTCATTACGACAAGTCGGTTAAAATGTACAATTAGGAGACGTCATACGAATACACATTCTACAAATGATGTAAAAAACTGTCTGTCCTCACGCCCTTCTTCGAATTTGTAGACCCTTGACATTCAGACAATCACGCAGCAGCCTCCCTTGTCCTCGGATGTGGATTTGGACGACTTGTTGACAGCAGGCTTGCTTGCGGCAGGCTGTGCGGCGACGGGGGCAACGTTTGAGAGTTTCTCAGCCATTACACTGGCACACACGTCAAACACTTTTTTGACGTTCTCTCCTGTGATGGCTGATGCTTGGAGATGTCCCATCACGGTGTGTCCGACCTGGGCGCTGATCTCGAGCTCCTCTTGCTCTGTCACAAGCTGGTCGTGACTCAGCTGGTTTTTCAGATCGCATTTTGTTCCAACAAGGATTATGGGAACATCTGGCTGGTAGTTTTGCACTTCGGGAACCCATGTTTCTATGATATTCGAGAGGGATGGCTGGGAGTCCACAGAGTAGCATGCGACCACCACATCGACGTCCGAGTAGATAGGAGTCCGAAGTCCTTCGAAATCTTCTTGTCCCGCAGTATCGTGTAGAGACAGCTTGAATGTTGAGGACCCATTTGAGATGAGACAATTGTATGTCTCAAAAATTGTTGGGATGTAGTCCTTGTGATTTGCGGGCTTGCCATCTTTGTAATTTATCAAGAGCGATGTCTTACCGCATCCCGAGTCTCCAATGACAACTATCTTTATCTCCTTGGCCGGAGTTTGGCTATTGTCTACCTGCGTGAAAGACTCCAGGATCGAGGGTAGTTTATAGACAGAGGCAGACATCAAGGCTTATTGCAAACAAACGAAGAATTCTCCCAGAGCTATTATTGGTTTGAATGTGTTTTTACATTACTGCCTCGATGTGCCAGTAGCACGACTCGACATCCTTACACAGATACAGCGCAAATGATACGATTTTGTTTTTGGAACGAGGTTGCTTACTGACGTATCACCATATACTCTGTCGCACAGAACCTCCTGCGCGGCTACGCCTCCAGGTCGCCAATTTCACGGTTAGCCCCTGTGCATCTGCTTTCTATTCTCCACGGCTGTACCGAATCTCAGAGACCGATTGAGACCCGTGCACGACCTTTATCTATATTTGGAAGCATATAAACACAAACTTCACAGTGATAAACACTCCGTAAACAACATGGACCCTTTCTTTGTGGAGCCCATAGCCCGGGGCGGAAAGTACAGACTACTTGAGCAGTCCGAGCTGCCCACTCCTGACCCAAATCTGCAATTCAAAATAGTCATTGTCGGAGACTCAGGATGCGGAAAGACGTCGCTATTGTCATCCTACATTCGGGGATCATTCCCATCAGAGTACGAGCCAACCATCTTTGAGAATCACAGAGCCTTTCTACAGGACAGTTCACAGCAGCACATACTGACGGTCGATCTTTGGGACACAGCAGGACAGGAAGACTACGAAAGACTGAGAAGATTGAGCTATCAGGACTCGAATCTGATTATCCTAGCATACTCGCTGGCCGCTAAGGACTCGTTGCTCAACATTCCAGAGGTGTGGGCTCCCGAGATCCTTGGGTTCTGTGACAAGACCCCAATTGTGCTTGTGGGCTTGAAGGCTGATGTTTCCAAAAAGGAGGTGCATCCGGAGCAGGCGTACAATGTGGCCAAATCGATCGGCGCTGTTGCGCATGTCGAATGCTCGGCGAAACAGATGTACAATGTTGATCAGCTGTTCAATGCGTGCGTGAATGTCGTCTATAATCAGCACCAGGCAGCTGCGAGAGAAGCTGCGAGAGACTCGAAGCGGTTCAGCAAAGGACACTTCAGAATTGCCAGCAACAGCAACAATCTCGCGGCTGTCGGCTCGGAGATCTCCAAGGAGTCTCGCAGCGATTCCTGTTGTACAATAATGTGATACCCTAGCGAATAGATTTACGTAAGCATAATAAGACGGCGAGGAACAGCGTACGTGTGTTGTGCAAAAATGTTTATCGATATTTGCAATGATTCGTATTTTCTGAAATGCATACAGACGATCTTACAAGCACCTCCAAATACGATGCAGGCCTCCAGTCCGAAGCATACTATCGTGCTCGGATGAACCCGCTCCAATTCAAACTCAGATCGATGCTTTTACGACTCGTCCAACGTGAAACGCCTCTTCTCTCCAAAATACAGAAATCATGCTATACAGACTGGCTGGACATATACTTCACATACTCGGCAAACCTTGGGTCCCACACTTTCTACGTGCTATGTCTTCCGCTCCCCGTGTGGTTTGGGTTCTCCTATCGTGATTTGGTCTATGTTCTAGGACTAGGCATTTTCTTCACAGGCGCAGTCAAAGACTACCTCTGTCTTCCGAGACCACGTTGTCCGCCTCTTGTCCGCAAAACTATGAGCCACTATACATCGCAGGAGTACGGGTGTCCCTCCAGCCACTCAGCCAACGCGTCGGGTGTGTTTAGTCTGCTTTCATACCACATACTAGCCAACCTTGACTCGTATAAGGCGACGACAGCTATGCTGCTCATGCTAGCTCTGTTTTTGTATTTTGCCTCAATGGTGTTTGGAAGGATCTACTGCGGCATGCATGGCATTGTGGACGTCATGGTGGGCATACTAATAGGCACATCGACGGTAATCCTGAGACTGATTACCAAAACCAGCTGGGATTCTTTCCTGACAAACAATTCAGTGCTGGCACCGATTATCGCCGTGGGAGTGTATTACGCATTACTATACTTCCACCCCCTTCCTATTGATCACTGTCCGTGCTTCGAGGACAGTGTCGCATTCATTGGTGTGCTGATGGGCCTCGATATAGGATTCTGGTTGCTCGCCAACTCCTCATTTGAAGCCGCAGACCTGGAGTACCATGGTTCCTGTAAATACTCTCTGGAGCAATTGGGATACATGAAAAGCGCTCTACGACTGGCCCTCGGGGTTTCGATTTTGGCGATCTGGAAGACCCTTGCTAAGCCACTGCTCACGCACATCCTGAAGCCGATACATTCACGAGTGTTTGCAAGTCAGGCTACCAAACTCAACAAACCGAGCGATTGTGCTGCGCTAAGACCACGTTACGAACTACCGCTTCTCGTGAGGCTCGGTGTCTACAGCGGCATTGCCTTCATTGCAGTTTGGATGGACGCCATTTATAAATACGTAGGACTAGCTTTGGACTAGAGATGCACTTCTGATATAGATAATAGATAATACTCGCGAGCTACGTAAAACTATTGTGACTGTGAAATACCACACCGCACACCGTACACGTTTTTTCTTGCCTGGAGATTTTTCATCTAGTGTGCGGTGTGATTTTCGTCTGGCTGGAGCTGAAATTTTTGGAGAAAACTAAACCTTGAAATATATCTATACACCAGCAAAATGGAAAACGACAAAGGTGAACTCGTAAGTGGCAAATGGACCAGGGGAGACGTATAGACAGAAGCTGATAAAATGAGGCTAGGAGCACCAAGTGCCGGCTGGTTTTGAGATAGCGGAATGAAGAAGCAAAAGAGCTTAGTTGAGACCACGATATTTCAGTTCTGTTACGTCCACCCACGCTTTCGCAAATTCTAACATAATAGGTTGAATTGTACATTCCAAGAAAGTGCTCTGCCACCAACAGAATCATCAAGGCTAAGGACCACGCTTCTGTCCAAATCAACATTGCCAACGTTGATGAGGAGGGAAGAGCTATTCCAGGCTCTCACACCACCTACGCTTTGTGTGGATACATCAGAGGAAGAGGCGAGGCTGACGACTCTTTGAACAGACTCGCTCAACAAGATGGTTTGCTCAAGAACGTCTGGTCTTACTCCCGTTAAGCAGACTGTATAAACTAATAAGAAAGAGATAGGAAATTAAGGATGTTGTATGACGAAGCGACAAGTGAACTGTCGTGTAAATTGGCTGTAACTGTGCTCCCAAAGCTGAATCCGTTAGCGAAAGGGGGCCTCAAAAGTCCAGTTTATCCTTGTTACCCTGCTTGAAAATTTTTTCCTCCAGCAAATGGATCTGGTGTGCGTAAAGTTGGAAAAAATTTACTCCTTCAATTAAATTATAGTCCAATATGGCATCTGAAAATATCCAAGAAGTTGACTCCAACTTGATCGAATCCAACTACGACAATGTCGTCTACACCTTCGACGAACTGAACCTCAAGCCAGAAATCATCAGAGGTAAGTAAATCCCGTTCTTATTCGCTTTTTCTAACCCTATAGGTATTTTCGCTTACGGTTACGAACAGCCTTCTGCTATTCAACAGAGAGCTATCTTGCCAATCACTGAAGGAAGAGATGTTCTTGCCCAGGCCCAATCTGGTACCGGTAAGACTGCCACTTTCACCATTTCCGCATTGCAAAGAATCGACGAGAAGTTGAAGAAGACCCAAGCTTTGATTCTCGCTCCAACCAGAGAATTGGCTTTGCAAATTCAAAAGGTCGTTTTGGCCATCGGTATGCACTTGGATCTGACCGTTCATGCTTCCATTGGTGGTAAGGCTGTCCAAGAGGATATGGAGGCTCTTAGAAACGGTGCACAAATCGTTGTGGGTACTCCAGGTAGAGTTTACGACATGATCGAGAGAGGTTACTTCAAGACCGACGCCATCAAGATGTTTATCATGGATGAAGCTGATGAGATGTTGTCGTCTGGTTTCAAAGAGCAAATCTACAACGTGTTCCGTTTCTTGCCAACCACTACACAGGTTGTCTTGCTTTCCGCTACCATGCCTCAAGATGTTCTGGAGGTCACCACCAAGTTCATGAGAAACCCAGTCAGAATCCTTGTCAAGAAGGATGAGTTGACTCTGGAAGGTATCAAGCAGTTCTACATCGACGTCGATGAGGAACAATACAAATTCGACTGTCTGTGTGACTTGTACGACTCCATCTCTGTCACCCAGGCCGTTATCTTCTGTAACACCAGAAGAAAGGTCGAGACTCTTACCCAACAATTGACTGAGAACAACTTCACCGTCTCTGCTATCCACTCCGACTTGAGTCAGCAAGACAGAGACACCATCATGAACGAGTTCAGAACCGGTTCTTCCAGAATCTTGATTTCTACCGACTTGCTGGCCAGAGGTATTGATGTTCAGCAAGTTTCCTTGGTTATCAACTACGACTTGCCATCCAACAAAGAAAACTACATTCACAGAATCGGTAGAGGTGGTAGATTTGGTAGAAAGGGTGTTGCCATCAACCTGATCACCAGAGAGGACACTGAGATGCTCAGAGAAATCGAGATGTTCTACTCTACTCAAATTGTTGAGATGCCTTCAAGCATCAACGACTTGTTCGACTGAACTAATAAGACTTGAACTATCAGGTTTGCGCCTTTACATGTGAATTTATATAACTTGTGTAAGACTCAAGCATGCACAAGGTTAGTAATTCATTTGCTTGTTTCTTTTATATTCTCCTTCTCTTTGGATTCTTCTTCTGTCTTATCCTTCGATGCTGGTGTCTCTGATTCTTTCAGTCTCTTCGGTTGTTCCGGCTCGTCTCTCTTTTCCTCAAATTCATCCAAATTTATATCGTCTTTCAAACCAGTCTTGACATTCTTGCTTCGTAAATTCTCCTCCTTGATCAACTCGTCTTGCTCTTTAAGGATACTCAGTTTCAGAGCGTCATCATCTTGAAACATTTCGAGTTTAGCAACATTGTATAATTCATCCGGAATAGAGGACAGAACTGCCAACAATGCGTCGTAATAGCTTTCGAAATCGTCAGCATGTTCTCCGTATGTGAACGTGGAAGAGAGAATAAGCAAAGATGATGGAATCTTCTGTCTCAGTCTAAGGTCCAACCAGATCCTCAAGTCATCGCGCAAACGTGCTGGAGACGTTCCAATGGTTTTGATTCCACGTGAGGCACATGCAGTTTTGAGCTCCGGAACGGTCAGACTGTCGACACCCTCATAGTCTATGGCACGGTCGTCTTTGATGATCTGCATCAGCTTGTGTCTAATTTGGTATCTCAAGATCTCATCTGTTCCATATGCAGACATTCCCATATATCTTGACATCGCCACCAATTGCGGACGTGAAAGGTTATCTAGAACTTGGTCATTCTTGAAACATCTGGCTATTTTTATCAATTCCTCGTGGCTAGGCTTGGCTCCTCTGTGAATGGTTTTGAAGAACTTGACGAACAACTCTTTATCAGCCTCATCTATTTTGGTCGGCAGAATTAATCCACTTTCACGGAATGTCTTCTGGATGAACTCCGATGCCTTTTGTCTGGTATTGGCCAAGTTGGACGTCTTTCGTTTTCGGTCCTTCTCCGACTCGTATGTGGAAGGAAGCATGTTAGGAAACAGCTTGAGAGCCACTGGCAGCAAAAGCTCTGCAAAAGGAACCAGAATGAATACAGAGAAAGGCACCAGCCTGAGAATATCTGTCGTCGTTCTAGTCAATTGTTTGGTCTCTCTTCTGGTCAATTCGTAACCTGCTAGCATTTTAATAAGCAGCTTTGACGAGACTTTGATTTCATAGCCTAGAAGCTTCGTTCCATGCCAATAATGCTGTACTTCCTTCATGATCTTCTGACCCAAAGTAAGCTTTGGTGGCGAGCCTTCCGTCTTCGTCAACTGCCTGTCGTTGGACTCCTTGTCAGTGCTCGAGTACCTGCGAACACTTTGATATCTTTGTACTCTATAAGCTATGATGTATGGATTGAGGGCACGCATGGGCCGAAGCCCAAGTGGTCGTCCAATCTTGAGCATGATAAATAGATAATAAATAATTTTGATATATTTTTTGTCAGTCCGGCCCCCAGATCTCTTGAAGTAAGCTGAATGTTTTTATGGGCTCTCGACGGAATCAAATCGTGTCAGTGGGAATAAGATTACCCTGCATGGTCTACTCCATGCTTGAGTTGCAGATCAAAGGAGGAACGACTATTTAAGGAGTTCCCTACTCTTCGGGCCCTGTTGCTCTATGGTGCAAGGAGGTGGTAGAATTGCTACATAACATTTCCTCTCTTCCTTTATCATGAACTTTAGCATGCCTGGGTCGTTTCCTGGGTCCTATGACTCTGTCTCGGAACAGAGAGACTCCTCTTTGATAGTGACACAGCTTATCAAGGTGCGAAACAGTCTCAAGCAGGAATTTATGGACGCACTAAACATACTTTTATTACTGGAGCTGATAATCATCTACCTCGAAGATCAATCATTTTTCAAGCTCGTCATCAGAATCTCGCTACAGTTGTTTCTCGCAGGCGTTAACTCGCATACCTTGCGCCAATGGATCGAGTACAATCTCTTGTCGACGGGACAGATCGTAACCGAAGAGGCGATAACGACGCAACTAATCTATTTTCAGAGAGCAGTGCTGGTGGAGGTGATCTTAATAAACAGCATAGCGCTTGCGGATCACTTTTTCTTTTACCGCAATCACATCCACCTACCAGACATTCCGCATGACTCGCTTATATCATATCTGAACCTACACACGCAACATAGCATCGAGTTCTACGAGTCCAAAGACACGTTCCGCTACAACTCTATCTTCATAAACATCATTGGAGAGGCCAGACCCACCAATAAAACTGGACTGCTTATTTTAGACGTTCTAGTCTTTTTGGGGCAGTACATTACATACAGTCTGATTTATTGGCCCGAAAAATCAGAGCCCCCGAAATCGACTACAGAGCAGTCTTTGTTGCTCCGCGGAAACGAAAACGCAATGCAAGGGGCTGTGACGATATTCAACGTGGAGCTGTTTCCAGCAACCACGTTTTCAGGTCTTTGGAACGGCTTGACAATGTAATTATTGCATCAATAATTAGCCTTATGGTGCGAGGGGGGAATTGCCTTTGCGTTTTTAAAATATGTAGTCCTGTGAGGCATTCTTTCTAGATCGGAATTCAAGGGACTATTCTTCCATCGCGAATTCGAACAAGCCGCCTTTCCAGTAAATTCCATCTGCTCGTGTTCCTCGACTGTGACTATTGTGACTTGCACCTCTGCTCCGTTAGACGAGAATCAAGAGCCGCGTACATTGGATCGGGTGTCAACAGCTATGAGCTATTCAATGGCATCAACACCTGAGGGTGCTGCACAGAGTGTTTACGAGGCATCACTAGACGGCCAAAGCGACTACTTCGGTCAAGCCGATCTGTACGATGTCTCCAATAGGCTTCTTCAATTCCATAATAAGGTCCTCCCCGCTGATAACTACAATTCGCCTTACTACAATCCACTGAACTCTGCTGACGAGCCGAAGCCAGTGGACAAACTGATCAATCGCTTTTCAATATGGAAAATGATCATCAAGCAGCTGATATTCTACTTTAAGGAGATCAGCATCTTCAAGAAGCAGACGTATCTCGGCAATAAGGCTATGCTGGAAAATTTGGAGCTTTTGAAGAAGCAAACCAGCGGGAAACTGAAATTCAAGGGATCTGCATCAAAGAACATCCGCCAATCATTGAGTTCGACGAATTTGAATCAGTCAGATCAGCACAACGCTCACCAAGAAGCCATGCTAAACAAGTTTGTTCAGACATCATTCCTCCCGGTAGGCGATCTCTCTGTTCTTTCGATCTCCAGCACATTATCCAACTACCACAACAGTTTGGCCGAAAAGGAGCTGATAACGCATAACCAACTCACATTGAAAATTATTCCGCGCTTGGAAAACTTGAAAGAAAGTCTGAACGAAACGATAAAACAGATTGCGTCATTGAAAGGTTCCAGTGACTTCAAGACTTCTGATCTTAAATACGAGATAGCAAAGACAGGAGCAATTTTAGCTGATTATATAACATCTGTTGAGCTGCTCACAAAGGGCGAAACAACCACCTGTCTTGGTTCACACCTCAAATTCACCAAACTGGAGCCCAAGAAGGACCCTTACTTGCTGCGGCTCAAACTTGACTTACAACTCAAAGATCAACTTTACACCGAAGCACATTTGAAAGAAAGTTTCTATGATTTACAACATAAGAGCGTTCAGCTGGAGAGTATTTTGTATACTGAGGTCCAGAACTGTGTTCGCAACTTTGTCAATCTAATCAATTCTGAGCTTGATGCTGCAAAGGATAATATGGTGAGCGAGTTCATGAACGGATTTCTAAGGAATGATTTTGGCATCGATTGGGACTACTTCATTGTGAACGACAACGCAAAGAACCTTTTAAAACTTACTGCAAAAGAGTCATTGATGAACACCAAACAAATCAGAAAAAAATCGGATGTTCATTATCCCTACCAAAAAGAAAGGATCAGCTCAAGTTTGATATCAGGGTTTCTGGAAAAGAAATCGAAGTATCTGAAGAACTATTCGAGACTATACTATGTACTCACGTTCAACTTTATGCATGAATTCAAGACCGAGGACCGAAAGAAGGAAAGACATCCCTTGAACTCTTACAGCTTGGACGAAATGAAAGTGAGTGCATCGCCAAATGATCCAAGGAAGTTTATTGTCCGGATGAATTCGAGTAAATCAATTGAGTCCAAAACTAAATACACTTTCAGATGTCCTTCTCCAGAAATTGCATCAAGATGGCTTGAACAGCTTACAGAATTGTGCTCGCTGAGTAATCCGCTAGAGAGAAACAACCCTGTTAACACCGCATATTTAACTCCATATTCAAATGCCTCCTCCGTTGTCAACATGAACGCAGGCGACTCTAGTTCGTCTAGAGATGATGGCACATTTATCTCCGCAGACTCCAGTACATCGCAGAGCCAGGTGTTTGTGAACAATCACTCATCGTCGTCATTACATCTCCCATCCTTCCATTCGGTCAAGAAACCTAGTTCGCCCGATATACCTGCCCAATCTGGACACAAGAAAAGCAACAGCTTATCTTCACTTCCAGTTATCACTGCAAGTTCACCATCTTTGCACAGATATACTTCGTCGGGAAGCTCAACTACCCAAGCCTCCGAAGGCATGTCATTACACTCTACTACTCCAACCTCCCCACCAAATGCTTTCGGAAGTGCAGCCAAAATCATTATTAACTCTCCAGACTCCACCACGTCTGACGAACCCGCAGATTATTTCAATTATACTGCACCGCGTCCGAGACTCGGCAAAAGTGCCTCCACGGGAAGGGTCACTCCACCTGCTCCCCAAGGATCACAGATCTTGCGGCCGTCGTCTCCTTCGCATCTGTCTCAAGTTAGACAGCCTATTCAAAGGTCATCTTCTCCAAATATCCACAACAAGCATAACATTCCTAGCTTCCTAGGAGGCCAGCAATCTCCATCCGTTTCACAAAGTTCCTCATACACTTCAATGTCTTCTATGGGCAACAACTCTCTTCCATCTACAAAAGGTCTGGTTAGAGGCCGCGAAAGACTGCAGGCTCAACTCAAAAAGGCTGCTTCCAATAATCACTCAAGCTTGAACGGTGCATTCTTGCAATTTGGAAATTCGGCCAATGACTCCGCGAACCTGTTGATACCTCAATCGGCCTCGAACCTTCCCCAAACCCCAGGTATTCTTCCTTCAAACTCAATTGGGGACGTTTTTCCTGGAAGCGAAACACGTCTCAAATCGACCCATTCGTCGTCAGAGCCACTGAAGTCCCCTGGCGCTCAGTCTCCAGAAGAATACTTCTAACGTCAAGGTGAGGACGAATTTATCTCTGTCAAAACATTTATAGTGTCAGTAAGCCTCACTCAGGACGATACGAAAAAAAGTAGACTAGCAAGAGGATATAGAGATATATATCCTATTGATATTTGATCGCGTGTTAGTGGATCGTTTGCATGTTCAATTGATTTCTAGCAATTTGTGAAAGCGGTTTGCAGCTTTCGAGCATAGAAAACGCGAAACTACAGAATTTAAACTGCATCGTGGTATTGTTTATATAATTTTTGAGACAAGCATGTCCGCGAAACAGCGACCTAAGCAGAAAGAAACTACCGCTGGTCAAATCAACTCTTCCGCCACGTTGGACAAAGGAGGCTCTGGGAGATTAGGCAAGTTTCTCTCCCAGGAATTGGTTGACAAATCAGCTGTTGCACAGACTAACGGGGATTTCGAGGAAGATGACGATGGCTTTGTTTTCAAAAGGGCGTCTCAGCAGCAAGTGCAAAAAAAGGTCCCGGGTAAACGTGGACGCCCCCCCGGGTCGAAGAATAAGCCAAAGCCTGCTGTGAAAAAGGAACCTCAAAAAAGACGAAAAGTCACTCGAAACGCACCGGAGCCCAAACCTCCCAAGACAAGCCTTCTGGATGAGCTCGAACAGGAATCTATAGAAGAGTCTGAAGAAGAGGATAATGTGTTTTCCATGGATTCTTCTTTCCAACAACCAAAAGTCGCAAAGAAATCAAACCTTATTCCGAAGAGCAAGACATCAGAAAAACGCACGCGTAAGCCACGAAACACCAAACTACCCGCAAAGCAGCACGAAGCTGAGGTGCAACCTGAGATAGCAACTGTCCCCGATTTGATACCCGAAGATCCCGAACCTGTTCTCCCAAAACAGTCTACTCTCTCTAAAATTTTATCTCAGGCGCGAACCAAGGAAGTCAAACAGGAATACGAGGTCAAGAAACGCAGATCATCGCTTAGCAATAGAGGCAAGCGATTATCGTCAGTTGGTAATGGTTTCATTGCCGAGCCTGACCGTGAAATACCTGTTGAGGAACTATATAAACATGTGTCACAAGACCTACCCGATCCGCACAAGATGAGACAGTTGATGGTTTGGTGCGCCAAAAGAGGAGCAAGTAAAGCCCCCAAAAAAAAGATTAGCACTGCAGAGAGCATAGCTAATGTGATAGAAGATGAAATTATCAGAGACCTAGCCGATGGGAAAATAAATACCAGTTGGTGGCTGGCAGAAGACGATGACAACGAAGTCGACCACGGCAGTAATGCAAACCTTAATAAGCCAATCATCGTTCTGCCCAACAAGGCCAATCAAGAAAACATGCACACGCTTGAGCTATATGAGAAAAAGCTTGCAGAACTTAATAAAGAAGAAGCCCGGTGGAAGGAAATCAGGAAAACAGCAATACTGCCCAAAATTCAGGTCGATGCACAACTGCAAGATAATGGTCTGATACAAGAAAAGCTGGGCGAGATCGTGAACCACTTACAGTCATTGGAGTCTTACAAAGCACGACTGGACAAACTTCGCTTACTGCGCGTTCTGGAAAATCTCAAACTAATGGTGCATAAACTAAAGCAATCTAAAAATGCAGTCAACGCATTGACTGAAGCTAAAATCCGTGAGATATCGCGCAAAATGACTCAACTGATTGATCACGATAACGATGGGAATAAAGTCTCGTCGCTGGATCTGCTCAAAGGGTTTTCTGAGCTGGGGTAATTGTATATTAGATGTCAGGACTATAATGTATTATAGGTATTTTTTAGCGAGAAGACACACTCTAGAGTCGAATCCAACGCTGCGGATGGGGTCATTGACGTTGTAGAATGGGCTGAGCAAGTTTTTTACGTACAGTTCGTTGACCTCTATGAAGAACTGTCGTATACTTTCGTCTTGGTTTTTCACGTTTGTTGATATAATGAATTTGATATTTCCTTGTGTTAGGTAGCTGTACACTTGATAGCCGTAGAATGAATCGAGGTTTTTGAAGAATATTTGGTTGATTTTGAACTGTTGATCCTGGAGTATATCGAGCGAAGCGTTTACAATGAATTGTTGTAATTCTTTTATTTCAATTGGAAAATTGGGTTTCCCGTCTCCAGATTGTTTGTAAGTACCAATTTCAAGCTCGTACAACGGACTGTCGTTGGTTCCTAATATGGCAAAGTAGTAAGACATAAAATCAAATAAAGAATTCGTTTTTGGGTTTTGGGTGTGAATAAAAGATAAAACCATCTAATATAAAAATGCAATGACTGTTGTACTGGATACGCAGCTCAACCTCAAGAAATACAAGCCCATAAAGGTACCCGCGGAATCAAATGGGTTTACATCACATAACAGTCTTCTCAGCTCTACTCTGACAAACGATTCCAATAAATATGAGGGACTGGTAGAGGAAACTCAGGAGCTTCTGGATGCTCGGAAGTCGCTTGTTCACGATCTCAAGCTGAGTAGAGATCAGGTCCATGATCTAAAGGTTTCTGTTGAACCTCGCTCCAAATTTGAGCCAACTATCCACGAGGATAAATCGTTTCAGATCTGCAGGAAACGAGCAGAGAAAGTGAAAACTATCATCCAAAGCTACTACGACTTCATCGACCTATATCAAAACACAGTGCATTACGATGACAATGATCACCAAAGTCCGCTATACGAAGGGGTTGAGGGAGTGTTCAACCCTTTGCAAATTATACGAAATCGACGTATCAGAAAGAAATACAACGAAAAGCTTACTACCTTTCCTCTAGGAGATTACAAACCACCCTCAAGAGTGTTTAGTAAGTACAACAGACAGCACCTCATCTGGCAGGTGAACCTGAACGAATACTATAACGACATCACTTGGAGAGAGAAACACTGGCACGAGTTGAAGAAGCCAAACGGAGAGCTTTGGTTTCCCAAGCTAGACAGCGCGAAGCAGACCCCACAGAAAAACAGACGTTTGAAAAGCCTTCATGAGCAACTGTTTGTTGGCTTCGATGGCGAATTCCACAAGGACGACGACGACAGTTCTGGTGATGATCGACGGCTCAGCTCGCTTGCCCGTGTGAACGGAAGCTCTGCGTCCCTTGCTCGATTAGAACACTATCGATTAAACAGTTTAAAACGTACCCCCGGTCATACCAGGTCCTTGAAGAGTGACGAGGATTTTGATACCCCCTCTTCGCGCAATTCAAGTATAGATAGGCTGAGTTTTCTTTCTCAAGGTGGAAAATCGAGTGAATCTTTGTCCCCAGCGCATCAGATAGATAGCGAAGAAACAGGAAACTGCGATGATCTTACGGATCAAAAAAAGATGGTTAAAGGCCTTCAAAGCAAGCTTGCTCTTGCAGAGTCGAGGATTCGCATTGCAGACTATCATCGCGAGGACATAATTGCCTCCAAAGGCAATGAAATCAAAAAGCAACTCGAGTTATTCGAATCTACTCAAACGCAAACTAGTCAGATATCACAATCGCTGCAAACGACCATTAACAAGGTTGATGCTATCTTGGACAGATTCAATCAGTTCAACAACGCCAAATCTTACAAAATTGAAGAATTACTGGGTTACTGTGACAGAACGAACGGTGAAATTAATACATCTATCACTTTGAGGATAAGAAATATCCAGGAGAAGAAAGATCAGCTCTCAAACACCAACGATGAATGGCTGTTCCAGCTTGTGTACTCATTTCTGGAGAACTTGATTGTTTTAGCACTCTGGATTGTCTGGATTATCGTCGAGTTTTGGAGACTCATAAAGCGCATCGTCTCAATTTTGATGAAACTTTTAAAATTCATATTTCTATAGCAGACTATTAATTATTTATTTCCAAATCCTCCAGTAGATCCGAATCCACCTTCACCTCTCTCAGTAATCTCTTCTTCCCATTGCTCGGTGGTAAGCTCATTGACCTCAGCCATCACGATTTTCTCGAGTACAAGCTGTGCAATACGGTCCCCTTCATTGATCTCAAAGTCTTTGCTAGAGTGGTTAAAGAGAACAACTTTCACTTCTCCACGATAATCAGCATCAATGACTCCTGCACCAGTTGAGATTCCATGCTTGACTGCAAGTCCCGAACGAGGGGCGACACGTCCGTAAGTACCATCGGGGACAATAACGCTGATGTCAGTGGCAACCAGTCCTTGGCCGTGTCCAGGAATCACCGCCTTCTCAGAGGCATACAAGTCATACCCAGCAGCCAATGCAGAACCTCTGGTTGGTGCTTTGGCTTTCGAAGAGCGAAGATACACTTTGAGGGGTTGCATTGTCGGTTCCAATTTTTGTTTTTTATTCAGATGCTGATCTAAAGACATGACACGAAAAACTTGAAAGGTTGACCTTGACGCGTGCCCAGCACAGGTGCAAGTAACAAGTGTATTTATACCTATTGCCACCAAGTTACCGTTCCAGGTTCCTTGGCCCAGTTGGTTAAGGCATCGTGCTAATAACGCGGGGATCAGCAGTTCGATCCTGCTAGGAACCAATTTTTTACTACGTCTGTCTACCTTAAGACAGCCGAGCATACTTTTTATTCTATTTCTTATGTCCATGGAACCGATGAGACAAGTACTTGTAGGCTTCCTTTTGGTTGAGAACCCTACCCTTGTCGTCTCTATAAACCAGGTTGACATTGGACGCATTAGAATTTGGGGCAAGCTCCGATCTGTCCTTCAAAAGCTTTAGGGTACGGGACAGTCCCATATTCGCATCGACTTCGTCATGAAGCACAGCGAGTTTTTCGGAGACATGAATGAGGCCAGCTTTGGACTGCGTCGCGTCACCAACCTTTTGAACCTTCTTCGGTTCTTCGATAGTGTTGCTACCGTTGAGCTTTTCCAAGAAATCTGCGTCTTCATCCAGAACCACTCCTCCTTCTTCCTGGTGGTTTTCTTCAATCACTATAGGCCGTGATTCCTGTCTTTGTCGTCTTGAAGCAGCTAAGAATTTGTTCAGCTCGATGTCGTCTTCCTTTTCTAAATCCTCGTTGATCAACTTCAATTGCTGAAAATTAGCTTCCTTTAACTCTTCTTTATCATTCCGCTTGTTTCTCACTTTACTTTTCAGCTTCTTGATTACTGGGGCACTGTAGTCAGATGGTTGAGAATCCTGCTCGTCATCATCAAAGTCCAATGAAACAAGCATCTTTGTTTGCTTCCTTGGAATTATTTTCTCCCCGATCTTAAATCCATTATCTTGTTCTTTGTTATCGTCGATCTTTTTCTCTTTCACCTGACCCTCCAAGAACTCTTTCACTCGTCGGCGTTTTGCAAGTTCATAGTTTTCAAGCTCGTCTTTGTCTTCGTCAAACACGCTCTTGTCTTTTAGTGTTAACACAACTTCTTCGCTTTCTCCGAGTAGCTCCGCGTAATCCTCCTTATTGTGGGCAACACTTACCCCTTGTAGATCATCGTCCTCTGAAGTTGCCTTTCTCTTGCGACTTACTTTTTTCTCCTGTGAAGTGCCCACCTTGGCCAACCATTCATCATCATTGATCTCTTCCTTGTCTAATCTCGCTAAAAGCGTTTCCCCTGATTCCAGCTTACGTCGTTGCAGATCGCTCTTGGTTTTGGACAGTCGCTGCTGCAGCTCATCCAGTTGTTTCTGCTTCATGCGCTCATCCTCTAATTTCCTATAATTCTCGTACTCTGGGTCATTATCTGCTTTTTCTGATGTGATTAGAGGCAGTCCTAACTGTGATCGTATCTTGTTTGTTTCGCCTAAAGGAATCCCCTTTTTTTCCTTAATTGAGGGCTTATCACTAGTAGAAATCAATGGAAGGCCTAGCTTCGCCCGCAGCTGGTTCGTTTCCTCGACGGAAAGAGACACTTCCATAGTTGAACACACTAGGTCAAATACAAAAAAATGATATGGATGAGTCGATCGACGCGACTATCACGCCTGCTTACTAAGATGACCCAAAGAGCAATACTGTATGCACGCCATAGTCTACGAGAAAAGGCAGTTCCCTAATTTCGTTCCACGTCTCCGTTTTCTTCTCAATCGACTTCACAAAGAATGGTTCACTACATTATTGACGAAAGCGACCCTAAGGAATCTGGATTGGAAGCTCCTTACATCAAGCTGTACTCTCTGGCTACTCCGAACGGCCAGAAGGTGTCCATTCTGCTTGAATTATTAGGTCTGGATTATCATGTCCGCAAAATTGATATCATGAGAGGCGAATGTAAGGAGGATTGGTATCTCCAATTCAATCCTAACGGAAGAATTCCTTCTCTTACCGATGTTTCCGCCAGTGGAAAAGTGACCCATGTGAATGAGAGTGCCGCCATCATGATGTACCTTTGTGACAAATACGACAAGGACAGAAAATACAGTTACGAATACGGCACTGACTTGTATTACGAGCAACTGGAGTGGGTCTTCTTCCAGATGGCTGGTCTGGGCCCAATGAAGGGCCAGTACCACCATTTTGCTTTCTATGCTACTGAGAAGATTCCATACGCAATTGAGAGATACAAGAACGAGACAATCAGATTGTTCTCTGTTTTGGAGGAGAGGCTAGCCCGCAACAAGACAGGTTATCTAGTTGGCGACCACCTGTCAATTGCTGATCTTTGCTCCTGGCCTTGGGTCAACTCTCGTAGATTAGAAGAAGTCGAGAATTTCCCAAGACTGTCTCAATGGCTCAAAAACATCGGGGAGATCGAGGCCGTCAAGCGTGGATCCAAGATCCCTGAGTAGATTAAAAGATTCGGTTATTTTTGATTGCGTACAATTGTATTTGCGAATGTCTTCCAGTCAAGTCCGGACAAAAGTGCTTGTGCTATCGGATTGCAGTAAAAACTCTCGGCTCTGCCTTTGATGTAATTTTCGGCCGTGTATGGGTCCAAGCCTGGAGACTTAAGCTCCGGTACGCTGAACTTGACAAATATCATGGGGACCACGCTTGTGTCGAAATTTGCGAGCCCGACTTTTGTGGCACCTGTAGGAGTGACAAACATGACTAGCGCCCTATTTTGAAGCTTTTCTCTGGCGAAAAAGTCTGCAAATGTTCCTGTGAGCTCGCGAACCATTTTAGCGTCCATTTTGCTTCGCTTCCAGCATTTGCACTGCACATACAGGCGCACTTTGAAGGCATCATTCTGTTTCTGCTCAACAAACGGAACGACGTGCTTAAGAGCTGGGCCCAAGTATGCGCCTGCAGGCTTCTCAGATACGCGTTTGAGCTGTTTCAGGTTCCAGGTGGCTTGCATATCGATACCTCCATCGTTCGCGCCTCCTTGGAGTACCATTCGTCTCAAATTCAAATGATCAGCAAGAAACTCTGCAAATGAGATTTCATACAGTGATCCCCTAAACACTGTTGATTTCGGAGACGTTCCAGCAACCTGCGCATAGCTGAGGTACGACTCTACCGAGTTAAAGCCGGGAGTGGAGATGACTTTTGTGCTCAGCTTTCGCACAGGTAGTGAAAATAACATGAAAGATTTTCAACACGGCGTGATCTATGTTATAAATGCTATTTACTGTTTGGCTATCTGGCTGATCTTGCGTTCAATGCTGTCGTACGTTCTGTTGAGAGCCTTATCTATTTTTGCCAGTTCGTCTAGCGCGTCGTTCAGTTCAGAGCTCAATTTCTGCGTAATTTCGGACACAGACAGCTGTGATTTGGACAAATCTTTCACGCCCACACGTAGACCTGGTTCACTGGAGACCGGCTCGTTGGAAGTCGGCGTGTTTGCATTATCGCTTGTCTCAGACATGTTTTTAAAAAGCACAGCCGAAGATTATTTTTTATTCACATGGTTCGCAAAACGAAAAACCAGCTCCGAAGGGAACGTGCGAAACAGAGGAAGAGCTTGTCTGAAACCGTCCAGCAACAGCTTCCTGAAATCAAAAAAGACGTGGATGGGGCAGAAACACCGGACTCGCCTGTGGACGTGGTGGTTGAAGACGCCCCAGTAGACGATGTTGCTGAATACCAGGCTATTTTTGATAAGTTCAATAAGCCAAAGGAATCACCAATTGGAGACGGACATGACAATGAACAGAAAACAGAAGAGGCGAAGTCGGAGTACGAGGGTTTTGAAAAAGATGATCTTCCCGAGCAGCTATCAAAACGTCAGTTCAAGAAAAAGTACCAGATCCCATTGGCATACTTGAAAGCTGAGTCGGACAAGCCTGAACTTCTGGAGATGGCGGACGTGAACTCACCGGATCCGCGACTTCTCGTGTATTTGAAGACACTCCATAATGCGACTCCTGTTCCGCAACACTGGGGTGCTGCCAAAGGATTTTTAATGGGTAGAAGGAATTACGACAGGCCCCCTTACCAGTTGCCCAAGTTCATTGCAGATACGGGAATCATACAAATGAGGAGTTCGATGAACGACAAAGAGACGACTCTAAAACAGCGAATGAGAGAAAGAGTGCAACCGCGAATGGGTCAACTAGACATCGATTTCAACAAATTATACGACGCATTTTTCAAAAACCAGTCAAAGCCGGATCTCCTGCGCTATGGAGAGGTCTATTTCGAGGGTTTGGAGAGCATCGAGCTTCTGGGGCCATTTAAAGTTAGCAAGTATCGTCCAGGAGTGATGAGTCCTCGGCTCCGTGAAGCTCTGGGAATGATTGGACCTAAGTCGAGATTGCCACCATGGTATGAAAAATTCCAAAAATTGGGGCCACCACCAGCTTATCCCTATATGCGTATCAACTCTGACGGTACTGTTTCTTTTGACAACGATCAGAGAACAGTGGTCAACAGAGCAGAGCCCGTGGATCGCACGAGATGGGGAGAACTGGAGGAAGTATATGAAAGCGAGAGTGAGGAGGAAGCAGATCAAGGAGCAGAAAAAGAAGAGGAAGAACAGCGCCCCATGCGAACAGAGCAAGAGTCAGACTCCCAGTACATCGCAGCTGCAGGAGATGTGGCCATTGATAGTATTGAAGCTGAAGGCACTCCATTACAGAACGCTCAAGCACAGCAAGATACCAACGAAACGGACGATGGAGGCCCTAAGAAGCTATACACAGTTTTGAAGGAGAAAAAGGGGGGGCAGCACGAGAGTATCTATGGCTCTGAAACTCTCGCTTACGATCTGAAACGCACCGGAGATGTGGAGTCCGTGCCACCTTCGAAGAGGCGCAAGGAACTGCACAATGACGATAAGAAGGAAGAGAAATTTAGATTCTGATTTCCAATGTATTAATAGATAGGCAGCATATATATATTTAAAGGCTGTGCCAGGTATTTTTTTCAATAATTGATGAGGTCCAAACGCGAGAGGACAGTAGACGCGGATGAGACACCAGATACGATCGGTCGTCACACGGAGGCCAGCTTGGAAAATGGGCTTACATCCAGAAGTGCAGTGACAATCGAGTACGCTGTCACCCAGTTGCAGCATAGCATCCGTCAGATAATCACGGAGTCGTTGAATACTGAACAGCTACGCAACTCTTTGGCCAACATACAGAAGCAAGAAGACGGGAAAGAGGTATTGTTGGCTGTTCAACGGAACCAGAAGCTCCAGCTCGCTGCGAGGCTGAAAGACCTCTATGAGAGCGGCAAGCTGAAAATATTTGATCAAATAGCAGATTTCGATGAGAGCACAAAGTTGAAGGGATCAAGCAAGATGAGACTCAAATTCAAAAAACTAAAGCTCGATACAGATTCGAATCCGAAATTGCCCAACAAGGGCATTCCTCCACTTCCCAAAATCGAGGACCCGGTTATAGAAGCCAGGGTCTTTACACATCGATCAGCAATCAGTAATATTAAACATCTTTCCAAGAAAGAGATCTTGGAGTCGAATAATGAACGATTGGAGTTTCTCGGGGATTCGATCATCAACAACCTCGTTACGCAAATACTCTTCGAGCGGTACCCGAGCTACGACGAAGGAGAGTTGTCCATTTTACGATCTCAAATAATCAGTAACAACTCTCTTGGTAAATTCTCTGAAATGTATGGATTTCATGAAAAGCTGGTTGTTAATTTTGCCAAAGATGCTGCGTTCCAAAAGGGAAAACACAAAATCTACGCAGACGTCTTTGAAGCTTATGTTGGTGGACTGTACATCGATAGCAACTACTCGAACTTGGACACAATAAAGGAATGGTTAGATCAACTCATCACACCCCAACTTATTAGGCTAAGCAAGAGATTTAATCAGGGAAATCTCAACAATGATGCAAAGGCACAACTATACGCCCTGATAGGGTCAGCGGCACTTCCTCCACGTTATATCACCAAACAAACAGGAAATGGTTTTGACGTCTCCTTTATTGTTCAGTGTATGATTGGTGATGAAGTAATCGGAGAAGGAGAAGGATCGAATTTGAAACAGGCCGGTCTTAGAGCTGCTGAGGATGCGCTGAGAAAGAGGGAAGTCACCGAGAAGTACATAAAGCTGCGGGAAGCCACCCCGAAGGAAGTTTCTGTTATTCCGAACACCATCGAGGAAAAAGCTAAGGTGAATACGCAGCATCTGAAAGCAAACCCTGAAAACGATAATATAACTCTACCAGCATTAGTGCCCCAGTCAGAGGTGGATGCGACTTCGTCCGACAAGCTCTACGCTATTTTGTCAAAAATTAAGGTTTTGCCGGTCTACAAGACGGTTACCAAAGGCCAGGAGTTTGAAACTACTCTACTGATAAACGACGTGGCAGCCTGCATATCATCTGCTCCGAGCAAGAAAAAGTCGAGAAATCAATGTGCCGCATTTGTTCTCTCTCACCCCGGAATTCTGCCCCGTTGTCACGCCTTTGTTGATTGAAAGGATGATGTCATAGTAATAAATAATGATAATAAATAGAGCGACCCGTGGGCTCAAGTGATACCTAAATAAAGATGGGCATTTTCGTCCTGGATTTTCTCAATCTTTGGTCCAAAGCTTCCCACACATTGGGCCATGGTCTTGGAGTTTCTAGAAATGACGTCCGTGAAATAGAAGTTCTCTATTGGGTTCTTCAGTGTCTCGCCTTTGATAGCACCCACTTTGACAGTGGCAGCAATATTCAGACTCAGAGTGTAAAGTTCGGTAGACGTGGGCTCAACAACGTCGTAGTTAACCAAATGTGGAGCAATGTTCAGCATTCTGGACCTCAATTGCATTTCGTGTTCATAAGGTAGCCCTAGACCCACATACTCACTTATGGCTTTTATAATTTGCCAATCGTGTCTAGCAGAACCCGGAGGTCCAAGAGCTGCACGGGTAAGCTGAGCGCGACCTTCAGTATTAACGTAAGTTGCACTCTTTTCGGTGAATGCTGCCCCAGGAAGAATTACGTCTGCCAGCGAAGCACCAACATCTCCGTGAGAGCCAATGTAAATAACAAATGATTCTTTAGGGATGGCTGTCGGATCAACCTCATCTGCACCCAACAAGAAGACAATCTTGGGATTGGCAGATTTCACCTTGGCACTTTCGTTGTAGAACCCAATATCCAAGGCACCAGCTCTAGCAGCTTCTCTGTGAAGCAAATTGATTGCTTTCCAATCATCGTTATTGAAGTTTGGTTTTCCGGCAGCGAACAAGGCAAGAATCTTTTGAATCGCGAGCGAGTCCCTATTTTCCAACACACCGGAACCGACAATGACCATTGGTCTTTGGGCATTCGCTAACTTATCTCCAAGTTTGCCCTTCAGTGCCTTGCCCAAATCGTTTGCAGAAGAGCCGAAATATTCATACTCAAAAGTCGAGTCAAACTCTTCACCGATCAGAGAAGCCTCCATGGTAGAGTTGAGCCATCTATTTCTCAGCTTTGCATTCAAGCAAGGAGCCTCGTGCCTTGGGTTCGTACCGATCAAAAGCAATTGATCACATTCGTCGATTCGCTCGATTGTCGAGTTAAACAGATAATTGGAGCGGAAGTCAATCGAAGGAATGTTGGTGATGGGAACATCAAGAGTAAGGTTTTCAGAATTCATTCGATTGATCAAGTCTTTCAAAGCAACCATACTCTCAACGTCCGCCAGGGCTCCAACAATTCCCTTGACCTCATTTTCGGCCGGTTTCAGCTGTTCGTATTTCTCCTTAATCAAGCTTAAGACATCGTGCCAGGTTGCGTCGGCAAACATGTGGTCCACCTTGATCATTGGCTTTGTGAGTCTTTGAACTGCAAGTCCATCATAACTGAATCTGGTTTTATCACTGATCCACTCCTCATTGATCTCGTCGTTGAGTCTAGGAAGAACTCTCATGATTTCAGAACCTCTGCTATCAACACGTATCGCCGAACCAAGACCGTCCGTGACATCTATTGTCTCGGTACGCTTCAGTTCCCAAGGACGCGCCTTGAATGCGTACGGCTTCGAAGTCAGAGCTCCGACTGGGCACAAATCAATCACATTTCCACTCATCTCGGAATTCACGTTTCTCTCCACATAAGTACCAATCTGGAGATCATTGCCCCTACCCGTGCTTCCCATTTCCGGGGCTCCAGCAACATCATTCAAGAATCTCACACATCGAGTACAGTGAATACATCTGTTCATCGACGTTTTGATCAAAGGGCCCAGGGCCTTGTTCTCAACAGCTCGTTTACCAGAGACCTCATGAAAGCGGCCCCTGTCAGAACCATACCGAAGTGTCTGTTCTTGGAGATCACATTCTCCACCTTGGTCGCACACAGGACAATCAAGAGGATGGTTGTACAGTAAGAACTCTGTAATTCCTTCTCTAGCTTTCTTCACCTTTTCAGAATTTGTAAGCACAGACATTCCATTCATGACTGGCATGGCGCAAGCAGCTGCCATCTTGGGAGATTTCTCAATCTCAACAAGACACATACGACAATTTCCTGCAATGGCCAATTTGTCATGGTAGCAATATCTTGGAATCATGATACCAGCTTTATCTGCCGCTTGAATGATTGAAGACCCTGCCTCAATTTTCACGCTAACACCGTCAACCCTCACTTCAACGTCCTGGAAGCGAAATCCGCTTGTACTGAATCTTCGATTACCTGCTTCCCCACATTTCCTGACTAAAAATGCCCAAGACCGTGAGCCCAGCAGTGTTCGCTCCCCAAACATGGTCTGTTATGGTTGGACAACAAAATATAGCTCTATTCACAAAATCACTTTCAACGATCAGCCCAAATAACCAAACCAATTACAAAGCTGATTCCCTTTTTACTCCTCATTTTTATTTTGAGCACAACGTTTTTGGGGAGATATAAAATCGACGCGACGATCGGCGCTCACGATACATACTCTATTTTTTGGCCTTCTTTAGGTCTCGCTCCTCTGAGTCTGCCGGTTCGATTGACACCTGGCGGCTGTCGGTTTCAACACTAGCCACCTTTTTGTGAGCAGGTTTGCGTTTCAACGAAGCAGGATTTTCGGCCTCCCTTGTGATGGCCAAAAGTAACGTTGCAACCCTTCTGCTGAGTTCGATGCTTGATCTGGACTTGAAATAAAACGCGCACCGGAATTCATTTTCTCTCATGATGTCAGCCTTGATCAGATCATACAAATTCTTCCTGCTCAGTCCATATTCGTTGACTTTCATCAACAAAAAGCGGTCCTCTGTTTCTGTATAAAGTCTTTTCGAATTGTTTGGAGGATAAATTATGTTCATTTCTTGCAGTGGGGCATCGTACTGTCCAACTTTCTCGGAAAGAATCTCCTGCTGCATCAAAACTTTCTGTATTTTCTTCTCTCCCTGCTCAATTTGGTTGACATATTTTTCCCATCCGTCAATTTCCTTGTAGCGTTGCCAAAAAACTTCACTGTAAGCCTTGACATCGTCCACAGATTTGGTTCGCAAATCTGCTGCAATGGCCGCGTAGCTTTTGGATCCATGCCTTGCACAGCTATGAACAAATGACAGGAAGTCCCGCTTATTCCAGTTCGCAAACCCTTGAGTTAACAGCTCTTCCTTCTGCTTCTGCTCTTCTTCGGTTAGCTCTTCGGCAGTATCTATCTTTTGTTGTTCTTCTCGCTGCCTTTGCTTACCTTTTTCCACGCGCTCACGCTGGTCAGTCTTTGTTTCGTCATCACTAGCCACAAACTCATCTTCGCTGTCCAATCCATCCAAAAGAGGGGCTTGGTAGCCAATCTTCTTCTTATAAGCAAGCTGCTCTTTTTCCAACAAGTCTTTCAACTGAGGAGGATAAAACTGGAAGTCTTGGATGTTGTATTGCTTAGGTCCTTTATAGGGGGACGGGCGACCGTTTTGCAACACATCCTTGTAATAGTTATCGATGGAGTACTGATGCTCTTTTCTTTGTCTCCTGCTTGGGTTCACCCACAAATTAATAGTAGAGTGCTCCTTCTTAGCAAAGTTCTCTCCATTCCATTCATAGGCCGACGAGTCAGAGGTGAAATTTTGCAAGTCGTCTAACCCAAGCTTTGCATACTTGTGATTCAAGCTCTCTGTCTTTTGTTTTCCTTTATTCAGAATGGCTTCAATATCGGTGTCTAAGCCTGCAGAGTTCACCTTATTCTTGAAAACGTCCTCCGCACCGTGCTGAATCATTCCGAGCAGATCATCCTTAGTGTTGCCGATAGTTTGCGAAGTGGCCTTATTATTAGCACGACCCTGCTGGATCACCAGCTGATCCAGACGCAGCTTCTGTGCTGCCCTTTCTAAGACTTTCTCCTCTATAGCATTCTCGGTTACAAAACGGAACACCTTGACTTGCTTTTTCTGTCCAATTCTGTGAGCTCTGTCCATAGCCTGCAAATCTGCCTGAGGATTCCAATCAGAATCATAAAGAACAACAGCATCAGCGGTGGTCAGATTGATGCCCAAACCACCAGCCCTTGTCGTCAGCAGAAAAATGAACTTGTCAGAATTTGGCTTGTTGAAATCATCGATTGACTGGATACGCTCCTCGTGTGCAGTGGATCCGTCAATTCGACAATACTCGTAACCTCTGAGATAACAATAATCCTCTAAGATATCCAGCAATCTGCTCATTTGAGAAAAAATCAGGACCCTAGAGCCCTCGCTTTGTAACTTCTTGAGCAACTTATCAAGCACGATCATCTTACCACTGTTGTAAACCAGATGCTCATCTGTTGTGTAAGGTGGACCCGGCTCGGCACCTTCAAACAAATATGGATGGTTGCAGCACTTACGCAGCTGCATCACAATGTTGAGTAACCTAGTCTTCCCTTCTCTCTTTCCGATGGCACCATTGACGGCATCAATATCCTTTTCGAGCAAGTTTCTATACCATTTGATTTGCATGTCAGTCATGCCGACATACACATTGGTCTCTATTTTCGGTAGCAGCGATTTTTCCACATCGCTCTTCACTCTCCGCAAGAGGAAAGGAGATAGAACTTTGTGCAGTTTTTGCACAACTTGGTCTTGATCTTCCTCTCCCTGGCTTTCAAACCATTCGTTGAAAACCTCGTCGTCGCCAAAAACATCCGGCAATATAAAGTTCAATAGCGCCCAAAGCTCGTGCAGATTGTTCTGCAATGGCGTACCCGTTATTAATAGTCTATGCTTTGAGTAGAATACACGAATGATCTGGGACAACGCGCTTTCCTCATTTTTGATTCTATGGGCCTCGTCAATAACGATGTATTCCCATCTAAGTTTGCCAAGTTTTGACTTTTCTCTGATGACCATCTCAAAGGAGGTGATGCAGACATCGAAATCAGCCTGCATCAGTCTATCATTTATGAGCTCTGCACGCTCTTCTTTCGTTCCTTGAAGAACAAGCACGTTGACATCGGGTGTCCATCTGGCAAATTCTCGTCTCCAATTATCTAGAGTCGATTTTGGGACCACAACAATAAATGGGCCATCAATTCCCTTATAATAGCGTAAAAATCCCAGGAACGAAATCGTCTGCAGTGTTTTTCCCAGTCCCATCTCATCGGCGAGAATCCCAGAAAGTCGATTTTCATACAGCGATATGAGCCAGTTTAGGCCTTGAATTTGGTAATCACGTAGTTTTCCATGAATGTAGCTTGGCGATTCGGTCAGAACGGTGGTTTCTTCCTCGTATTCCTCATCGTGGATGAGCTCTGCATCCTCTTCTTTCTCCGATTTGCGTCTTCGTCCCGAGGAGGCCTTTTTGTTCGGTTTCCCGCTGCCTTTCTGCGAGTCAATCTGGCGAATCAGATTCATCAGTTGTTTGTCCTTGGACGCGTTCAAATCAATGAAGTGCCGGAACAGATGTGTAAGGTTCAACAGGTACTTGAACCTCTTAGTGCTGTCTTTGACATCTTTCAGCCGTTCTGTTTTGGCGTCTTCCTGAAGGAAATACCTCTTTTTCCGTTCTTCCAGAGTCTCCTTCTTGTCTGGCATGGTTTGTTTATTCGCCTACAAAGAACAACTAGACTTTTCACTTCGATTTATTGCTTTCAGGCTGTGCACTCTTTTTAACCATGCGACAGCCAACCGGGGAGCAGCTTGTTTTCCACCATTCCGTGTTCACGGAAACCTGTAAGATACCATATGGCAGGGTAACGTCCTATGGGCAGATTGCACGTCGAATATACCGGCCCCAGAATGCCAGACAGGTGGGAATGTCACTCAAAAACCTCACTACGTATACTCGGTTCTTTGACGATCCCGAGTTCCAGAACCTGCCGTGGTGGCGGGTGGTGAACTCCCAGGGGGTGATTTCAAAACGCGAGCGGGCAGAAGCCGTGACCGAGCAGGCAACTCTCCTAAGAAGAGAAGGTGTGATGGTATCTGAGCGTGGTGGTGAGTATTTCATAGATCTCAACGAGTTCGGCTGGTTTGAGGATGCCAGCGACGACAGCGAAAGCAGCGACGAAAGTGACGATTAGAGTTCCTAGAATTCAACTAAATACAAATGTATATCATTTAACCTCAATTTTACTATCAGCACGACGCTGATAGTGCTTTTTGGGTACTTTTTTGGAGCCGTCTCTTTGGCTACTGTCTTTGGAGTTGGAAGATTTGCGACTGTTCCGGCGATTTTGACGAGGCCTATCTGCCTCTTGTGCCTGCTGGAGCTCTCTCTGCACACGCGCGCTTTCCTGGGCCCACCACTGCTCAAACCGCTCCTCGTTCTGTATATCTTCAAAAGATCTCACCGGCTGAGGATTCTGCTTCTCTTGAAGCATCTTTTCCTCCTGCAGAACGCTCTCGAAAGACGGCACAGATGCAAGCACCTCACTTTGATTCACCAGGGTGTAAGGTTTTGAAGGAGTATCTGGAGGAGAAGCTCCCCATACATTGACGTTGTTCATGATACTAGAACCTGTAGCTAAAGACTGTTGCTGCTTGCCTCTCTTGATCCGCTCCCTTTGCGATAGTCGAGGCATACTTTTGGAGCTTGCCTTGACAACGGGAGGAGCAGGGCTGGTGGACTTGTATCCAGGAGTTCCGGGAGAACCATAGGATTCGGCTAGCGTTAGAAAACTTCCTGCACTCGTGTTAGGGGTTTCGTGATGAATGGTGACCGATATATGGCCAGAACTGCTGGGCGAAACTGGAGGAGGCGAAAGCTTTTTCGCATTGCTGATAGAACCGCTCTTTTGTATAGGAATCGGACTAGATACCGAGAAGCTTGACCTGGCGGACGGTTTTCTATTTGTGACCAAGACAAAATCATTATCTGTATCATCATCGGCGATGGCATTTTCATCAGATTCTTCAGTGCTTTGCGAGAGCATTTTTTGAGTGTACAGAACCTTGGACAAAGTGCGCGGTTTAGCCGTTGCGCCGGGAACGTTGGATTTATTTTCCTCAAGACGTCTTGCAGAAGACCGTCTTCTGCGCTCTGCCGAGCTGATTTTCGGCACTGGTGCCTGGTCCTCGAATACCGGTCTGGAAACGTCCCAAAGCAAAGGATGAATGAAGTGCCCGTTGTAACTGTCCATGTCATCAACCATCTCGCGAATGAGCTCCGGATTGTTTTGCAGATAGAGAGCAGGTGTCTCGCGATGGTGGTTTTTGAGGGTTGCAAACCATTTCATGGCATCATTGACTGTGTTTAAAAACGCATTCTCTTCTTCCTCAACCATCTCTCCAAAACATGGGTCAAGAAGGAGAACGTCCAAGTTATTGTACATGAACCACAAACAGTTACCAAATAGTTTGTAAGCCTTCATGTTGTATGAATGGCGGAGCAAATATTGCACATTGTCCAAGCTGATAAAATCCTTTATTAATAGCTGGCAAATATCGCTCAGTTCGTCCAACATGAGTTGCTCAGCAGCATCCATGACATCCAGTGCGAGATTAATAAACGACGTGACATCGTCAATTTGCTCCACATCATTGAATAGTTCATCATATTCCAGGCCATAAAGGTACTTCAGTATAATCCCAAACACAACCGAGTTGATGTCAGGTAACGAAGCAAAATCCATATTCCACCGGCTGGAGAAGAGCGTTTCGAAATATGCACTTCTCGCAACTAGGAGCGGCTTGAAAACAGTCACATTTTTGTCTTGCAACTTGACCAAACAGTCACCGTGTAGATTTACCAAGTCGCTGCGCAATGGGTTTGTACATTCAACACGGCCCATAGGAGAGACAATACGCAGCATTTTGGATATGTTCTCAAAAGCCTCTTTGCTCTCCTGCACATGTTTGGGAGTTTTCCCCAGCGGGTAGTCTGTCCACACGTCGAGATACTGGTCAGTGTATAAGAAATGTAGAGCCACAAGCACTGCACAAAGGGTGATTTTGCCGGTAAATTCCAGTTTTCTTGGGGTACTGGTCAGCACGACCCCATTGCGCTCCAAAGTGCCATTTTGGTGAATTAAGCTGCGAAGAACTTCGCATCGCAGCTCCAGCACTTCTCGATGCACGCCTATATCGACGCCATCAACGGACACTGTATAATCATAGTATTTTCCTTTTGCAAAATCCTTCATGGTCAGCCAATAATCAATGTTCTCCGATTTCAGAGTCTCGCGAACGATGTCATCATCATTGATACTCGCTACCGTATCAGTGCTATCTTTGTCCTGTGTCCACCTGGTGTTCTGGAGATTGACAATTAAGTCATTTGATTGAGCTTTCGAATCCTCTTCAATGACTCGCTGCCCGAATAAAGTCTCCTCCTCTCCAACATCCAAAACCTTGGTTCTATATACAAAGTTGGTTTTGAAGCTGGTGTCCAACGACATAGATGACTTGCCCACCTTGTCGACTATGGCACGACGCTGAACAAGTCGATCATCCTGTATTTCGCATAATGGCGACAGGTTATAAAAATCCCGAAGAATAGACGACTTTGCTAGTCTATGAGGTATAAGATCGGTATCGTCCCGAATAAACGCAAAATTGGAAAACAGAGGATCAGAAACCACTCTAACAACCTTATTGAGACCAACGATCTTGGAGAACTTGAATTTTTTCGAGATGTAGCCGTGCGAGGACTTGGAATCCTTCACGACAGCACGCTTGATACGTTTATACGCGGAGCCGTCCTGGACCGAGATGATTATAGAGCCATCATTTCCCATGTCAACGTCTGTGCATCGCAAGTGCTCTTTTGAGGCCTTCCAGATGGTGGCAAAACGAACACTTTTTTGAAACGAAGCATTATCCAAACTTTTAACGTCAAAATTGAGCTGTATAATATCTCCATTATCGAGCAAAAGAAGACACGAGTCGCATCCTTTCTGCGCCACGATTTTCGATATTGACTTTCTCTGCGAAAGTACACGCGGACGGAAAGTGTTGAAGGATTTTGAGTCAATTTTGTTGAGCAGCGGAGGTATCACTTTTGAGTGGAAGCCGTTGAGATAGAAGTGCAGCTCGTTGGTATTGTTTAGAACAACTGTGAAACTGTCTGCAGCAGAGACATTCCTAATATCTCCATAGGTGAATGCCAATTTTCTTGGGTTTACCTGAATCATACCAACTCCATTCTTACCAGGCACTTTGTTTGTGTTTCCCGAAGGACTGAACCCGAATTGACCAACGTTCAAACCCCAAAAATATATCTCGCTTTTCGTATAAACCAAAGAGTGGAATTTCGAGCAGCTGACTCCGAGAATCTGGCAATTTGTCTGCTTCTTCAAATCCCCTGTTTTGACTAGTCTTGGAACAGAAACACAAGCTTCTGTTTGATGAGGAAGCAAGTCGACTTGATAGCCCAACTGACCGTAAGAGTTCAAGCCCCAAGTATACACGTTGCCGTCCGCAGTCAAACATATTGAGTGGTCATTGCTCACATCCGCAAACAAAACCCGCTCTTTCTCAAAAGCAGGAATTCCAACAAAAGCGTCTTGAGGCTGTCCATTTCCCAATCCCAAACGACCCCGAGTGCCCAATCCTTTGACGAATATGTTGGCCTGGGGCTCTGTAGTGAGGACAACTGAATGGTGTTTGGACATTTTGACATCTCGAATTCTGGGGAGTGAGATTCTCTCTGAAAGGTTCGGGTATGTTTCGCGATCACCATATTTATACTTGAGTTTTCTCATGTCCACAAGAACCAAATGATCTGAATGCTCACCGACGTCTTTCACAGAATCGATCATCACAATATTCGACCCTCCCCTACTAAGCTGGAATGATTTGGGAATGCTATTGGACCTGAAGCATTGATCTCCGGTGAACCTTTTCTCAAGATTGATTTCTCCAGTGCCGTATCTGGGATTCTCCACAATCCCCTTGGTGTTTGACCGTTGAAGTCTGCCAATACTTTCAGGCACCCATTTCAGCTTCCGGATGTCTATTTCGCTACTCATTAGGTCTAAGGGCGTAAATCCTTCGCGGTCCTTAGCTTGAAGTAAACACTGCTTGGTGGAAATGAGAATTTGAGCAATAATGAAATTCTTGTAGAAAATCGCATAATGCAAGCAATTCCAGTGGTTTTCCAGATCTGTAATGGATATGTTCAAGTTGGGGTTTTTCAGGAGCTTTTCCAGTAAATGTCTTTTATTTGTCAAGCAAACAACATGTAGTAACGTTCTCCCGTATATATCACGCTTTTCTAGATCTTTTTTGGGAAGCGTACTCAGCGAGTTCACAAACTTTCTAGTCAAGGTGTGTGTGTCTCGATTGATAGAAGAGGGCTCAGGAGAAGGAGACTTTCCTTCCCGAGCAGAAATATCAGCTGCGGCGGTGAACTAGAGGTTAGAGGGACCGGAACAGGGGCAGAGATACCAATACTCACCTTTAAAACATATTAGAGGCGTCCATGCACACAAATATAGTACTTAATATGAGAATGGTAAGTTGCTCAAGAGACACACACAAGTGGAAGAAATTGATAACCCATGTGTAATATTATTTTGCATTTTAGCACAACACCCGTACACCACAAACAAACCACCGGGGTTGTCGTGATAACTGTCTCAAACGAGCGTCGCAATACAACAGTAAACCGGCCTGATAGTGTGAAAGACTGAACAATTGAGTTTGAGTTTTGGGCCACGGTACTCGGAGGAATTGTATTTGCTGTACCGTGATAATAGTTAAGTACGGGTCGCGGACTGAAAAATATTTTACCATGTCGTTTTTCCTAAATCAGCCCCAGCTCAGCGGCCTGGAGGTGAACCCTGAGCGTATGAGGCTGGCCGAGCTTCACTATGACGCCATGAACACCACACTGAATACGATAAAGAAACAGTGCCTAGTCAAGTGCGTTCCTGATGAGTATGGCGAGGCAGAATTGAATAAAGGTGAATCGTCATGTACAGACCGGTGCGTAGCGAAGTTCATGCAAGCGAACCGGATCCTCGGAGAATACGCGCAAGCTGTGAGATTCAATGAGAGAGACTTACGACATTACGAAGAAATCAAGCGGAACCTGGCCAAAGATTAGTGACTCTATGCAGTGCTTATATCCCGCATTTCGATGCTGGTGTCATCGAACAGTCCGTCGTCGTCCATATCAAGATCGTCTTCGATGAGAAAGCTGCTGTCCGTGACCAGCGGATCCTCTTTTATTGGGTCGAACAGATCCAGCTGGTCATAGGACCATCGGCAGAACTTATTGTTGATCGCGAGCTTTCCGGCAAGTTTTGTCGAATAGAATGCGGCGATTGCAAGCGAGCATCCAAAGGTTAAATCGAAGAAATAATGGTGCGTCAAGTACATTGTACTGAACCACAACCAGCACACGTATACGCACCACAACGGTGCGAATCTGGGGAACAGATAGCATAGCCAAAGAGCGTCCAAGCTCGCGCAAGCAGAGTGCAGAGATGGCAATGCACCAAAGATTAATGGCGAATTGGTGAATGCTGAGGTGTACATGTCTATCCCCAGAATTTTGTCAATTCTTGCCAGCCCTCCAGGGCTGCCTTTCATCGAATAATTGGCTTTTTCCAATCCATGCAACACTTTGTACCACGGAGGAGCGCACGCAAATAAAAGGTTCTGGATTATGACTCCGACCAAATTCATGTATCCAAAGGTGAACGAGTACAGTCTGAGAGTTTTGGGCGGTGCGAACAAGAAGATCAATGCAGCAACCACAAACGGTAATGAAAAATGTAGAATACCGTAAGGAATCCAAGCCAGCACGTCTAAAAATGTGGAAATGTAGGATGCAAGTAGCTGGGATAGATTATCGCCGTAAAGGATTGTTTCCATGCCCGGTAGCACTTTCACTGCGATTGGTGGCCGAAGTTGCAGCGGGATGAACTTTGAAGAGAAAAAAAGGGCCACCCAGCTGAGAACAGGGAGTCCGTAGTTGAAGAACTGGGACGTGATGGGCACTATCACCAAAATCAGTAGCAACACAGGAATGGCAAGTCTGACGAGAGCCGGAACCGGAATAATGTAGAGCACAAATGCAAACACTATGAATATAATGGCATAATGGATGTATAGGAGAGGATTCTTCTCTGACTCGCGAATGGCCTTGAAGGTGTCCATCGGATTCCAGTCATGATTTAGCAACGTGAGAGTACTTCCGGATTCTCTGGACCTACGGTATTCTTGTATAAGTTTGTACAAGACCATGGCCAGGATATTTAGGAATTCACGGAACAAGTAAAAAATAATCTAAATCGTCCCGTCGGCAGGCAGGTCTGGGGATAAATTAGTCTTGTAAAAAGATAACACCACAATTAACTTCATGAATTTAGACCTGAGAGAAGAACCAGGGGAGAGCAACCCGATCATCTGTAAGTATCGCGCATAATGGTATACTAACATACAGTTGCACCAAAGACTTACCAGTACGAGAAATTCCAATTGGATGTCTCTGATCTGGAAAGAGACCCTATTGCGCAATTCACCAAATGGTTTAAAGAGGCCAGTGAGGGCGGGTCCACGGACCCGATCCCAGAGTCTGCTGTCCTTTCAACTGCTCAGCTGCCATCCGGTCGAGTTTCGTCTCGGGTGGTGCTCTTCAAGGAGCTAGACCACCGAGGATTCATTATTTACTCCAACTTCGACACGTCCAAGAAATACAAGGATATTCGCAGCAATCCACACGCAGCTCTTAACTTCTTCTGGAAGGATCTGCAAAGACAAGTGCGTGTTGAAGGTATCGTGGAATTTGTCGATTACGAAACGTCCTCCCGTTATTTCGGCACGCGTCCTCGAGGCTCGAAGATCGGCGCTCATGCATCGCCTCAATCGTCTATACTCAAGGACAGAGATGAGCTTGAGGAAAAATACAAGGAGGCAGAACAGAAGTTTTCCGACGCTAAGGACGAGGAGATTCCGTGTCCTCCAAAATGGGGTGGCATTAGAATTGTTCCGCTAGAAATTGAGTTCTGGCAAGGCAGAAAGAGCAGATTACACGATAGATTTACTTACACCCGCGCCTCGCCAGATGAGCCTTGGAAGCTTTTGAGATTAGCACCTTAATACATTTAAATCGTCTATTTAGAGAGTTTCTCTGTGGCAGTAGCAAATTCTTGTCCCTGGATACGAGCAATCTTGAGCTCGAGCTCGGTTGGAATTCTAGATCCGTCAGCACCAGCAATGGTACCAGCACCCCAAGCGGAACCACCATGGACCTCGTTCAGGTTGGTGAGTTCAGGGAAGACCTTGGCGTAGCCCAATGGCACGTAAATCATACCGTGGTGGGCAAAGGTTGACAAAGCATTGACTGCAGTGACCTCGTTACCTCCACCAGTACCAGTGGAAACGAAGACACCAGCAGTCTTGTGGTACAGAGCACCGCTAGCCCACAGTCCACCAGTAGCATCAATGAAAGCCTTCAATTGAGATGGGAAGTTACCGTATCTGGTTGGAATACCAAAGATGATACCGTCGTATTCCTTCAAAGCCTCGACAGTGGCGGCTGGGAAGTCTGGTCTTTCAGGAGCGTGGAGCACCTTGAGAAGTTCAGGGCTGAGAGTTTCAGGAACCTGCAAGATATCTGCGGTGGAGCCAACGGACTCGATACCCTTGGCGACTTCCTTGGCGAGAGTGGCGATGTGGTGGTAGAGGGAGTAGATAACAATTGCGATTTTAGCCATGATAAATTACTGTTTGCAAGACAAGTGAAACGTTGGCGACTTTATATCTCTGGGGTCCAGCTGCGCGAGATTTCCAAAAATTATTTTAGCACTGTGGCCACAAGATCATGTAAGCATTACTAAAATAACGGTGAAATGCACTAGAAATTTCTGTATGGCGCCGCGCACCTTAGTAAGCATTACAAACAATAGGTGTTCCGACTAAAAATGGGGCTGGGGTTTACTCAGATTGTCTAAAGAGACATCGCCCCTATAGCCGACCTGTTTAGCCATATTTATTTGAAAATAACCACAGCTTGTATCTGAAATTTTGCAACATGGCTAAATTTGCAATCATCACGTACTCGACATACGGCCACATCACCACGCTGGCCAAAGAAGTTGCCAAGGGTATCGAAGCCGCTGGTGCTGAAGCAGAGGTGTTCAGAGTGCCAGAGACTTTGTCCAAGGATGTGCTCGAGATAATTCATGCGCCTGAAAAGCCAGACGACATCCCCGAAATTAAGGCTGAAGACCTCACTAAGTACGATGGTTTCGTTTTTGGATTCCCCACCAGATACGGTGCAGCTCCTTCGCAAATCACCTCGTTGTTCGACTCTACCGGAGCCCTGTGGGCCACCGGTGCACTGTACCATAAGCCAGCTGGATTCTTCACTTCTACCGGCACTGGTGGAGGCAAAGAGACCACCATCAGAAACACATTGAGTTTCCTGTCTCACCATGGTATGATCTACGTGCCATTGGGCTACGCCAAGGTGTTCCCAGAGATTACCAGTGTGGAAGAGGTCCAAGGAAGCTCGCCTTGGGGTGCTGGTACCATTGCTGGTAGCGATGCAAGCAGAGAACCGACTGCACTAGAATTGAAGACAGCCTACATACAGGGTCAGGAATTCGCCGCAGTGGCCACCAAACTCGCTGCTCCACTCGAGACTGCTGCCACTGAGGTGGCCGCCGCAGCAGGCGAGACCTCCGAATCTGCTCCTGCCGAAGAAAAGAAAGCAACTGCCGCTGAGTCTGAAGACGTTAAAAAGCCAGAGACCAGTGCATCTGCCGCAAAGTCGAGTGAGAAGTCCGGCTGCTGCGTGATCGTTTAGAACATTAATATAATACAAATCCCTGCTATGTTTTCGCACACACTACTGTCTGCTTACCAACACGTCTAACCTTTGCGTACTTGATGAGAAATTTATCTGTCTTTATTTTCTTGGTGTTGATTCTTACCACAAACGGCTCAATCTCCTCAAGCTTCCACTCTTTCTTCAGTTTGAAAAGCTCCGAAATGCGTTCGACAGGGTTCTCGCTCAAATCCGATTCCGCAAAGTATCTGATAAACCCATTCTCCGTGATGAAGTTTCCGCCGAGATACTCTAATTTAATATTTGGATGATAGTTGAATGGCATAGTGAGTTTTAGGTTTAGGGCAAAATCCTCCTCCTTCATGTTCTGTGTGCTGTTTTTGAGTAGCAAAACACCGTAGAGTCGCACCACTTTTTCATTGAGAAATGCCAGTTTCTCGTCTGCTTCTCTGGTATATTTTGCAAGCACCGTCTGTATGATCTCTGACGGATACGACTCTTCCTGGCGCTTGTCCACCACGTCTATAACCCACTGTTTATCGAGCGATTGCAACCGCGTCATTATGTTCATTTCGTCCCCGGACTCCACCAGCTCTTCAATGATGGCTCTGAGTATGCTGCTGAGACAATCTCGCACAAGTTCTTCGTGTAGAACGTAGGCGTTTCCTTCTAGCTCGACGAGATTGAGCTCGGGACACAGACGCGCAAATTCCTCTTTAGACATTGGGGAGTTCTCAAATATGCTCTCCAAGGAGACTGGATTCTTGCTTGTCAGCCCTGACAGATCTGTGAGAACTGATATTCCGTGTAGATTTATGGTTGGCTCTATGGGCGCTAAAACAAGCTCGTTTGAGAACCTTGCGTACGACGAGGCAGCACCATTATGCTCGCTCAGAAGTAGAACACAATTGGAGTGGTTTTTCTGCCGGATCTTGAAGGTTTTTGACGCAGTGACTAGCACTGGGTAGTCTTTATTAGTTGCGGACTTCAAACGCAGCTCGCTCTTGTTCTCTATGGCTTGGAAAACCTCAGGGTTCAGTTCAACAAGCTTTAGGGACTTGGTGGTCGTTAGCTGTTGATTGGGATCGAGGACCGAATAGAGATCCATGCTGACTAAAAAACGCGAACGCGAAAATTATACATATTACAATTTTTTTCGAATCTATTTATGCCTTTCTGGATTTTTGCTTGACGGATTCGGCTTGGGCGGCCTTCTGAGCTTTGGCAGCCTGTGCTTTTCTGTTGCCAGATCTGTATGCCTGGACGTAGAAACTGATGAAGAGGAACAAGTATGAGGTCAACAGAAGGTACCCGCATGCAGCAGCAGTCTGAGTACCGTAGCAGTCACCCATGGATGGGAGGATACCGCCAAAGAAATGGTATGCGTAGAAGGAGTAGGTAGCAAAGTAAACAAAGACCAAGTCGACCAAAAACTGAATGATCTGGAATCTGGTGACCCATTCTTTCCACCAGACTTTGATTCCACGGGCCGCGAGGAAGTAGTACCAGTACATCAGGACATGGACCGCCAAGTTCAAAGAGATTGGAACCCACTCAACAGAGGTGTGTCCGACCAACTGAGTGTAGCAGAGCAGAGCAGTGGCTCCGTGGTGGTAGGTGTGAAGGAATCTCAACGGCTTTTTTCTGAGCACCAAGAAGACCGTATCGATAAGCTCCAAATATTTGGTGAGGTAGTTGAGGTAGTACAAGGTCACGAGCTTGTGGGTAAAAGCACCCTCAGCACAGATAGACCAGAACAGTCCGTTGAAATAAATCATAGGGATTAACTGTTCCAAAAGGACGACCAGCAGAACAAAAGAAATGACCGTCAACAGAACGTTGTGGATTTGGAACAACCAGTTGAGTCTAATAGGCCTAATGTTAAGCTTGCTCATTATGAACTGCCCACCAAAGATCACGGCGTAGTAAACAGCGATGACGGAGATGGCGTGAATCCAGTTCGACATAAACGTGACATCCTTGACGAATCTGAAGTCCTCCGCGGAATAGCCGGCAACCTTGGCGAAGAAATGGTCGAAGATAGGCCACAGATGGACACCAAAAGGTCTAGAAATGGTCGGCTCTGCGTAATGGATGTAGGAAGGCAGCTCAAAAGGAAGTCCCATACTGGAAAACAAAAATTCAGGGTTTTTATTGGAGGTGTTTATTTTTTTTTCATCTCCATGAAACGCAGGTAGTCATCCGGTGCACGTGACCGAGAACACGTGTGGGACGTCGTAGTATAGTCGAGAAAAAAAAAATTCCACGGGTCGGCTCGGCATTTGCTCGGGAGAGTCGGAAGGTCAACCGGTGCGTGCACGGCTATTGCAAAATTTGTCTTTAATTACCTCACATAAGTGCGCGGCTTGATATGCTTGGATATTAACATGCAGCATGGGGCTGAAACCGCGGGCGAAAATAGCCTCAGACTCATGAGGAGTTGTCCAGGATCCAGGGCTCTGAGCAGTGTCGGTTCGCGAAACTGTGTGAGTGCGCTCACCCGGCAGGTTCTGAGTGTTGACTCGGCTATTCGTAAAGTCAGATTTGCCGATATGGAGATTTTCTAAGCCGCACGATGTAGGTCTGATGTCTCGGTAAAGCAAAAAAGAAAATGCCGGGATTCGTATGAGGATATATATATAAGCAAAAAGAATACCCAAATACGCATTTGTCATTCGAGACGGTCTTCGGTTAGAAGCGGTATAGCACAAGTTTCCTATGGTTTGATGCCTGACAAGACAGATATGAACGCCCTTCCTATACTACCTCCAGCATCGTCTCTGATTCTGCCCAATCGAAGCTCTCACAGTCAGTATCCGGCCACTCCGCCGCTGGTGAGTCTTCCTCCCCTGGCAAGGTACCACTATCCCGTTGCTTCGGACCAGAACGCGCTTCCGCCTCTTTTCAAGCTGAGCTTGGACACCCCGCTACCTTTGCCAGGGGTATCACCCGTCGGATCCGAGTCCCCGCAACATTCGTCCGAACTTGCGAGTCAAGCACCTAGATATCAGCGCAAACGGTCCTCGTCGTCCGGGGCATCGCAACCTCGCAAAAAAAGAGAATGTCCTGTATGCCACAACTATTTCAGCAACCTGACAACACATCGCGCGATTCACATTCAAAACTCGAAACCGTTCACCTGCCAGACCTGTTCGCGGTCCTTCAAGCGGCTGAACGATCTCCTGCGCCACGAAAAGTGCCACTTGTCAAAGCTTGGCGAGTGGGAATTCCGGTGTCCGTTCTTCAACACCGACCCAAAGAACAAGTCAGAAAACTGCCACCACTCGGGCCACTTCACCAGATGCGACACATACAAAAACCATTTGAAGGCTATCCATTTCAAGTATCCGCCAAACACGCCCAAGAGCGAGCGCTCCAAAGTGAACGGGTTTTGCAGAGAGTGCGGCATGTACTTCAACAACGTGCAGGAGTGGCTTGCAAACCACATCGAGACAAACCAGTGCGCCAAGCAGGCGCCCGCCAATACGAACTTTACGACATAATACATTAATAGATCCTGTATGGCACTCATGGAGCATCACTCTTCTTTGTAATCGTCCGGGTTTAGCTGCCGCACAAACTCGACGTAGTCGGCAATGTACTCAGAACTAAAAATGGCGTTATCCGAGCCTTCCATCTCGTTCGCGTCGTAGAGACGGAGTCGGCAACCCGGCAGGCGGACCAGAATAGCGAGAATAATAAACGAGACGCCCGCAACGTAGATCGTCACCACCAGCGAGCTGACAAACTGGTGGAGCAGCTGGATAAAATGACGGTTGATCCAGCCTCCTTTTATCGACAGGCCACCCAGAGCGGCAACGTTCTTGTCGGCAAACAGGCCGACCAGCAGGTTCCCGACAATACCTCCAAAAAGGTGAATTCCAATGTCCAGCGAGTCGTCGATTTTCAGCCAAAATTTGAGCCGAGTGCCGACGTTGCAAAGCACACCACTTAGTAAGCCCACCACAAAGCTGGACCAAAAATTTATGTATGCAGTGCATGGGGTGATTGCTGTCAGCCCCGCTATGCAGCCGGAACACAGCCCCACAGCCGAGATCCGTCCATTTCTATGATACGAGTAGTCCAGCCCCATCCAGCTAAGCCCGCCAACAGCCATGCTTGTAATGGTGTTGGACAATATTACACCAGTGAGTGCGTTCACGGTGTACAGCGCGCCACAATTGAAACCCAGCCATCCGATGGCAATAAATACTGTTCCGCAAATCACCATGCCCAGGTTGCTTGACCTATACTCCACAAGACTGGCCTCGTTCCTGTACCCCAAAAACCACGAATAAACGAGCGCTGTGGTTCCTGACACAATGTGCACGGCGTTTCCTCCGGCAAAGTCCAGCACGTCCAGTTTCTTGTGCAGCCATCCGTTAGGGTTCCACACCCAGTATGCTATGGGACAATATATGAGGAACATCCAAGGTACGAGAAAAATAAAGGCGGGCTTCAATCGTCCACGTTCACACAAACACCCCATAGCTATCACAGCTGTGATGCTTGCAAATAGTCCGTTGTAAACGGCATAAACCTGGCCAAAAACCTGGGTCGTATCGTCTTTGTATCTATGATTTGGGTAAACCACCAGAGCGTCCATGTCTTTCAAACCCACATGTGCAAAGTTGCTAAGATAACCCGATTTGCCCGTGTCTGAGAAACTCAGCGTGTAGCCAAAACACAACCAGAGAATCATGATTTCTAGCGTGACAAGCAGCGGGAAACTCAGCTGCTGGAAGGCCGCCTTACGCTGGGTGAGACCTGCATAAAATAGCGCCATTCCGAGAACCAAGAAAAACAGAAGACTGGAGTTGAGCAGCGTGAATAGCGAGTTCAACGCTATCCCTACCTCCACTCCTCCTTCTTGCATTGGTAAACCTTCAAAAGAAAAATAAAATATCTTGTGAAATCAAAAACTTTTTTTTGTTGCAAAAAATTGGTTCCTAGCAGGATCGAACTGCTGATCCCCGCGTTATTAGCACGATGCCTTAACCAACTGGGCCAAGGAACCTGGAACACTTATTCAACAGAGATGACCTTTTTTGTGCCAGTCACTAAAACCCCTCACGCCTTGTTTTTTACCGGGCCTATTGTTATGAGAGGCTGGAATTCCGGGGAACAATAAAGAAAAATCGAATGAAGTAATGTTGCGTATCTCCATCTTTCTAAAGGGCCTCGTCGAACAATATTGAACGCAAATTTTCTATTTCGAACGTGTTAATTACCCAGATTAAGGAGGTCAACAACCAATAGCGTATTGATTTGTGTGCACACTTCGATCTCCAGACATTCCAGCCATAAAGCGAATGATCACAAAGTCTTGTTAGACAAACACAGAGACAAACGCAGAGACAAACGCCACAATCATGAACGCGCCTCCGCACTATGACGGCCATGAGCGCGATAGCACTTGCCGACCCCCTGAGTACACACCCGCAGTGCACCATGTGTCTCTGAATTTCCTATACCAGGAGAAAACCAGGGGCAAAAGAAGGATTGCCTCTTACGAGCCCATAATTTTTGAGATAAATTCAACACAGGTGAATATTTACGACATTCACCACTTGTACAGAAAGTACGCGTGCTTCTATTTAGACAAGCTTCGTCCTGAATACATCGATCCAGAACTCAACATCAAAGTGGAGCCCTTGGGGTCTGACGCGGGAGAAGTATATTCTAGGGAATACGGGCGCGTGGACCCTACAGGTACCAGACAGATTATTCGGAGACTATCTGCTGGCAGAAAGGACAAGCCTGTGATTCTCACTGAAGCTCAGTTGGCATCCAAAAATTGTGAAAGAATACACCAGCTGCTACTGCATCGTCCTGATTTTCGTAAGTTGACGTCAGTCGATAAAGATGAGACGGACAAAACACTGCAACTGGTCAAAAGAGCCAAACTGTTTACTTTCTCTTTGCAGGAGCTGATAGACTTTGGCAATGCTGCAGATTACCCACACAAGCCGTTCACTCTTCGTCTTTTGTTCCCGCAGGACCAATTTCTCTTAACGTCATATAATTCAGCAACATTTGTGGGAATATACTACAAGCTCAACATTGCCAGAGAGCTGTCACTTGACCTCGATATGCGTGCTGAGATGCCGATCGATCACTCTGTGCCTCAAAGAAGGCTATCAGGCCGAGCAAGTCGATCCGGCAGCGTCGCAACTACTGAGTCGTCGATTGCTAGCGTTGATAGCTGCGGTGAGGACGAGGAGTCTCTTTTCTCGGAACCCCTCCACCTCGAAGCTACAAATGCTTCCGAACCTGCCCCTCAAAAGGATCCAGATGATTCAAGGCAGCCCTTCAATAGTAAAAGGAAAGATATTGAGCGGTACAAAGAGTTAGTCTACACAATCAGATGCATCAAGATATTCAAGAGTTCAAATTAGTTATTCGTTTGATCCCCTATGCAAAGCTCGAAGGCCGACGTCAGTGACTCGAGGTCTGTGCTTGCTTCTATGTTTTTCAATTCTTCATATGTCGTTTTTAGCAACTCAAGATGTTTGTTGGCCCTGTCCAAAAATAATAGATCCAGCGAAAGATCTGTTTCCAGCAGGAAAGTGGACTTTCTTGCAGTACTTGATATCTTTTGCAATGTATCTTTATATCTATCTAAATTGAGAACCTTGCTTACACTAAGTCGGATATCAGGGTATTGTTTCATCCACAGCTTGAACTGGTCGTAGGATCCACTATAGCTATGTAGGGTCACCAAGCCGGGAGACTTCACAATTTTCTGGACGCTATCGAACAGCTTGCCGTGACACCCAACACAGTGAATGCTCACAGGCTTGTTTTTTGCTTGTGCCATCCGTAAAAAAGTTTCAAATATTGAGACTTGATGATCCATTGACACTCGACAAGAACTCAGTCCAGAGCCTTCCAAAGGTCCCATAAATCCAGAATTGGGGACGCGAAACACTTTATCTAATCCAATTTCCCCTATTGTACCGCCTGCTTCCAAATATCGTTCAATGGTTCTGATATGATCCTCAAGGTAAATTGGCATAGGTAAGTTTGTCAAGAGCTCTTCTGTCGGGGCAGGATTGAGGATTTCGTGGTAGTGCTTCCGTTTTTCTTCTTCTGTATTGACTGGAACAAAAGAGAATAGATGCGAGTACCATGGATGGATACCATAAGAGGGGATCACGGCAGGGACTTGCATTGCTAATTGGTAAATAAAATGCAAATCTATGTGGTTCGTGGACATCAGGTTTATCAGAGGCTTATCTATGTGGGAGAGAGAGCGAGAGACCACGTCTCGAAACTTTTCAAACGTCTCCTCGTTGATTGAGGGCGATAGGTGGCAGTGACCATCATGAAAGCGGCCGTTCTCTGAACAATAATCCATTTGTCATTATATATTGAATCTAGTTAATTTTAGGCCCTGCTCGCGAAATGTATTTCTCGAGAATTTCCACAAACATCTCTGCACGAGCTTTGGCGTCGACCACGTCTGTGCACACAAGTTCCACGTCCAAGATCTTTGGCTGTTGGACTTCCTGGTGGGGTTCAAAATCAAAGTCATCTTCGGGCTCAGCCACGGAGGTTTGGAAGCTGGTGTTAATTTTGAAACGTTCAGCGTTTCTTGGTGGTGCAATAATGTCTTCAAAGAGCGGATCGATCAACTCAGATGGCGCATAAAGAGGCTTGCCGTAGGCCTTTTGCTCAGCTTTCGACACCAACCTGAGAATATCATCCTTCACAATACTGTCTGGCAAAACGTACTGATGAGTGATTTTGAGCGGCTCTTTCTTTGGCTTCTCTTTTTTAGCAGGAGCTTTTTCTGGGGCAGCAGCAGGACGAAGCTCTATGTTTGATAGATCAAGATGGGACTTTGAATCCAAGTAGGCAGCAATTTTTGAGTTGTTAGAGGAATCGATTTGGCCCAAGTATGCCTTGACGTCACCCCTCAGTATCCGTCCCTTAGGCCCCGTGGCTGCAATCTTTGACAGTGCTTCGTCTCTAGATATTCCGTTGGCCTCCAGCAGAAGCTCCACCGATGGCAAAAACACCTGTTTCGGGTCGGCTTTTCCAGATGCAACAGGAGTGCTGGTCTTGTTCGTTTTATTAGACTCAGCTTGTGGGGATGGCTGTGCTGGTTCTGGCGTCTTTGCTGCCTCTTTTTTAGGTTCTTGCTTCTTCTCTTCCACTTCTGGGAACTCAAGTTCAGCCAAATTGTCCCCGACCTCTGCTAGAAACGCAATTGGAGTGCCCACTTTAATTTCCTTCTCTCCCTCCTGTTTGAGAATTTTGGCCATGACACCGTCATCCTGAGCCTCGACAGCAATATTGGCCTTATCGGTTTCCACTTCGAGCAAAACGTCACCTGCATCAAACTTATCTCCTTCCTTTACTTTCCAGGAAACAATGCCACCTTCCTCCATTGTGGGGGACATTGCAGGCATGTCCAATGGCGTGACACCAAGGTTGAGGGAGGTATTATGGAACGCTGTGGTGTTAATACACTGCGGAAAGCTTACTTACCTCTTGTACCTGCACGTAGCAGCTGAACCTGTGACTTATACAATCTCAGCGACGTTCTCAACATTGTGCAACGAGGGCTAGAGAATAAAGTTACCGTTATAATTGTCGATACTGAACTTGATGCCGGGCATGAAAATTCCGCCTGCAGTGGGGTCGGCGTCGGGTCGACCTGCACAACACAGCCGTGAAAAATAAACAATTTTTTAGTGGAAAAAAAACTTTCAACTATGGCTAAGAGAAAGGTTAAGCGATCTGTTGAGCAGAGGCAGGTCAAGCGTCAAAAGGAGGAGGACTCCAAGCTTGACTTTGGCGTTTTCAAGGAGTACGACGGAGAGTCTGATGTGTCTTTTGATGAGGACGAAGAACAGGATTATGAGCTCCGTCCTAGGCAGTTCAAAGAGGATCAGAAGCTCGAGGAAGGGCTGCCCATCAAAATGCCTGATGGAACATTCAAGAAAGTCTTGAAGCAAAAGGAGGTGGAGCCGGAAGAGTCGTCGGAGTCTGAGGAGGCGGAACCAGCACAGCACAGCTCAGAGGAATCTGAATCTGAATCTGACCAAGGATTGACTCCACAGGAAAAGCTGGTCAAGACCAAGGAGGAAATCGCACGCATTGCAGAACAAATAATGGAGGACCCAGAGGAGCATGTGAAGCTTCTTGCCAGATTGCGAAGGATGGCTAATTCGAAGAATCCAAACACGTCTAAGCTGTCTCTTCTTGCCGCCGTTCCAATATTTAAAAGTATTGCCCCAGCCTACCGTATACGGCCGCTCACAGAAATCGAAAAAAAGCAAAAGGTCAGCAAGGATGTGGCCAAGCTGCGGTACTTTGAAGAAACACTTGTTTTCGAGTACAAACATTACGTTGATCTGTTGACTCAAAAAGCGAGGGTGGTTTCTACGACGCCAAAAGCCACCGAGCTAGACAAGCAGTTGGGTATCCTGGCTAATAATGCAGCATGTGAATTGGCCCTTGCCTTACGATTCTTCAACTATAGAAAGGAGCTTTTTCAAATTGTGGTCAAAAGGGCCGTCAGAAAGCCTGCTTCCGAGTCTGAATTCAAAGTATACGAGCGAAGCATCCAGACCATGGAAGAACTTTTCAAGGAGGATGCTGACCATGGAGACATCTCGGTGGACCTAGCAATTCTCCTGAATCGTGCTATTCGCACGAGGGAGTACAAGGTCGACGAAAGTGTCGTCAACGTTTTCCTGGCATTGAGCATTTTGGATGACTACGATCCAAATTCAAGCGAGGAAGAAAAAAAACTAAAACTCAAAAAGAAAGATAGAGTGCATCTGTCCAAGAAGGAGCGCAAACAACGTAAAGAACGCAAGCAGATCGAAAAAGAGCTCAGGGCGGCCGAGCAAGCAGTCAGTGCAGAAGAAAGAGAAAGAAATCAAGCACAGGTACTAAAGATCTTGGTTACGCTATATCTCGAGATCCTTAGAGCCAGACCTGAAAAGCTGATGGCTCCTGTCCTGGAAGGTCTTGCCAAGTATGGATACCAAGTGAACATTGATCTTATTGGCGACTTCCTCCAGATCCTGCGCGAGATCTGTGAGAATTTGCTGCAAGACATCAACGAAGAAGGCAACTTTTCTAGCACGAGTATCAGACAGATTCTGCTTGCAATTGTCACGTCCTTTTCGCTGACCGCAAACTTGCCAACCAAACGAATGTCTGTGGATTTGAACAAATTTGTACAGTATTTGTACACGCTGTTGCCAACGCTTGCGCTAGATGCAGATCTTGAGTTTTCGCACAAGACGCTTCGTCTGGTCGACCCTCTCGCCGCAACACAATATCGTCCGAACGTCAACATAGCCACCAAGTCAGAGCTACTCCTCAGGTGCTTGGGCTATGTATTTTTCAACTCCAGATCAGGGTCAGGAAAAAGATCCATAGCATTTACCAAGCGCATTTATCCTCTTCTGCTGCAGGTGCCAGAAAAAACTGGTATCGCAGGCCTCAAATTCGTGGACAAGCTGATGGCCAGATACGAGGACATTAAAGGACTCTACACAACTGAAGACCGCATTCAAAATGGAGTTTACCATGCCGAACAAGATAATATTGAACTTGCAAACGCTGATGTCGCCGTCATCTGGGAAAACGTGCTTCTTGAGTCTCACTATTGTCCAGCAGTGGCTGCTGGGGTCAAAGCACTGATGAAGAAGGCTAAATAAAATAGATCAAGTCTGAACCTTCGAAGGTTCGCCAACTTCAAAAACCTCAACATGCTGATCGCTTTTCAGTCCACCATTGTCCGAAAACTCGACAGTGCCCAGCTCGTATGAAACGCCCTCACCCGCAAATAAAAACCCAACGTCGTTCTGTTTTTTAGAATCGAAGACTCCTGACTCCTTGTAATCGTAATGCTGATGATTGTGGAACCAATTCGTTTTCTTCGTCGGAACAGATGTCGATATAATTGGAGTCATCACACGTATAGGCTTGTTTCCGGCAGAGTGCGTGTGGACGTACTTTCCGTTCTCAGGTTTCTTCAAAATACCCCCGGCCTGCAGAACAGACGAGTGGGAATTCCGACGCTGGTGCGGAGGAATGTACTTGTCATACGTGGTCGTGCTCGTTATGTTCGAACCGAAGGACGAGAAATTGCTGGAGAAAGTCGTTGTCAAAGAGGTGTTCCGTGAATTTTGGCGCTCTGCATGGTCTGTCATAGAAACCTCACCAAGTTGCTTTGACAAAATGCCCAGCTGTCCGCTAAGCACAGAAGGATAGCTCGAAACTTCTTTTTTCGCATTGGACAATTTGCGAACATTTTTCGAGCGTCTGGCTTTATGCTCGCCATCTTCAAAAAGAAATAGATCATCATCGCCACTGGTTTTCTCGTCTTCTGACTCAAACACATTCTCCTCAACTTCGGTTTTCGGAGATGGCCGCAAGTTTGGTGGGATGTATTTGCCCGAATGGCTCACAAAGCTTCGAGGTCTGACGCCACCAGTCGACTTCGCAGATGTCGAAAAGCTATCTCCTTGGCTATTTGGAGTGACAGGTGTCCGTCCCAAAGACTCGCTTCCCCTATAGTAAGTATCGGAGCTTCTCCTAGACTTGTAGTGGGCTTTCCTAGACCTGTGGTTGTCTTTGGCATGGTAATTCCTATGCTTTCTTTTCTTCCAGGCTCTGTTCTTCTGGTTGGGGTTGCGCCGATAAGATCTGTTGTTCTCCGAAGGCGTTCTTTGTTGAGAATGTTTAGGTCTTTGTGCCTTCTCCATATAATGGTTGAAAACGGTTTTCGGAGTAAAGAAGTCAGCACGTCTAAATGAATCATCAAGATAGTGATTATTGTTAGCATCATGGTGAATGTTTACCCGCTTGTTTATCCGACCATTATGAGACTTGTGCCTGACATTCCGCATGCTAGGGATCTTAAGCGGCTTCCGTGGATGACCTGCCTTGTGCTTGGGTCTAGGAACTGACAACTGTTTGTTGTTGCCAGCCTTTGCAAGAGCCTCCTTCTGGTTCTCCTTGTCTGAAGTCCTGTCAGTAGTTTCTTCTTCGGTAGGCTTCTCTTCGATGACTCCGGATTCTTCCTCTTCGAACTCAAAGTCACACGTAAGATGCTCGACTTTAAGCAGAGAATCCTTCATAGTTTCTAGATCGCGGTTCTCGGGATCAATGGTCAAACTTGATCTCAAAACCGAAAATAGATCGTAACTCATTGCCGGAAATATGTCAAACAAGGTCTCTCTGTTTGCCGCAAAATGCAGGAACAAGCGGTCCTTGGAGCTTGCCGAGTTGAAAGGAGACTTGCCGAAAACGATGTTCAGCAAGCAAATTCCCAACGACCATATGTCCACCTTGTCTGCGCTGTATGTATCAATATCCTTATGGTCCAACAGCTCTGGGGCCATGTACCTCTCGGAACCAACATCAAAATCCGTACAGTACTTTTCGTCTGTGGCCAAACCAAAATCAGTGAGCTTGATGGACCAATCTTCGCAAATCAAAATGTTTTCGGGTTTGATGTCACGGTGATAAACTCCCATGCTATGGCAGTACTCCACAGCACTCAAGAGCTGCAACGACACATCAACCACGTCTCTAGTACACGCTGGAGCAACTCCCATTTGAATCGAGTCATGCAAGTCTCCGCGTGAAGCGTATTCGAGCACAATGTAGCTGTCAAAACAGTCCAGCAGCTCGGTGATGTTTGGATGGCCCGAAACCCGTTTTAGCATGTTGATTTCCTTCTGTGTTTCCTTTAAAACCACCGACTTACTGACCGTCTTTTCATCCTCCTCTTCCGCGAAGGTGAAATCGCTAATACATGTGGTATTGTATTTCAGTGCCACAAGCCTATTGTGGTCCTTGACGTCCTTTGCTAGCGAAACAATCCCAAACGAACCTTCACTGATATCTCTGACCTTCAAATACCGATCGTTTAGCAATCCGCCTTCGATGTACGCCTTGTAATCAAAACTCATTGTAACCGTAAACCCAATAATCCTGACCGATCAAATAATCAAATGCAATAAATATCCCATAAACAGCGGCGATAGAGGAAAAAGGCGTTGATATCAGTAGCTTTGGCTCTGATTTATGAAAACCTGTTGTTATCTAAGTTGTAATCAACCTTGTCGTTGTCAGACAAATGTTACTATCTGAACGCTTTTATTCTCAAACGTTGTGAGCGTTTTTGAGACTAAATTTGCGATCACAATTCCAGAGTACAAGTATAGCTGTTATCTGTCTGTATTGCCAGTTTGTCACACTTTTAACTCAGTTTTCATAAGGAATCAAAGCTACCGATTTGTTTAAATTTGGAACTTTGTAGAATCTGCCCTTGTTCGTTTAATTACACCCGTGCACCATGCTGCACAAAACATTTTCTTTTCGGCCTCACCCCCTTTCATCCACAATTTGCCTATTTGGGACAATACCATGATCCGAGAAGAAATTATGAGATGTCAGTCAGTATCGCTCTTTACCATCTACTTAGAAAAACAAATCGTACAATATATATGTAGCAAAAGTCCTTTAAAATACTTTGTCATTCGTCGTTGTCGTCCGAGTTCTGGCTGCCGGCAGGCCCAAAACCAATTGATCCCCTCGTTTCCGGCGAACTTCTCGAGCCGGTCTCTGAGGTAGACACATTGATCCCGTTCTCCGCAAGACTCTTCGGAGTCATCGATGCTGCATCATGATCGATGCGAGACTTCCAGTTTTCTTCGCCAACCTGCTCGTCGTCTTCCTCCTCCTTGACAATGTTTCTAGTGTCCATTTCCTCGCTCACGTCACTATAGGCCTCCCCGTTTTCATCATACAGACTGTCAAGATCCAGATGTTGCAAAGACGGATTCATTAGTTTCTGCTTGCCCCTAACCTTAACGTTCTTTGTAATACGTCCTCCCCTTGTTGATGCGCTCCTGTCACTCACAAGAATACTCTTTGGTTGACGGCTCGCTTTAGAAGGGTGTAATCCAGAATACGCTGAGGTTGTGGCCATTTTATCCTTCGGTTTTGCACTCCTAGGATGCTGGTGCGAAGACGACGCCTCCATCGTAGCATAGCTTTTTGAAGACCCGAAATATTGATAAACGGGAGATTGATAAAAGGCTGCTGAGAGCGGCTGACTGTATGGAAGCAATGGGAAGTCCGAGTAGTATGGCGACGGACCATAGATGCCATACGGGAAGTGGCCTCCAGACGGTAGAGGAACCACTTGTTGGTGGTGGAAAGGATCGAACTCCATGTCCAACAAGTGATTGCCATTTGTAGGGTAAGAAGGATAGCTCAGCAAAACCTGGGGTGAGGAGTTCGAATCTTCCTTGTCACTATTTCCGGAACGTGACTGAGATCTGGACTCGCCAGCAGGGTTGTTACCGTTGGCCAGTGTAGTTGGCGAGGGAACCAGCTGTAGCGTCTGTTGTTGAGCGTAATTATGAGCGTAAGCAGTGGCGTGGCCTGCGTGTGCAAATGTGGCACTCTTAGGTGTCGCAGAGCGCAGTGAATTGGCAACTCTTGGTGTCATGCGTAGGTTCAAAGGATTCGTGGCTGATGGCGGGCCTCCCGATTGGAGTCGACGCTGTTGTGTGCTGTACATCACAGGAACAACCGGTGTAGCCTGATCCAGCAAGTAATCGTCCATAAATAATGCTCTCCCAGGAGAGCCTGCGTACATTGCAGGGTCCATGTATAATGATGGATGGTGGCCGTAGCTGATGTAGCCGGCGTCTTGCGATGAGCCCATGAGGTGGTCTGAGAGCCCTGCTGATTCAGCTGGCAAGAAGTCCAATGGGAAGTCGTCGTCGTCAGTGGTGATGCTTTTGATCTCCTCCTTGACCGACGGATGACTTGCCATGGTGTTCTGGTCGCTGGCTGGGGGTCTCACAACCTGCTCAATATTTGCTTCCGTGTCACCATCATAAATATCGCCTCTTCTCATGCCACTGTCTTTCTCCAAATGTTTCAAGATCTGGTCCGCCAGCGGCATCGAGTGGTCAAACTTGAGCGATAAGGAAGGCTCGCTCATGGCCCGGGTGGTGGCCGGCTGATTAGCATATTCTTTTTTCAAGTCTCTCTCCAGTGCTTCGGCAAACAACTTGTCATGGGGCACACTGAACCAAAAGAACACTTTCTGTTTCTTTTGTGTTCTTAGACATTGATTTTTGTGTAAAAATTTGAGGAAGGGCGACCGCGGATTCTCCAACACGGCGTCGGTGCCGCACTTAAGGGCTCGGAGATCACTGAAGATCCCTTCTTCAAATTTCTTTCTATCAATGATGGTTCGTCCAAAGTGGTGAATCTTGTACGCAATACAGCGCACAATGTCTGTTCCCGTGATGAAGTACAGATTATTCCAGTACACACAGGAGACAAACCCTTCTTCCTTGTTTAAAAAATATCTCCTGATGACCTGGTTTTCATGCCAGTTTACTGGAGCGGTGGCCAGAAAGAACTTTAGGTCATCAATCAATCTCAGTGAGGTTTCCACAGAACTGATCGGGGTCTCTGGAAGATTTTGGTGGCGGGCTGTGGGGTTTTCATTCAAAATTGACCCATTCCCTGTCTCTGCCATGACAATTTGAGTACGGTGTGAAGTATAGTCTAGCAACGGCTTCAGGCCCACCGAGATGTAACAGAATGATTGAGATTAGAATGGGGCTGTTTTTTGTAACTCAGAGAACACCATCAGGATGTCTCAGATACTTATATATTTGTTTCAAGAAATGTTTCTTAATTTCTAAGTACCAGTTTCCGCGACGGTTACCATTATATATCGTGGGAAAAAGATAATGCATTATGAACAATCGCAGATGAAATGTTTGCAGTGTGGAGTTACGCGGGTACCTTTTGTGGCAGCATCATGCAAACAATTGCAACAACCATGACACATTGTGTTCTGGCCAGTGTCATTAAAGCCGGACGTACGACCGGGATCCGAAACGTTTCTGCTCGTTTGTTTCAGCTCCTCATCTAATCTCTCGGGATCCATCGCACAATTCCCACACACCTTCTGCCACATAGACATGTGTCGTATCTAATCCGATATTCGAAATAGGAGCTGCCTTTTCCACATATATCTGTGCTGTCACATCTGCTTTGGTTGCATTGTGGTCCCGCAAAACAGTAATGTATCAGCAATGGCCATTCTCAGTAATAATAAAATACTAATGCCGGTGGACCATATGGACTTCATCACATTAAGCAACCCCAATATAGCTCATGCAGCTCTTAATTACTCTTCTCTATTAATTATCAGGTGTTGTATTTGACGCATTCAGCATACGCCTCATTTCTACGTCTAATCCACCAACCTGGGACTGCCAAGGACCCTACCTTGACTTCGGCTTGTGTTTCTTCTCCTCTTCGGGCTCCTGCTCGCGCACCAGTTCGTCTTTAATTATCCTCTTCCAGTCTGCATACCGTCTAGAGTACAGCTCCATGTGCCAGTTCTTCCACACTTGGCGGCCGTAGCCACTGTTTTTCAGCATCTCGCGATTGTCAAAGAGGATTTTCGCAACCCTGTCTTTATACATATTAAGTCCAAATGTGAATCCCCATAAACAATCAACGATGTGTGATCCGGTTGCGTGGCATGCCAACTCCGCGATGGTTTCTGTCAGTTTGTTGAGTAGTTTCTTGCGGCTGATTGCGTCGACGTCTTTGTTCAGACTCTTTTCCACAACGTGCGAAAAGACACCGTGCTTGCACATGGCCTTCAGCTTGTCGGGATCCATGGCGATCAATACATCAACACACTCTTGCAAGAACTTTGAGTCGTATGCGACAAGCTTTTCCAAGAAAAGTGCTCGCCGCCGCTCGTCGGCTGTGGGCCAGTCGTCTCTCGTATTCCCCAGCGTAGACGTCGACAGTCTGAGAACGCTCTCAAAAATGTCTGAGTTCTCACCAAGACGGAAGAACTGAATAAGCTTATCCACTATCTCTGGCTTCAAATAGTCTCCGCGTTCTTGCGAGATATCTATGATGCTCTGGCCAAAGTCGAACCCGTTGACAATGAGCTCGTTGAGATGCGGAACTAGCTCGTCCAATAGAAACTTCTGGTCTGCAGGCTTGAGCTTCTTCAGCAATGCTCGGATCACGTATGCCCCAGTGGTTTCACGCTTGGCAAGCTTCAAAACACGGTCTTTCATGTACAGCTCGAACAGACGCTCGACGTTTTTGTGACGTTGAGTGGAGATCACCGTCTCCAGAAAATGGGAGCCAACAGCATCCGACAGCAGGTACTCGACGAAAGCTTCCTCTTTCGAGTCCTTTTCATGCGAAACCACATTGAACGTTTTGCACCACAGCGTACGATCTTTGTCGACGATTCCCTCGAGCTGGATCAAGAGCTGGATCACAGGAGACCCAATTTGGTCTATAGCAAGCTCCCGGAGCGACTTTGTGTCGTGCTGCTCATTTACAAGCCTCAGAATGTCTGCCAGCTCGTCCTTGAACGAAGAAGGAGTCATGTACGAGCGTTTGTAGTCTTCATTGTCCTTGATATCGATCATCTTGCGCGCAATCTTGGACTTCTTGGACCGGAGCACGGAGTTCGATTCCACCGTCGACGGAAGCTGTTTCCCTCCTAAAATGAGCAAAATCACACGCAGCACATGCGACGCATACCTGTGGACAACTAGATGGTCCAGCTGCGGTTTAATCTCGGCCAAGAGAAAAAGAAGCATGTTTTCCATCGAGACGTACTCTTCGTCAGCGTCTGGCTCCTCTGGCTCAGAAGTCATTTGTTTTTCAACATACATGGCCATTCTGACCAGATACGTCTCCATCACGTGTGAGGAATACTTTTGGCTGCATAACTGCACGAAATGGCCATTGAACGCACTGAAGAGTTGTTTCATCTGACGCTCCGTGGCCACCAAAACAAGTCTTTCCATCAGCTTGGAGCATATCTGGTTCGTGACTAGCTTCAGCTCTTTGCCCTTCGATTCCTCGTAAACACCCGCAACAAAATACTCACGTTCCTCGCTGCTACTAAATGCATTGATATTAAGCGTAGACTCTGCCTGTTTGAAGTATTCTAATTCCGTAGAATCAAGCAGCCCAAAGAATGGCGTTGCTTCCTTGATATTGGGCTCTGGGGTCTCTTCAATGTTCTCGTCGAGCTTTTCCTTTCTCTTGTCTCGTCTACCTCTAGGTTTACCCATCAGATCTATTTTTTCTAAATTTTTTCTAAACTTTTCAAAATAACGTAATCGTAAAAATATATCACAAAAAACCTTTCTTGTACTTGCTTCCAGATGGATTTAGATCCTGAATTCGCTCCTTCGCCTGAACACTCGGAAGACGAAAACAACGACGATGGCAAAAAGGCGCCAGACGCATTGAAGGGTGCTAATGGTGCCTACGCATGGGAAGACCAGTACAGACGTTCGTGGGATATAGTGCAGGAGGATGAGAGCGGAAGTATCGAATCCATCGTGTCTGGCCTCGTCGAGTCACAGAAAAAACGATATATGAAAAACATCACGCCTTTCCAACGTGGAATTATTCGTACAATGGTGCTGGTACTGGACTTCTCTAACGTGATGATGGAAAAAGACTTCAGACCCAATCGAGTGTCTGTGATGATTTCGAACGCCATAGAATTTGTCGGGGAGTTTTTCGATCAAAACCCAATCTCGCAGCTGAGCATAGTCATCATGCGCAACGGCGTTGCCCAGCTTGTTTCTGAAGTGAGCGGCAATCCTCACGACCACATTGAAGCACTAAAGAATATTCGAAAACTAGAACCTCAAGGGTATCCTTCTTTACAGAACGCTTTGGAAATGTGCCGAGGCCTCCTGTTGCATGTTGCGTCACACTGCACGCGAGAGGTGTTGGTGATATTCGGTGCGCTGTTTACTTCAGATCCAGGGAATATACATAAAACGATTCAGGATCTGGTGCGAGAAAAAATCACCGTGCGTGTGATTGGGCTAACAGCACAGGTGGCTGTTTGCCAGGAGCTCTGCCGAATGACAAACTACGGAGATCTAAAAAACTCGTACCATGTGGTGTTGTACGAGCAGCATTTCAAAGAGCTGTTCATGGACGCTGTCACGCCCTTGGCAGTGACAAAAGTCGAATCACAGAAGAAAGACGGGTTCACCCTTGTGAAAATGGGCTTCCCATCGCGAGTGAGCGATAACCAGCCGACGTTTTGCTCCTGCCATTCGAAGGCGGTGTATGGGGGCTATATCTGTCCTAACTGTAAAAGCAAGGTGTGTGTGCTGCCCACAGTGTGTCCGTGTTGCGATCTGATGCTGATTCTGTCCACACACCTTGCACGGTCGTACCACCACCTATTTCCGCTGAAGCTGTTCCAGGAAGTGCCCGTGAGCGAAGAGTATAGCTCGAGCCACTGCTTTGGCTGCCAAACGCAGTTCCCGCCCGGCGTGGCGCCATCGACGCGACGAGAGTACCACACGAGCTCGCGGTACCGCTGCCAGGACTGCGCCAAGGACTTTTGCATCGACTGCGACGTGTTTATCCACGAGGTGTTGCACAACTGCCCCGGCTGCGAGGCCGATAGCAGAAAGCTATAAAAAATTCTATGTATGCGCTCGTAACCATTTTATCAGTAAAACGTACACCTTTGACTTTTATATTCGCCAACTGCAGAACCAAAACAGATGTCTACCACGAAGTCGGTAATAAGAACCATCAAAAATGTGGCCAACGGCTACTCCAATGTGCAGGTGATGGTTAGAAATGCCACCAGTAACGATCCCACAGGTCCCACGACCGCCCAGATGGCAGATGTGGCCAACCATACGTACGAAAACGGAGAGTTCTTAGAGGTGATGGATATCATCGACCGTCGGCTGAACGACAAGGGAAAGAACTGGCGGCACATTGCCAAGTCGCTCACTCTCTTGGACTACCTGGTGCGGTACGGGTCCGAGGACGTGGTTTTGTGGGCGAAGGAGAATATTTACATCATCAAAACCTTGAGAGAATTCCAGGTAAACGACATGCTGGGAGCCGACCAAGGAGCCATTATTCGAGTGAAGGCTAAAGAGTTGACGGCGTTGTTGCGCGATGACGAAAGACTGAACCAGGAGCGAGAGCTGGCTAGACAGAGAATGGCCGATAGACGGACCAGGAGGAAAAACCGGATGTCACCTGACGAGGACGAGTACGACGAGGCCTTGCAGAAGGCGTTGGAGGAGAGCCGCCTGACGGCCGAGGAGGAGGCCCGCAGACGCAGAAACCAGAGCGACGAGAGTTTGGAGAAAGCCATCCAGCTCAGCCTCGAGGAGGAAGAGATGCGGAAACGCAACAACAATCTGCTCGATTTGGACGACAACAACACGCAGCCGCCTCAGGTGTTCGGCTACTATCCACAAGGACAAGACATGGGTCAGATCATTGGCTACGATATGTACGGCAACCCGGTGTACGCCAACCAGCAGATGAACACCGGGTATCTCCAGAACGCGTACCAGGACGTGGCGATGCAGCAGCAGATGTATCAACAGCAGCTGTACGAGCAGCAACTGGCGCAGCAGCAGGCACAGCAGATGGCTGCGTACCAGCAACAACTGGCTCAACAACAGCTCCTTTTGCAACAACAACAACAGCAGCAGCAGCAACAGCAGCAGGTTCCGCTTAAGACAGGCTCGAACAACCCATTCGCTCATCTCCAGCAACAGCAGCAGCCACAGCAGCAGCAGGTGCCTTCGCAGCCTGCAAAGCCAGCTGAGCAAGGCCAACAGCAAGAGCCTCTTAGACAGACACCGACCGGTATTCAGAAGATGAACGAGCAGTATTCGAAATTGAACGCCTTGCTCGCCACCGGCACGGGCGTGGACACGTTTGGAAACATCGGTGACACGAGAATCCCTGCACAACACACAAAAACCGGAACATTCATCAACTCGTACGGAACAGGAATCAAGCAGGAGACTGGCTCCAACTCGGCCAATCCATTCTTCGATACACAATATACAGGAATTCCATCCACGGGAATCACGCCTTCATACACGGGATACGGTTTCGGGAACCAGCAGGCGCAGAAGTCGGGCTCCAACGCCAACGGAGCCAGTCTGATTGACCTCTAGAGTTTTTTAGACTCATACATTTTCAGCAAGTCCTGCAACCGCCTTTTCTCCACACGTTCGGCCTCGAGCTCCTGCTCGAACCGTTCGTTCATGCCCGCGACCAACTTTTTGAACTCGAGTCTCAAAATCGACACGCTGACGTTGTTCTTGGTAGGGGACGAGGTGGCCGCGAAAGATTGGTCCTCGTGGTATGATGTGAGAGGCGTTGATGGAGAAGACGACTGACTTGCTCCCCGACTAAACGAGAGCGGTCTTTCGGCCGTCGTGTCGCCCAGACGGTCGACCTTCAGAAGGTTCAACTGCTTGGCCTGGTCAATGGTTTCCCGTTGTTTGTTGGCCAATTGCATTTGTAACTCACTGTTTTGTAGCTCCAATTTCAATAACTGAGACGTTTGTTTAGAAAGCTCGCTGTTCGATTTGTTGAGCAGCTCCTGTGATTGGCTGAGCTTCTGTCGCAGCTCGCTGAGGACAGTGTTATGGAGCTCGCGTTCGTCCTCGAACTTGCGCGTCAGGTAGTTGTGAGCGAATTGCAGGTCCGTCAATGCCGTTCTCAATTCCTCCACGTCGGACGACTCCTGCTTGTTGCCAATGTCTTTCGTGAACCGGTGCGTCTCGGAGATAGGCGTGGTTTTCGAGCCATTCACAAGAGCAGCAATGCAATCAGAACACCATTCGATTCGGCCAGTCAGACTGCGCATCTTTTCAATGTCAGGCTCAGGAAGTTCGACGTTGTTCTGCACAGACATCGACACCACCTTAGACACAAGCCCCTCCAGCGATCGCTCCACGTCGCTGGCCACGAAAGCAGGATTCTGGTCTAGGAACATGTCCTGCACGTATCCCAGCTGCGCAACGAGAATTTCATGGCTAGTCAGCTTTGTCTGAAGTAAGTCCAAGTCCTTGTCAATCTGGACAAACCGTTCAACCACCTGTGGTTGAGGTCTGTCTGCCAACTCTTTGAGTAATTGTGTTTTTGATGCTTTTAACTCTTCGATCTGGTTCTTGACGTGTCTCGCTCCTTCCAGCGTCAGAATCTCCTTTCCTTCCGATTCCTCGTGTAATTTGGCTAAAGTCCGCTCTATCAGGACGTTCAACTCAACAGGATCGATACCTTCGCGCTGAAGCTTGAAAGATCGCGCGCTTGGATCATCAATTATCTGTTTAAGACGCTGATTCAAAACACTGTTTGGCCGTCTGCGGCTTTGTTCCTTGTGGTCACGAAGCTGAATTGCCAGCTTCCGCGGATCCTGTAGGTCAAAAACGGGGTTTGGTTGACAAGTTTGACGCGTCTCTAACAGTTTTAAAGCAAGCGAGCTCATTATTTATTTATGTTTTTTTCCTCGAAATTTGATTTACTACTCGAAATTTCAGTTTCATCAATATTTTCTGATATAATGCAATCTATTTAGCACTTGTCGTGACCCCGCATCCTGAGTCCAATATCAAACTGTTATGGGCAAACTTAAAAACTGTACTTGGAACACACTTCTTCGATACGCTGCAGCAGCTCGTCCTTTCGAGACTGCGGAATGTAGGAACCTTTGACTCCATTCTGGGCAATTAACTTCCACGTTGAGACATCCAGACCAAACTTCGATTGAACGGCGAGGTAGTTATCTAAGATGTAGCCTCCGAAGTAGGCAGGGTCGTCAGAGTTGATTGAGAATGGAACACCAGCTTCAATCCACTCCCTAATAGGTAGCTCGGCAATGTCTTGCACAACACGGAGCTTCAAATTCGACATCGGACATAAAGACAGCATTGTTTGGCTGTCCGCAAGCCTCTTGATTAACTGTGGATCCTTGATGGAATTGACACCGTGATCAATACGTGTGACTTTTAGCAAATCCAGAGAGTTGTGGATGTACTCGGGTCCTCCTTCCTCACCAGCATGAGCTGTCAAAAGTACTTCAGGATGGTGTTTGGCCATATGCTCATAGCATTCTTTGAAAAGCTCTGGCGGGAAAGGTTTTTCAGAGGAGTCTAGACCAAGTCCGTGTATCAGTCCCTGCTCGTAGTAAGGCTTGGCCAAGGCAATGGTGTCCAACCCATCTTGAGATGGCAAGTGTCTCAGAAGACACATGATCAGTTTAGTCGTAATCCCTAACTCTGCCTCAGCCTTGTCGCATGCCTTTCTGAATCCCTTAACAACGGTCTCCATACTGATGCCCCTCTCGATGTGGCCCTGAGGATCAAAAAATGTCTCGGCATGATGTAAGCCATCTGCGTGTGCTTTTCTGAAGTATGCCCAGGCTAGTTCAAAAAAATCGTCCTCAGTGATTAAAACACTCATTCCCACATAGTACAAGTCCAAAAAATCCTGTAGATCTTTGAAGTTGTCATACTTGTACTGCAAATCATCCACAGTCTTTGGAAAATGATCTGGGAGTTGTATGTTGTTTCTAGCAGCCAAAGGGAAAAGAAGTTCAGGGCCCAATGTTCCTTCCAAGTGGACATGATGTTCGCACTTTGGAAGCTCATGGAGGAACTGGTGCATCTCTGGGGTCACTGTGTGCGTCATGATAGCAAAGTCTTGGTGCTAAGATAAATTTTTTAGTGAACAATAGAACCGTTTCTGCATTTCTTTTTTAATCTGCCGTGTTAAAATATGCCAAATACGGCTGTTTAAAAATTAAAGGTCAGATCTTGGATCTGATAGCTTCAGATTAGGGGATTTTCCGGCTTTTCAAGCTGCTGTAGCCAGGAACTGAGTCAAAATTCAGTTCTGCCTTCATTGTAATATTTTGCAGCTAGGAGAGCACCCCCAATTTGATTAGTGAAATAGAAAAACGAGCCTAGCAAGGGCACACTCTCCAATAGATTAGCCACGAAACCAAAACTCCAGTAATCTCCCTCCCTCTCTTTAATTAGGTACCTCACCTGGCGGCCTCTGAGTCTGGTCAGCTTGTAATACCGCTTCTCGAAGCTGTTTCCTTTTGCAACCGCACTGTTGAAGCTCAAGGCCATTGGGCCAATGAGGGGAATAAAACTCAGTAAAACTGGTCTCAGGTCGGAATAAACACTTCCTGGAATGGTCACCGGAGCCCATAGAGAATTCTCCCAAAGCTTGTCGCCAAAAGTGGGTCCAACAACTCTTTTCAGTTTGCCTGGTATAACCACTTTCTCCAACCCTTCACGGCACAAAATATTGTCAAAAAGGGAATCCATGGGCCGGGGAATCAGATAATTGTCCAAGATGTAGCTCGTGATAAAGTTGGCTTCCTGTGCAGTCACGCCTGCTCCCACGAGTAATCCAAACGGACCGCAACAGCACATCGCCACAGAGATGTTGAGCAAAAACAACGTGCTAAAAACAGATAAAAAGACAGATATATGAACAATCAAAATTGGAGGTATCAGCCTGAGGTAAATGGGCCACAAAGAAGGGTTCTCAAAAAAATAAATCACGCCCTGAATAGGATATTGTGCAGCTCCAGATTGTAGGATTCCGCGTGCAATGGTTACTGGCCGGGACACTTCCATAAAGAGCCGCGCGTTGACGGCATCGGTCAAGGAGGACATAAAGGGTATTGTAAGGCGCTAAGGATATTGCCCCTTTTTTTTTTACAATAGCTGTGCTATATTTTGAAGATGTCTGATTTTTTTCCGATTACATAAGCAGCTGTGAATTAGTCTAGTCGAAGAGACCGAAGCCCATGTCGTCATCTTCCTCTTCTTCTTCTTCAGCAGCAGCCTCCTCAGCGGCAGCCTCAGGAGCACCGGCAGCGGCACCAGAAGCAGCAGCGGCAGCTGGAGCACCAGTTGGGACACTGGACATCTTTTCGGTACCTTCAGCGATGAGTTCTTCAACGGATTTGCCTTCAACTTCGGCAATCAGCTTGTCAAGCTTTTCAGATTCCACTTCAATACCAACAGACTCGAGCACCTTGGTGACGTCGGCGGCAGATGGGGAGGTGTTTCCAGCTTGAACAAGCAAAAGGTAAGCAGCGATGTATTTCACTTGATGTTAGTATTGCGGGGATATGACGAGTCTAGATAGAATATGGGAGGCTGTGGGAATGTGGCGTCCCCGCCATGGGACCCAATAACGTCTCCTTCACCTATTCGTCCATTCGTGGTACTCACTTTTTGTGCTATGTTGAAGATGTTGAATTTCTTCAATATTTCTGATTGACACCTTGCACCGCACTGGAAAATTTTCAGGATCCGCACACGACGTACGCAGTCACAAACTTTTTGTTCCGCACCAGTATCGGTCTGGTCTGAGGTGTGCAATAGTGAGCCCTGGCCTCAGAGTGCAAAGATTTTTCATACACTTTTACAAATCTAATCATTCAACACAACACCATGTCTCAAGTCGAACAAAGAAAGAAGAGAACTTTCAAGACTTTCTCTTTCAAGGGAGTTGACCTTGCTGACCTCCTTGAGCTGTCCACCGAGGACTTCGCCAAATTGTGCCATGCCAGAGTTAGAAGAAGATTTTCCAGAGGTCTCGGTTCCAAGCCAATGGGTTTGATCAAGAAGTTGAGAGCTGCCAAGCTTGCTGCTGGTCCAAACGAGAAGCCAGCCATCGTCAAGACCCACCTCAGAAACATGATCGTCATGCCAGAAATGATCGGCTCTCTTATTGGAATCTACAACGGTAAGGTGTTCAACACCATCGAAGTCAAGCCAGAGATGGTTGGCCACTATCTTGGAGAGTTCTCCATCACCTACAACCCTGTCCAGCACGGAAAAGCATCCTCTGGTTCTAAGTTGAAACTTTATTAGAACAGCTAATGAAATACAATAAGTACCTATTTTATCATACCAGGTTCATCTCTTTGAGATCCTGCTGGGCCTCCTCACCCGTACAGCTTTTCAGGTCGTTCAGCGAGCTTGGGAATCCTCCAGTGTATTTTTCTATGCCCTTCAAGCTGCTGAGCTCGTGGTAAAGTGCGTTTCTTTGAACCACCAGCCGGTTTATTGCGCTCTGCGAATTCACGTTTGCAGCAGTGATGTCTCCGTTGTATTGGTAATAGTCCGGTAGGTTCAAAGTGATGTTGTCCATGGCCCGTCGTTCCTTGTTGATCTCGTACCAGTTCGACGTTATGTTCGTAATCTCTTCGTTCTTCAGGTCCTGACAGCACTTGATGAACTGCTGGTGTATCGCCACTCGTGTAGCTCGCGTCTGGTTGTCCAGGCATTTAAGCTTGTATTTTTGCAGGTTCACGTATCGCGCAACTTTGGCCTGGAAGTTATTCTCGATCATGTTGGAGTAGTTGATGAAGTCTGGGTGCTTGTTCGAATTGCAGAGTTCCAGCTCAAATAACAGCTTGTTCATCTGTGTCTCATACAGTTTGTCTTTCAACAGCGCAAACTCAATCTCAATATTCTTTATCTCTTCCAAGGCATTTAACCTGATGTGTTCTTTGGCTTTCTCCTCTTCCCCTTCTTTCTGGCTATTGCGCTCCTCCTTGTCCTCGCCTGTGTCTTGGTCTTCCTCCATTCCCGACTCTTCTTCGGCCTGTTCTCCCGCGTCTTCCTCCTCGCCGCTGAGTTTCTCGTCTTCTTCCTGCTTGTTTGTTTCAGCAAGCTTCGCGAGCCTGCTCTCTTCGACGCTGTCCATCCTATCTGTCTCCGCCTCTGACGAATTAATCTCGCTCACCTCGCTGGACGGGTTCTTCCTGTCGTTGACTCCCGTTGATCCTGTGTCCTCGGCCGCTGTAGCTTCCCCCATAGAAAACACACCTTTGAAGATTAAGAAAATAAAGGGTAGTGCAACACTAAAAAGGCTATCAAAAAATTTATTTTCTCTTGAACTATACATATGTCTGATTCGCTGGCCACGCTCTTTGCACAGCCCTCCAGGATCGACAACAAGGAGCTGGTTGCTCGCAAACGGACTCTGGTTGAGCTCCCAAAGACTGAAGAGGAGGAACGGGCGCTGGAGGCAGGACAACAGCCGAATAAAAGAGCAAAAAGAGCTGCAGATTTTGCTAAGTCTCGCAAAGAGGAGTCTTCAGCCACTACTCCGACCCCCAAATATGATCCTGCCGCTGAGAAGGAGAAGAATAAGCGCACGATTTTTATTGGAAATTTACCTACAGCCATCATGGCTTCCAAAAAAGCTACCAAGGAACTGAAGGCTCTTTTCAAGCCTTTTGGCAAGATCGAGTCCATGAGATTCAGATCTTTTGCAGTCCAGTCCAATCTTCCTCGAAAAGCTGCCTACATTTTGCATAACGTGAAAGACGACGATACCACCAACTGCTACATGGTGTTTGAAAAAGAGGAAGATTCGTTTAAGGCTGTGGAGTTGAACGGAACCGTGTTCATGGATCACCATCTAAGAGTTGACCATGTTGCCCGGCCCTTGAAGCATGATAACAAACTCTCTGTTTTTGTTGGAAATCTTGATTTTGAGGAGACAGAGGAATCCTTGTGGAGATTCTTCAACGAGACGTGTTCGCCAGATAAGTCGAATGTCATTGCTAATGTGCGGCTAGTTAGAGATTCCAAGACCAACTATGGGAAAGGGTTTGCGATTGTACAATTCACAGATACAAACTATGTTTCTAAAGCATTGTTACAAAACAAAAAAGAGCTCACAACATCGAAGAAACCTAGAGAGCTTCGCATCACGCGCTGCAGGAACCAGGCTGTGGCTCCAGTAAAGGACAGAAAACTCGGATCGGCTGTGAAAGCCGGCAAAGTGGTCCTGGAAGGTGAGAGAGCCAAAAAGGGTACTCGTGTCAAGGGTATCAAGAGCGGTGGTCACGCAGGCGGTAAAAAGAAGCCAAGAAACCCTGAGGGAAGAGCTGCAAGAAGGAGTAAGGAGTTCAGGAAAAAGCTGGGCGCTGAATGACTTGATGTAAAATAGACTAATTAAAATTCTATTAATTTTAAAAATACCTTATATAAATAATTGTGCGTATTTTTGGTAGCTGGGCGTGTTGTCCTCCAATCTTGTGATTGGTCGCGTCCAAGTGAGGCTTGCAATAATGTCGCTCGACAGCTCTGGACATGGTCGGATCATTTCAGGATAAAGGTGCTCTGCGTTTCGGTTTTTCAAGGTGGCTCGAATCATGTTGCGGAAAGCTTCGTGCTGCTGACTATTGTGATATAAAAATTTGAGAACAGTGTAGTAGTTTTCGTGAGCACCGAGCGAGTGTAGATGGAGCTTCAAAAGCTTATTGTACACAAGTTTTCTCTTTGATAAGGATATAGGACATTTGGAGTGAAAATATTCGAGCATAGAGATCGACTTGTACATCTCGCCTTTATGCGCTGGTTGCACAATAAGCTGCTGGAGATGAGAGAACTTGAGCGGGCGTCTCATTTGAAAAACATCAACACTTTTGATTAAACAGTCGAGGTTGTAATAAAAGGAGTATATCCGGATATAGTTGACTGGATGAATACTACCGGAAAGCTGGCAAAATGAGTCTGGGTACCGCCTCAAAAACTCGATGGCCTGCTGCGAAGTACGCAGCTCATTCTCTTTGATCTTCAGTACTTGCCAGATACTTCTCTGAAGAGGAATTTTGACTCGCAGCATGCTGTGCAGGTAGTCTTTTGCTGATTCTTTAGGGAGCAGCATCAACAAGCTCGTCCACGAGGCCAGTGTCGGGTCCAGATCGTACTCAATGATCTTGTCCACGCACGCGTCGACTATTCGCTCCTTCGATTGTCTGTCCAAATGGATAGCCGAGTTCAGCACTAGATTCACCCATTTTATGCGAGGTTCGATTCCTACCGAGGGAGCCATGTTGAAGATCAGGTTGAGCATTGTTGCACAATGATTGTAGCTGTGAAGAAACGAAAGCAGCTGATCAACTGTCTGGTCAGTTAGTAGAGGCAAATTCTCGTCCTTGAGAATGTCATGATATAGTATATTCAGTACCGTGGAGGACTCTTTGGGAGATGGCCTAGCACAGGTCAGATACGTGGTGTAATTTGCCAATGCTTTTGCATCCGTAAGATTTTTAGGAGGTCTGATTCTGCGGGCCTGCTTAGGAACCAAAGAACTGTCAGGCTTTGTCAGGATCTGCAATTTGTGGTCCCAGAATTCATCTGTCAGGGAACTCTTTAGACCAAACTTGTGTCGGGCAAATTCGACATAGCGGGAGACGTATTTTGGCAGAAGAGGACGCAAGGGCGCAAACTCATCTCTGGCAACATTTCTAGATACACCAATGGATGAAAACCTTACAAATACTATTGATTGGGTCCGCAGCATGAGGTAGAAATGGTGGGGTAGTTTTCCAAAAATCAGATTACCTAAAAAAATCCTTATCATCGTATCAGTATGGGTTCCCAGGCATCCAAAATCGTTGAACCAAAATATACACCAGTGAGAAGCGCTAATGACGACGACGAGCTTCTGTTGAAGCTACAGACAAGACTTGGCCAGCAAGACGGGTCCAAAGACGCCCCACTGAGCCTGAGTAACCTCTCCAAGTGGGAGGCAAATTTGCTGGCAGACCCAAAGAATAGACTAGCTCTGAACTGTTTCACCAGCCATGACATCACTGAGATAGTTGCACAGACGGCAGCCATCAACTTGGACAACGTCGACTTGTTCAATGTAAATGTCAAGTTTGAAGGCGCACCCATCACCAACCAGAAGTCATCCGGTAGATGTTGGCTTTTTGCATCCACCAACGTGTTTAAGGAGTTTATGAAGGCCAAGCACCAGCTGGAAAGCTTTGAATTTTCGCAAAATTACCTCTTTTTCTACGACAAGCTGGAGAAGTCGAACTGGTTCCTGAACAGGATTATTGACTCTGCCGATGAGGAAATCGACTCTAGATTGGTCCAGTACCTCATGCAGACTCCGGAAAACGACGGTGGTCAGTGGGATATGGTGGTGAACCTAGTTAAGACGTACGGTCTTGTTCCGAAGTCCGTCTATCCGGACTCGGCTTCGTCCATTAGCTCCAGCGGTCTAAACTACCTGGTGAACAACAAGCTACGGGAGTTCGCGCTCATTTTGCGTAAGCTGAGCACCAGCGAGAAAAACGAGGACATTGAAAGCGTCAAAACGTCGATGCTGAACGAGATCTTCAACATTTTGGCCTTGACTCTGGGACTACCTCCAAAGCCTGACGATGAGATCACCTGGGAGTACAAGGACAAATATGGCAACTTCCATTCCGTCAAGACTACCCCATTGGGAGTGTACAACGACCTTTTGGGCTTCGATGCTGCCAAATACTTCTCGCTCATTCATGACCCAAGAAACACCGAGGGACTGTACACGGTGGACAAGCTGGGCAACATTGAAGGTGGAAAGCCTATAGAGTACGTCAACACGTCTATTGACAACCTCAAGCAGGCGGCCATTGCTATGCTACAGGCAAACCATCCTGTATTTTTCGGGTGCGACGTTGGCAAGTTTGGCAAGACTGATTTGGGCCTTTTGGATGTCGACTCGTGGGACTACCAACTGGGCTTTGGCACCAACATGCACCTGACCAAGAAGCAGCGTCTGATGACAGGCTCATCGCAAATGACGCACGCCATGGTACTTGTCGGTGTCCATCTTATTGACGGAAAGCCTGTTCGCTGGAAGGTGGAGAACTCCTGGGGTGAGTACGGGGCACATAAGGGCTACTACGTTATGAGCGACAAGTGGTTCGACGAGTACGTTTTCCAGATTGTCACGAGCGAGAGATTTGCGGCTGCCAAGCTAACAGATATCTGGAAGAGCAAGGATTACAAAGTCCTACCATACTATGATCCAATGGGTGCTCTGGCCTAATTTTTTTAGAAATATTTTTTCTTTACATATTAACATGAATGTCTTTACTTTCACGGTTCGGTAGGTCGATGCGTGGTGCTTTGCCCGAGCGAGTCCTCGTGGCGGTATCGGGTGGCGTTGATTCCATGGTGCTGCTGGACTTGACTCGCAAATGGGCTGAGGTTACGGGCAGTCCGTGTCGCATCCATGCCATAACTGTGGATCACGGTTTGCGCCCTGAAAGCGCAAAAGAGGCAAGAAAGGTCCACGAGATCGTGCGCAACATGGGTTTAGATCATGAGATTATCTGTGTTCCTGAAAAGATTGACCCCAAACAGCTGGAAAAAAGTGCAAGAGCATGGAGATACAAATTGATGTACAATAAAATGAAACTGCTCCACATAGACAATTTGATGGTGGCACACCATTTCAACGACCAGCTAGAAACGTTTATGATTCGTCTGGCCGCTAACTCGACGCTTTTTGGTCTCTGTGGGATGCGCAACGTGTCTGCTTATCCTATTCTCGATCCATTTGGTAGCAAGCGTATATTACGGCCCATGTTGGATATCCGCAAAAAGGAGCTCTACGCATATGCATACGAGCATAATCTGGAGTGGTTTGAGGATTCTACAAATCTTCAGCCAATTACGTTGCGAAATAGAATCCGCAAATACTTGCAAACGGGACAGATAGAGGAGAATACTGTGGAGCAGCTGCTCTCTAGCGTACGCCGAGCAGTGGACGACGTTGAGAGCGATATGCGACAACTAGATAATGAGATCTCAGTGAAATTCAACACTAGTCTTCTAAAGATGTCGGTCATCATACCATCGACCGTTTTCGAGCGCTATCCGCTGCTGTCTCTTGACAGGTTTATATTTGAAAAACTCCACTGCGTGTCGGCCATTTCTAACTATCACCATCGCTACACGACTATCGATTTGAAAAACGCTACCGTTCGCACAAACGACTGGTCGCTCTCGGAGTCGATCTGGGACGGGACGGTGCCTGAAAAGTTCAATGTTCTCAAATGTCTGGTGAGAGTGGTGCGCTCTAAAAATAATATCCATCTTCTGATCACCCGAGCGACTGAAAAATTCAGACAGCCGGTCGAACGTGTCGTGAATGTCACCGCGTCGTGGTCGGAATGGGATTTGTTCGATAACAGGGTGTGGTTTCGAGCGAGAGGCAAGCCAGGGTCCTATACCCTTAAAGTGGAAGCCAACGGACTGCCTGCCTTTTATCACGGAGGACAATTCTTGTGCTATCCAACCATTGGTGGCTGTGGCAGTTTGGAAGTCCAGACTATGACGAAACCAATGCGTGTAATGCAAACGTAATATATTGTACAATTAATCCTCGAAACTTTGGTCTTCGCTTTCGCTTTGCTCATCCAGCTGGTAAGTGATTGAGAGGCCAAACTGTGTTTCAGTAAAACGAAGCAACGAAGCATATTTGAACTGAACCGAGTACGGGAAGGCTTCCATGTTAGTGAGAAATACCTTGAGACTGGTTTTGAGCCGTGACACTTTGACAAACTCCTCGGTATGTGAGGCAATCTGCTCGAGCTGGCTCTGCAAGCTCTCAATAAAGCGCTCAAAAAAAGCTGTTTGCTCGACCACCAAATCGACACATTCAAGAGCAAGATTGGTGAGGCTGTACCATTGCTCCAAACAGCAGTAGTTGTTGAGAACTAGCAAACCGACAAAACAGAAATTGTGCTCGTTGGTGAACCTGTGGGTCGTGAAAAGGGCATTAAAGTAGTCAGACTTGTCTCTGCTGTATTTGGACAGATCCAGCTTCACCGACTTCAATACCACCTTTGGGTCTGTCTGTGTCAACCTGAGCTCGCCGTTCTGCTTGCTCATGTCGAACTCGATGACTTTCCGCAATTCGACCAGTTCCGCCGTCGACGAGTCAGACGTTGTGACGAGCTCACTCGTCCAGTCACTCTCGACTCCCACAATCTGACTGTAATCGAGATGAAGCCCGAACTGTGGCCATTTATTATTTTTGAAATTGGAATAATTCACCATGTATGGTAGCAGGGCCTCAAACTGGAACGTCTGTCCTTTGCCAAACACCAGCTGATTTTCAACACTGACACTTTCGACGGTCAGCTCGCCTTCCACCACGTCTATGGAAATCACCTCGCGATCTTGGCATCTGACAAACTTGGCTGTCCTCGTGTTACTCAGCTGATTGGTAAGATGGACAAGATGGACACCATTCGTGACCTGCTTGATGCCACGGAAACTGACTTCATTGGAGGAGTCAAAAAAGAAAAAGTCAATTCCAAAGCTCAGACCTTCAGGTAGTTTCTTAGCAAACACAATGGTAGTTCCTACCCATGTCATGAATAAAAATCAAAAAAATACACCCATTTATTTATTTTATGTTGAAGATAGGACTCGAGATACATGCCCAGCTGAAATCCAGCAGAAAGCTGTTTTCGCTTTCAAAAAACACAACGTCGCTTCTGGACGTTCGTCCAAACACCACGGCCTCGTTTTTTGACGTTAGCTTGCCTGGAACGCAGCCCAAGCTCAACAAAGAGCCGCTGCTTCTGGCACTCAAAACAGCTCTCGCTCTCAACTGTTCGATCAGTGAGATCTCGACATTCGACCGAAAACACTACTTCTATGGAGACCAGCCACTTGGCTACCAGATTACCCAGCACTACCAACCAATCGCCAAAGATGGTTACCTCAAGCTGACCAAATACGATCTACCGAAAGAAAAAACTATCCGCATAGAACAGATCCAAATCGAGCAGGACACCGGACGAACCTTGTACAAAGAAAAAGGTCACAGTAACGTGGACTTCAACAGATCCAACATTCCTTTGATCGAGATGGTGACAAAGCCAGACTTTTCCAGTGTCGAGGAGGTAAGAGCGTTCATCAAAAAATTCCAACAGACTTTGGTGAATCTCGGAGTTTGCACAGGAGAATTGGAAACAGGCGCAATCAGAGTGGACGTGAATTTGTCTGTGGACGACAACAGCAGAATCGAGATCAAAAATCTACCCACAACATCAGCCATTGTCGCGGCCATCCGCCATGAATATAAAAGACAGTGTCGGTTAATAGAAAAAGGTGAACCAATCACAGAGGTCGAGACGCGAGGCTGGGATGGAAAGAAAACACAGAAACTACGCTCAAAGGAAGATGCAATCGATTACCGCTACATGCCGGACCCTGAGCTTCCAGCAATCAGGCTGAAACTGGACGATATTGTGCCCAAAGTTCGCGCCCTGCTACCGCCGTCTGTGGACGAACAGTTACAAGAAATTCTTCAGAAGTATGAAATTAAGCTTAGAGATGCCAACATCCTATTGGCCGACCACGAACTGATGGAGTACTACAAAGAACTTTACAATAAATGTGTTCAATCAGGCGTGCCTAACCCTATAAACTGGCTCACACACGAGCTTCTCGGAAGTTTGAGCAAATCCAACATGGCGTTTGAAAAGTCAGTGCTCCATGTAGACAAATTCGTGGAGCTTCTGGTCGCGCTCGAAAATGGCTTGATGACCAAGACAAACGGAAAATTGCTGCTTATGCATCTGATCAACAACCCACAAGACCAGAAAGTCCCAATTCCCCAGCTCTTGGAAGAATTCGATCTAACCAAGACAGACGAGACAGAGGTGTTGGAACAAGTGACCGACAAAGTCATATCTGAAAACCCCAGCGTGGTGGAACAAGTCATAGGAGGGAAGCCCAAGAAGCTAAATTATCTTATCGGACTTTGTATGAGAGCCAGCGAAGGGAAGTTCGACCCAAAACTGATTGAGGATAAATTGAAAGAGAAGCTTTCAAACTTGCCAAATACTACCAAAACATGAAAATCAATATTCGTTAACTGCCATGCAATTAAACCTTACCTGTTAGTCCCGCTAAAGCATTTCCTCGACGCCTTCCAACTGTCCAAACGTGTTCTCTCCGCTGTATAAAATATACAAGAACCCGTCTTCATCTTTGTATTGTTCGTAGATTGTACTCATCAATGATGCTGTTGGGGGGAGTATATCGTTCACAAAGATGAAAATGGCTTTTTCTGATGGCAGCTGAATTCTCTTTCTAATCACGTAAACAAATTGGCCCACTGTTAAATCGGATGGAACCAGGTATTTGCGCTTATCAATCTCAGGGATGTCACTCTCCTCGACCTTCTCACAAATGACTGGAATCCTGTCTAGAAACTTGCCTCTGATCCTAGAAGCCTCTGCCTTTCTACGCTCTAGCGATGTTAGCAATAGTATGCGCCACAGCTACTTACCAAAAGGGTGCTCGTCTTTGAATTGCGATCTCATTTTGTAAACGGTGATTGACGCCAAATGAGATATACGTAGTGATGTCTCGTTTGTTTACGCTTCTTGTAGTATTGCAAAGAAAGGAACTTTGTTTTCCCCTCGATAAGGGCAAATTAATTTTGACACACGATAAGAGTGGCACGCGCTGCAGATGGCAGTACTAAGAAATAAATCGGCGCGACGATCGTCCATCTAATTTAATATACACTATGATATCAATCGGAAAGCAGGTATGAGAGAACTGTCAGCAGAATCATAAGAAGCAAAACCCAATAACCATAGTGGTGATATGATGGTTTGGGTTGCATGCTTGGAAATCCCTGAGTCTCATTATCCACCATACTTTGCGACGGGCATGTGGCAGGCTCGGGATTTTCAGAGGCATCATTCTGCTCTGTTTCTGCTTCTGTAGTGCGTTCAGGTTGTGTGCGCTTGCCTTCGTTTCCCAGCAAAGTCTGGCGCAGGCGTCTGAGGCGCATTTCTCTGGGTGACAAAGCGTTCTCCTCTGCATTCAATTGGCTCTCTGGAGTTCCAGTTTGCTCAACATTGTGCTTTGGTATCTCTTTGAGAGTCTCGTAAAACCTTGCGCGATTTGAAAGACGAGAATTTAGCGTTCTGGGGGGTGGGCTGAACGATGTGTCCACTTTTGTAAAAGACGCGTCGTTCTTGGTTATGAGACGCGGCGCTCGTCTGGATTGCGGTCGTACAGTATCGTATTCTAACGGGAGCGGCTTTCCAAGATCTATTTTCACGCGTTCGGCTTTGGTGGACGGGTTTATCGAGGTCGTTTTCTCATCACTCACCAATGGCTGTCGAATTAGAGACTCGTGGAGTGTATCAAACGCACGGAGCTTTATTTGGCGAGAGTCAGAGCGCGGCTTGGATTGCCTCTCTGTCTTAGAAGCCCAATACGCAGATTTCATCGGCCATTCTACTTCAGTTCCAGCTGGTAAAATAATTCAATTACCTATTAAATAAATTCATCGACGCGCGTCGATAGTCCATTGGTATACGGCCCGACATTTTTTTGGGCTCAGTCAATCAATTGATTGGCTTGTCCTCTGTCAAGAGCGAAGTGATGCTGATAGAAGTAGGCGTTGTTTTCGGCTTGCTGAACGTGGCCGTAAAGTCTATGGCAATTGCCGCAGGCACTCTATCGGGATTTTGGGGCCCCGGAACATCCCCGGTCCTGCCTCGAGATTCAGGTGGTAAAAGTTTCGGCTTATCCGTTTCTCTAGCTGCCGCTAATTTCTTGCGCCTTCTGATAGTGCTTTTTTTGAGTTTCACTGGCCGATGTTTTCCATGCAATTTGTAGTACAGTCCACAGGCGTTGCAGATAGTCTGTCCGTATTCGTTACGACGCCACAAAGGGGTCACCGTGGTGGAGCAGTTGGTACATGCCACCACAAGGGACTGCTCTTTGTAGTTCTCGGATTTGACCGTAGCACCTCTCTCATCCTCATGAGAGATGAGTACTCGGTTATTGTATGATGGACACCCATCACATGAGCTGGAACCACCAGTTCCGTTACAATGGCCACCCCCCTTGCATGAACCCTTTTCAATTGATCCCGGGTTCAGTGGTACTAGATTGGGTGGTTTTTTCAAGTCCACCGGTCGGGGGGCGTTGTTCGCTCGGTAGTAGAGACCGCAAGCGTTGCACGCTAACGCCCCGTTTGATATCCGTCGCCACAAGGGGGTTTGGGTCGTTCCGCAGTTAGCACAGACGTGGTCTGTCATGGTGGGTGGAAAATTTGCTCAAAATTATTAAAATACCAGGGATCTCTGCGACCAGACTGATCTACGCCATCACTGTTCCGAACACCGACGCTGCTTTTTTCAGCCGAGTGCCTTTCTTTACAATAGCCTCACAAACGACACGATACGGCCGAATATCCTATTTGGGAAGATCTCCCAGATGAGCCCGCCGCTGACCAATGAGATTGCTCCGGTTTGTCAGCAACGAATTTTCTCTGCCAGTATTACGTTATATCTTACGTGTGTATATCTCTCATGACTGTGGCTGGTCTTTCAGCGACGAGCGTCCTGCCTTGAGCAGTTCGTCACACAAGAGCAGGTTCGACGCAATGCCCGTGGCAGACGAGATTGCGTTTCTGATCACGCGGAACGAGTCCCATATTCCGTCGATGGTAGGGTCCATCGGCTCACCTGAGTTCAGGTCGATTCCGACCGTCTGGCCCTCCTCGATCTCGTCCTGACAAGCAGAGATGGCCTCTAGCGCATCCAGGCCAGAGTTCTTGGCCAGTGTCTTAGGTATCACAAGCAACGCGTCGGAAAAAGCCTTGATACCCGGCTTCAGCTTGCCCTTGTTGGCCTTCGTCTCTAGAATGTGTTTGGAGGCAGACATGTAGAAAGCTCCAGCTCCTGGGACCAGCATCTGGTCCTTGATCACGTTCGCCACCGCACGCAGACCGTCTCTGATGGCGTCCTTGGTCTGCTGCACCACGTGGTTATGGGCACCCTTGATGAGGATGGTGCAGGATTTGGGATCAGCATTTTCTGTGACAAACGTGAATTTCTCCTCGCCAATGGTCTGCTCGTAAACCAGGCCCGAGAACCCGAGAACTGCCGGAGTGAGGTCGTCCACCGAGTTCTGTGCCTCTCCTCCACACACAAGCTGCAATCTCTCCATGTTTCTTCTCTTTGCTCTTCTGAGCGCGAGGATGTTGTTTTTGGCCAGCACGTCCAGCGACATTGGGTCAATACCCTTTTGGTTGATCACCACAAACCCTTTGCTTGGGTCGTTTCCGCACACCTCTTTTTTCAGCTCCACGATTTTGCGGAGCTTGTCGTCCACAAATTTTCTCTCGCTCGCAACAAGCTTCTCTCTCTGTTCAGCCGACGAGTAGTAGAATCCAGAGTTGACCTCGGTCTTTTCGTACTCCAGCGACACGTTCAAAATTAAAATGTATGCATTTTCCACCCGTTTTGGCATGTCTGGGTGTCTGGCTCCATGGTCCAGCACAAGGCCCTTGATGAACTTCGTGTCCTTGGCCGTCTCGTGCATCATGGCCATGATCTCAATCATGTGCAGGTCTAGACTCTCGTTGTCCTTCACGCTCAGCACCGCATCGGTCACAATTGGGGTCAGCACGTTGGTGAGTTCCTGGTTCACCTTGGTCGATAGCGACGACCGCGCAACTTGTAACAGCAGCTCTCTGTCTAACGTGTGCGGCTTCACCACAAACGAGTTCAAATACTCGAGCGTCTCCTCTCTGGCGGCCTCAAACCCGTCTGTCAGCACGCGGGGATGGACGCCTTCGTTTAGAAATCTCTCTGCCTGTCTCAGTAACTCGCCAACAAGAAGAACCACGGTGGTGGTGCCATCTCCGGTGATCTCGTCCTGCGCCGACGCAGCCCGCGCAATCATGACCGCTGTCGGCGACTGGATCTGCATCTCGTTCAGCAGAACCTTGCCGTCCTTGGTAATTTTGATGCTGCCGGCGCCGTCCACCAGCATCTTGAGGGTTCCCTTGGGACCAAGATTCGTGCTCAAAACGTCCTGCAAACCTTGCGCGGCAGTGATGTTCACCTGCAAAGCCTGCTGTCTGCGGATGGATTCGGCCTTAGGGTTCAAAAGCTGAATTGCAGAAGACATGGTGTTTGATTTCAGTTTTCGTGTTTGCAATTTTTTTTTCTCGACAGTGTTAGTGGCACGCCCCCCGCGATGGCAGCCCGATAAGGGAAACATACAAACCATCATATGTTTGCAATTTAAGGAATATGAGTGAGCCTCAGGTTTCCAACACTTTCAGCATCCTTGTCTTCCTTTCCGGTCAAGCAATTGAGAAGCCTGTCTCCGCGAATGGAACGGCAGGTTTTCTGTGGTCTAAGATGAAAGGCCGCGTGGAGGGAGACAGCAAGACGGAGCAAAAGACGAGTGCCTACAATATCCGAGAATTTGGAGGCGAGGGAGAAGTGTACATGGTTCACGACGACTGCATTGAGGTCTGGGATTGGGTGATCCCGGGCAAAATGCAATCAGATCGCCGTCTGTGGATGGTAGCCAAAGTGACCGATCTTGCGCCAAGGGGCTCTGTGCTCAAGGTGTTCCCCATCTGTTCCCGAAGACATCGAGGCGAGTATTTTGCTTTGGTGCTTGTGCGGAATGCGTATAAGGAGCTACAGTTTCTGATAGTCGACTTCAGCGCAGGGAACGTGACTGGGCTCACGTACGCTTTTACGGGTCTCGATGTCAATTTCGTTGTAAAAGGCTTGCGGTCTACACATCATTTTGCGATCGGCTCTTCGAATGGCACTGTTGCGGTCTACAATGTGCGCTCAAGGAAATTACTTGCCACCTATCGTTGCATAGTGGTCAATAACGAGCCGGTATTTGATCTCTGTGGAGATTGGCTGATATATAATGCGCCCTCGCAGTCTAAAACCTTGAACAAATGGCGAGCGGAGCACGAACTTACACCGCTCAAGCTCTCCAAACATGTCTCGCTGCTCAATAAGCTGTGGAAAGGCTTATCGAAAACAGCCCTAGACTCCGTGCTGATGTTTTCAGAGATCTCGCACTCAAAATTCAAGAAATTATTCGGTCGAGAGGGCCTTGCACCAAACGGGGAACAAGCCTCGCGACTCTCCACTGACGACGATGAGCTACTTCGAAGCCACAACTTCCGCGAATTGCTTGCCGCCATTCTCAACACACTGAACGTGAACTCAAACTACCTAGTGATGGTTGACGTTGTGCGCAACCAGACATTGTTCTGTTTTTCGCCGCCAGACGGCTGTTCTGCGGTCTCTCTTTCGCCCTTTGACCTAAGTGTTGCCACTGTAACAAACAGGGGTGACGACATATATTTGTGGGATTATTCCAAGTTTGATAAAGACATCACGCTGCTTGACAAGTACAAGCGCGGCAAGACCTCTGCCGTGATATCTGATATCTTGTGGACTAGCAATAACCAGTCGCTGGTACTTCTGAGTAAGCCTAACGGCTCGATACACTTGTTTGTCAACGAAAGCCTGACCGGCATGCTTCAAAGCCGACCTTCCAGCCGTCCATTGTCCGACAATCAGAAGCCCGAACAGACGCCATTTGACTGGTGTATCTCCAACGGAAATATTAAGAAGATATCGATTCCCACGCTACCAATGCCTTTGGACCATCAGCGATACCATTCCGAGATCAGTGCTCTCACAGATGCGGGTAGCTTGGTGCGAATAGACCAGGAGACAGGGAGGATGATATGGAAGTATACACCGCCCACGTCACCGTCCACTACCAGCATGACAGGCATGAAGGAGGTGGCGCCGGTTCCGCTGGAGCTGCAGTCTGTTGACCCAATTGCCGAAGCGGAGGTCGAGACGTGCAAGCCGTTCCCGTTTGCTTACAACAATAGGCGCATACAATTTGCGAAATTCAAGGTTGCCAGCGAAAGCCTGCGGCTTGATGGCTTTGGAAGTGTGGTGGCTGACTTTGAGGACGTCAAGTTTGGACGCTTTAATGGCAGCGTCAAGTTTCACAGCACAAAAAGCGAAGAAGAGCTAGCTATGGCTGCAAACGACAACTATGGCTCTGCCACGGTACCGAATGCTGACGAGATGTCTCACGCCGCGGAAGCATCGCTACAGTGATGTAAAATAGAAAATATGATTAATGTGCTTGAATTACACAGCTCAGCCGTTGTTGGTGAAAAGACAGTGGTCAAAGTTCTCGTTTATGCCGGTGGCTCCGTTCAGGTTGCCCCACCATCTTGGGAAATTGTGGGTGGTGTTTGGACCGCCAGCACCGAAAATGGTGAACGACAGGATGAAGATGGCGACCTGGCAGCCACCGATCAGCGCAGCAGCAACAATGTAGTTGTACTTTTTGAAGTACAGAGGCTTGTACTTTCTGAGATAGAACTGCGAAATGAAGGCTGCGATAAAGAAGGAGGTGATCGAGGAGTTCACACCGACACAGAGCCAGCCAATGTACCAGATCAGAACAGGAGTCTTGACGTTGTCGAATCCCCAGGTTGGTCTCAGGCGGTGGCCAAGGTAGAATGGCAACGGAAGACCTAGGCCAATGACCAGGGCCAAAGGCACCATGTAGTAAGTTTTTCCCATGGTGAACATCTCCTTAGCCAGGGCACCCCAAGCGATACCCTGGGTGTTGTACTGCTGGACGTTTTGACCGGACCAGATGACGGAGGTGGCCTCAATGTCTTTGAGGAGGTCAAATTGCGAGTCGACAATCGAGTTCATCATGATGTAGTTGAAGATCGCACCAATCACGGTTCCGATCATCTGCGCAGCAAATGTGTCTTTAGGAGGCAGCTTGACGTAGTAGCCGAGTTTCAAGTCGTTCAGCAGCGCGAAGGCCTGGCCGACAGAATTGTAGCCAAATAGCGTGAAGTACATGTTTGCCAGAGGAGATGGCTTTGGCATGGAGAATCCACCAATCATCTGGACCACGGTCTGCATCTGGGTGCCACCAAAACCGAAAATGGCGACAAGACCGCCCAAAAACAGTGTCAATGGGTACGACAGCGCCATGGCAAAAACCAGCATGTACCAAGGCAGACCGGTGTCACCTTCGTACAGACACACCAGAGCAACCATGAAGGACAGGACAAACGTGGCTCCATACCACCAGGTAGGCACCTCTTTGTATCTGAGCATGGCTCTCATGTGGGCGTCGTTGTACACGTCAGGGAGGACGCCGTCGGAGTTGAGTCTTGGGTCCTTGTCGATGTTCTTCCAGAACTTGAGCGTCTCGAGAGTGAAGATGCTCTTGATGTTGCGGAGGTAATTCTTGAGCGCAGTGAACCAATAAAAGGCAGGAGCCAGCTCTTTGCGGTTGAACAGCAGCATGTGCGTGATGGTAGCACCAACAGAAAGGTTGGTAGCAATGAGGTAAACGGTGTAGGTACCGGTCATGTAAGGGATGCCCTGCTCAGCAAGCTTTTCCTCGTCCAGGATATTGTTGGTGAGAATAGCGGTCTGGTTGTACACGAGGTAGTTACCTGGGGCAGAGTCCTCGTAGAAGAGAGATTGCGACAGGAATGGGAAGTTCTTGGATTTCCACACGTTTCCGTAGTAGACACCGCAGAAAACGATGATACAGAGGAAGTAGCCGATCAGGTTGTTGACCGTGGCGGTGAGCGGGATGGTCAGCGGCGAGGCGGTCGAGGCGATGTAGTTCCAGTCGAAGCAGAAGGAGAGCAGGCCCAGTCCCTCATTACCGTTGGTGCCACCAAAAATTCTGGACACCACAGACGATTTTGGTGCAGCGAGACAAGGAATTGAAAAACCAATGAGCCACGGGAAAATCCACTCTGGAATGATCTCGTACAAGAACATAGCCAGGAAGCACCAGTAGAAAACTCTGAGCTGTTTCTTGGTCTTCTCCTTGTTGTTGTGGAGCGTGTGGATGGTGGTCACGAGCGGGATCGAGTTCGGATAAAACATCTCTGACGGATACAGCAGGGCCTTCTTGAGGCCAAGCCCGACGAGCGAGTACCCGATCAGCTGAGACGAGAAAGTAATGAAAATACCAACACCAGCGTTGATGGAAGAGTTGTACCAGAGTCTTTGCACAGCAAGGACTTCGACAGCAAGAGCACAGGAGGAGGCAGAGCCGGCCATGATGGTGGCGAACGTGAGCTCCTTCTTGTTCCAAGGGCCAGGATTAATGTATCTAAGCCAGCCCTTGGAAGGAATAAATTTGTACCAGAGCTCTCCAAGCACGTGAGCAATAAGCATGAGAAAAACCCCACTCACCAGAATTGTCTGGGGCTTGAAGTAGAACATACACTGCAGAACACCACCAAAGATGGCCAGTCCTCCGCCGATAACAACCGAACGCACGGTCCAGACCTGCATCGTAGGGTCGTCGGAAGAGTCGACAATCTTGTCGACGATATCTTTGTTGGTCTTGAACTCGTTTTTGTCGAGCACCAGCTCGCCAAACTGGATTTCGACCTCCTGCAGGTCCTCAGTTTTGTACGCGACATCGCCCTCCTTGCCAAGAGTCTTGTCCTTATTCGTATTGTTGGACTTGATAGACTTTAGTTCAGCTTCATAGTCAATAACACCACTCGCTCCTTGGATAGGCATGTTGGAAATTGGACTATCAAAAGCGTCTTGGGACGCAACAATATATATGGCACAGACTCCACACTCGGTGGCAGAATAGCGTTCTATCTTATCACCAACAAAAGACAAACGGCACCCAAATCGATTGAAATGCATGCATCTACAATAATTGCCGCAGCCACAATAGCCAAACAATACGGGAGCGGCACAGATAAAGGGCACGGTGGTTACTCGAAGCAGAAGAGAATAGCCAAACGGCAATCACTATTGACTAAAGTCATGAGACCTAAAGAGCCTCCTCATGACACTCCAGGCTACGGCTACGCGAGAATTCGTGATAAACAGTGTGACACCGGTAATTACCATTTTTTACGTAAGCGAGCATCGTATTCGAGTAAAGATCTTATCTATGCAGCATGTCAAAACTTGATGGACTTGTTCTTTTTTCTGGTGTGATTTTTCTTGTACAGGTTGTTTCTCGAGCTTCTCCACCCAGACGTGCTCACCTTCTTCTCGACCTCCATCGCTGGTGCATCCGTGCCATCCTGCTTCTGTTTCTGTAAGTTCTCCTGCAGCTTCTTTGCGAGTCTTTCTTTGCGCTCCTCATTGATCTTTGCGTAATCGGACCCCTTCTTGGAGATCTTTTCCTTTTTCGCCTTGAGCTTGGACTTGGATCTTGCGGAATGTGCCATTTGGAGGAAAGGAAGGACGGCAGGCTAGATATGTAAAATTTTAAAATTTATTTGAAAAACTTTTGGGGTGCACGGATGTGCCGATGCAGAGCATCCCAGAACCACCACGCGCGACTTTGGGGAAAAATCGACGCTGCTCGGAGAGCAAGAAAAAAAATTAGGACCTCGATTTTGATTTGTCTCACGTGACTAGAGTAAGGGCAGGTGGACGAGGTTTGCGGAACAAAAATTGAAAATTTTATATAAACTTATTCAGACATCATTGAGTATCATTAAAATGTGAGTACCAACATAAACAACAACAAATAACTAACATTATAGGGCTAACCTTCGTACTCAAAAGAGACTCGCAGCATCTGTGTTGGGCTGTGGTAAGAGAAAGGTCTGGTTGGATCCTAACGAGACCACCGAGCTCGCTCAGGCCAACTCCAGACAAGCCATTAGAAAGTTGTTCAGAAATGGTACCATTGTCAAGAAGCCAGTGACTGTCCACTCTAGATCTCACGCCAGAGCCTTGGCCGAGTCCAGAAGAAACGGTAGACACATGGGTTACGGTAAGAGAAAGGGTACTGCCGAGGCTAGAATGCCATCTCAAGTCCTGTGGATGAGAAGACTGAGAGTCTTGAGACGTCTCTTGGCCAAATACAGAGCTGCTGGAAAGATCGACAGACACCTCTACCACTCTTTGTACAAGGCTGCCAAGGGTAACACTTTCAAACACAAGAGAGCTTTGGTTGAGCACATCATTCAGGCCAAGGCTGAGGCCGCCAGAGAGAAGGTCCTGAAGGAGGAGGCAGAGGCTAGAAGATTGAGAAACAGAGCCGCTAGAGAAAGAAGACAACAGAGAATTTCTGAGAAGAGAGAGGGTCTTGTCAAGGAGGAGTAAGATCAGGTTAATATGTATGAGCCGTAAATTTCCACTACAAACTATTTTTTTGTTTACGTAATCTCCGCCCTACCATCTGGTTGGTAGCAGCGCTTAATCCAGAGGATCCCGCTGCCCCCCTTAAAATAAATATTCTTCTTTCGCCCTCGTTTCTACTTCTAATCTTTAATCCACGGACATTCTATCGACATCGCCATGAAAGCTTCACTATTCTTGCTCGCGCCAGCCATTCTGAGCTGTTTCTCTGCCGCTGCCAATGCCGAAAAAGCCAAAATCTTCAACTTTGACGTTCTCGAAGAAAAGGCTCTCAATCCTGTTCCTGGACAGGACGCCAAGAACCCGCTAGAGGGTATTGACCTAGACCAGCTTGTCAACGTCGTTTACATCACGCTCGAGCCTTCCACCGTCTTCGTCACCGTCACGAGAACTCTCCATCAGGTAGTCACCACTGCCACCACTACTGTGACCGCCGAAACAGACGAGACGCCGTTGTATCCCTTCACAGGCCCTACTTCTAAAGCAAAGCCACCGACACTGAACACAACTGCTCCTTCAGTGTCAGTGCCAGCAACCTCCACGTTGCCTCCATCTGGGAACAATACAGCTATTACTGCAACCAGCACAAAGCTTCTCAGCTCGTCGCACATCACGCCGTCATCTACTCTACCATCTTCAACGACAACAACGTACACTGAGGGCAAGCTTGACTTTGTCATCGGAAAGGAGAAGAAGGCATCGACAGATACGGAGACCGCATCATACTACGATGAGCTAGTCCAATTTGTTTCCTCTGTATTTTCTCCGCCAACTTCGGAGCTACCATCTTCTACTGGACCTATCGTCAGCACACCAACTTCCAGCTCTTCATTGGCTGTTTCATCCAGCTCGACAAAGTCCAAGACGCACACGTCCACACGGTCTGCGTCCATTGGCTTCAGCACTTCTGTGCTGCACAACACGACACACAACTCTACGAAAAACGATCACGACGATTACGGCGACGTTCTCGATGGGTTCAACCCTTATAAGGACCTGCCTCTATCAGACATCGACGTGAACTTTAGTAACGACTCTCCGCGACTGAACGCACGTGGTGTTGTCATTGGCATGTCTGCAACAATTTTCATTTTCGGTGTCTTTGCTTTGTGAGAGCAGCACCAATTTTTACAAAAAGGAGATAATTAATTTGTAGTTTAGACAGGACTTAAAAAAATCAGAAAAAGCAACTTAGCAGCTCTATAACACTATGCACCGACACCAATGCCGTTGGTGTTTCTATACATGTAAACTCCGTTGTTACCATCAATGAATTGGCACGATCTCAAACATTTCCACAAAGATTTCAGCATGTTCTCGTCAGAGTGTCTATAATGCTGGCCGAGCACCTTTTTGATGGCGTCGGTGGCATCTCTCGCGTGGTAGAACGGAACACGGGAAACGTAGTGGTGGAGAACGTGAGTTTCGATGATGTCGTGGAAAATGTGCTGTCCTATGAATCCAAACTCTCTATCGATGGTGGCAGCCGCTCCCTTGGCAAAGTTCCACTCTGAATCGTCGTAATGGGGAAGGGTAGGGTCTGTGTGCTGGAGGAACGTCACAAACACCAGCCAGTGGTTCACCCAGAGCCATGGGACAAACCAGTTGACCGCCATGTTGAGCAAACCAAACTGCTTGTACCAGAAGTAGACACCAGTGGCTACTAGGCCCAAGCCGAGATCGGAAAGCAGTATGTACCAGTAGTGTTCTGGATCGAAAACGGGAGAGTTGGGGTTGTAATGGCTCTTGCCCAGTTTCGACCATCCTGGGTGTGGCTGGCCCGTGGCATTTGTTGCAAGATAGAGCTGCAAACCGCCGAGTTGCTGGCCGATGAGTTTGAAGATCGAGTAGATAGGGGTGTCGTGGACAATCTCATAGATGTCGTCGTGCTCAGATTGCTCGAGCAGCTCGGCCTTTTTCCACGGGATGAAGACCGTGTCCTTTTGCAAGTTACCCGTGTGCTGGTGGTGTTTGGCATGGGAAAACTTCCACGAGAAGTACGGCACGCCGCAGTAGGAGTGCAACACCCAGCCGACAAGGTCGTTGACCCGAGGATAGTTGCTGAAGGCACCGTGGCCGCACTCGTGCGCCAGAATCCACAGGCCAAACCCAAACAGACCAATCCCAAACGACTGGAGACTGTACAGCACGAACCTGAGGGCTTGCGACTGCACAAGCGGGATGTACGTGGTGCCCACCCAGCCGATCACGGCCATGGCCAGGATGTCTCTGGCGACGAAATGGAGCGAGTACGGCAACGATTTTTTGAAGCAGTGTTTTGGGATGGCATCCAGGACCTGCTTGAAAGTGTAATCCGGCACTTTGAAGACGTCTCCATAGGTGTTGATGGCCGTCTTCTGCTCTGAGACCTGGCTCAGGGAGCCGATGTTTTTGGATCTCGACACGGTGGTCGATTCCAGTGCCAGACCGGTAGTAACAGCAGACATGTTGGAAGAAAAGAAATGTTGGGAGGAAAAAAAAGGGAGAAAATCCTGCAGCAGGGCCAATGGGAGGCGGGAGAGATGAAATTCGGATCTGGGGTGGGTGGACTACGCTCTTTACGTGCCATGCCAGCACCACTGGGGACAGCTGAGTGCATGTGCAGTTTTACTGGGTGCTGAGGAGGATCCAGGGACGGTCGCTGCTAGATCTCGTGCACTGAAATTTTTCAGCCAGATAGATCGACGCTGCACGGGTCGACGCGTCAAAGCCTCGATCGACGCGTCTGTGAGGGAGGTGCCTTTGACGGCAAGCTTGCTCGACATTGATGAAACGTACGTGGGGGGCTGGCAGTGTGCAAACACTCCGTCGAATGGCACACCATTGAACGGCAGACAACGGCAAACGTCCTCGTCGGCCGCCACCACGAACGACGCCCCCCAACAACTAGATCGTGGACGCGCCGGTGTGCCCGAAGACCAGTCTGTGGCCGCGAGCAGCCACGCGACCTGCCACCACCCTCCTGCTTTCCCCCATCTTCGCCCCCCACGCAAAACGAAACCCGCCAAATGGCTTCTAAATGGCTTTACCGTGTGAAAAAAATTTTGTTGTCGCAATTGCCATGGTTGAAGTGAAGAGAACTGTCAGAGTGACGACTACACAGCAGATCCTCAAGGATATTCCTCCCGTGCAGGAAGGGTTCCCTATGAGAGAGTGGGCCATCCAGATCTCGCTCGTGGACGACAAGGGCGTGGAACAGCCGGCGACCTTGTTCGAGAAGGTGACTTACCATCTGCATCCCACGTTTGCGAATCCGGTGCGTTCGTTCAAAAAACCGCCTTTCAGGATCGAGGAGCAGGGATGGGGCGGGTTTGACATCCCCATCACGCTGACTGTGATGGAGAAAGGCGGCGAGAAGAAGATCAACCACGACCTCAATTTCATGAAGGAGAAGTACGTTATCGACACGCCAATCACGATCAACACCAACAAGCCTGCGCTGCTGAGCGAGCTGGCCAAGACGGGGTATGTTCCGAGCGCGAACGAGGCGTCTGCGACGCCGGGGGCTGCGACTCCGGGCGCGACCCCTGCTCCAGGCCAGGCTGCGGGCGCCGCGGCAGCAGCGAAAAGAAAGGCCGGCACGGTTTCGGACTCGAGGACGACGAAAAAACTGAAGGGCGCGGCCACCAAGGGCGGCGTCGATCTTGAGCAGCTGGCAGAGTACCTCACAAAGCTGTCCGAGGACGATCTTCTCGGCGTCGTGCAGATGATCAACGATAATAAGACGCCCGAGATGAGCGTCAAGAACGACGTGGAGAACGGCGAGTTCACCATGGATCTGTTCACGCTGCCAGACACTTTGCTCAAGAGTTTGTGGGACTACGTCAAGAAGCGGGCCGAGTAGATGTAGATGTATTTTACGAGTGTATACAATACATGCGCTTATTCAGTGACTTGCCCAGGGCTAGACCGACCAGACGCGGCTGGTGTGGTCGCGCGAGGCCGTCGCTATGCCCAGCCCGTCCGGCGACACTTTGATCGCACTCACGGCGTCGCGGTGGCCGTCCATCGTGCCCACAACGGTGCCCATCACGCTGTCCCAGACCACGATTGACGAGTACTCGGCGTACGAAGCAAACAGCAGACGTCCGCTGCGGGAAAAGTCTATGGAGAGCACACCAGGGTTGTCCAGCGCCGCGACCATCGAGGACTTGTGGCTCAGACGCAGCGACGACGCAGAGTCGCTGAGCGAGAGCTCCTCCGTCTTATGCGGCCGCACGTGCTGGTGGACCATCTTGACCGGGTAGGTGGCCAGCTCGCTGTCGGAGCGAATGTCAAATAGCTTGAGCTCGCCGTCGTCGGTGCCGCAGGCAAACGAGTAGCCGTCGGGGAAAAACTTGACCGCGGACGAATCGTGGGTGAGCGAGATTTGGAACTGTCTTCTATTCAGTGGACATCGGATGTCCCACAGGTTGGACAGCCGGTCCGACGAGCACGACACAAACAAGTTGCTGTCTGTCGGACATACAGACAGCCCCAAAACGTCTCCAAGATGGCCGTTGAAAGTGACGGACTTGGTGCCTTTCTCCATGTCCCACAGAAGTATGGACTTGTCGCCGGAGCTGGTGAGGATCTGGGAGTCCCCCACAAAGCTCAGGTCGCTGATGTACTCCTTGTGGCCCTTGAAAATGGACACAATCGAGTTTCGTTGTTGTATCTCTGGGTTCTGGGAAGAATGCAGCTTGTACACTATGCACGCGTTTTCGAGCCCGCCGGTGGCCACCATGTGGCCGTTCGGCGAGATGTCGCTGCAAATCACGTACGGGTCGTCCAGCCGGATCAGGCCCTTCTTCAGCCCCGTGACAGAATCCCAGTACAGCAGAAACCCGTCCTGCGCAGCGGTCGCGAGATGTCTGCTGTCGGGATGCCAGCTGAGCGCAAGCACCTTGTTGAAATGGCCCCTCAGCGTCCGATAAGAACGGAACTGGACGCGGTCGATGGTGGTGCAATTGCCACTCATGGTCTGCAGAGTTGCATCTTTCACTTGCTGCTTCACTTTTGCCAGATGGTGCATCAGCTGCTTGGACTCCGCTTGCACAGACTGGATTTTAGCGCTCAGCATATTGCTCAGCTCCAGCTGTCTCGCATAGACGTCTCCCGAACCAACATCCATGATTATCCTTCAAGAACCAACAATTCTCCATCTTGTGCTACCTTACCTCTGCACAGCCACATGTTTCAGATTTTAAAATTAACAATAAGCGGTCTCTGTGTGTTATTGCCGTTTACAACCACAAATCCAGCTCCTTCACGCTGTAGTCTGTTTTGTCAAAGCACACACGCGGCGGTTCCGCCTTGAGCTCCTTCCCGACGCAATCCAGCCGCGGATAGTACGGCACCAGAGCGTCGCTGTTGTTTAGGTACATGCTGTTGTGGACCTGCCAGTACGCGTGCCGGACCTTGCTGGCCGGATGGAACAGCCCGGCAACCACGTAGTTCATCACAATCCCGTACCCAATAGCAACCCGGATGGCCTCCACACTCTCCAGGATCCGAACAATGACGTGCGGCGAGGTTTCCAGCACGTTTGGCCAAATCAGGTTCAGATAGTGGACAAATGCGTCCTCGTAACCCAACCCCGCACAGCCCAGTGCCATATGCTTCACCACGGTCGCGGCAATCTGTCTATGCACAAGGTCGCGGTCTGTGAAAGCGTCCTGCAGCAGCGTCAAAACCGCATAGACGTAATCTGCCCCCATGTCGCCAATGTACTCGAACATGAACGACATGGACTTCAGAATACCGTTCTGCACGTTGCGGTCGAAGTAGCGGTACTCGTTCATCATCGCCGGCAGCACGGTGTACGGCGAGCACGTTTCCGCCACGATTCCAATGGCCACGGCAGTGCACACGCGAAGTTGTCTCTCCTGGACCCGTAGATTGTTGAGTAACGTCACCAGCACGTCTGCGGGCCCTATTGCACGCGCAATGAGCCCGAACGTGGTGTTTGCGCTCTTGCGGATCTGCTTCTTGCGCGCCTTAAGCATCTCCAGCAGCTCAAAACTGATCCGCATCCACTCCCGGTGGTTAATGTACTCCTTGCCCCGGTCGGCAATGTCTCCGATAAGGTTGATCGTAGTCTCCTGCACCTTTTCGTGTCTGTTCCGCAGGATCGGTGTCAACGTGGCCAGGATCTGCGATATTGGCGGGTTCGTCATCTCCACACCCAAATTCTGGATAACGCTGCGCATGGCAGTTAAGATCGAGCCCAGAACGTCAGGATACACCTCGCCGAGCGCCTCGTACAAAATCGACGACAGCCGGACAAGCAGGTCTTCCTCGCCGCAGATCTTCAACACAACGCTGCTACGGGCTATCAAATCAGCAGCCTGCTGCCGAACCTCAGGCGTTTTGTTTTTCAAGCGATAGAGCAACGCGCTCATGATGTTCATGATGTGCGGCTTGACCCGAACACCCAGCGACACGAGAATGTTGCCGAACCCGTTCAAAACAACGCGGTCGTCGGTGGTCTGTCTCTGGAAAGTGAAAAGTAACCCGTCCAGTAGTCTATGCACGGTTCTGTCGTCCAGGTCGAAAGAGCCTAAAGAGGTGACCACTTTACTGGCGGTCTCGAGGGCCATGCGGCGGAACGCTTCTGACTCGTCCTTCATCGGCACCAAAATGTGCTCGATCACGCCGTTCGGGCCGATCTTGTTCGCAAGCGAAACGGATGCGTCCACACACATCCTCTCTATCCGTGTGTCCAGCGCCGTGCGCCGGTTCCAGAAATTGGAAAAAAACTCGTCGATAATCTTGCCTTCTCTGAACACACGACTGTCCACGCGCTCCATCGAGCAACACTGCTTGACAATCCGCAAAACCGTCCTTTTCATCTCGTCCTCCGGAGACGAGAACTCTCTGGTAAGCACCCTGAACACTTCGCGGGTATAGTAATTGCTATACTCCTCGTCCATCAGCGGAATGATGTACCCAATTGCAAGCAGAAACGCAGCGAGTCCACGGCCCCTGTGTCTGCGCACACCTTGCCAGAGAGGATCAAGAACTTTTTCGAAAACATCAAATCCATAAGGCGCAGAAGCCTCGGCTAGATTACTGATAGCTGTTGCTGCCAGTGTGCGCACACTCAGGTTTTCGTCTGTGATTGCCTTAGAAACACAGTCCACGAGGCCATTCAAGTATGGAAGTATGCTCGACCCCATCAAAATGGCAATCTGCTGCACGATCTTCACTCCCGTGTGCTTAGCGAGCCAGCTTTTTTTGGACCCGCAGACGGCGCGCAAAAATGGTAGCAGCGACTGAATCCCCAACGAAGACGCAATAACAGCAAAAGTGCGCGCAACCGTGTTTCGCACGTAGTCATCTGAGTGATCGATATCTGGACGCAAGACAGAAATCATATGTGCTAGACCAGCAGCTTTGGACAAATTTGAAATGATCTCTCGCCCTTCCAGCCGAGTGACCATGTCCTCGTCAATCAGCAATGGCATGATCACCACCAGGATCTTGTGCGCATAGGGCCTGATTAGCTCTTCGAGGCGGAAAAGCACTCTGCCGATAACTTTCACCAGTAAATGGCGTTCCTGATCTTCGAGAGACTTGCTCATTAGCAGAGGAAGAATAACGTCGAATATATGGTCGGCTCCAAAGTAGCGCGCGTTCTCTTGAAGCTGCCGCAATGATACTTTCCGGACTTGCGGCGAGCCATTTTTGATCATGAGTATGAGTTTCATGCATTGAATCTCTTTCCTTTCATCATTGCTCAGAGTGTCGAGATTTGTGTCCTTCGTGGTGATCAGTTTGCCGAAGACCTTCATATCAGTCTCTTTGAAAAACTGAATTTCCTTCAAACCAGGGACATCGTGGATGAGCTGCGGATTGAAGAACTTGAACTCCTGACGCAGCGTGCTTTCGTCTGGAATCATATATTGGTCGACATTCGTCAAAGAGTTGAACGAGGTCAGATCTGGAGGAATGCTGCGGTCCGGTTTGTAATCTGCAGGGGGCTGTATCTTGTGAAAGCCACTGGGCAGAAGAATATTCAAATTCTCCTCCGTCAATGGAATACCGTCAATGACTGGTGTTGGGGGCGGTTTCTCTTCTGGCTCTTCTTCCCATCTGGATTTACGTTTGGGCTCCTCTGCCTCTGCATCAGGACCCTTGACGTCCCATCGACGCTTTCTCTCGCGACGTGGAGGAGTTTTGTCTCTTTTTTGTAGTTGCTGCGATTCTTGGGCTGTTTCGCCCCTTTGTTCTTGCTTTTGCTTATCCTTGAACCGATTAGTCATCGCTTCCCGATAGCTCGAAGGCTTCGAGCCATCACTGACATCTTCCAGCTTATGCAGAGTATCGTACTTACGTTGCTGATACGAGTTTTCACGGGCAGAAATGGCCTTCTTCTGGATCTGTCTTGTTAGAGGGTCTTCATAAGATTCTGCTTCTTCGGTCAATTCACGCTGGAACTGATCCGGAATCGAGTAGGCTCCAGTAAGCTTTGTCCGATGTCCATTTTCTGACGATGGATCATCAAGTTGGATAACCTTTTGCGACATGCCTTTTGCAGAGCTTTACAAAATGAATATTTTTTTTAATTTTTATTTTATTTTCATATCGTGTCTTGCCACGGCTGGTGGCTGAGCTAATATGTTTAAGAATAGAAAAACAGAATTTGAAAGGAGAAAAAATCCCAATATTCTAAAAAACATACAGAAAAAGAGTCTTTTTGTTGAGTATGAGCTGGTGCAAACTGCTTACTTTGGTCGCGATTTCCGCGTCATACGTTCTTGCAGACGACTCAAACCTTTCGCTTAACGGTACCTGGTCATCAAAGTCAAACACTGTGTTTACGGGACCGGGGTTTTATGACCCTATCGATGAACTTTTGATTGAGCCGGCACTGCCAGGAATCAGTTACTCGTTCCACGAGGACGGCTACTTCGAAGAAGCCATCTATCAAGTCACACCAAATCCTAAAAACCATTCTTGTGCAGTCGCCGCGCTCATTTTCCAACACGGTACCTATGAAGTGAACTCGACTGGTTCGATCATCCTTACACCATTTGAAGTCGACGGAAGACAACTTCTGAGCGATCCTTGCAACGACAACGGTGTGTCCACATACTCCAGATACTCGCAGGCGGAGGTGTTTAAAAGCTACGAGGTGTCTCTCGATTCGTATCACGGAAGGTACAAATTGAGACTCTACGAGAGCGACGGATCACCAATGCAGCCGTTATACTTGGCTTACAGACCGCCTCAAATGCTACCAACTATCACCATGAACCCTACAGCAGGCGCCAGTGACGCATCAAACACAGAATCGGCAGCCGCGTCATCCACAGGGTTGTCAAAAAAGGTCAAGAGAGCTCTAGAGAATAGATACAGAACTAACGCTGTGAGGAAGTCAAAGTACAACTATGATCTGTTGTGGTATGTGTCAATAGCAATGATCCTTGTGGGAGGATTGATGGTTTGGAGAGGATGAATATTAACTAGCAATATGAACTATCTGTATAAGAATCAGAAACCTATTTCTTGATTTCGTAGATTCTTCTGAACTTGTCATCGATCTCGGCCAAGTAGTAAGATCCCTTTGGAATGTACTCGATGTCTCCAGATGGCTTGAAGGATTTTTGCAGATGGATTTTCTCTCTCAAGTTCAAACAAGCCTCGTACTCCTCTGGTGTCTTTTGTATTCTGCTGTCAAGCTTCTGTTGAATGTCAAGAACCTTGACAATGTGGGATATGTCTCCGGTAACCTTCACAGAGAAAAGAGAAGCAGCAAGTCCAGAACCATAGGAGAAAAGACCAATTCTTTTACCCTGTAGAGCCTCGTTGCCCACGTAGTACAACAAAGAAGCTAGCGATCCGTAAACAGATCCAGTGTACATGTTGCCGACGTTAGTTCCCACCTCCAGAGATGGGGCAACTCTCTCCTTGTGAAGAGGCTTGGCAACATTGACGAAGGTCTTCTCTAGAGCCTTGTCAGTCAAAGAAGCTTCGTAGTCAACGGAAGCAAGCCCCACGTCAACATCTGGGAAGCCAGACTGATCCTCTCTGAAGTCGTTGTACAGCATTCTTCCGTAAGACTTGGCAACCAACTTGCAGTTTGGAACGTGGAACACGTTGTAGTCAAAGAACTTCACACCAACAAACTTGGACTTGCTCAAGCCTTTGGCAGCAGCTTTCTTGGAGTAGCTGGCGTAACATTCATCGACCGCTTTGATGTAACATGTTTGCGAGAAGTGACCATCGACCACAGGATACTCAGAAGTGAAGTCTGGCTTGTAGAAGTCGTATGCATGTTGCATGTATGAACCTCTGATTGGCTCGAAAGCAATAGGAGCGTCTGGGCCGATCAACATGGCGACGGTACCTGCACCACCAGTTGGTCTGGCTGCACCCTTGTCGTAAATGGCGATGTCTCCACAAACAACAATCGCGTCTCTGCCGTCCCAGGCAGAGGACTCAACCCAGTTGATCGCGTTGAAAACAGCGTTGGTGCCACCATAACATGCATTCAAGGCGTCCACACCCTCAATGTCGGTGTTGGCGCCAAAGAGCTGCATCAACACGGACTTGGCACTCTTGCTCTTGTCAAGAAGCGTCTCAGTTCCCACCTCCAGTCTACCGATGGAATTAGGGTCGATGTTGTAGTTTTTAAGCAAGTTGCTGCAGACAGTCAATGCCATGGAGTAGATATCTTCTCTGTCGTTGACGAATGCCATCTTGGTCTGTCCCAAGCCAATAGTGTACTTTCCTGACGAGACCTTATCAAAGAATTCCAGGTCAGCCTGGCTGACATACTGGCCAGGAACGTATAGTTCGATAGCCTTGATTCCAACGTTCTGAGGGCGAGTCATTGTCTTTGTGAAGAGGTTCTATTAAATTAAGCAGTGGGTTTCAATATATCAAAAGAGGGAAATATTGATAAATCAGCTATTTTTTTTTTCTCACCTGCCCGACACGCTAAACGAGTATGCGAGCACCACAATAGAAAAAAAAAAAACTTTGCACCATGTTTTTGTCGAAACTATCCATTAATCATTAAAACCGGTATGTAGCAATGCGAGTATATAAAAAACCGTTCATTTGATGCGAGAGAGCCACAGTTGGTAGTTGCGAGCCGCGGAATCAGCCTGTGTCTCCTTGGCGGTGTGCGTCTCCTGTTTCGACAGCTGATATCCCCACGAGTCGAGCGGCAACTTCGGGGTATCGTAAAGCCATTTCTCGTCTAAAGCGGCAAACTCCGGTTGAGCCCAGTCCTGCAGATCACAATGGTGGACTTCCACGGTATCGTCGTTGTCGTAGAAATCCAGCGAGGGAGAGTCCTCCAAAAGAGAGGGCAAGGATCCCGTGTAGGTCGATCGGCGCGTCGATGAAATGCTGGGTCTGTATGAGTTTGTGTGCAGGTCTTCCAGAGCAAAGAAGTCCTCGTCGTCGTCGTCGCGTGTCTCAGGGGCCGGTGCTTTGAAGTTCGTGGTGGAGTATGTTACCAGCTTGCTGGTCTTTGGTGGTTTATTGGCGGATGAGTCGTAGAAAGAGTCCTTCAATTGGCACTCCTCGGAGCAGTAAATGCTACCAGAGTAGTCGTCAAGCTGCTTGTTGTCCACGATGCAGAACTGGTCGTGAAGGAACATCATCCCAAAGTTTGTCTTGATGGGTTTCAGAAGGATATAAGGATATATTTATATTGGGACTTGATGATGCGGAGACACTAGCCACACGGAGCCACAAAAATACACAGGTGAAAATTTTATCGTCAGCGTGGGTGCACCTTGGTGGGGCTTACCGCAATAGATCACGCGCATTTTAACAATACTTTTCGGCCACTAAGGTTGTTTGCTATGTACAGATGTGTGAGATTTTTTTCACCAGCCACATGACTCAGTACGACGCGACACGATGCCACAGCCAAGACCGATATACCAGAAAACTCCACAATACCGCGGTCAGGGGATTTGACAAATTGTGGATTATGTCAAACTAGGAACTTTCTAATGAGTAATTGAGCAAATATGACACATTGCGTAATCGCTTATCGAGAGCATCCTCAGATTTTAGTGCGGCGCCAGTGTCTAGCTCTGATTGTAGTTCTTTAAGAGCGCGTTTTGTCACGTCATCGTTCGGCAGCTCTCCCGTCTGCACAAAATGGTGGCCAAGATTTACCACCAGCTGGACCATCTGTGGATTGCTGATCAGGTACAGCGCCTTCTCTTGTGTGGAGCTGAGCAGCTCGTCGGTCACGTTCCTGAGAAGATCCATTCTCAGGCGTTTTCGGTCTTGGTAAAACAATTCCATGTATTTGGTAGCCACAGGAATGGAAATCCCGATAGAATTCGAGCGCGCGTTCTGCACCACGTCCTGGATCTCCTTGAATGAGTCAGCGTGCTCTGCAAACACGTCAAACGTCCATTCCGGAATGTCAGGGTAGAACATGAACAGCCTTTGGTCTCTGGTCAGGAAGTCAAACATGTCCAGCGGAGAATTGTATGGAATCATGTGTAGCTGATCTTCCAACGAGTTTCCGTCATACGACGACACGTCCAGCTCATTGTGGTGGATGCACAGGTCTCTCACTAGCAGCGGAACGCCCACCATGTCCTTGGCCAGCTGCTGCTCTCCACAGTTTAGCAAGGCATTCGCAAACGTGGCAATCTCGTTGGGGTCCAAAAATAGCGGGATTTGGACCAGCCGCATCTCCAGCAGGTTCAGCAGTCTGTTAGTGTCTTTCACGTTTCCGCAATGGTCCGCCATCAGCTGGAAAGTCGTTCTGTTTGGCTGCACTCCGTCCTCGTTCATCTCCGCCAGAATCTTGTCAAACAGCGCAGAATTGCGAGCAACAACGCACGCCGTCAACAACATGTTGTACGCGTCTACGTTCAGCTCAAACCCAGACCCCGTGAACACCTGCTTATACTGTCTGTAAGTGTCCTCTTCAAAATCCTCGTTGCTAGCCAGTGTGCAACTCAGACTCCGCACCAGCTCTTCCTGCGTGATCATCATGCCAGAGTCAATCACGTCCTGGAAAACCAGATTCACCAGCTCAGGACTCAAATAAAGACAGTACATCTTGAAATGCTCAAGAAACGTCTCCAGATGCTCTGGCTGCATATGCTTCGCCCGAGGAACCGGGAACTTTGCATACTCCTCCAAAACAGTTTGAATATTGAACTTGTCCTCCTTTTCGCTGAGAGATGCCACAAACCGACTGTAAAGACCTTCCTCTACCTCCTCGCGGGGGGTCTGCAACCGCATGTTCAGGATCTGTATATCTGTCTGGCCTTTCAACAGTCCCACAACAGCCTGGTAGTAGGCGGTCTCCTTGCCCTCCTGCTCGGCAATCATGTGCAACGTCTCATCCTCAGCAACAGCGTCCTGCAAAAACCGGTCCCCAAATTCCGAGAGACTATTGTTGAAAGCGGTGAGAAAATCGGGAGCCAGCTTCTCAATGCTCTCCATCGAAGTGTACTTGAGCAGCTCTGATTGCAAATTCTTGACGCGTTCTGGAGCTGGAAGCTTCTTAGGCTCGGTTGGGGGAGAATTGAACACCTTGAACCAGTCAAAGGGCTGGAACTGGGGCAATACGTCTTCGTCTGAGTTGGGCTTCTTCAGGATATCCACGGCATCAAAATTCAGATCGTCGTCATCCTCAAGCTTGCCTTTGGTAGAGTATGGACGCACAGTACGGATACCCGAAAACAGAGCCGGTCTCCTCAAGCACCTGAGCAACATGATAATGCTAGTAATTTTTTCCACTATTTTTTTTTTTTTTCAGACTAGATCAGCGATTATGTCAGCGCTCATTCCGTCGAGCTCATGTAGACCACTGGTGGTTATCGGGATGATGATGCATAACCTCACGCTACAACTGCGCATGGCCATTCGAATCATCATGCAAAGGCCACCATGCACCGCAGCGCAGGCTAAAATCTGTTGGAATGTCAGAGCTACACATTGCAGTGATTAATCTTACATTTTATTTTGATAGAGCTCAAAGACTAGGCAGAGGTTCATGCTCGGAGCGTCCCTGCTATGTACATACTGGAACAGACGTCTCTTAGCTGTCTTTTTCTTCCGAGGTTCATGGATTGTTGATTCGAGCAATATATGACTTGGAAATCAGGTTCCACGATCTCATAAACTTGGACGCGCAGTCGTTGATGCAGTTCTCTTCAACAGAAGTCAGGCTAGATGAGGGCTGTAAAATACACTTGTCAAAACAATTTTCAGTCAACGAGTTCACTAGCGACGTGGCGTACGCGGTGGCCATTTCCGTGGCGATGGAAGACTTGACTTGGTCCTTGACCTGCTGGGTCTGCACGGAGCTCAACGAGGAGCCCGTGCTTGAGTTGCTCTTGGAGCCTCCTAAACCGAGAAAGGACGACATTGAGTTAAATTCTAAACTTTGTGAAATGCACTAAAAAATAGTTTTTCAGCTCGATTTTTCAGATTCGGAGTCGTGCGCATCGTCGTCGTCGTTGGCCAATTCGTCGGCCTCGCCTTCCTCGTCTTCCTCATCTTCCTGTCCTGATTCGTCTTCGCTGCCTCCAAACACGTTCATCTTACCTTTCTCCTTCAGGAAATCGTCCAGTGTTTGCAACTTGTACTTTCTTGCACTCTGTCTTGGCTCAATGTTTATCGTGGTGGCAGAGCTAACCACTGGTGGCGGCCTTGCAGCGTGCGACATTGATTTGTGCTGGCTGTAGTCCTTCAGTTGGAATTCCTGTGCGCGCAACTCGCTATAGTATTCAAGGAGCTCAGGGTTCAGCTCTTGCGGCGTAACTTGGTTGTACTTGTTTATATTGTTGTTGTTTGCCGAGGAGTCAGTGGAAACAGGAGCAGGTTTTGATGTCTGGAATAGCAAGATTGAAAGCTCCACCTCATGCAATTTGTCGGCACATCTCTCCAGGACATGGGCTTTCTGTCCGTAGTATTGCTGGAATTCTATGGCAGTGGTAGCCGTGAGGTCTTCGTCGAGATAGACCACATTGGGAAGAATCGATCCAATCATCCTGGACCTATCGCGTAGATCGACGCTGGAGTCGTACTTGGTGAACTGCAATACGAGGTTGAATAGTTTCCATAGCATGCTTTCGTAGTTGTACTCTTCTCCTTGCTGCTTGCTAGCATACAATTCTTTCGACACCATTTTCGTCAGGGCAGTTAAAATCTCCACTTTTACCATGTACTCCTGTTCTTTAAAGTCCCGCACAAGAATTCGCATCAGGTCGGGCAAGAAGTTGCCTAATGCTAATGATTTGTCGTCGTGGTATTGGTGGTTCGAAAATTCCCCGACAAGCCATATGATCGAAGCTCTGGCAACTGGCGAGAGCTCACTCTCATTGACCAGTTTTCCCGTGAGCTTAAGTAGCACGTCGATGTTCCCAAACAGGTCATTTTGCACCATGATCCGCAGTCCCGTGACATACTCTGCCACCAAAAGCTCTTCAGTCTCGGAGTCGAGCCTTGAGAGATATAGCTGGCCGATCTTAGCTTTTTGTTCTGGAGTGCCATGGTACTGGTTGAGCAGCCTTACGACTGCTAACTTGAGCTGTGTGGAGGCCGTGTTCAGCAGGAAAACCAGCTCTGCGAAAATTTGATCGAAAATTTGTGCATTCAGAAGCTTAACCAAAATGCGCACTTTTAGTTCGCTAATCTTGAAGAGTTCGGTTGGAAGAGGCACATAGTAGGATAGCTGCGAGTCTGAAAAACTCACCAGCTTGCGGTCAAGCAAATAAACGATCTCGTTGAGCACGTATACGGTAACCTCGTTGTCACCCAGAAACTTGGCAAGCATTTTTGCTAGTGGTATTTCGTCCAGCTTGAACGGCAGCACATTGATGTAGAAACGCACCAGGCTAAGCACGACGTTTGCAGAGGGAGAATAAATGAGAGAGCGCAGTTTGGAGTCCAGAAGAGTCAGTTCTGCGGCCATACTATCCTCCGCCGGTTTGGGAAGGTACAAACGGGCGTAATCCGTTGCAAGATCAATCAGAATCACTTTTGAATAATCTTCGAGCTCTATCAGCTTGGACACTAAATGACTGAATCTAGGATGAATTAGATCGATATAGCCTGGGAAGATGGTGTAGAAACAATTGAGCGCAGAGCTTAAAACTCTTGAATCCGTGTCGCTCAAAAGAATAGCCAGAAAATTGTACAATTGTGCTGGAATGCTAGAATCGTCTTTGAGAGCAGACGCCAGATCGCGGTGTTTGTTGAAGCTGGAGTCTAGTAGAAAGCATTTTGTAATAGCCACGGCAGTCGCCGAGCGCACAAGAGGCGACGAATCCGAAATCGTTCTTTTGATCGACAAGATCAAGATGGGCAGGATTGCCGGGATACGGATACCGCTCAGTGTCCTGATCGCGAGAGCTCTGTTGATGCAATTTTTGTCTGTGAGCGATTTTTGGATAGCATTGATTGACAGTAGAGCGATATCCTGCTGCATATGGTTATATCGCAACAGGATGACATAAACCAAGCGTTTGGTCCTAAGATTGTTGGAGGTGATATTTTTTATGACGTGGGGGAAGTATTGCAGCAGTTCAGGATCTGAGTTCTGTTTTGTGGTCATCAATCGCACCAGGTACTTGAGAGACGTTTGGATTTCCTTGTCTGACGAAGAATTGAGCCCTTCGACTACTTGCGAGGGCGTGAGCTCTTGATTTTGGGCGTGGCCATTGGAGAGAAACGCGTTCAATCCCGAGGGCAGCTTCACGTTTTTGTTCTGGATGGCCTCGTTGACCGTTGATGACAGGTTCTTGGTTGCATTTTCTAGCAGAACGCTAATGTTTTTCCCGAGTTCAGCCATTAGCGATTTGCAGTATAATGTAGAGCGAAAAAAACAAATGGTTTAGGGTGTATTTTTTCAAATTTATTAACGTTCCACATTTCCTCCTTGAAATAATGACGTCCAAGGATCAATCGGCCAGATCAGCTTCGCCGGCCGGGGAGAATGCTCTTAAACGGACATTGTCAGTGAACAGTTTGATCAAAACAGACTCGTTCACTAAACTATTCAAGAAGAATAACAAGCGTTCCAGATCAGAGGACTCTGATTTGGATGATATAGAAGCAAAGCTTGACATTCAGGCATCGAAGAAACCCAAGACGCGCTCTTCGAAAGAGGAGGAAGAGTTTCGTAGAAGAGAAAAAGAGTACGATGAGCTGCTGCCTCCCGAGTATCGCAAGTTCCGGCCAAAGGGATTCAAGCTCAATCTGCCGCCAGAAGATCGGCCGGTCCGAATCTACGCAGACGGAGTGTTTGATCTGTTTCATCTGGGCCACATGAGACAGCTGGAGCAGTGTAAAAAAGCGTTTCCCAATGTGACTCTAGTCGTTGGAATCCCTAACGACGAAGAAACACACAAGAGAAAAGGACTGACAGTTCTCACCGACAAGCAGCGGTACGAAACATTGAGGCATTGCAAGTGGGTCGACGAGGTGGTAGAGGACGCCCCTTGGATTTTGAACATGAAATTTCTCAAAGATCATAAGATTGACTACTGTGCTCACGACGATCTTCCATACCAAGCACAGGGCATTGATGATATTTATAAACCCATGAAGGAAGCCGGCATGTTCCTTGCCACACAGAGGACGGAAGGAATCAGCACAAGCGACATCATTACCAAGATTATCAGGGACTACGACAAATATCTAATGCGCAATTTTGCCAGGGGAGCTACCAGGAAAGAGCTGAATGTGTCCTGGCTCAAGAAGAACGAGCTAGATTTCAAGAAACAGATCAACGATTTCCGTTCCTATTGGAAGAAAACCAACGACAGTCTCAATAGCGCGTCTCGCGACCTTTACACGGAAGTGCGCGAGTTTCTGAAAAGAAGAAACGAAACATCACCTGCTCAGTCTCCTGCAGACTCATTTGCATCCAAATTCAACGGCAACGGCCTGGGACGCACCAATTCCCGTCGCAGTCTGATTGATAACTTCAAAGATTGGGTGGCAAGGGACAGCCATTCGGAGTTTGAGAGTGACGAAGAAGAAAAACCGGTCGTCACCAAAAGAGGACGCAAGGTGAAGAAACCCGCTAGTAGTGAAAAAAAAGTGCTAGAAAAAAAATAGTGAAAAATAAATTATAATTATGTTCTCTGTTGCTAACATAAAGTACCTAGAGCCGACGACGTTGCGTCAATGGTTCTCCCAGAAATTGACTAACCACGGGTCGCCGTTCGTGGTGGTAGACGTGAGAGATTCAGATTATATTGGCGGCCATATCAAGTCCAGTCTTCATATTCCGAGTTCCAGCGTGGGGTCCCATTGCCAGACAATTTTAGACGAGCTTTCAAAGAACAAGGCAGACAGCGTGGTATTTCATTGCGCATTATCGCAGCAGCGTGGTCCCTCTGCCGCAATGAAGTTTATGCGGTACCTGGAAGGCCTTGAGTCGGCCCCGGACCTCAAGATATACGTGCTTAGGGGCGGGTTCGTGAAATGGCAAGAGCTTTATGGCAATGATTTAGAAGTGACGGAGGGCTACGAGCCGAGCTTATGGTCCTAACTAATTTTTCTTCTGCTGCCTACGTCGTTTGGCCGGAGGCTCCTCAGTCTCCGGAGAATTCTTATCAGGATTTCTCAATTTCGATGTGGCATTTTTCAATCGCTGCCCCATTTCTAGGTCACGGCGGCGCCTAATCATCTCAACAGGGAAGAACTCCTCGATGCTTGTCTGTGGCTTGTTCATGTTCTGGATGATCGGCAGCAGGATTGTGTCCACTTTCTCCTTGCCCCATCCAACATTGTACATCAGGAAAGTCCGCAGCTTATCCAGGTTGGGATAGCCCCATTGAAACTCGGACCTGTCATGGTCGACCTCCGGATGCAAATATGCTTCAACAACCCGCTTGTCCGGAAACTCGCGAGTCAGATATAGATCGGTCTTTTTCAACGACTTGCGCAACTTGCGCTTGACCGGTGTTTCTTTGGACTCATCAATAATACCGTTTTGATAATCGAGCCACCAGTGCTTGAAATTCTCCAGTGTTCGGAACTCGGCAAGAATCTCCATTGCTGCAACTTTTCCAACACCCTTAATACCTTCCGTATAGTCGCTTCCTAATAATAGAGCTAAGTCAATCAACATTTTTCTGTCGAGCCCTAGATCGCGCTCGAGGTCCTCCATTTGGTAGCATTCAACAAAGTTCTTCTCGTTGAACATGTTTTTGTACACGCGGTCACCGCCAAACAGGAAACAGTCTGAATCGTCCGTGATAATGCCGTCCACCAATCCGAGACGAAGAAGCTCAGCGCATTGAGCTTCTGCCTCCATAGGCGCAGTGACGTACGGCAGGCCAAACCGAGAGAGCATATCTTGGATATCCAGAATCATCTTAACCGTCACCTCGTCTGCGTCTCGTTTCTGCTTCTTCATACTCTCTTGGAGTTGCACTTCGTCATCCATCGACCAGAAACTAGAGGACGACAACGGCTTTTTGGTGCCGACTTCATCCACGAACTTCTCGTAGGCAGCTTCCTCATTCTCAAGGTTGTGCTCGAGCTCCTTCTCCTCCTCGTCCGAGAAAACGTAGTCCAAGGGTTCTGGCATTTTTGGGACTTGCTGCTGCTCATTTACGTCCTGGTGAGTTTCAGTATTGGCCTGCTGATCACCCGGAGTTGGTATGTCCTCTATTATGGTGTGGTTTTGGCCTTCGGTGTCTTCTGAATATCTGTGCTTTTGCTCAGGCTTATCAATCACAGTCACTGGCTCCGGCATGTCGTGGTCCTGATTTGACTCTTCTGGCTCCGGCTGTGGCTCCGGGTCCAGCTCGATGACCTCAGGCTCAGGAGCATCGTGCTCCTCAACGTCCTCAAAATCTTCGCTCGCGTTTTCCTCTAGGTACGGTTCGACATCGGCATAATCGAACAATCCGGCTCTTTCGTCCTCAGTTTTCTCAAATTCTGTCATTTTGTGATCTTCCCTTCCGTGATGTACATTTTCCGAAACTCGAGTCTGAAACCATAGTGGAGTTTCCTCCACCTGTCTCTGGGGCTTCTTTTGCTCTGGACTTGGCTCTGGGTCTGCACTCTGGGACTCCTCCGTTTTGCTTGCCGACAGTATACTGCTCTTGAAATCGAATTTCGGCACAGACACAGGCTTTGACTCAGTCACCTTATCTATGTTTGACCCGAGAGATTCCTTGGTCAATATCAACGGTGGAGCAGCACCATAATCGAAAGGGGCATCGTTTTGCTGCTCCTGCTCCATCATATTATAATAGTCCTGTTTTGATCGTTCAACGGCCTGTCGTAATTGCTCCTCCTCGCTCAGTTCCGCAGCCTTCTGTAAATTCTTCTTGTTATTGTTGGCGTATTCGTATAACGACTGGATCATCGCCATTGTGGTGTCCTCGTTATTTTCTGAGGTCTCAATTTCGCCAACAAACATCGGCTCAGATGCAGCAGTCGCCGTCGGAAGCACCGACTTGGCCGGCTCTATAACATCTTCCCACTCATCCTCCTCTTCATCTTCGTCCTGCTCCCCTTCGCTGTTCAGATCGATGGCCTTCTCAGCACTATGGCCGTCATCCTTGATCGACAGAGTATATCCGTTTTCGTTCCTCTGGAGCTCGTAAATTCGATCACGGTCGCTAGCGATTCGTCGCGATTTGGCCTCCTTCTCGTCCATCCCCGCCACATTCATCAGTTTCTGAGTGAGGAAATTGCGCTTCTGCACCATCTGGATTTGAAATTTAGAGAAATCCATGCTATTGGGGAATAACGTCTCCAGTTGTTGTTTTGTGTAGCCCATTCTCAAACGAGAACGCAGTCGCAAGTGAGAAAGAACTATGTACTGTGTAGAAAGCGGAAGACGTGCAAACTCCTCGGATTTGGGGTCGATGGTGTCAAGATCAATGCCTCCAAGCTCATCTTGCAAATCAGAAGTAAGTCGGTCGTACTCATAGTCGGTGATTACCCGTTGATCATTTTTCTCAACTTTAAAGCTCTCAATGTGTGGCAGATCGTACTCGTCTTGCCTGCGGAAGATGCGATTCTCTTTCTCTTTTTTGGGCCTCGGTTTTTCAAGTTTCTGCTGCTCTTGCTTTTTGTCCCTGGTGTCAAAATAGTTAGTATCTTCGTAGAACTCAGTAAATTGCAGCTGGTCAATGGGCACCTCCTTGGACTTGGCCTTGGAACTGGGCTTTTTGGGCACATCGGGCTTGCCCTCGGCCCGATTCTGAAGCTGTTTTGCCAGCAGTCTGCGCGCAACCTGCTCTGCGGTCTCCTTGCTGCCCTCTCTTTTCTCTCGCCGCTTGCTGATGGTCTGTTTCTTCAGAAGCGGCGCCCCGCCATCAAACACAAACACGGGCTTGATTCCAAAGTAGAGAAGCTTACATATTCGGCGGAAAAATCCCACTATATGGGAGTTGATCAGTTGATTGCCCTGCACATCTCTCACAGCCTTGAGGAACTGATAGATCCAAATCGAGGCATCAACTGCTAGCCGTTTTTTCGCCATTGCCTCCAGTCGCACAGGACGCGCAGTTGGGCCAACGATCTCCCAAAGTCCATGAACACCCATGAATCAGGAATATATGTCTATCGATATTCTTTTTCACGTACGTCGATCGACGCACCAGGGCCCTTAAATTTTCGTCTCTGGGGATAAATCTCTGATCCCTATTTCTTTGGGCGATAACATCTGGTCGCCTATAACGAATATAGTTTTCCCCTCTTCCTGCTGATGGCAGACTTTAAAGTATGTTTGGTCCGTTTCCGAGAAAGCGCCAGATCTAACCGCTATAGTTGCACACTCCTATCGCAAACAAGAGAAAATTAAATTCAGAGTTTATGATGGCTTACACGCCCGAGCATCCTCACTCTATGCCCAACCCAGCCACTCAGTCCAAACCGCCATGCAAGTTTATACCTCAATTCACAAACAACGAGCAGAAGAACTGTTACAATCTGTTCAAGGAACTTCAAGACACGCCGAAAACAAACGGAGAACTAGCGGTGTCCGGGTCTCCAGTGCCAATCGGACAACTAACGCCGTTTTTGGTAGCAAACCAGCATCCAAGGCAGATGAGCAATAACACACCAAGAAAGCAGCGACAACATGACCACTCACCGCTCTCCCCTTCAATACAGCCCATATTCATTCTTCCAAACGACCACGATAGAGATATGATGTCTTACACAGAAATTCAGAGGTTTCCGTCTGAGTTCAACCCGAGACAGGCGGCGAACATGCCTCACAAAGAAAAAGTCGACAAATGGATAGTCAACGTTCCCGCTTATCCTCACCAGGGCAAGGAGACATGGTATAACGAGTGCTATCCGTCGGTGGTGGAACTGTCGACTGCGTCGACACCAGAAGAGTCAGACGTTGATTTCACAAGCCACCAAGACATAATCGAGTTTCAGTCAAGAATGATCACTTTTCTTGTGAACCGCTCGTATTACAACGACCCCACCGAAGATATCAATCGAGGCGAGGAGTTCGAAGAAGCGAATTTGGCTGAGTACTCATACGAGACAAACGAAGCAGACTTTAATTACCACGACGGTATTTACTAGGCATTCATGACCCACAGAAGATCAATCTACCAGGGCCTTTTTCTATACAGAGTTGTGCTGATCGATATACAAAAAAACCAGGAAAAAGCCAAAAAAATAAATAAAAGTTCCAATAATGAGTTCTGTCAACTCGGCAACTGTTCTCCTGAACAGGGTGTTGTCACTCAAAGAGGCATCGCCACTGCTGCTCGTGCTGGATTCTGTCATCCAGTCAAGTTACTTCTTCCAGCAAGAGCTCATACACAAGGCCAAGAGCGAATCCGTTCCTATCACATACTTATCCTTCGAGACCCTCGATCGACCCGAAGTGGACGAGCTAGTGCTTTGTGACGAATTGTCTCCCGAGCAGATTATTGCTAAAGTTGGCAAGAGTACGAAACAGCTAGTGATAATCGACTCGATCAACTATATTCCTGAGAATCAGCTCAACAATTTTCTGCGTGGAATAATCTCGCCCACCACAGTCGTCTGTGCAACTTACCATACTTCAATTCCACAGGTGTCGGTGCCTGGTTGCCAGAACATGCCTACCGCCATCCAAAGGCTACTGTTCATGGCAACAACAGTTTTCGAGCTAAGGCCTGCAAACTCGTCACTCACAGACGATGAACTGGAAGTTGCGTCTCACAAGTTAGAGATTCCTATTGGAATAGCAAACAAGCCAATTTTCGAGGCCAAGATGATCTACAGAAGAAAATCTGGCCGCGCTTTGGAGTACGCATTTACTATAGACACACTGACTCACGAATATCAGGTTAAGCAGCAAAACGTTGCCGAAGGAGACGACGCTGAGCTGCTGGAAAATCTCACAACTTTCAACTTGACCACCACACAAAAACAGAAGCTGGCCCGCGAGCAAGTGGACCTTCCATTCTTGCAGGCTCAGCAGTCTTTGGGAGCCGTGGGAGGCGCCATTGTGTACGAGTTTGAGAAAGACGACGACTATGACGAGGATGATCCGTACGAGGATCCATTTTAGAGTCTATATGGTTTCGTCCTCGTCGCCGGTGCTTGTTTGACGAGTTGTTTTCTTGCGGGGCCACAGACTAGGCAGTTTGATGAATTGGAAGCGGGGCTCGATGCATCTCTCTATGAACCAATTTCTCAAGGTGTTTTCGATAATAGAACTAATGCGAGGAATGTTTTCTAGCTTTGTACGGGAGCCGATCAGCGACTTGATATCGAACTCAAGTCGGAAGTCTGGGCTGAACGAGAACATAAGCCCAACAGAGTTGTCTGCAACGTCAGACTCCTCAGCGCTGCTGATCAGGGAAACTGTAAGACAGCCAGAGAATCTGACGATGGAGACCGAGAGTTTGACCGGGAGCGACGCTGCTAGCGGTTTGGGCTGGTTGATCAAGAGTTTGGTCTCGACTCCCAACGTAAGCGTGTCTGCCACATCGACATCGATTTTTGCTTCTAGTCGTCCGTCTGTATTCTTGATGCGACAATTGCTGAAGATCGGGAAATCGTTACCTATACTTATTTCTGTAATCACGATTTTGTCCAGAAAGTCTGGTATGATCGACGACCCAAACATTTCGTTCAGTGAGCGGTGGATATTGTTGTTGTTGAGGGCCTCATTTCTGAACTGCGATATAAGTTGGGCGACCAACACATTGAACCAGTCCAGGGACTCTGGCTGGTGACTGCGCACATCGTAGTATGTCTTTTCCAGAATGGTGTCTATTGTAGAGTCCTCGTTTTCTTGGGCAGTGTTTGGAGCATTCAGCACAGGAACGTTCACTTTCTTCGAGTTGCCCGGCACTGTGGGCGCGCTCTCACTGAAAATGAAGAACCTGATGAACATGACGAATAGTACAATGACAGAGAGCTGGCCCAATATGAGACCCTGTGTAAATGTCCATGTCGATTGCGGTGCGACCAGCACACGGTGCTCGGGTGGCCACGATACTATTTGCTCCGCAATTTTCTGCGACAGCTCTTTGATAGACTGCTCTGGATATTCGGAGGATTCGATGCTCATTTAAGAAATATACATTATTTTTTTCGTGCACTGAATATTTAATTTATTTTAGTAGTCTGAATAGGAAGTTGACAAACACAGACAACGCCAAAGCCGAGCAAACCAGCATAGGGCCGAACTTATCGTCATAGCGCACGGCACGCTTGTTCCTAATATTCACGACACGGAAAATGTAGACATAGGTGGAGTAGACAATGGTCAGGACGGCGGTGAAGTAGAAACAAGTGGAGGTGATCAGCGAGACCAGATCGCCATAGTTCAGAAGAGTGTGGGCAGTCGCACCAAATATAAGGGCAATGGAGAGCCATGAGAGGTAAGTTCTTTCCGTGGCGAAGTAAACTTTGGGTTCGACGCGCACCACAACGGAGATCTTCTTTCCTGGTGGAGCAGTGAACTTTGCGTCAAAAACAGTTCCTTCCGGCACCTTGTTGAAAGAGTTGTCTGGTTTCGTGATGTCCTTGTACCAGGAGACCAACTTGCCTATTAGGGTATTATTTTCGGGATCTGGAGACTCCTCAATTCTGTTATCGTTTTCGTTGAATGAGACAGCACCGTAGTGAGGAACAGCAGAGCCTGAACTTAGGCTGGAGCCAGCAAGCTCTTCCTCATCAAGCTCCCCATGGCCAGATTCGGTATGGCGTTGTCTCACAATACCATAGTTCTCATCCTTCTTTGGTTTCTTGATGTCGACGTCCATCTGAGGCAGCCAAAATGGAATCAAGTCGACTCTGTCAGGGAGCAAAGTGGCACAGCCGTGAATAAACTTGGAGAATTTGGGAACAGCTTCCACGAGGTGTGAAGACACCATTTCTTTGACCCATTGTGGAGGCTCCTGGCCCATTTGGGTTTGGAGCTTGACCTCCAAGATGGCATACGGAAATCTCTCAACATCTTTAGGAGGTAGGTTGGCAAATGGGTAGTTCACGCCAATGTCCATTCTTCTCCAATTTCCGTGGGTTCTGTCAATGCCGTCGAAGTTGTCTTCTCTGACCATTGTAAGCTCTGTATCGAGTGAGATTCGGACTCTCGCATCTCCAGGAAGCTGGAATGCTGTTCTGTTGTAGAAAGACCGCATCACCGGTCTCAGCTTGTCCTTGATGACTCTATACTGAACTTCCTGGGCAAGTCTTTCAAGACTCTCGATTTCTTGCACGCTCTTCTTACCATCCTTACGCATTTTCTCAAATGCCTGCTTGACAGTGTACTGTCCCTTCATGAAGTCGTTCACGTTTTTCTCCTTCAGCGGAAATCTGGCCTTGACACTCTTCTCGCCTGTCCAGTCCTCTCGATGGGTCTTTCTTTCAACAAAAACTGTCTCTGCACCCATCCCTCCGTACCATCTGATTCTGATGGCCTCGGCTCCCTCAGTCTTGAGCAACCGTCCGTAATAGAGGTCCATGTCCTTGTTGTCGTAGTAGATAGAGGTTATTGCCGAGTCTTCTGGCTCAAACTCTTTGTTCGAGTTGAACACAAGAACAGGCAGATGTTTTAGGATAATAAGTTTCAGCTCCGTGATGTTATCAGGATGCACCCAGTACTTTGTCGTTTGACGAACAAAGTTCTGCATCGACCCTCCGGCAGCAGAGTCGCCCTTGACAGGGTTTCCTCTCGTTCTGACGAGGTCGTAGAGCTTGGACAGATTCACAATTAAAGAGTCATAATTGTCCTTGTAGAATGCCTTGGCGTTCAAGCGAGCCTGGAAAATAGGCTTGAGGATGAACTTGGTGAGCTTGTCGTGCTTTTTAAGGATCTTCTGGAAACCGATGTAATTGAGCCTTGTGAACTTGTTGAGGTCGTGCACATCGGCAATGATATCGCTGAGCTCTTCTTCGAGATCCTGGAAGTCCTGCTCGTAAAATTCTGCCTCTTCTTCTGTGGCATTTCTGGAATTCTCGACAGTATTATTCACCAGCGTCTCCACCTCCTTCATACGACGCAAGATTTCTTTGTGCTTGAGGACCACAAAATTATACACCTTGTCGAGCTCCCCTTCCATCTTGTTGAGGAAGTCCTCCTCGAGGGAATCGGACCACTTGTTGCCGTTCTTGCTGAGCCCCTTGCCAATAGCGTATTTCAGCTCGTCGTACTGGATATAGTAGTAGGCATACTCCTTGATCAACGAGGACTTGAGCGTCTCTCCAAACTTCATGATGCCAAAAAGCGAGCAGCTCACAAAAATTAACTACCGATCCGCACGTGCGTGCACAGCCTGGAAAGAACAATTTATTTCGGACCAGCTTCAGCACGCGACCTTGCACCGTTTAGAAACTATGCTTTGGAGGCTTGACAAAATTCAGGCGTCGCATTCGCACAGGTGCATAAGGAACGCTGAGCCATGGCTAAGCTGGGGATGTAGGAAAAAGCCACAGGGCTTCAATTGCCAAGACGAAAATACATCTATCTATATTGTCTGCTACACTTTCTTATTTGTACCCCTGTTGAAATATTTTGTTTTTTTAGATTCTCCACGATGGCGGACCAGAGACGGAGACTGATGCGCCTCAAACGGTTCGTCAAAAGTAACCGCAGACTGCTGTTACTGATCATGACGCTGTTCACCATCAACCTTCTTTACAACTTGCGTACCTCCAATGCCATTGAGTTTGACCTTGGGGACGAGTACGCCGGCACCTTTAAGGAGAAATATCTCAGAACAATCAAGTCCAGAGACCAGCTATATACAGATGAGTTCTATCAGAAACTCACCGTCATGGGCCAAATTGACGACCTGGTGAACGAGCCCATCGAACGCGTGTCCTTTAATGAGACTCTAGACCCAATTGACGTTCTCAAAGAAAAATACCCAAACAGCGACGACTACACCGGCCTCGATACCGCCCAGCAGGCACAGGTGTACCTGAGCGATGTGCTTCCAAAGACAGGCTTTAAATTCCGGCCTATCCAAGAGACCATCTACCGAGATATCTACAATCCCAAAAACTATCTTGAGTCCAGGCTGTCAAAATGGGTGGCTCTGAAAGACATCCTTTCGCCAGAGGAGATGAACGAACTGGGCTTAACAGATGAACTGTTCAAGTCAAATCTGCTTAGAATAAAGGATCTCAAACTCAAGATCAACGAAAACTCCTCGAGAGAAATCCTCAATACCTTGAACCACATGAGAATAGTGAATAAGCTGTTTTTCCAGAACCCAGCTCCTTTCGAAAGTCCCGACATGAACGACCTCTGTCGTGAGGCAACAAAGGCAGTGTATCCTTGGCTTTCTGGATTCTATCCCACCTTCACAAAGTACAGCAAACGTATGGACGAAGTCAACACCGATGTTTTTGGGGAAGACGATTCCACCTGCCTGCTGAAAAAAATTCAGACAAAATTGTCTGGACGAGGAATTGTCATCACTGCCTCAGACGGCCAAGTGCCGGAGTTGAGCGGACTGATTGCGCTTCTCAGGGTTTCCGGAAACAAGCTTCCGATCGAGATTTTCCACAACAACGATCTTAGTCTGACGTCCATGAAGAAATTGATCGAAGTTGCCACAGACCCAATCATGAAACTGCCAAAGGGCACCAAATTCACCAAACAGCCGACACAAGATCTCACATTTGTCGACGTCTCGAAAACTGTCATCTTCCGCTACAAGCACTTCTTCCAAAGGTGGTACATGAAACTGCTGGCCTGCTTGTTTAGCTCTTTTGAGGAGATTATTGTCTTGGACACAGATACCGTTCCACTGCTTGGGATTGAAGAATACTTGCAACTGCCTGCTTACAGGGACACACATACACTGTTTTTCAGAGACAGAGAAGCAAACTCGTTCCTATACGAGGGAATCATGAAATTTTTCATTGAGTTCCTTAATACTGACGCAGAGCGTGACTATCTCCAGTTGAAGGTGCCTACAGATGAGACTTTGCACAACAGATTTTTCGGAGAGAAGGCAAGACACTACATGGAGGCCGGCTTATTTGCACTCAACAAAAAGGAAAAATTTGATGGCCTCTTGGTGGCTGCATCGATGCCATTCTTCAAGTTGATTTCGAACTCAGTCCATGGAGAAAAGGAATTTATCTGGCTCGGTCAAGAGTTCATGGGCCGCACCTATAGGTTCAATTCGCATCCAGCTGTCGCCGTAGGCTCGTTGACGGACAAAAAACGTCAACTGGTTGCAAATGAGCTGTGCTCGACGCATCCAGGACATATTTCCGACGACGCCAAGAGCTTGCTCTGGTTCAATTCAGGATTTTTAACCTGCAAACGTCCAGACTCGTACTATAAAGATATCAACTACGAAAGGAACGAAGGAAAGGACCTGCTGCAACTGAAGAAAGAATACATTTCTCCATTGCACATCACAAGCGCGCTCATTCCTCCTCCTGCAGAATACAATCTTGATACCGGAGATGGAGAGCCAACACGTGGATGGGTGATGACGTCGCAGTGTGAGAATTATCTCTGGTGTGCCTACGATGTTATTGGCGGGGGAAAGAATGAGAAGATCCCAAAGGGACAAGTCATTTCCTTTAGTTCCCAGGACACCGAGAAATGGGACAAGCTAGGAGAAATTTGGGTAACTTACTTCAAGCTTGCCAGCAAAGGCACCAAGACGGACTTGGGTTATGTTGAAGACGATGCATTTGACGAGCTGGGCTTGGACAAGATGCCTTTCGGAGAGGAGGAAGACACAGGAAATACACACCAGAGAGGTGGATTTGCATCATCCAGTGGCTCTTTTGGAGGAGCCACCAAAGCGGGCAAAAAGGGCAGCAGTGCTCCAGAGCAAAAGGGTTCGGGTATGAAGATCAAAAAACCAGTCAAAGGACAGGATTCCAATGACGCTCTAGATTACGAGGAGTACGACGAGTCTAAAAAGACGGCGGCTGCAGGCTCAAAGAAAAAAACCGGTAGCTCCAGAAAGACTACACTGAACGATGACGATGCCGATTATTTTGAAACTGATGGCTCTGAAATGAGCAAAGGTTATAAAGAAACTGACGATTTCGATTCGGTGGTGATCGATGACGAGTTCTCACGGGAGGCGGCCGATGAGTCCAGCTCATTGTCTAGGGCCGGAAAGAACATCAACGAGTTCTTTAATGCGTTTGGGTTTGGGTCACGAAACAAGATTGACTCCTCAAAATTATCTTCCTATGCCGACGACTCAGAGATAGACCTGGAATCTTATGTCGCCGAAAAAGATGAATCGAATTCAGAAAAGGATGTTCTCAGCGAAGAACTTCTAAGGGAAATGCAATCTGAGGCCGCTCAGGATTAAGAATATAGCTATCATGAATTTAGTCGATTTTCCACAGCTCCAAGCCGAGGATTCTAAACTTTTCCGTAGTCAGTGGCTCGTTGCCAAACGTCTCGACACTGTCGGTAGCTCCAGTTTCCAAATCGCCGTTGATGTACAGACCAAACCGCCCGCCCCCGGACCCTATGCTGACGAAGTTGTGGTTCGAGTAGATTATGTAATCGTTCATCGAAGTGTATGGGAACACTTTCAATCTCAATTGTTCCCCAGACGCCTCTAGCGTGTGAATGTTTTTTATACTATCGCGCTCTGCCTTCCATAGAAAACAGTCTCCGTTTCCGTAGTACTGCTTTTTGTCTAGCGGTCTCAGGTAATCGTTCAGATACGCCCCAAACAGCCGGTGTTGGGTGTCCATCACGACTAGTAGGTATCCTTTTCTTCTGGCCGTTGATTCGCCTGGCTGCGGCCGCGTCCTGCTGTAGAAGGTGTTAAGTGATGTTCCGTCCTGTTCCAATGAGTACTGGAGAGTCCAAGAGTGCGAGATCTGGAGGATGGGAGGGATATGGAGACGAAGTTCCTCTGCCAGTTCGGTCGGCAGGAGCTTGTGGTGAGTGGAGGGTTTGTAACCGTTCAGTTGAAGCGGCGTCAAAGGAGGATCATCCTCTTCCTGAAATGTGCGCGGAGAATCCATGGCTGGAGGTGTTTTAGGACTGCTGAAAACTGATTTTATCTTAAAGCGAGGCATAAGTGAAGAGTAACATAAAAAAGATTTTGTGGCGAACCCGTGGCTGGTGAAACGCTAGATTGGGCCTAGGGATATATTTATCCCTGTTTGCCAATACTCAGCAATGGACGCTACCTTAGAGAACCCGGATTTCTTGGATTTTCTAAATACCACCCAGTCAGGAGCGGCACATAACTCTGTGGGAATCTCCTTTGAGTCATTCCTCTCGTCTCTTATCTTTTCTCTTGTATACTGTTCTCTTCAAGTGTTGATATTTACCTACCTAAGAACAAGATTCAAGGAATTCTACCAGCCACTGTGCTACTGTCTGCCAGACAGCATTCGGACACCGCCATTGTCAGACGATCTTTTTGCTTGGGCAAAGCCCATAGTTTACACCCCGATTGGAACCTTCTACCGACTAGGATTGGACTCGTACTATTTCCTGCGATTCATGTACACGCTGCTGATTCTGTTCGTTGGGATGGCCTGCCTCAATATTCCAGTGCTCATCCCAGTAAACCTATGTGGCGGAGACGAGCTAACTAAGGGCATTGTACGAGGGCTCGACAGGATCTCCACGTCCAACATCTCGTCTCGAAACACCAATAAATACATGTTCCATTTTGGCATGGCTATTTTTGTGATTCTGTGGTTCCATTATGTGCTCATCTACGAGATGAAATGCTGCGTTGAGGAGCGGCAAAAACATTTGGTGTTGAGCTCGAAAGCCCAGCATAAGCGGGCTTCCATGTCGACTGTGCTGCTAGAAAATATTCCGCACGAGCTGATGGACGAGGCTGCAATAGAGCAGTTTTTTGCCACTCTGCCTGGCGGAGTCAAAAAAGTGTGGCCAATTCTGGACTACCGCAACGTGGAGGTATTGGTGAAAAAGTATGAAAGGTACAGAGGGCTCTTAGAAGAGCTGGAACTGGATATCATCAAAGACAAGACTCAAAACCGAGTCAATTATGCTACCAAAAATTTCTACGAGCCGATTGAGCTACTTGGGTTTGAGTGCACGGTTCCTGGAATATGCAAAGTTGTGGATCCATACGACCATACAGCAGGACAGATGCTGCTGCTGGGTGAGCTAATTTTGGCAAAACAGCGCGAAATCAAGTCCGTAAAGCTACGGAGCTCAAAGATCAACAAAGCGTTTGTGCAGTTCAACAAGATCAGCACTGCATACCTCGCACGCCAGCTCCTACTAACAAAATCCCCAAAGGACATGACGGTAACACTCATGGAAATGACACCAGATGACATTATCTGGAAAAACATTGTTCGCTCGGACCAAACAGCTTCCAACGTGATATGGAACGCGGCTATGTTTTTCGTTTCCATTCTGATCATTGTTTGCTGGGTGATTCCCGTGGCATTTGTGGGGTCAATCTCGCAACTTCCCTATCTCACTGCTCTTATTCCAACCATTAGCTGGCTAAACGGTCTTCCAGACTTTCTGACAGCGTTCATTGCCGGAATCTTGCCCACAATAGTTCTCACGTTGCTGACCTCTGTTGCCTTGCAAATATTCAAGGTTGTCGGGTATAAGCGAGGACAAATAGTGGGCTCTTCATTGGAACTGAGTCTTCAGAGCTGGGTATTTGTGTTCTTATTTTTCCACCTCTTCATTGTGATCACCATCTCCTCAGGGTTCATTGTGGTGCTGGAACGATTTCTTCTCAATCCAAGTGCTATCCCAGCAATGGTGGCCCAAGACTTCCCCAAGGCATCCAACTTTTTCTTCTCGTTTTTCATCTTAAAGGGCCTGACCTGTTTCGGGAACAGTCTGCTGCAATTCGGAAGGTTCTCGTCAGATATGTGCATGGACAAATGGCTCGACAAGACTCCGCGACAAAAGCTTCATCGCCGCATGAACATTCCCCAGGCCAGCTGGGGACTCACCTACCCGACTTACTCCGTCTATGGCTCGATCGGTCTGGTGTACTCTGTAATATCTCCTCTGATCCTTGTGTTCTGCTGCATCAACTTCCTTTTAGACCTGCTGTCGTACAAATACTGTCTTCTCTATGTTTACAACTACAAAAACAGCTCGGAGACAGGCGGAAAAATCTACTCGATCGCACTTCGCCAACTGTACGCGGGAATCTACAGTCTCGAGGTGTTTCTTATCGGACTGTTCTTCATTGTGAAAGACGATAAGGGCGAAAACACCTGCTTCCTGCTGGGTATCATGATGGTTATAGTTTTGGTGTTGACTATATGCGTTCATGTTTCTATTAATAGGCAATACGATAAGTCACTGAGCGTTGTTCCGCTGGAACTTTTCGAGGAGCTGGATCAAGAAATAAAGTTTGAGCATGACATTGACACAGCCTCTCTTTTCTGTCATCCTTCGTTACGGTTTGATCCATGCGAGCAGGTGGTCTGGATCCCTAAAGATCCACACGGACACAGCGACAGGGAACGCCAGAAGCTGGAACTATTTGGACTCAAGGTGTTTGACCAGGGCTGCACGATCAGCAGCAAGGGTAGACTCGAGATCCTGATGTCTCCGCCAGACTATGTTTTTTGATCGACCAGCCACCTGAAAAAATTACCCTATTGGGGAAATAGTAAATACAGAAGCGTGTTTCAGGTGTTTGATCATATGGCGAACCGGAGCTCAGAAACACCTCTCAAACCCACCACAGCACGTCCTGAGCTATTATGGGCCGTCCCCTGCTCTTTCGTGCTTTTTCAGCCCTCCTGGGACATTTTGGCGCCAACTCAAAAATGTTCAACAATGTATGTAATTTACCGTTTTTGGAACTGGGCGTTCTCGAGTCCGGATTGTGCAGGTGCTATATATAGGAAGCTTGGGGCGCAATATTTCCAACTCCACCGCGAACCCATGAGATCTCCACTAGTTTCGCACGTTCTGCTCTGCAGCCTTGTCTCTGGGCTTGCCGTTGCCGCCACAGGATCGAGTAGCGTGTCATTAGCTACTGCCACTTGCAACCCGCTCAAAACGACTGGCTGTCCCGCTGACACGGCGTTGGCAGGAGCGATTTCGGAAGACTTCAAGTCTGCCAGCGAGTACTTCTCGGTTTACTCTACGCCAGACCAGATATTCTACAGCGACGAAGGTGTCCAGCTGACGCTGGCCAAAAGATTCGACAATCCTGCGCTCAGATCCAACTTCTACCTAATGTTTGGAAAAGTTGAGGTCCTCTTAAAAGCAGCAAACGGAACAGGAATCATCTCGTCCTTCTACCTTCAGTCGGACGACCTCGACGAGATCGATCTGGAGTGGTTTGGAGGCGACGGCTACGAGGTCCAGACCAACTACTTCTCCAAGGGAAACACAGCCACATACGACAGAGGAGGCTATCACAACATGGACGACCCAAGAGCCGCTTTCCATAACTACACAATCGACTGGACAGCAGAGGCTCTTACGTGGTACGTCGATGGAAAGGCCATCAGAACACTCACCAACGACTCGTCCCAGGGCTATCCGCAAAGCCCTATGTACTTGATGATGGGCATCTGGGCCGGAGGAGACAGCACGAACTCCCAAGGAACGATAGAATGGGCTGGCGGATCCACAAACTACGATGACGCTCCGTTCTCGATGTACATTAAAAAATTGGTGGCTGTTGACTACTCGAACGGCTCTGAGTACCGCTACGAGGACACCAGTGGTCAATGGACGTCGATTGAGGCCGTCGACGGACAAGTGAATGGCCGCATCGGCTTGGCAGAAGAGGAGTTTGACGTTCTGGTTGCTGGCGGAACTTTGTACTCTGAGGATTCTGACTCTCAAACAGAAAGCTCCACCAACGGTGCCACCTCGAGCCACTATGGGTCCTCCACACCGGCAGAGGGCAGCTCTTACAATCCGACTGCCACTGCCTCCGGCTCGCACAACTCCGTCTCCACTAGTAAGAGGTCCATCACTGACAAGTCTGCCAACCAGAGCTCTACGACGCTCGAGGCATTGGCCAGTTCCTCCGCGACCGTTTCAAACAACTCCTCGTCCCAATCGGTCTCGTCCACGAACGGCTCCAACTCGGGCCGTTGTTTCAACAATCTGAACGTTTTTGTGTCGCTTGTGTCTGCTCTTCTGTTTGGATTGGCACTGATTTAGAACCCGTACACTGCATTTTAATTTTTTTTTTGCATATAAAAATTTTATAATTATAAAATGGCTAAGGATAAGAGAGCTAGAGAGGACAAGGAGGCCGAGAAGGCCGCGAAACGTCTGAAGAAGGAAAAGAAGGTGAAGAAGGTGAAGAGCGAGAAGGAGAACACAGGTAACACCAAGAAAAAGGAAAAGAAGGAGAAAAAGAGGGAAAAGCACGAGACAAGAGATGTGCCTCAGATCGAGATCGACAGCGTCGCTGTTGAAGAGTTCCTGAAGACCAACGAGGTTGACATTGAGGATCCCCAAAAATCCAGCGTTTCTCCGGCCCTCTCGTTCGACAATCTCAGGCCTTTTGTTGACTCTCGTATCAGTAGCCATTTGGACAAGTATGCCAAGCCAACGCCGATCCAGGCAGTGGTGTGGCCGTATCTTCTCCAAGGCCGCGACATGGTGGGCGTTGCAGAGACCGGGTCGGGGAAAACGATGGCTTTTGGTGTCCCAGCAGTGGAGCATCTGCTGAAATCGGATTCCAAGGCATTGCAGGTGCTGATCATCTCCCCAACAAGAGAGCTTGCCAGCCAGATCTACGACAATCTTAATGAGCTGACGGCCAAGGTGGGTCTAGAGTGTGTTTGTGTTTACGGAGGTGTTTCCAAGGACGAGCAGAGAAGAGCGGTGAAACGGTCACAGTGCGTGATAGCCACGCCGGGCCGTTTGATTGATTTAATAGAGGATGGCAGCATCAGTCTGGACAAGATCAATTATCTGGTTCTGGACGAAGCCGACAGAATGCTCGAAAAAGGATTTGAGGAGGACATAAAAAAGGTGATGAGGCTCACAAACGGCAGCAGACAGACCCTCATGTTCACTGCTACCTGGCCCAAGGAAGTGCGCGAGCTCGCAATGAACTTTATGGACAAGCCTGTCAAAGTCACGATCGGCCAGCGGGATGAGTTGTCGGCCAACAAACGGATCCAGCAAATCGTCGAGGTGGTGGATCCTCATGAAAAGGAACAAAAACTGTTGCAACTGTTGCGCAAATACCAATCTGGTGCGAAAAAGGACGATAAACTTTTGATCTTCGCTTTGTACAAGAAGGAGGCCGCCAGGGTAGAGAAGACGCTCACCTACAAGGGATTCAGCGTGGCAGCCCTGCACGGTGACTTAAACCAGGCGCAAAGAACGCAAGCCTTGCAAGATTTCAAGGCTGGTAAGCACAACATCCTGCTTGCTACAGATGTCGCTGCAAGAGGTCTGGACATTCCAAACGTCAAGGTCGTCATCAACCTGACGTTCCCGCTCACGGTGGAAGACTACGTGCACCGAATCGGGCGGACAGGCCGTGCGGGTCAAACGGGGATCTCGCACACTCTTTTCACAGAGCACGAGAAACATCTTGCAGGGGCTTTGATGAACGTCCTGCGTGGCGCCGACCAGCCTGTGCCCGAGGAGCTGCTCAAGTACGGCTCGCATACGAAAAAGAAGACGCACGGGGCTTATGGCGCTTTCTTCAAAGACGTCGACATGACCAAGAAGGCAAAGAAGATCACGTTCGATTAAAACTCGGCTGTGTTTGTAACGCGTGCGGCTCAACGGTCTATCAAGATTTATTTTTAGTAGTCGTGGAGACCTCAAAAGGAGGCTGTATCTAATTTCAACTACGTATATAAATAACAAAAGGTACGCGAATTCTTGTCCCGATCTATACAAATCAGATACAAATATCCCTGCCATGATCATTCCCCAGTTTGTTGCCGAAAACATCCAGGCCATGATGGCCGTCGCCGACGTGTGCCCTACAGAGTTTGTTGAGAACTCGCTATACAAGAGAGACATAAGCCAGACCTGGGACGATACCAAGAACGGATGGAACAAGTGCATGGACAAAAAATGGTGCAAAATCGTGGTGATTGTGTGTATAATCATCGGCGGTCTGTTTGTGTTCTGGCTGCTTTCAACCATCTTCCAGCTGATCTGCTGTGGAGTGAAATGTATCGACGCTATGTGCTGCTGCTGCTGCAGAGGAAGAAGAAAGACAACGGAAGTGATATACAAGGAACAGCCAGCCCCTACGTCACAAGGAAACGCCTACACCAATCCAAACATGTACTATCAGCAGAACTCCAATCCGTTCGCTGACCGAAATAGGTACCAACAACAACATTACTAGGTTCGATTTATAGTTTAAAGAGCGATTTGTACACACATGGAGTAGTTTTAAACTCATGACGTGAGAACTGTACACGCGTAGTTATGGGTGCTATTTATGGTTCGTAGGAAAAATAAAAAGCATGCAAAAAATTGAAGATTGAGGCCAACAGGAATCGAACCTGCAACCCTTCGATCTGGAGTCGAAAGCTCTACCATTGAGCCATAGCCCCACCCTCGAAACGTTTTTCTCGAGCACTGCACACAAGGTGCAAGTACCAAAACTTCATAACGTCTCCCAACCTCCAATGTCGATCTGACTCTCCAGTTTGCGCGCAATCTGATTTGGAATGTTATGCTGTAGCCAGACAGTTCGGATGAATTCGTCATATTTGGGCTGCGAAAGCGAAAGGTCGTGTCCCTTCTTGGAATCTTGATCTATTTCACCATAGTCATCCAGATATGGACTTTCAAAAAATGATCCTTTACCTTTGTTCAGTAGAAGAATAGAGTTGCTTTTTGGAATGAAGAAAATGCCAAACTCGCCATTTATGCATTCCCACTTCAGGTGGATATTGCAAGCTCCAAGACGGTCACCATAATTTTGAACCTGGAGATGGACCAACTTGGCACAGAAGAGACATATGGCGGGGTCAGAAGGCTTATCTGTAAGCTTGTTATAGTAAAGACTGAAGAACTTGTTCAGGCGGTGAGGCAGAGAGATTAGCCTCATTTGAGCAGAAAATTGGATTTTAGCATCGCGCAACTGCAATTTCCTATCCATGGAGGTTCTAAATTGTTCCAGCGGAAAAGCTTCCAGGACGTCATGAAGATTCGGAAGATCCATAACTGCACACAACTTGTCACATTCAAGAGAGAATTGCGTCAAGTCCGGAAGATCCCCAGGAAGCAGTACGGAGAAGCGCACAAAGGAATAGATCAGACATCTTCTAAGAAATGGCGTCACCAGCCTCACAAGCATCGAGTACAAAATACCACTAGCCTGCGAGTATTCGTTTCCACAAAATGTTTGCCAAATCCAGTCGAGCTTAGGCGAATTGTACGGTATGTCGGCAAGATCATTGATCAAATCGTCAGAATCAAATTGCATAGTCTCCAATTTGCTCATCAGACTCAACAATGACTGCCTCACATGCTTCAGATAGCACAAATGAAGAAGCCTGCTGTAATCAAGACCCAAACTAGGAACCTCTTCGGCCCCCACTAGAAGCTTGAAGTAGTCTTCGCCCTCATGAAGAAGATCCTCATCTTTGTATATGTTGTTCCATAATCCCAAAAGTCGTTCGGGATACGTCAAAAAGCTGCGACTATATTGATTGGTTGTGGACGTAGCAGTCTCTGCATTTCTAATCAGCTCACGGAATTGGCTCCAAACACGCAATGAAGTCAGGGACTGGTTGGGAATCTCGTATATCAAAAGCTGTAAAGCCCCTGGGTCATAGTAGAGCCCTCTCAGAGAGATCTCCACTGATTCGATTGTCTTTGTTATCAGCGAGCTTATACCATCAAACGGTAAAGAAAGAACAGCAAGTGCGCTCAGCGAATGATTCAATGCCAAAAAAGATTTTGAAGCTGTGTCCACTGTCAGATTATCATCCTTAATAAACCAGTATTGAGGTTTGACATTAGACTTCACATATCCAATTAGATCGTTCTTGATGACTTCGAGCTGCGAAGAGCTTTTCTGTAAAACATTTTCTAGCCCAGGGTCAAGGATTGATGCAGACTTGTTTCTGAGTTTGTTGAGGAAACTGATACTGTTTGATGTATAGTATATTGGAACAAAGATATTGTTAACGGCTTTGCACAATGGACAGAGAAACTCCTGGCGCGACACGTCTTCCGGTATTGTCCTTGTGATCTGTGAAATTTGTCTTGCTTTGATGGATTTGAGAAAGCTCGAGTAACAGGAGAAGTGCATACCATGGCAACAGCTATTGAAGACCGCGTGATTTTCGTTACACGCATGCTCGTTACTTGGGAATCCAGGTCCAATAACGGCATCTTCTTCCACCTTTTTTAAAAAAGCCTGTACTTTTGTATCTCTGGGAATTTCTGCCTCATCCAAATTTGCATTTCCGGTGAAGTTCTTGTAAAACCAGTATTTATCATCAAACGGAATAGTTCTGAATTCGTTGCTTTGCAAAATGTAACTGATGATCCCAAACGGTTCGTTCTCGTAATTTGCAGGCATTTGACAAAGAATGCATCTTTCATGAGGAAAAGTCCAGCTATTATCCTCCTCATTAGAGTCATAGTCATCAACATCCATCAGATCTGTACCATCGACGCTGAAGTTTTCAGCGAACTTTTGTTGCTGCTTCTTGAATTTGGCCAGAATTTGACAGCGTTTTTTCTTTGCAAGCCGTTTTTTCTTATCTGAGACGGATTCTTCAGATGTGCTCGATGGTTTGATGTTAGATGAGTTATATTCTGGCATCATTTCTGTCAGCACGTCATCGTCATTTCCAAAATGGTCGCACACAATTTTCAAAATGGCCCTGCATTTGGGAAAGTAAGCTCTGAATTTCTCTTTTAGAAGCAAGGAATAAATCAATGAAGGAACCTTGGAGTTCCGGATATAAAGCGAGATAAACTCGGACGCATTGGGCAAACAGAGAGCGATGTGTGTCAAATGCAATGTGAAATCAAGCAATGTATCAATGGAAGACTCGGGTCTGACATGGCCCAGACAGTATTTGAGGGTGCTTTCCAAAATAGACGTGAAATGGACAGAGCAGGTAATTTTAGTCAGGCCTTTGAATGGACCATCATCCCAGTTGATTTCCTTGGGGGAAACATAAACCTCAGTCATTGGTACCTTAGTGATATGATGAATACGCTCTTTGAGTATCCTCATACAATCCTCCCTTTTATTTGAACTGTAGTGGATATAGTACGGATCCACTTTGTCATAAAGCTCGTCTTTCAATTTGTATGTTTTCGCCTCCCTGAGCGCCTGGGAAGCAGTTTTCCGTGGAATCTCGTCAACGCACTGGTTGAACACGATAAAGAACCTCTTTTCTGAGGTTATGTGCTCTGATATTTCTGAAGTGATCTTGCTATAGCTGACAGGCTTGAAACATAGAGATTGAATGATCTCCTTTTTAATTCGCAAATCTGGAATTTCCGCTGCACTTTTCTTATGCAGATGCAAGTCCTCAGTGAGCAAGTTGATCAGAAACAACATAAACTCTTCAGCCATTTCATGAAGATGTGCTGTGGTGTATGGAGAATTTTCATAATGTCCTTGACACCAATCAACAAGACCCCATCTATCGATCAGTGTGGGTAGGCTTACATCAGTGCTTTGGAAAGCGCAAAACACCTGAACCAAAAACAAGTCTCTGAAATAACCAAACTCGCGTATGCCTGAATTTTTGTAAATGTTCATCTGATTTCTTATACTCAGACCGTTCCTGACCCACAATCCAACCTTGATTTGCGATAACAATACAATTGTCCTTAAGGGAATATCAAACACTGCTTTCGTATAGTCGCCCTTGAGGAAGGCGTCCGGTGAGCCAACATCAAACACTCTCGGAATCTGGTCAATACAGTCCATGAAGAACCCAAATATAGACTCTTTCGAAAGCGATGGACTCATCTCAATACACCAAGAAAGAAAGGAGTGTAATGGGTGCAGGAAGCTCACCTTCTCACTCAATACATCAAAATTGACGATACGAGTCGAAACATTGTTGAGTTGTAAAGTATGGAACTCAACCACGGGTTCTTGGTTTTCAACAATCTTGTTAACTCCCATCTCACTCTCTTTCGGAGATTCATGTTTGATGAATAGAGTCCGTATGATCTGGCAAACAGTTAGCTTCAACAAATAGTGCGAGGAATCTTCGGATGAGGTCTTGTTAAGTGCCTTGGATATATGTTCCAGAAAGTGAGATATCACTGACATCCCATTAAAATACAGTCCGTAATCTGTGAGTTCGTACTCAACGTGAGTGGTTGCCTCACGCTTGATCGCTGGCCTCCCTTGAAACACTGCCAATACCTCCAGCAACTTGCTAAAGTATGGCAGATATGAGAATAGATTGTCGTTGATCTGGTTTCTGCTAATGATGTACGTCATATCTAGAAAAATATGACCCCATTTGCGATTCTTCAATGAGAAGTACAGTAGCCCAGTCTTATTGGAAGAGTATTGCGAATGATTTGCCTTGGTGAACCCTGTTCGCACATAGTAATCAACCATTTCTATCATTTTGCACATATCTCCATGTTTCACAATGGCGGTACAATTTGATGGACAGGTGAAAAGTTGAGGCGAGAGCATCGGCAATAATGAATACTCTGGTTCCCGATCGAGCGACAGAAACATTGTTGTAAGGTCCACGTATATGTCAACATATTGTGCGGTAAACAGAAGCTTGTACTTCAGGTCATTAATGATGACTGAAACGTAAATGTCGTGCAGTTTCGTTCGGATAGTCTTGCAGAATCTAATGTCAAAATATGCTAGATACTGAAATCTAGATCCCTCAAAGTGAACATAATTCTTGCCACTTCCCAGAAGAGAAAGATTGGAATATTGACATTGTTTTAATATCTCCGAAGGGATCTCCCATTCATATTTCAATGGCGTATAGTGAGTTTGGAACTTGTAATATACCAAAGTGTCTTTTGGTAACGCACCGTCATAGTTTTCGCGATTGAGGTTATAATCCTGAAGCTTCAATTCCTGGACAGACACCGGCAAATCTTTGTACCCACGGTTGTATCTGCTGAGAAATGCTATGCAAATGACGTCTTGGTAGTTCATGTTATTCTTCACAATCATTGAGTTGGTGAGGTCTGATATCCACATAATCAGCTCGTCGCAAACGTTCTCCTTGAAGACATCTCTACAACTGCGGATACAAGCGGTCAGCCCAGTAGACGTGAGGATAGATTGTTTTTTCAGCAAGAAATCAATGTCCGTCGAGATCATCACCACTGCTTTACCAAAAGAGTTGCACTTGGACACCACCATTTCTGCAAACTCGATCACCTTCCCTGTAGCGAACCTCACGCGTTGCACAGCGTCCCTATACTGATGTATTTGGTCATTGTAGAGAACCAACGCAAACTTGTACGAGTTTTCGTCCTTGACTCCATAAAGATGGTAGTCCAATTCGGATAGTTCTGACCAGTGCAACACGTCCAGACGTGTTTTAGGGGGCAAAATGCATGCATAAGAGTGCATCATGACGTCCAAAATATAATCGAGAGCAATGCTGATGGTGGCCTCAAATTCAGGCGTGCAAGGAGTCTGCTCCATTATTTGGTTCTTCGACAAGTCACATTTCAACGATCCATATGCCTCGGGGTCTCCGCAGTCGCAGCAGCCATTTGTCTCTCGTTGTATGATACTCTTATGAACCTGATGGTTTTGATGATGCTGGGGTTGGAAGCAATAAGAACACAGGGCACACGTTTCGTCAAAGCCACAGGTAAGACATCTATAGCAAGCTTCTCCACGCTGGAATTTGCGTCCACAGGGGCGATTGAAGTGATTGTGCACGTCAGGATCGACTTTCAGCTGGAAATCATCAAGCCCGGCCATTTTATTCAATGTCGACCGAATCAGCGATCTGACCTGGTTGGTGAACTTGTAGTCATTAGACCGTGGCAGTCCGGCAAGAAACCGGCGCAATGTCTGGGCGCCGTCTGGCTGTGCCATTTGTGGGATATTGTATGCGAAAAAAATGGAGCTTTTATCTTTTTTTTCGCCACAAAAGGAGGACTATTACAAATAATTTGTTTCCTCTAATTATGTCGATTTACTCCAAGGTGAACGACCTCCTGGTCCGATTGCCGGGTCTTTTCGACTTTGCCTGCACGCCGGACCTTGACACCAGCCTGATGCGGGTGCTCTACTACGCCCTTTCGGGGAACGGAGAGCACTATCGGCTGCTGTTCCCGGATCTCGTCGTAAACGAGGACTTTCCGTCCAGCTGGGAGGACACCATCATCCACGATTACCATGGGTTCCTAACAAAGGGCCGATTTTTTGACCAGCAGCAAAAGAGTACCAGCAAAGCCCACCACGGGAGAATTTGTGCGCGCAAGATCGAAAAGAATCAAATAGTCTACAACTGCTATGATTGCGGAATAGACGAGACGTGTTGTCTGTGTGACGACTGTTTCAACAAAGAACAGCACTCGGATCATAACGTCGGTACGCACATATCCACTGGGGATGCGATCTGCGACTGCGGAGATTTGGACTCCTGGAAATGCGAGCTTAAGTGCGTGGCCAACAGCACTATGGAGCCCGAGCCGGAAGATCTGCCCGAGAGTTTGGCGCAGAATATCCACGAGGTGGTCCAAACAGTCCTCGACTACTTTATCGATGTGCAGTCGTTGAATACGCAGATCGTTCCAGGTACTCTGAGCTACCTTTACATGAAACACGACCCAAGCTTGTTCAAGCAGCATTCCGACGCAGCAAAGCTCTCCTTCAAAAAATACGGGGTTGACGACGTCAATTCTGAAGCTTTTTGTCTAGTTGTCTGGAACGACGAGTTCCATGACTGGGCCACTTCACAGCAAAGCATTGCACTTGCGCTGCCAAGTATTGGCACTGATAAAAAGCAGCTGCTCACACAAGAAATAGACAGGGTAGGCAAGTGCACGATATCTGTGAGCACGCATGTGGACATCCTGCTTGACGAATTCTACAAAGTTCAGACACACGGACTGACGGCCACCATCGTGTCTTCAAGAGACGTTTGTAGAGACTTTCTGTGTGAGATTATCATCAAGTGGCTGTCCAACATGACCGAGCACCCAAACTCTAAGATTGCGGAAGCAGTCAAGACCGCGATTGCCACAAGCATGTTCAGCCAGTATTACAGTTTTCAAGAGAAACAAACAATTGCAGAAAACATATACTCTTTTGACCGGAAAACAATTGTTGGCAATCTTCTCCCTGACTACAAAATACCAAATATACCCGGAAGTCGACTGAAAAAGGACGCTACTATTTCGTTACTGCGCTCCAATGGAATACTTTGTACTGATGCGGAGTTGAACCCAGGGGAGCCCACCGCTGCATCAACAACGAGAATACAGTTGTTTTTCTTTCTCGAAATGAGACTCTGGAAAAAACTCCGTAAGGTCCTACGAAGTTTATTAATGCCCACCTTAACAACATCCTACAATTATAGACAGACACTCGCAGACCAAATAGTGGAGATCTTACCGGCTCTTGAATTGATACAGGCATGGTACGACCGTGAATGGAACTTATCGCTGCTAGACCACTTCCGCTTGCAAATTTACTTGGATCCGAATATTGGCACCCATTTGTTGAAAGCTGGGAAGCTAGACAGAATATTTCAGAGCGCTCTCCAGGTCTTCAAGATGAATGTGAATGCCGGCAGAGGTGTTTATTCTCCAGAACAGAACGTCCATGATTGGAAGATACAGAGACTATTAAATGCCGAATCTGCGTCGCTCAGAGGATTAGAAACCCTTGCAAACTATATCAAGCCTGGCTCAGAAGAGATTATGAATGTCGACACGTTATGCTACATTCTTCTTATCCTCAAAATTTTCACTCAATCCTGGTCTTTGAAACGTAAAACTGATGTTCATGTTGAGCATGAAAGCGAGGAGAGCAAACTCTATTTCATCCGCGCTCACCAGGCCTACAATCTCACCAAACACATCGGTAAGATTATTGCTGGTGTCGACCATAGATCGGAAATTGTCGAAAACGCAATTGCAATCATAGGACTATATCTTAACTTTACCTGTGTCTATGATAATGATTTGGACATCATAAAGTATGATGTGGCCAAAGAGAAAACGTCGTTCATTCATCCAATTCATTCTCTTCTCGCTGAAGTCTGCCGCAATTACAAGTTCTTCGAGCCCCAGATGTTAGATAGAGAAAGTTCGCAAGTCGATTTGAGAGGGTCTCTACTTGTTGCCGACAGGAATGTTGATCATATCAATCTTTTTGCTATTGCGGATCAGGTTCTTCGCAGCCAGGTTCTCTCGGCTCAAATTTTGTCTGGCTTCTGGGTCAGAAATGGACAAGAGGCTGTCTTTCAGGAACTGTCATACAGGTACATTTTCAATCCCGAAGGTGACTTGTATTTGAACCAGCTAAGTGTCTTGAAAGAGACCTCGTTGAAGCGCTCGCTTCTTAACATCTTTGATAGATACGGGCTGTTGAACTGTGTTATGGGCGACTTACAATTTGACCGCACTCTTTATGAGGAGAAAATTTATGCCATCATTGGGGAGCTAGTGAACTTTTTGTATCGGATGCTCACCTATCGCGTTTTCTTTGATAAAAGCATCAGCCAAGAAGACATTGAGTACCTGAAAACTAAATATTCCATCTGCTACAGACTGATTCTGAATCCCGTTCAGTATACGGAACTGAAACGATCGGTAGACAATCCCTCATATTTCGACCGTGCATTGAACGAGGTGGGTGAGTTTGTGCCTCCAACAGGTATTAGCGACTATGGACATTACGTTTTGAAACCTGAAGTTTACTATGAACTGGACCACATGAGTTTCTTCAACCGCAGCAATTCCCAGGATGACTTAGAGATGTCGTTGTTGAAAAGTCTTGCCAAATTGAAGAAGAAAAAGGTTGAAGACGTAATCATTGTGCCGCAGATATACAAGCTCAAGGATAGTGACTTGGCAGGATTTTCTCGGATCGGTTCAATGCTCAGAACACCCATCTTTGTGAAATTCCTCTATAAGGCGTTGTCATTTGCAATTTCCTCGGATAATGATTATTACGTGCCCTCATTGCTTCACCTGGTTCATGCCATTATTATTGATGATGGGTTATACCACACGGATGAGAATCATGGTCTTCAAAGTTTCATCGACATTCCTGTGTGCAACTTACTGCTCACCATTATTCAGAAAGAGGACATCTCTAAAATCGTTGCAAAGAAAGCCTCTCATATTTTAGATATGCTTCTGATGAAGGACGAAAGTGTTTTGCAGTCATTAGTGGACTGTTTCGGACAGGCCCACATCGACGAATTCAAGAAGACTGCCAATGGTATAGTTTTGGAGACCAAGAAAGAGCGCGCAAAGAGGTTAGCATTGAAGAGACAGCAGAAAATCATGAAAAAGATGAGCAAACAACAAGCGGCGTTTGTGGAGAAAAACAAGGAGTTTTTTGAGGAGATGCCTGTCTCCAATGAGATGGATACTGATAATACTGAAACTGAGCTTCGAAGCTGTATTTACTGTCGGAATCCAGAAAACTACAATGAGCTCTTTGGCATGCCCACCCTTATTTCGCATTCATCTATTTTTTGGAACATTCCAATCTTGGATATGGACCCGCCATATTTCATGATCCCTGGTTTCCAGCAAGCTGAATCCAAAACTCGCAAGCGTAAGTGGAACGATCTAGTGAACGATATTTCCTGTTTTGGCACTAAGTGTACGCGTTCAAAGTACGTCATCACAGGATGTTTGCATGGGATGCATTTCAGCTGTTTCCACAACTATTTGAAAGAAAATAGGTTTGATGTATCCCAGTACACATGCCCCTTGTGTCAGTCTTATTGCAACTCGTTTATTCCGACGTCTCCATTTCCTGATTTTGAGCTCGAAATTGCGTCAGAACTCAAGTCGAGCAGCTGGCAAAACATTTATCACGAGAATCATGGAGATAACTGTTCTGAGCTTAGCAGCTATGTCTTTGATAAGAAGATGTTCCGTGTGCTGTCTCACTCTGAGACTCCTGCTTATAAGACAATAATGAAGCAGTTGAAGATGCTGATGAAAGAAAATAAGATCATGCGGAAGGTGGCCAAGACTTCGTCTCATTTGCTGTCGATGAAGTTTTCCCTGCCTATTCTTTTGGGAAACACTCTGGAAATGTACGAAATCGCTTCGAGGTTTGACTTCGATGACCAGAAGGACGATCTGAGCTCAATGAATACCACTCTGCTCCAGTCTCTGATCCAATTTCGGGTGCTTCTCAATTATCTACCTCCAGACCCGGCAAATGAACAAAAGAGGTCAGCCGAGTACAACACGCTGCTAAAAACAAATAACTTTGGATTCACCACGGAGATGATGATTCTGTACTTGGAAGGAAACGAGTCTTGTGATATTTTAATGAGAGTTGGGATGACCAAGTGGATTGTAAAGAGCTTCTTTTCGCTGATTTCCCGGTTCAGCTTGAATCCAAATAATTTGGAAATTGATAGCATTCTGGATCCAACTGAGCCTATGGACGAGTCAATCAAGGATATGTTTGTCAACCTTGCGAAGAAATGTGCCGCCAACCTGTTTAGGAAATTCATAAGTGAGATTGGGCCAGCATACTGCGAGGACGAGCTAGTCAACAAAATCTACGCCATCATGATCAACATTTTCAATCGCTACTACCGCCAGTTGGACTTTGTTAGACACACTTTCAAACTCAGCGGTGGACATTTCCTTGCGTTCAATGAGCTATTCCATAATCTCAAAGACCCTAAGAGTCTCGAGTACTCTGTCTCAGTGCAAATGGCGACGTTGATGTCCCACTACCTGAGCTCACCCAACGCGCTGGTCCTGGACTTCCCAGGAAAAGTTCATCTGTGCGATCTACCGGAGAAACTTACAGATTTCTTGAAGAACGATCTGATCAGCAAAGAAAAGGCCTCAGAAAGAAAGTTCCTTTGCTTGTTCTGCTCATCGCTCGTCAAGAAGAAAGTCCAGCATTTGACCACCTGCAAGCTCAACGATGCAAGCTACTCGCTGTTTTTCTCGCCGTTCAATAACAAGCTCGAATTTGAGCTTACAGCTACGAAAAGCAACTTTTTTGTGGACATCCAGATTCCCAACGGAGCGTCTGTCAACGTTGGCTCGCCATACTTCAACAAACACGGTGAGCCGGCAGGTGGTCTACTGGGCGCAGGGGAGTCGGGAACGCTGCATCTGCCGCGGTACAATTACATCAACAAAATCTGGCTCAACCAATTCTTGATCTCGACCATTTACCGAGACCTCCACACGACTATTATGCGTCGGAGAAGAGCGGCGCCGTTCCAGTTTGGGATTCCTGCACGCAACCCACCGCAGGCGTCGGACGACGACGACGAAATGAGCGAAGACGGGGACGACGACACAGAGGCAATGGACCCTGAAGAGTTTCTAACCGATCTGCTAATGCGCCAGGGCTACTACGAGCTGCTATAAAGTTTTTTTATTTCAAGGCAGTGTATAAATGTTTGGCCAATGAAATTTTTTTGAATTATTCATTACTTTCAAAACTTTGTCAAACATGTATTCCGCCATCTTCAACACTTTCTTCAAGAGAAACGCAGCATTTGTTGGAACCGTGTTTGCCGGGGCCTTCGTGTTTCAGGCGTACTTCGACGCTGCTGTGACCAGTTGGTACGAAAACAGAAACAAGGGCAAGCTGTGGAAAGACGTCAAGCTCCAATTGCAAGCTGGTGACGATGAAGACGAAGACGACGAGTAAGCGTCTCGGGGTGTACAGCTAGATAGAACGCGGACATATAAAGTGAATGAAACAACTACGTTAGTCAACGACCAGCTGAACGGATTACGGAATCAACACGTCTAAAGTTCATTAGCGGCTTCGAGGCCGTTGTATTACACCATTAAATTATCTCTGTAATCTTTTCATCATCTGAGTCCTCTTCCTGATCATCTGCAGTCTGGTCCTCTGCCGGCTCGTCCCGCATCAGCATCTGGACCACTTTGTCACAGAGCTCCTCCACCTTCTCGTCCTTGGCAACCTTGTGTAGCTCTCTGATGAGCGGATACACGCTCTTTCCTCTCAGATACTCCCTACCTTCCTTTGTAACACAGAGCAGCAAAATACTCTCCAGATGCGCCACCAGAAGCTCCTTGAGAGGCTCGATTTTTTTGTCTGGACCAAGGAGCTGCAACTCTTCTGGTAAGTCAAATATTTCATCGTCTTTCAGACCCTTATTCTCGGCCAGAGCGAACGGACCAATGATGTAGGGCAGAATATTGATTCTCTCGTCTTCGAGCAGCCTCATGTGACGGTCGGTGTCGAAAAGCGAATTTTTGATCGTGTAGACGACACCTTCTCTCCTCGTCTTGGAATCGTATTTTTCTGTGAAAACCAGCAGTTTGGCAATAGGAACAACGTGATCGTACTCCTGCTCGGTAACAAAGTACTCTCTACCTCGGGGAAAACGAGAAATGTCTGCAAAGAAGTATGAGAGGTAGTCGTAGGTGGCATACTTGTTGAGCTTGCGATCCGTTCCCTTGACAAACAGGTCCATTAAACAGTCCATACAGTGGTTGCTCTTGAAAACCTCTCTGTCGGTTTGGTCAAGATCCACCTGAAAATCAAATACCTTCAAAATTTCATCGCTTTTGGCAAGATTGGCAAGCAGTATACACATGAGATCTGCGTTTGTGTTCTTCAAGTTAACTAGCTGTTGAATTAGGAACTTGACGAAACCATCGTCATCAACAATTAGTTTGCGGAACTCGAGGTCATCGCAGAGATTAGCCAGAATGGTGAGCGCGTTCATGACTATCGCTGGATCTTTTTCCTTGCTCAGATTCTTGAGATCTTTGACAGGCTCGCTATTGTTGTGCTTGAAAAGCGCTGGCTTCCGACCCGAGGGGGAGAATTGCACCAAGTTTTCGAGAGCTATTTCCCGAATTTTGTACTGGGGAGCATGCAAAAATTCCACAAGCTGGGGTTAGTTCGCAGGTCTTAGCCAACTTACTTCTTCGAGCTCCGAGACCATGATAATTGGAACTGGCTTTAAATAATTTTTTTCGAATTTTTTTTTTACATTACATGCATATATTATTTTTCACTTTCGCTTCATCACCATTTTATCCTTGACAATGAAGTTCTCTCTCAAAATTCTCTTTAGTTCGTCCTTGTAGTTTGGATCCAGACTGACCTTGTGCTTGAGCTGTCTCACAAGTGTTTGCAGCGGAATCGGACCGTCGGCAACCAGTGCATCCACGTCTCCCTTTGTGATAGGTCCCGAGTCGCTCTCGAGCTTGACCTTTATTTTCTTCGGGGAACCGCCCTCAGGCGACATGGAACGCTTGATTGCTGTTTTTGGGTTCCATTCGCCCGTTGGGAACTCGCTCAAGACCTCCTTACTGGCCTTCAAAACCACAAACCCGTCGCGATAAGATTTGACTTTGATTTGCGGTGTTGCTCTGCGGATCGAAACTGCAGGTAATTCGCCCGTTTCCTCCTGCTTGACCTTTGTGTCTGCAGATTGCTGCGTCTCCACCTCCTCCATCTCACTCTCTGAAAGATAGGGGTCTTCCTCGTCATCTGTATCGTACACTTCGTTCATGGCGTTCTTTGCCAGAGCTCTTCTCAGCTTCTTGCCCTCCTTGTCGATCTTTCGCGTCTCAAACAGATCGTCCAAATCGTCGTCCTCGTCTTTTTCAATCAGGTTGTTGGCACGGAGCTGCTCGCTCTTGATTTTTTTCTCCACAAGCTTGCTTTCCTCCTCGTTACCTTCCAGAATTGGAGCTTCCTCGTCGTCCTGGAAATCGTCGTCAAAATCGAGAGTCTCGTCGTCAGACCGTTTCACGTCTTCGGCCCGCTGCGAAGTGGCCCTCATTTTTCTGTACCGGAAATCGACCCGCTCTCCTCTCTCGACCTCGTCCTGCATCTTTCTCATGATCCATCTAGAAGTCTGGCTATTTTCCTTCATCTTGGCTTCAGCCTCCTCTAACGTCAGCGTCGCGTACTTGTTACGTGGTGTGAATTTATAAAACTTCTCCACCGGGATCATCTTGAAACATTTGTTCTGATTGTCTAGCATCAACAGACAGTAGTTGTCGGTATTCCCTGCCTCATAATTTCCGATCCACGCTTGCTTGGCGTCATAGTCCTCCATAACCCACGGATAGTACTCCTCGTACCGCAGCTTCCGCTTGTTGTCGTCGAACACCTTGACCTGTCTTGTCTTGCGCTTGAAAAAAGGCCGTCTGCTTTGACGGGCTCCTCCGTCCGGCGCCACGACAGACATCTCGAGCTCTCGCTTGGCCTCTCTAGCGGCCTCCTCCTCGCGACGCTGACGCTCCTCCTCCCGCCACCGACGCTCCGCCTCAGGCAATTTCGACCAGTCGACGTCGTCGTCCAGAAGCACCGTTGGCAGTTCCTCTGTCTTGATTCCCTGCTGCGCAAGCAGCTCCCGCTTTTTCTGCTCCTTGAGCAGCTCGTTCTTGCGCTCCTCGATCCGCCTTTGCTCCAGCTCCTTCAATGACAGCTGGAACTGCAGGTTCTTGGGATCTTTTCTGTGTAGTCTTGCGGGCTCCTCAAAGTCCTTCTGCGGGTTCACTTTCTTCACCGAGTGGAACTTCAGAATATGGTAGTGTGTATCCTCGATCTCCTTCTCGGTGCACGCACGCAGCGGGAAATACTCGTACCGAGTACTGCCCTCGGATTTGATGTTAGACATTAATTGTATAAATTATTTTTTTGCCTCCGAAAATCCTTACACTGAAAAATAATGCTCAAGTACGAACCCAACGTCGCATACAACAGAAAAGTCGTCGCCAAAGTGAAGGACGTCACGTCGCTGTCGTTTGGCGTGTGCTGTGGCATTTTGCGCCTGCAATCGCTTTACGGGCTGGCGTTTTTCCTAGCGACAAATCTATTAACAAGTGTGCTGTTCTATTTAGTGTTTGTGGGTGGGAATAAACGGGACGCTAAGCAGTTTTTCGAAAATCCCATTCAGGAAGTGTTTCTCAGCGAGCCAGGCCGCTATCTGGCGAGCTACGTCATGATGTGGTGTCTCTTTTATGCCTTGGTTTCCCCATAAACTGCTCGCGGAACCATAGATCACTTTTCATGTACTCGAACGTCCACAGATACGCCTCGAGCTTGTTGACGGGCGTGCGGAATTTGGGAGCGAGCTCGTTCGCGGTTGTTGGCGGCACAGACTCGGGCAGGTCCCAGTTGAGCACGTGAAACAGGCGCCGCAGACCGCTCTGCGGCGAAAACGCAAAGTCCTTGGCCGGATCGCAGGCGCAGCGGTTGCGGATCCTCACGTCCTTGTCCAGCGGACACGTGTTGCGGTTGAGCAGGCCGGAGACGCCGGTGTTGGGCAGCCAGAAGATCTTGGACGCAGGCACAAACAACGCCACGGCCAGCGTCTTGACGTTGTAGTCGGTCCAGCGCTCAAGGAAGAACCCATTGGTGTTGTCCAGGTAGTGGAAGAGCCGCTCGTAGTCCCGCGAGCGGAAAAACTCGAGGTCCACCACCTCGAAGTTGGAGTCAAAATTGCATTGCGTGTACTCGTTTTCGTAAACAAACGGCAGCACGTCTGTCTCGTTGTAGGGCAAAAGACCGAGAAACTGCTCGAACGCAGGCACCAGCGACTTGGTGAGCGTCCTGGACTCGACCGGCGCGCTCGCAAACCCGTACACCAGCTGGTTCGAGTGCATGTGCCGGAAAAAATCGTCCTCCACGTCGCACGCCAGCTGGGAGCCGACCTCGACGTTGCAGTAGTATCTGTAGTTGCGCATGATTGGCAGGAATTGGAACCCGTACGTCTGGAAACGGTTTTTCAGCTTGTACTGCAGAAACTTGGAGCAGGGCGACGCCGAGGCAGACTGTCTGAGAGCCTGGTGCAGCTTCCCCTGGTCGATCGACTCAGGCACATCGTAGTGCGGCGACGATATGCGTTCAAAGTGTACCTGGCCGGAACACAGCTTCTGCAAGCGCGCACGCAGTTCCGGTGACATCTCGTGGTCCGCGTAGTACGCAAACACCCAGTCGTACTTGTGCCTTTTGTTGAAAGAGGACTCCACAGAGTGAACCGTCCGGAGCAGCGACTGTGCCACGTCGATGTTCGGGACGTACGTGTAGAACGTGGCGGGCACGCGCGGCTCCTGGACGGGCTGAAGCTGCGGGCTGCAGAGCCATAACGCCAGCACAAAGGCGAGGATCACCAACAACCGCCTTCTTCTCAACATGGAGTGCCAAGGCTGAAAAAATCACGGGGAAGAGAATTATGTCGCGCGCGAGCGAGCGCTTACGTAATACATACTTGCGGACCAAGCCACTGCCGGCTAGACGTCGAGCTTCCTGATGGCGTGGAAGAGTAGCGTCAGGTCGATGAGTCTGGGAGACGGGTCCAGATCGGTCTGCAGGAGAGCCAGCTGTGTGTTCAGCTCGTTGATGCGACGCAGCTTGTTGTACTCGACGGGCGTGGGTCTGCGCGACGCGAGCGTGCGCAGAAACGTCTGGATGTTGGCGATGCGCGCGTGGAACGTGTCGAGGCCGGCTTTGGCGTCGTTGGCGAGCTGCGTCGCCGACTTTTGTGACGTGTCTGCAGCGGCGATTGTGTTGAGACCGATTTCCTCGAACGGGGTGGGCTTGACTTCGGTCTTGATCTGTTTGCCCTGGACGAACGCGCTGTGCGTGGCATTCACACGCAGTGTCACCGGTTCGACCTTTGTCGGAAGGTCAATTGTGTCGTGGTCTGCCGTCTGGTACGACCCGAGCAACTCCAGCTGCGGATACACCTCACGAAAGAGGGCCAGACGTTCCTGGAGGCCGTCGGTGGTGTCGATTTCGAATCCGAGGAACAGAGCGTACGTTTTCGAGTCCGGCTCATATACTCCCAGAATGCCGCCGCCGACCGGGCCTTTGACGCGTGTCTGGTGGTCGGAGATGTGCAGAAGCAGCAGGGGATGCAAAATGGCCAGCGACATGTAAGGTCAGGTTGGCGAGGCCAAAAAATTGATCGCTTATTTAAATTAGGATTTAATTATTTGCGAATATTAATTTGGAGCATGCTAAATTAAATTCAAATTATTTTATTTCTCGCGCCCCTTTTTTCAGGACCCTATTGTTTGATTTCTTATCTTGGTGGAGAACACATGTTCAGCATCCTTCGGTGGGCACGGCGGCCATAAAAAGATGTGGCCTCTGTCGTTGCACCAACCATGAGCACACCAACCACTGTTCTCAACAACGGCGTTGTGATGCCGCTAGTCGGCCTCGGAACCTGGCAATCCAAGCCCAACGAGGTTGCCCTCGCGGTCGAGCACGCGCTGAAAAACGGATACAAGCATATCGACACCGCCGCCATCTACGGAAACGAGGCCGAGGTCGGAGAGGGTATCAGCAAGAGCGGAGTTCCCAGACAAGACATCTTTGTGACCACCAAGCTGTGGAACTCCCACCATGCGCCAGAGGACGTGCTGCCCGCATTGGAGGAGAGCTTGACAAAACTGCAATTGGACTATGTCGACCTCTACCTGATGCACTATCCGCTGGCCTGCGACAAAACGGCGTTTCTGGAGTCGTCTGCGTCGAATCCCGTCGATATCGACTATGTGGACACTTGGAAAGCTATGGAGAAGCTTTTGGACACGGGAAAGGTCCGGGCCATTGGAATCTCGAACTTCTGCTTGAGCGAGACCAAGCGGGTGCTGGAAAGCTGCACGATCAAACCCCAGGTCCACCAGATGGAAATGCATCCGTACCTCAAGCAGGACGTGTTTTTGCAGTTCCACAAGGAAAACGACATTCACGTGACTGCCTACTCTGCCTTCGGTAACCAGAACTCGACGTACGAAGTGGCTGACGAACCCAAAATCCTGGAACACCCAACCGTGGTGGCTGTGGCCGAGAAGCTCGGAAAAACGCCGGCACAGGTTCTGGTTGCGTGGGCGGTGCAAAGAGGCACGTCTGTGATCCCCAAGAGCGTCACTCCCCAGCGCATCGACGAAAACCTGGGTGGCAAGTCTGTGAAGCTGTCGCCAGAGGACTTTGCCGCGATTTCCGACCTGGGTTTTCGGAAACGGTATTCCGACTTCGGCCCGCTAGTTGGGTACTGGTACTACAGCGATCTGGAGTGTCCGGGGAATAAGCCGTGAGGCGAAACTGTGTAATCAGGACTCCACCAAGATAAGGTTAAAAAAATAAATGCCGCACCGCCGTCCACGGTGGAGACGGCGCCTTGCAGTCTTTCTGGGTGGAGGGTAGATAATCAGGGTTGAATATATACACCGTCCATCTCCCCATGTGCCCCACAATGGAGTCTAGCGTGCCTATTATCGACTTCAGCGCCTTCCACAAAGGCACTTTCGAAGAGCGTCGCAGCGTCGGCAAGGAGGTCGTCAAGGCCATGTCGGAGGTGGGCTTTCTCTACATTGTGAACCACGGCATCTCGGTCGCCGACCAAGAGCGCATGTTCGAGTGGAGCAAGGCTTTCTTTGAGCTATCGGAGGAACAGAAAATCAAGTGCGAACACCCTAAGGACGGCGCACACCACCGTGGGTGGTCTCACGTGGGGAGAGAAAAAGTTGTGCAGATGGTGTTTGACCGGACCCAGATCGAGCAGCTGCGCAAGATCCCGGACGTGAAGGAGTCGTTTGATCTGGGCAATGAGGAGACCAAGGAGCTCGAGAACTTTTGGCCAGATGAAACCGACATCCCGGCTTTCAAGGAGTACTGTCTCTACTACTACAAGTTGTGCACCGTGCTGTCGAAAAAAATCCTGCGTGCCATTGCTTTGGGTATGGGGCTGGACGAGGAGTTTTTGACCTCGTACCACACGCAGTCCAACAACCAGCTCAGACTGCTGCACTACCCGCCCACGCCGGTGGAGGACCTAAAATCCGGCAAGGCAGAGCGCATAGCAGCTCACACAGACTTTGGTACGTTCACGATGCTGTTGCAGGACTCGTGCGGCGGGCTCCAGGTCGAGTCGCCGCACAACAAGGGCCAGTTCCTCCCGGCGCCGTACGTCCCTGGCTCGCTGGTGATCAACACGGGCGATTTTTTGATGAGATGGTCCAACGACAAGCTCAAGTCTACTCTGCACCGCGTGACGGCTCCGCCGGTCGACCAGGGCACAGGAATGACGAGAGTCAGGTACTCGATCCCCTACTTTGTGTCTGCGGACAGAGACGAGGTGGTGGACGCGCTTCCAGGAACGTTTTCGGAGGAGAACCCGAAAAAGTACTCGCCAATTACTTCTGGAGATTATTTAGCTATGAGATTGAATGCAACGTACACATAATCTAGTGAGCATACTCCTGAATAACCGACACAGGCTTGCTATATGTGGAGATCGGCTTGTACTCAAAGTCCAGGTCGAAGCCTGCTGGCCCGCCAATGCGGACGCCCCGTTCCGTGTCGGTCCACTTGTTGCTTGGAGCAATGCCAAGGACGAAAACAAGCAGGCCGTAGCGGTAGTCGCTGGTACCGACGGCCTCGCCGGTGGCGGCGTCGACCACAGCAATCAGGTCCGGCACGGAACACACGATCTCCTCGTTAGAGCCGTCTGCGTCGGTGGTTTTGCAGTAGATGTTTTCGTTTTTGAACGGAATGGTCATTTTGCGTCTCGCACCGTCAACCTCTTCGATAACGACTTCCCCCCACGCATGGCCTTTGAACAGTTTCCGCTCCACGTCGACGATCTTGCCCGAAAACAGCAGCTTGCCCGTGTTGTTGACGGACTCGAGGATGCGCTGCGGCAGCTTGTCGATCTCGGCCTTTTGGCGGGCAATCTTTACAGCACGTCCGATTCTCCACGCGAGCGAGATCGAGCCGTGAATGTTCTTCTCCTCCACATCTTTCAGGCTCATTGGCGGGTTCACAACCCCCACTTTAGACCCAAGCTCCGCCAGCGACGCACGCATGACTTTCTCCAACAGCAGGTCCGATTTCGAGCTCGCCATGATCACCGAGTTGCCGTTTCCGTTTGCAAACACCATTGGCGCGTAGAAACACTCGCCCTCCGGCGTGTAAACGACCGGCGTCGTCTGCCAGTGCGTGGGGTACGCCCTGCCCATCGTGTCGCAGTCGACCACAGGCAAATTGAGTCGCGACGACGCCGAGATCTGGAACGTGCACAGTCCATTTCCGCCGCCAATCTCAATGGGGAACAGCAGCTCCGGCTTCCGGTTGATGTACTTGGCCATTATGTCGTACGACTCCATCAAAGCCTCGCCCAGCATTTGCTCGTGCGAAACCGTCGGGGAGCCCGCGTAGCACACACCCACAATGCTTCCCTCCCCTTTGACGTACCGATGAGCGTCCTCGAGATCAACCACAGTGACAGTGTCGCCCTGGCGCAGGTAGTTTCTCACCTCCAGCATGTACGAATACGGGTTTCCGCCGCCTCCACAGCCCAGGATATAGGCCCCGATAGCCAGAAAATCGAGGTCCACTTCGGACAACACCCATTGTCTGTCTTCGTTGACGGTGGGTCTGTAGGTCGTGTAATCAACTTCCTCCTCGATAGTGGTGTTTGTTTCCTCGTACAGCGACCTCTTGACGATATCGCGAGTACCTGACTCAAATTGTCCTTCGTCCACCTCCAATTTGGGAGTTTTGGAATAGTCCACATCCGCGACGATTTTGATCACAAACTCGAACGTGTTTGGCACATACGGGATCGCGTCGGTAGACACGAAAACGGTCTCAATAGTATCCTCGAGGCCGCCTTTGCCAACGATTTTTTCAGTAGCCTTTTTTCTCAGCTTTTCCAGCACCTCCTCCTTCGATGTGGTTCCGGGAGCCAGCAGTCTGATCTCGCTGAGTTCCACCGACACCTTGCCCATGGCGGCCCCAATAGCATTGGCCACGCTGTAGAAGGGCGGCCTGATAACGGCCGACGCACCATCTAACTGCTCCGGCACAATGAACGAGCCACCGCCAACAGCAAGAACAGTGATGTCGTCCGGGCTCGTCTTCATGCGATCAATCGCCTTTTCCACCATGATCTTGGCCCGTTTTTGGAACGCAGCAAGATACTCCGGACTGAACTTGTCTTTGACGTGAGAGACTGTGCCGATCTCCAGACTGCCGCCCTGCAGCAACTCTGCTGCCACGGCACAATCGGTGGCAGTAACGTCTGATCCACCAAAAACCAGCGCACGCTTGACAATTTCCGAGCCCGTGGAGTCAGGGCCAATTGTCAAGGCGTCGCCGTCGCCTCTGACCAGCGAGCCACCGCCAAGACCAATGCTCTCAACATGAGGCATGGAAAAATTCATCTTGACACCGCCGACAATTGAGTACGAAGAGGACTGTCTTGGGAACCCGGTAGATAGCAGCAGTCCCACGTCGGTGGTTGTTCCACCAACGTCGAGCACAATGGCGCTCTTTCCGTGGGTTTTGGCTAGAAACGACGCTCCTCGCATAGAGTTGGTGGCACCAGAGGAAAAAGTCCGGATTGGCAGACTCAAAGCCTCTGCGGCAGAAAGAATAGTGCCGTCGTTCTGCGTCAAGAAGACTGGACAGCTGAGTCCAAGTTTCTTGATTGCGTTGGCAAACGAGGAGATGATCTTCTCTGCAAAGTGGAGAATAGAGGCATTCAAAATCGTAGCGTTTTCTCTTTCCAGAAAACCGATTCCGGAAACTTGGTGCGAAACACTCACCTTAGCATGGGGATTCTCTTTCAGAATTATATCCTTGACAAATTCCTCCTGCTCCGGCTTCATGTGTGAGAAAATCCCAATCACGGCAAAAGAGGTGATGCCCAGCTTCTTGGCCTTGCGCACATGTTCCAGCACTTCATCCTCTTTCACTGGCTGGATCTCGTTCCCATCAACATGGAATCCGCCGTCCAAATAACCGATATAGCCCTTGATAACTGCAGTTAGTCCGCTCGGGAAGTCTGAAAACGGATAAACGTGCCTGGAATACGGGCCACAGAGTCTCAGCACAGCCACCTTGTCAAGCCGCGCACGGTCCTGCTCAACAACGGCGTTGATAAAGTGTGTCGTTCCAATAGTCACAGAGGCAACGTCTTTCTTGTCCACATTCTTGTGGTCTTCAAACAGCTTGGAGATTCCTTTCTGAATGCTCTCAGAAACCTCAGCAGAGGTGACCATCTTGTTCCACGCCAGGACTCCATGGGAGTCTGTGTGTATTTTGGTGGGATCAATGAGCACCGAATCTGTGTTTGTTCCTCCAACGTCGACACCAATCAGCATTTTTGTTTGGCAGGAATTGAAAAAACTATCGTATATAAAGTGTATTCTTATCGGAGGAGATAACTTCCGAAGTAGGATCTTTTCCGACACACGTAGTCCACCGTCGATCTGAGGTCATACCCGCGAGCCTGCGTCCTAGTTTGTTTCAACAATAACTAGATAAGCCTTTCTCCACCGAGAACTGGCCGCCTAGGGGTCTGCCCACCTAATTAAGAAATTGTCGATAAGGCACCTGTAAACTCAGGATTTCCAAGATACGCGCAAAACTATAAAACAGCTCTGCATGCCCGGCTAAAACCCCAACAGCCATGTCCCAAGATTGGAAAGTCCACGACCTGGGTATTCCAAACCCCTTCAATGACCCCTGGATTGTCAGGATGATCAAGAACCCAGAGAAGCTGCCGGCATCGGAGCTCTTTGCCGTTCCAAAAGACGAGAATTCCGAATACGATAACGATCGCTGGACAAACAGAGATTTGATTCCAATTCCCAAAGACCGTCAAACATGGACGGCCATGTCTTACTTTGGTTACTGGGCAGTTGCTGGAATGGGTATACCCACTTGGTCCATGGGATCCTCAGCCCTCGCGTACGGCTTGAACTGTAAGCAGGCTCTTGCAGCTATAGCTGGCGGTGCTATAATAGTCGGTATCATTGCAGTGCTTATTGGTATCATTGGCCAAAAGTGCAGGATTGGCTACACAGTCTCCTCGAGAGCTGCATACGGCTTCTATGGCTGCTACTTGCCCATTGCAATCAAATCGTTCATTGCGTGTATTTGGCAGGGCTTACATTTCTACTACATGGGCCAGGCTCTTGTGGGCACTATTGGCTCGCTAGCGCCGGCCTTTATCACTGGAACTATGGGCGAGGCGTTCTCTGACTGGAGCCCGCTAACGAAAAACGAACTTCTGGGTGTGTTCTTGGCAATCATCCTCTTTACCGTGATGATGCTTATTCCACCAGAAAAAATGCAACCAATGGTGCATATTTCGTTTATTCTCCAGACAGGATCCTTCTTTGGTCTCATGGGTTGGGCCATCCACGCCAACGGCGGCAAACTGGGTCCCCTGTGGAACAGAGAGCAAACTACAAGCACAGGTCCGGGCTGGGCAGCGTTCTTCATGATCACCAACATTTGCGGGTCAAATTCTGGTGTTCTAGGTCAAAGTGACTGGACGAGGTATGCAAAGACGCGGTTTGCGCCAAACTTCAGCCAGATCGTCACTGCTCCTGTGACACTGTTTTTAACGGCCGCCATGGGCATTTTCGCTTCCGCCGCGATGGAACCCGTGCTGGGAGACATTTACTGGAACCCAGTGACTCTGCTCCCAAAATTGCTGACCCACTACAACTTTAGCCCTTCAGTGCGCGCTGGGGTGTTCTTTGCGTCTTTTGGAATTATCTCGGGACAACTGTGGCAGGCCGTGCTTCTTACAGCTTGCAGTACCGGAATGGACATTTCTGGATTTGCTCCGAAATATATCAATATCCGCCGCGGAAGCTATGTGATGACTGCGATCGGACTGGTTTGTCAGCCATGGAAACTTCTTGCCACGTCGAACACCTTCCTGACCGTCTTGTCTGGTTTCTCGGTGTTTGTGGGTCCTCTTGTGGGAGGTACCATCGCAGACTTTTTCGTTGTCAGAAGAATGAAGTATAGAATGCGCGATCTATACAGATGCGACGATTCTATCTACTGGACCAGATGGGGGCTCAACTGGAGAGGACTCACGTCTTTTGCCATTGGCTCGCTTCCAACTTTCCCTGGGCTCGTCTGCACCGCAGGAAATTACCCTATGCCTTCCGGCTACGAGAAATTTTACAACCTGACTTATCTTGTCGGGCTGCTGACTACGTTTATTGCACACTCGCTGATCGGTTATTTCTTTCCTCCTCCGGGCGTGGGACTCGAAGCCCCATACTATGAGAAGGATCTGGAGGTGGAAACCGAAATTCTGGACTCCCCCAAAACTAACTACGTCGCAAAAGTCGTGGAGGACAGCTCGAGCTCTGTGTAGTTCGCTGATTTATTGTTGCTGGTACTTTTTAAACACCAGCTGTCTAAGCAGAGACCCATTAATATTCAAGCTTTTCCACTCGTTGAGATCCAACAAAAGACTAAAGTAGCAAAGCAAGCCTTGGATGTATTGCTGGCGGATCGTGAACTCGTACTCACGGCCCCCATATTCCTCTTTTTCAATGATCAGATTCAGATATTGCAACGTATCTTCCTTGGTGATGTTTTGGCTGACCATTCCGTTGTGCATATATCTGATTGGATTAGGGAACGAGCTCTGTTTGACTCCAGCCGGGATGTCCTCTCTAAATGTCTCATAGCACCAGAGAGCCAGACACGACGTGGCAACGTACTCTGCCAGATGGGGAATGGAAGAAATGATTCCTGTGCTCAGAAACACAGTCCGCAAAAGCTTACAGGCGTTGTTCAGCGAGAGCTGTGAGCTGGGGCTCCGGATCCAAGCGCGGATCTTGGTAGGCACATTGATTCGCGGATATGGGTTCTCTCGAGACACAGCATTTGCGTACTGGGTGGCCAGTTTGTACACCGCAAACGTGTCGACATGCAACAGAAGAAGCCCAAATTGGTATTGAGTAAGGTTATTCCAGAATATTGGCGAGGTGTCGTACCTGTTCAAATGGGCCAGTGTGGTACTTTGCGAGTCGTCCTTTTTTAGGAATGTGTTGTTGGTGGTCAGAATTTGGAAGTCAAAGTACTCGCGCCATTGATTGTAAGCGTCCTGGAGTCTCAAAACCAGAGCGCTCATTTTCTTGTTCGACACAATACCCAGGTCCTGCAGCCCCTTCCATCGCAGATCCCACGTTATGCTGATTAGGCCTTGCAAGAAGATCAGCCTGGAAAACTGCGAAAAGCAGTTCATGTTGTACTCTTTCTGGTGGTCCTTATACGGCTGCATCAGACGTCTGAGCGAAAACAGAAAATTGGGCCATTTTCCTTCTTCCTTGATATGAGGCATGATATTGATTGAGTTTTCTATCTGCAGGGACACCGACTGTCTTCTTCGTGGAATCAGCTCCCTCGGCTGTTTTGAGTACTCCGACATAAACAGGTTTGCATCGGACGCCGTCCAGACGGCGTCGGTGTATGGAAGGTCGAGCTGCAGGTCAAATATGGAAATTAGAGCATGACACTCGTTTAGGTACGCGTGCTGCGAGTCGCAGATGTATGCGAAGAAGGCGAGTCGTTTGCGGGACTCATACTGTATCCAGTCATGCCACAGCTCGTGCAGCTGCGCAGGAGAGACGTTGTCGAGCTCAGAAAGCTGCGGCTCTTGCAACGACCGTGTGAGGCTCGGAACGTCCAATACTCCGATGATGGTGGCATGAAAGAGCCGCATCTGTTTCTGTAGACCAGAATCGCCAATGTTGGAGCAGAAGTAGCAGGTCAGAGCAAACGACTGCATAAGCTCCAGCTTGAGGTCCTGGGAGTCGCACAGCAGGCTCATTTGGAGTTTCAGCAGCCGGCGCTGTATTCGGACGGCCATGTCCATGTTTGAGCTGGATTTTGAGTACGCCATTCCGATCACAATGACTAGAGTGAGCAGAAATGGATGCTTATGACAGCCAAACGACGGTCTGTGGATGATTGGATAGTTGGTGTCGAAGTTGCTCCAAAATAAGTCAGCAAAGTACGACACAGCCATGGGACTTAGAGACGTTCTCAATGACTGCAACTGGAGCATCCCCAGCAACATGTCTATTGTCTCCTCACTGTATATGTCTTTGCGGGTCAACGATGGCTCGGGAATGATGGAAAAGTCCGGATATACTGGCTCCATTTGCGGCTCGTCCAAAGACGAGGCCGACTGATCGTACTCGTAGTCCCCAAAAAGCCATCTGTAGCTATCAGGCGACCGCTCTGGAGGCTTTTCTGCGGTGGTAGAGTAAGTTTGTGGCTCGTGAGATACGCCGTCTTGCGCCCGCAAATACTCAATTCTGCGCTGATGAGTCTTTGATTTCAGGTGCTTATCTCGCAGGTCTCGACGAGCAAACGCGACGTTGCACTGCTGGCACGGATAAGGCTTGACAGCATCGTGGTTGACAAGATGGCGGCTCAGATAGTCTACTCTGGAGAACTGCTTGTGGCATATTTCGCATCCAAACCGTTTATTTGTCATCGTTGAAACTAGTCAAACAGCCAGATCGCTTTGATAAGACTGGTGCGAGGTGTCTACGAATTTATACTTTTCAAACCGACTCGAATTACTCGGCCACGATTAATAGCAAAATGGTACATAAAGCCCCCCATCAATCTTTTTCCGAGAGCCTTTCTATGGTCTGGTCAATATTTGCCGCTCTTTCATGTGCAATTTCCGCAGACACCTGACTGCGAACAACATGCAATTCCTCAGGATGCTCGTTCTGCCACTCTCTAAGTTTCCATGTTTGGCCAGTGAGATCCCAGTAGATTCCTCTCATGGAAACATATATTCCGTGTCTTCCTTCCCACAGTGGGTAGATAATGACGATAAAGGCAGAAAAGAATAGCCAGATAATGCCAACAGTCACCCATCCTGTAAAGAACTTCTTGGAGAAGATGTATTTGCTTCCATACATTGGCATTGGCCAAAGCACAAGCAGCGAGATGGCCATAAACAAACAGGTGTATCCGGCAATTTTAGAGGCTTTTCTGAGTAGTTCCTCCTCTTCCGCAGCAGCGGTAGCTTTCTTTTGCTCGTAAATGTCGTGAGCAATGGCAGTCATGTGCGACTTGACCGGCTGGAACTCTGCATCCTCAGTGACGGGCTCGGTAGCTTCTATGATTTCCTCAGTCTCGTCCACTCTTTTGATGGTTTTGAGAATCTCCCAATCAAATTCTTGCGATCCAAAAGCATAGGTCAGGATTGGCACAAAAATCAATGGTGAAAGCAGAGCAACAACGTTACCTGTTAGCATGGCGTCATCCTCAAAAGTGTTGGACACAGTGATGCTTCCAAACTTTTTCTTTGTGCACACGAGCCAACTCATGATGGCAAAGGCTGTTCCAAGAACAGGCGACCACACAACAGCCTGCACATTTTGCTTTCTTGATAGCAGGGTCATGGCGGCAGGGAACACAGCGGCGGAAATAATGATACCCATAAGCTCGTACAAGTATCCCATGGAGATGCCTGCGTACCACAGGCCGGTCGCAAAGCCAGACATAACGAGAGAAAAAACCACCACCGACACATGCGAGGTGAAAATGAGTCTTTTTCCGGACGCCGAGGGGTTGATGTAGCCTTTGTAGATATCGTAGGAGAAAATAGAGGAGACGGCGATGAACTCAGCAGAGGAGGCAGAGGTGACGGCCATGAAGACCATAATCAACGCAGCCACTGCACCGCCTTTTCCCATCATGGCAACGGCGGCGCTCGGTAGCACCAGACCTGCAGAAACTTCATCTTCTGTAAGCAGGTTTGGATAGGAAGGAAATGCCGGTGTCTTTTCGAGAGCCACGCATGCAAGACCCATGGTGGTAGACACAAGCCAAGGCACAGCAAACCAAGCAAGACCTCCAAAGATGTAACCTGGCAAAGCTGCGGCAGGACTGGAGGCAATAGCCTTGTTCCAGTATCCGTTGTCAAGGAAAACTGTACCAAAGTTTCCGACAATGTTGATGACGAAGAAGATTCCTCCTGACCGAGAGTTCATGGTGAGGAAAGACCCGTCCGCGTTGCCCTCGATTGGCTTCTCCTTCGCGGCTTCGATGACCAGGTCATACACCTTGCTGGTGGACCCCAAAACGTCTCCAGAAACATAGGTTGTGAATGCAAAGGTGAGAATGATGACAATAATGGCAATTGTGTGAGCATAGTCAGTCAGGAAAGTGGCCTTGATTCCACCAAACAAAGTATACACAACGACACCGACTGGCAATAGGAAACAAGCTGCAACGGTGTTCATGCCGGTTAGGTCACTAATGACGGCAGATCCTCCCGTGAGAAGCATAGCAGTCACCAAGACGTTTGTGGCTATGGCAAAGAACATATAAACTGCATGGGCAGCGGTTCCGTATCTGGCCTTGACGATTTCCAAATATGTGTGAGCTTCCGGAGCCCTCTGCTTGGCTTTTATGGCAATAAACGCAAACAGAATAATCTGCACGGTAGCACCCGAGGCATAGTAGAAACCTGACAGTTAGTTGATTTTTTTTGGAAATCCCATGGTACCTACCTCCAGAAATACCGTTTTTGTACACTTGAGTGCACGATTGCAGCAGCGTAGCAGCCCAAGTCCAGGAACTCACAACTGCCGCTGCGATCAGACCGGTTTTTACAGACCGCCCAGCGGCCACGAATTCTTCAGCAGTGATAATCTCTTTTTGGTATCTTCGGAGAATGAATGTGGTCATGATCATTCCGAGGGAAAACACAAAACCGAGTCCAACGACAACGGCATATCCTGCGCCTTGGGGAAGAGGAGCTTCTAGCATTGCAAGTGATGTTCTTGAAAGGGAAATTCTAACGAGATTTATAACAGAAAAATTTCGCAGGGCATCATTTGTTGAGAGTAGGATAGTGACGGTTTCGCTAGTTATCAACTGTGATAGAAAACCCCCCTGCCGTTTTCTGCAGACGAGGCTATTGTGTAGAGACGCGACTAAAAATTTTGATATGGCATTTCGCCCAAGGCGGGCAATATTTGTCCAGTGCGCATCAAGACCATGCCTGGAAGGCCAGTGATCTAATGTTCGAATGTCAGTTTGCGCTGAATCTTTCAAATAAGATGATTCTTTGCTGCAATAATTCTGTCGCCGCAAAGAAAGGCGAAACCAAGAACAATAGCGCCGGCTTTCGGCGCCCGCAGATAGTCCAAAGTAGAAAGTTGTACACCAAATACAATAGATGCAGCCGTCTAGAAGCGTTATCAGGCATAGATAAGGCCGAAAAAGGTAACAATGAAAAATTTGCGCGCGCTGATTAGATGGTTGCGTGCCCCGTAGAGGAATATCATTGGCTGCTACGGTTGGGCATATCTTTATATCAATGGACATTACTAATTTTGTGAGCGAGTTGCCCAAATGCGAGCAACACCTTCATATAGAAGGCACGTTGACGGCTGAACGGCGCTGGTTATGTGCACAAGCAAACGGGATTGATATTCCTGGGGTGAGGTCTTTGGAAGAGCTCAAAAAGCAATATTTGACCGAATACCTTTATGAAGAGGGCCAAGATGCCACCAGATACTTGCAGGAGTTTTTGGAGGTATACTATGCCTCCATGAATGTCTTGCTCACAGAGGACGATTTTTACCATTTGGCTTTGGACTACATTAAAGTTGCACGGTCTCAAAATATCAGATACCTGGAGGCCTTTTTTGATCCACAGGCTCACACTTCGCGTGGGGTGGGCTTTGACACCGTGATGAATGGCCTTTTAAGGGCTCAGAAGAAGGCCCCAATGTACGGTGTTCAAGTTCAATGGATATTATGCGTTGTGAGAGACATGTCAGCTGATAGTGCTCTTGAAACGATCCGCCAGGCAGAACCGTATAAAGGTAAAATAATAGCTTTGGGTCTGGACTCCGACGAGCACAACAATCCGCCAAGTAAATTTCAGGAGACGTTTTTGATTGCTCGTTCATACGGGTGGAAGATTACTGCGCATTGCGATGTTGACCAGAAAAATACACATGACCATATCCATTACGCAGTGACTCAACTGGGAGGAAAGAAACACAAGCCAGCTGCCCATGAGATTGAGAACTCAGAGTTATATCTAACTCCCCAGCTTGAGAGTGGTGCCGATAGAATAGACCATGGGCTGAATGTTGCTGACAAGCCCGAATTGTTGGAGCTGGTCAAAAAGGCCAATGTAGGACTCACGCTATGTCCTATGGGCTATCAAAAGCATTTGGGACCGCACAACGTATTCCCAAAAGTTGTCAGACTCCATCGCTATGGGATTCCAATAACTTTAAACAGTGATGATCCAGCGTATCTTGTTTACTCAAAGACGGGGACAATTTTAGGTGTTGCAGAAGGGTGCCGTTTCTCCATTAAGGACATTTATGAGTTCGAAAAAAATGCTATACGAATGGCTTGGACGCCTGACGTCGACTTCAAGCGCAGCTTTCTTCTCGAACTAGATCGCGTGTATTCAAAATATTGTACGCAAAATTAAAAGCTATAACGAAAATGTTTGTTTTGCACGTCTGTTAGATCGTGCTCATCGACCTCTTCTCCAACTCGGATGACCTCTTCAACGGTCAGCGGAACACCACCGTCCAATTCATGCTTTCGGTCTCTCCGCTTGTTCTCCAAATAGCACAAAAGCGCATACGCGGTCACGCAGAAAAACATGATCACACATGCTGCCAACATAGCTTTGATTCCGGTATGATATGTCGGAGACTCGGAGTCAATGAAGAACTGAGGACCTATCAGATTGCCAAGAGCATAGAACAGACCCACGCTGATAGAGTTGAAAGATTTTTTGGAGCTACCGCTGTTATTTGACGCAATCAATGACAATGTCAGCACGTATGGAGCATTGTAGAAACCACAGATGTACACTGCCGCGAGGCAGGTGTTTCTGTGCTCTTCCGGAGATATTTTCCAAAGCATGATGATACCAGCCATTGTGATACTCGTTGTTAGGCAGATAAGAGCGAATCTAATATTTTTCACAAAGTAACAAATCACTGCCACTGTGAGACATGCTCCCATGGCCACGGCTGCCTGAGGCGTAGCAAGGAGCATGGTTTTGTAGTTTGAGTACCCGAATCCCTTAATGATGAAGGTATTGAAATTGGTAATTCCAGCATTGATAAAGTTTTGCACAATGATGAACACCACGAGTAACCAGTACTTAGGGTCGCGAACCGATTCCAATATTTGTGACCACTTGATTTCTCCTAGGTTCAGATGAATACCCGTCTGATTAGTTGCCGTCCGTGCAATGGCACACTGGCGTTCTCTTTTCGAAAGGAACCAGGCATTTTCAATTTTAGAGGGGAGGATGAAGTAGTAGCAGGCCCCAAAGACGACGGTGACGGCACCATAAACCAAGAAAATGTATTGCCAGATCGCCAGTGAGCCTCCCCAGTGACCAATTCCGTAACCGAAGATACCATTGAACACACCGGCAAACGTGTTGGACCACAAGGCCATTCTAATTGGCTGTTCCTTCTTTGTGTACCAAGTAGTCGAAATCACAATGCAGGCAGGCTGGATTGCGGCCTCAAAAATTCCAAGAAATAAACGGATAATCGCCAGACCTGCAAAGTTATGACAAGCAGACATACACATCAGCAGTGCTCCCCAGATCATCATGAGTACACACATGAAACGGCCTAGGTTGTGGACTCTGGATAGCAGGAAAAAAACTGGTATTTCGGCAAACAGATAACCTAGATAAAATATAGTTGCGAGCCAGCTGTATTCTTGGCCTTTCAAGTTGTTGTCAGTTTTCAAACCATAAATCGCAGCATATGAGAGGGAATTCTTGTCCAGAAGCTGTAAGAACACCGTGCAAACAAGAAATGGTAGCACAACAAGGTCAATCTTGGTCACCACCCGCTTGTTGAGTTTCAGCTCCTCAGCAAGAATCTCTGGGGCGTTGTCATAACTGTCGTTGTTTTCCAGAATTGATTCGGTGTGAACGTCCTTTTCAGTCATAGTTTGAGTCCCTCAACGGAGAAGCCGAGATCCCCATGTACATTTATATAAAGTTCCTCGGGAGCAATATAAGAGCCACAACTTACACAACATTTTTTTTTGCCATTTTTCTATCGGGAGCCCCGATAGTTTTTCTTAGGGCTTGCCGAAATTATTATAAATAGCTTATCTATGTATTATAAACCCTCTATATCCGATCTCATCCTCAGGATCAAGCCACCATTCAGACCTTCCGAGTAGATGTGCTTGACCTTGAATTTCAACGACACATGCCTTTTTGGTGTTACAATTCGCCTTAATGTTGGTCCCCACAATTTTGGCCTTGAAAGTGGAACCTATTATGGACTCGTTCACGAAAATGTGCTCAGGCGAAATACGACCCTTTAAGTATAGCAAGCCTGTTCTCCCAGCTGTTCCGGAGCCGCAAGGGGATCTGTCTATTTGTTTGTCGCCTAATACCAGGACAGATTTTTGGTTTGGTTTTGTTTCATCCGTTGGATCTTTTCGTCTTGAATTGACAAAATCGACTCCGTGAAGCCCTTTAATCTGAGGAAAATCTTTGCTAGAAATATCCAGCCCCATTTTTTGTATTATCTCCTTAATCTCACCACCGAGTTCGATAATGCGATTGGAACTCTCAGGCTTCACTTCCAGAACGGCTGGGTCAAACTCTGCAAAGAAATTAAACGCTCCGTTAAAAACGATGTCTCCTTTAATGGGGCCCACAGAGGAATTGATTGTCAAGTTTTCCTTGAGGATCCAGACAGGCGTATTGCGGAACTTGACATACTCAACTTTTTGGCCGTTCCAACAGGCTTCCGTTTGGAGTATGCCAACGGTTGTTTCCAATTTGACTGACATCAGATCTGGCTTTAATCTATAATGCTTTTCGGGTAACTTGCGTAGCTGGATTAGGAGCGTGACAATCGCAATGATTCCGTGGCCACACTGGTCTGTGTAGCCACTGGGGTTCATGAAGAGAGCGGCAGCATCTCCATCTTCGACTGGGTCCAAGAGAAACCCTCCAAACATGTCATAATGGCCTCTTGGTTCTCTCATCAACGAAAGTCTAATGTGGTCATGCTCTCGCTCTAGACAGTTCCTTTTCTCAAGAAGAGTTTTGCCCGTGAGTTTGGGAAGTCCTCCTGTGACAACGCGGAAGGGCTCGCCACAGGTGTGTGTTTCCACTGTTGTGATGGTGTGCATAGGGTTCTCGAGGAAACCAAAAAAAAATTCTTGTACTGTGTCCTAGTGTTCGGCTTCCCCGAGTTTTGTTATCACGCAAGAAGCATTTTACTGCGTTTGTGTGAGCCTCACTTATGCCAAAAAAATTCAATAACTATTATTACCGAGCATAATGGTCGCGCTCCCCAAACCAGATTTTGAGAGGCCTTGCAATCACTGCAAAGCAAAAAAGGTGAAGGTAAGTCTGATAACAGGTCGACTAATGCCAGTGTCCGACAAGCTTCCCAAAATGTCTAAGATGTGAAAAGGCTAACCTTGACTGCAATATTGCAGAAGAGGTTGGATACAGTCACAAGACAGTTGAACCTATAATAAGACAGCTCGAGCAAACGAAAAAGGACAGCCTGATTGAGAATGTGGCTCACGAAGTCGGAAGCTTGGTGGTCACGAATAACATAAACTCGGGAAAATACATTGGAGCAGCCACGGGCCTCAATTTTGCTCGTCTGTTTCTAAAACAACTGGATTTGAAAAATAATCTGGATAAGCCCAGCACTAGCGACTTCGAGAATTTTGATCTCGAAGTAACCCAGTCATGCGCAGCCTTACCTTCACAACAGATGTCGAAGTTCCTACTACAAAAATATATCGACACGCTACAAATCTATTACCCAATTCACAACATACCGCAATTGCTTTTGTTACAAACTAATATTTATGAGCGCCCGCAAGAAGTATCACGCTATGAAAAATACACCTTCTTCATGATTATGGCAATTGCATCGCAGAAGCTTACTCACACTGACGCAATACGAAACCCTTTCACCCCCAATGAATATTACAACACGGCTTCGAGATATTTGGAGAACATATTGGGAAACCGCTCTGAAAAGTCTCTCCAGGCTCTTCTTTTGCTGGTCATATGGAAGCTAGAGTCTGACGCTTTAGAAGACGATAATGGAGACCTATGGTATCTGAGCCGTTTCTGCATGTCGCTTGCGATGGAGCTTGGGGTTCACCGGTATAACCCTACATGGAGTTTTGGCGAGGAGCGCGATGAGCAACGAAACAGATTATTTTGGTGTTCATATATAGCCGACCGGTCAGTTGCTATGAAGTTCGGGCGAGGGCTCTCTTTGAGAAACAAAGCAATCGATACCCCTTTGCCAAAACTTCTCAAGGACGATTACAGCTTTAGTTTGAAAACCTCATACAATGAAGTGCAATTGTTACCAAGCATCATGCTTATCAAAATTTCGGAAATTGCTGGAGACATGTTGGAAAGCGTGTACATTTCTAGAACCACTGGGACTCAACCTCCTCTTGACGACGAGCAGATTCAATCTATACGATCCGAGCTGCAAGATCGGCTGGACATCTGGATGAAACAAGTGGAGATAGAAGTGCCAAACAATCTCATTTGTTACCATGAGCTCAAAGTGCGGTATTGCGTTTTCTCGATCGTCTTGAACAGACCCTCTCCTTCATTCCCCTTGCCAGACGGAGCCGCCATTCAACTTTGTAAAGAGAAATGTATCTTAGGGGTGGAATGTTATAATTCATTGATTGCCAGCGGCTGGAAAGTGACTCCAACGTGTTTGCATGATATTCTTGCAATTGGACTGACCATGATCTATTGTTGCTGGAGACTCGAATCGGATGCGATAGATATTAATGATTTTTCCAAGAGATTGTTGGAGATTATGCAGGAAGCTTGTACTTATTATCCCAAATACACAAGATTCAAATCCTTATATGAAACAGTTTCGAATGCCATTGCAGAGCAATTAGATACAGAGGTGAAGACCAAAAGAAGACTGGATTCAAGCTTCAGAGTAAGCATGGACTCAAGTAATCAGTTTGAATGGAATGAGTGGTTTTCACAAGAGGTCTTTCAAGACGGATTTCGACAATTCTATGATCTTGCCAATAATCATCTGATAGAGGGCTTGGCTGACTTTGTTCAAAATGTGTCGGCCAGGGTTGAAAACTAAACACTATCTATGATGGCAATAACTTGTGTATATAATCGAAATTTGAAACTATTATCGTAATTCAAGCTAGGTTATGTGATACCCACCTTAACTTTTTCTTTGGTCTCCTCTTGGCTATTCTCGAGATCTCCTTTGGTGTTTGGCTGCGGCTGCTGGAGAACAACATCACTACTTCCAAAGCAAACCAGACCATTGTGAGTCAACAAGTGGTTACACATAATGTCTGTACATACGATCAGGTAAGTTCAAGATGGGTCTAGCACACCTGGATGACGCAAACACAGTGCTCAAACTACAACAGCCTATCGGTCCCACCGTCTGTGATATACCTGACACATTTCCTTGCATGTGTAACGATACCTCAGAAAGCAGAGCGAAGTAGTATGCCTGATACAATGTGGTATAATATCCAATGTAAACTGAAGAACAAGTTCGTATGTTTAGAGCGAGTACCGGCTAGCAGGTCGATTCGTTGTATTCAATTAGGTGTTTTCCACCAAAAAATTGCAGAGCAGATTGACTGGCTACCTAATATTTTTTGCATCCACGATCAGTAACGTAGCACTCCACCATAGTACGAATTTTTTGATTTCATATGTGTTCCTCTATTCGCTCGATTGTCACAATAAAGAAAGAAATGGCGACAAAACTGACAGAACTCATTGCCAACGAAAACTGGAGATTGTCTGATAGTCAGCACTTCCTAAAGTAGCTCCAAAGCCTAGAGATACACATAAGTGAGCATCAGGTAACACCGGTTAGATGGCGCCCAAGCCATACAATCTAATTGCACTAGGAATCGCAGATGCTCTCAACGAAATGATATACAAGTTACGACAGCACAATTCAGGCTCCTTTTTGACACTCATTATTCGATAAAAGATAGCTGAAAGCACTGTCACAAATTTGCGTCATTATGAGGTTTCATCTAATGCGAGCATTTAGCCAGGTACAACGCGTGAATTGGACTTGAACAATTCAGGACGATGTGAGCTTATTTGAATATGTCCTCAAATTGGAACATGGTTGACTATGACACTGTGAAAACGGAAGTGAAAATCACGCGCATAGGCGCTTCCTTTATAATCAGGATTATTCTTTTATACCACAGAAGCAACCCTTCCTGGCTATATACACTTGGCAGCGTTTGACTATGCACAAAACAAACGAGATTCAATTCGAAAACCTTATATCAGCATCACTTAGTGTAATTATCACAATGTCCCCGAAAAACACTTTCGAACCAATATGAGATGACCTTTTACAGTTACACGTTGATTGATCTTGAACTCATCACCACATACGACCCCTACATAAAAAATTTCTGCTGACGTGTAGACGGAATTGTTTCCAGCTTTGATTATTGCCAGCAAGCTTACTGTTCGCGCTCTGCGGTGATTGCGCTTGGCAATCCATGTGATCTTTAAACTCACAAAGTACGGAGTGCTAAATAGGGCGTCACACTAGGACAGGGCTCATCGAGTTCGGCAAGAAAGGCATATCTAGCGACACTCAAAGGATATCTGCCTGACACCAGAGATCATATTTCGACAGAGTTCTCCTGATCTCGAAACTCTGTGCTGTGCTTATAGCCAAAAAAGAAACTAAAAAAAAATTATCGGTGATTTGAAGCAACCAATTTTGGGGCTCGGCGGACCAGCTTAAACCATTTTGAATACCACGGTATACCAGGAGCATTGGAAAGTCCAATCCTCAATGATTCAATAGGGAGTGCTTATTTCCAGAACTGTTCCAAGAGTCTCGGGTTTATAGAGTTTGAAAGGTGATTTGCCATCTCGGCAAAAAATCTCCGAAATTTTGACAGAATTCCATGAATCGGCGATTTCATTTGATATATATACCCATTCTTCCTACGTCTTTCAATCATGTCGGAATCTACACTCTTTAAACCACTCAAGCTTGGAAACGCTGAGCTTAAGCACCGTGTTACTCTCGCTCCCCTTACCAGATGCAGAGGAACACCAACCAAGGGATACTTTGTGCCAAATGATTTGATGGTGGAGTACTATTCTCAAAGAACCACTCCAGGGGGTCTGCTGATTACTGAGGCAACTCCTATTTCCATCTCGTCCTGCGGTTATCCTGGCGTTCCTGGTATTTGGGCTGAGGATCAGGTTGCAGGATGGAAAAAAGTCACAGAAGCTGTCCACGCCAAGGGCGGAGTTATCTGCTGTCAAATGTGGCATGTTGGTAGAGCCACCACTGCACTAGAACTTCATGGTATTCAGCCTATTTCCTCGACATCCACACCACTGAAGGGCACTAGCATGCAAAACGGTCTGGAGTTCAAGGACCTCCCTCCAAGAAAGATGCATGGCGACGACTTCCAGAATGTTATCAATGATTATGTCAATGCTGCCAAAAATGCTATTGATGCTGGATTCGATTTTGTTGAGGTGCACTCCGCCAACGGCTACCTGCTGGACCAATTTCTGATGGACAATATCAACACACGTGATGACGAATATGGAGGAAGTATTGAGAAACGTGCAAAATTCCCATTACAAGTGATTAAAGCTGTTGTCGACGCGATTGGTGCCGAAAAGGTTGGCATTCGTTTCAGTCCTTACGGAAACTTCCAGGACTGCTACGACTCTGACCCTAACTCGCACTGGTCGTACGTTTGTGAGCAGATTGCTAAATTCCCGGAGCCAGTCGCTTACGTGCACATGGTCGACCCAAGAAGCGACTTTGTGGTTCCCGAGGCTGAGAAGCTGAAAAACTTAGAGAAACAGGTGTCCATCAAACAGCAGTTCAACCTCAAAATTTTTAGAGACATTTTGAAGCCTGCTGGTATCAAATTCATCGCAGCAGGTGCCATTGATAGAGAAAGGGCTTTATCGTACACCGAAGACGACGTTGCTGATCTGATTGCCTTTGGCCGCTACTTCATTTCGAACCCAGATCTGGTTGAAAGATTGAGACACGACTGGCCACTCAATAAGTACGAAAGAGACACTTTCTACTGGGCCCCAGACCCTGCACACGGATACACCGATTATAAGTTCTACAAGGAATAGGAGTGACTGAGTGCTAGAGATTATTTAGACATTTATCTAATCGATTATTATATGCTGAACTTTAGTGATAACCATAAGACCTATACCGAGCGTTTGCCGGCCCGGGGGACGTGGGGCTGGCGGGTGGGTGTTTTTGGTGGGCGCAAAAACGCGGAGCGTTCTGCGGGTGTTTTCTGCGGCGGGTTTTCACGGCGGGCGCGCCGCTGGCGGGTTTGGTGGCGGGTCTTAACTATGAGAGCGGTGGGTGTTTTCGCCGGGAGCAGAGGTGGCGGGTTTGGTGGGTGTTGTTTACATGGCGGGTCCGGTGGCGGGTCCTCCCATACAAAGTAGTGGGTGTTGTTTACGTGGCGGGTTTGGTGGCGGGTTTCTATTGTTCGGACGTGGTGTTTACATGGCGGGTTTGGTGGCGGGTTTGAGCGGCGGGTTTTCATGGCGGGTTTTCATGGCGGGTCCCCTATCTCAGCAGCCAGTGGTTGTAGTCAGCTCAAACCTAGACAGCCATGAAGAGACGTCTCTCATCATCGCCGGTGCACTTTGGAGAGCAGCAGTAGAGAGAGTGTGTAGATGAAGAGGGCAATATGGTGTCCCATTGGCGATTTTAGTCGCGGTTTAGTGGCGGGTCAAGATAGGCGGGTTTTCCTGGCGGGTTTTCTTGGCGGGTTTTGACGGCGGGTTTTCATGGCGGGTTTTCGTGGCGGGTCTCATATCTCAGCAGCCAGCGGCCGTGGGCCGCTGAAAACTGGATAGCCATGAAGAGCGGTTTTGCATCATCGTCGGGGAACCGTTGGAAAGCAGCAGTAGAGAGAGTGTGTAGATGAAGAGGGCAATATGTTGTCCCACTGGCGGTTTAGTGGCGGTTTAGTGGCGGGCCAAGATAGGCGGGTTTTGGTGGCGGGTTTTCATGGCGGGTTTTCACGGCGGGTCTGGTGGTGGCGGGTGTCATATCTAAGCAACCAGTGGCCGTAGCCAGCTCAAACCTAGACACCCAGAAAGGTCTTCCTCAAGACAGTACGTAGCACACAAAAAAGAACGAGGTGAGCAAAAGTTATAGGAAATTACTAAAGGCATATATTTAAAAAGGTAACTGGATACAACCCACCAGTAATTACCAAACCACATATCTAACTCTCCCACACCCCGGAGCACACAAGACCCTGTAGTAACCTCCACCTTTCTAGCACAACCCATCTATGTGATGGTACCGTAGGGCAGTAGGTGTTAGTAGCCAGCACTTAGTCAACCCTGCGCTCTGATTGGCCAAAAAACCCGCCACCCCCTGGACTCCCATGTCTGATCCCGTCGTGTCATTCCCTCGACTCCACGTGTCATTCCCTCGAGTCAACTCCCTTCTCCCTTCTGCCACCTCCGTCCTGTTTTTCCCATACTCGCCACGACAGACTATTTGTGGTAGCGGCATCTGGTGTAGGGATGCGGGAGGGGAGGGAAGCGGGACGCAGAGGCAGCGGAGGCAGCGGCACGTGACCAGGCATGCGGCTGCGGTCTTCGGAGTAGGTGGCGGGGTGGCGGGGTGGCGGGGTGGCGGGGTGG